TAATTGTAGTAGAACATTTTATAATTCTTTCAAATATACATATGTACTAACCGGTTTTTTTTTGATGAAATGAAAATAAATGATTATAAAATAATTTTTATACAATTTGAACCTAAGTAATGAGAGGGTTGAGAATGAGAACATAATTTAAGAGTGTTGAAAATTAAATATTGGACAATTATTAATTTCATAAAAGTATGAATTGTAATTGTTGAAGAATGTTGAAGTATCAAAATAGAAGAGTGTATAAATTAATAGAGAATCCTTTTAATGGTAATAAAAGGTTACGTATATAAGTATGATTAAGGATATAATATTATAAATATTTGATATTGTTAAAAATTAGAATGACGGAATAAAATTTGGGTAAATTAGTGAGTAGTGATTCGTACAATAATATAAAGAATGAAGAGGGGAAGAAGAGTGAAGTAGTAGAAGAGAATCTATAGACAACATAGAAAAGAGGTCAACCTAAGATTAATATTAGTCGTTTACCTCCAGGTTTTGCAAACTAAAAGAGAGTAATATAATAGCAATAAAAGGAATAGAAAAAGCAAATAGAACCTTTGATAATAAATTAGAAATAACAATAAGTGTAATAAAATATCCAGAACATTGAGGCTATACAGGAGTACAAATAGGTGAGCCAGATGCTAGATCCTCTGAAGGCATTAATTATTCATGAAATTCTAGCGTGAGAAGAGCAATAATTTGAAGAATCCATTTCCACACTTTCGTCAGTATATGAAGGACCAAAGGAAAATTTATGATGAATTATAATTGAGTATAAGTAGTTTGGTTCAAAGTTAAATAAGGATAGAAGATATGATTACTACAGGAATGTTGCGTTGTAAGTATAGCATAATATCATTTCAGCGTATGCAGATTCAAGTCCAGTAAAAAAGATGTTGCATGCACCAACTATGAAACTATATGTAGTAAAAGAAGTAATTATTAAAAATATACAAGTAGGAACCATTACATAATAAAGAGATTCGTCAGAATATAAAAGATTGGATATCATTTTGGTAGAATAAATGTTCCAATTCAATTCAACATGTTTAAATATATTCTACTTTTTGGAGTACACCTGAAGGATATGTTTCTATAGTGATGGAATATATGAATGGAGGATCTCTCTAAGTTAGTTCTATGTTGATTATAAGAATTTATTAGAGAGTGTGGGTGTTTTACCAGAAAGGAGCATCAAATAACTTATCTAACAAATCTTATATGGATTGTAAAGGATTTATTAATCAGGAATCTAATGTCATGGAGCCCTTGGTCCATCATAAATCTTATTTCTAAGAGATGGTACTGTTAAACTCAGTCAAGGATTATAATATAGAGTACAAATTTAAGGGAATTAAGTTTTTAATTAACATCTTCTAGGTAAGGTTAAAGATGTTCAAAGGTATTTAAATTCTTACATATTAGTTTATATGATCCAAATATATTGGAAATACCTTCCTTATGGATCAAAGCACCATGTGATAAATATCCATTTGCAACAACAGATGATTTTATATTAGAAAGAGCTAATGATATTTGGAAATTAGGATGGCTCATATTAAATTGCGCTATAGGCACTTTAGAATTCCATCCTAAGGCTTAGTAAATTTATGAAGGTTCACGAATTATACTTTAAGAAATCACTAAATATATAGATTAATTTAAGGGAACTTGTTGTTTATTACATAGTGAAATTAAAGTTATCTAATTTGTTGAATCAAATTCTAAAATTGTTAATGAACCTTCTAAACTTACAATCTTAGATTTCTTACCTTCTGATAAATTTAGTGTTGAGTTCATACATTTTCTCTGTTGTACTTTAAAAATTGATCCTCGTTAAAGATTATAAATTGAATAATTATTAGTACATTAATGGTTAACAAGTGGGAAAGAATGTAAAGGTAATTTAATTTTAATTCACTTAGGTCCAAATGTATATTTGAAAGAATTACTTTCTATATCTAATGCTTGGAATGCTTTCTTACCTGAAAAATATTAAGGATAAGGTTTACAAAAATTAGAGAGATTATGTGAAGCATTGTGTTTGGTTTTACAAAATTCAGAAAAACCGTCTATAAATAAGTATTTGCTTTAATCTGAAATTTGAAGAATTCATCTATAAGAGAGTAGTCCAATTATCAAAGAATTGTCTTATGATATGGGTATAAATGCAAAAGTCGTAAGTGAAAGATTGATTTCAATTTTCCAATCATTAATTTGATATAAATATTGTTTATTGCATAATAAAAATAATTAATATAGTTAAGCATCAATAATCCCAATCATGTATAAAATTAGATCTTTCAGGATGTAAAGCTTATTCTGAAAATGTCACTTTCAAATCTAAATCACAATTTTCTGTTCTTAAACTAGCCTTAGGAACTGGTTACTTTCTCTATATAACTTACTCCCAATTCACATTTTTAAACCAATCATGTTTTTTTAAATCCTCTGAATCTCCCTTAGAACCTAATCTCCTTGATTGATTCTTCTCTAATAAACTCTTTAATAGATCCCATAATTCATCACTAATATTATCTGGTCGTATTGGATCACTACACTTTATATTTTTGTACATAATATTTCTATCTCTCTCATAAAATGGAGGTTTTCCTTAAACCAATTCATATATAAACACTCCAAATAAATACCAATCTAATGGATATCCATGTCCACTCTTATTTAACATTTCTGGTGCTAAATATGCATAACTTCCACAAAAACTTGTAGCTCTCTATGCATTCAATTCCTTTGCTAATCCAAAATCTGTTAATAATGCATGACCATCTTTATCTATCACTACATTTGATGGTTTTAAATCCCTATATACTATACAATTCTAATGTAATGTTTCTAAAGCTAATAATATTTCACATGCATAAGCTTTAGCTGCTTTTTCTGGTAACTTCCCTCTTTCATTCATTAATTATTCTAAATCTCCTCCAGGACAATAATCTAATATCATATAAAGTTTATTCTCTGTCTAAAAAGCATAATGTAATTTAACTATAAATGGAGAGGTAACATAAGTCAATATTTTTCTCTCAGTTTAAATATATCTTACAATGCCAGCTGCTTATAATTTTTTCTTTATCAAAATTTTCATTGCATAATAATTAGTATTTCCCTTCTTTTATACCAAATATACCTATCCAAAAGCTCCCTTCCCTAATTAACTTAAAACTGAAAAATCCTATGGACCAACTTATTGAATCTCAATTCTACTCACTTTAGCTTAACTTGCTTAAGTGCTTTATCGATCTGATAATTTTAATAAATTTTTTATGTGGTCGTTTCTATTATGTATTCCTCTAAAAGACTTTTTTTAATAATCTTAAAATATATTTCTTTTCTCAAATATTTCCTATGTTTACTAATCAAAACTAATATCATAAGCATTAAGATTAAAATGATTTCTAACATTGCAATCAGCTCCATTATCCAATAATAACTCTATTATATCTTTATTGCCATATTATGATGCAAGATACAAAGCAGAATTGTATTAATAATCAAATAAATTTACAGATGCTCCATATGATATGAGCAACTTACAAATTTCTAAATTACCTTTGATTGCTGCAATATGAAGTGGTGTCCTTTATAATACATTAGTTATGTCTGGTTTAGCTTGATTTTCCAATAATAATCTACATGATTCTATATGACCTTCCATCGCTGCAAAATGCAAACAAGACCATTGTTCTTCCATTTTCATATTTATATCTATTGGTAAGTGATATTCTGGTGATAATAGAATTTGCAATTATTCTATATCATTCTCTTAAGCTGCTGTACATAGCAATTTATGAGTTTCAAACAATTACTACCAATATAAATCCCAATGCTCAGATTTATTGAGTTTTATAATTGATGATTCAACATCATTAAGGATTAATCCTTTATCCAAATCTTTGATTGTAATCTGATTTAACATTTAATCCATAACTCTTTATTAAAATATTAATGTAACCATGAATTCTGATTAGCTTTATTCGGTTATAAGTCAAAATAGTATAAATTAAATCAATTTACAAAAAAACCTTTAGGAAACAAATATTATCCCTTTGGATGGATGATAATTTATAAATAAAGTTTAATTTTGATACTTCAATAAGATTGAAAACTTTTTCAAGGGAATCCTATTTTTCATTCGAATTCAATTATATCTAGATTGTTAACACAATATATTAAAAGAATATGGAAACCAATTCAACATTTAGAATAATTAGTAATAGAAAATCCTTTAAAATTATTATAAATTAAATGAACGTAGAAATTAAATCAAATTTTGAGTTTATTGAGTATTAAATTATTTAAACAATAATGCTAATTCTTTCTGTATTGTTTCTATAATAAGAAATTTCGAGAAAACCAACAATTTAATTTATATTTAATATGTACTTACTATAAAACAAAATTCATTCCTCTTTTTTTGGTTTTGTACTTTTTGATCTTCCATCCTTTTGGCCGAATTAAGTAATGTTGAAGAATAAGAAAATAACCAAAATAATAATATGAGGAATCCAATAGACACTATTATGCAATTCTAATGCCTTCTCCCATTCTAACACACGTACAGCTGTAGCAAAATGATCAAATGTTAATATTCCAAATACCCAAGCTAAGATATGTCTAATAGTTTATGGAATGCTTAAAATTAGTATAGATAATTTACAAATAAAATCTTTTTTAAGCTTTATAAAAATATTTGTAGACTTATCCTGTGATTGCCCAAAATATAAAGAATAAATAATAAGAAAGATAGAATCCATGCCTAAAATTTTGTAAATAATAAAATTTACCAAAGACTGCTAATCATAAACACTAAATAAAATGTCAAACTTCCAAATCTCTTTAAGAGACGATCATAGAAACAATATTTTAGCCAATTTTAAATATTACAATTCCATTTTTATGTTTTAATGACTACATTCTTTTCTAATTCAAAAGAATAATCAAAGACAACCCATAGATCATTTTTTTCTATAAATAAATTAAATAATTTATACTTGTCTTATCATTATAAGTCAATCCCATAGCATCCATAGCTGCTTATGTAAAGTAAAAGGCAGCTATATAAGTGAATCTAGCACATGGAGTAATAATAAAGAACATTGCAAATTTAAACCATATACTATATTGATTCTTCCATTCATCAGTATAAAACCAATCTGTATCAAAGTGAGGTCTTATTAATAATTCGGCCATACTCACTGCTATAGCCTTAAGGAATGAAATCATGGCAAATTTAGGAGAATAATGTGTATAATCAGTTTTTCTTTCTATCAAACTAACAAAAGCATAAAAAGGAATTGGAGCCACTACTAAGTTAGGAAACATGAAAATGTATGATAAATACATCATAAAATTAGTTTTTCCTTCAACTTTTCCATCCTATTTGTCACAAGCATAAAATATGTATCTTGCTGTCAATAACATTTGAATTGCATTATAGTCCATTCTCCAACTTAAGTATTAATATATTAGTCTATAGATATGAACAAATGACAGAATTCCAAATGCAGCTATAGACACCGGTAATGCACATTTTTTAAAGATTTATGCAATAAAGTAAATAGCAATTGTCCAACCTAACATTATAGGAAACCATTCTTTGCAGACAATGACAGAAAAGAATATTCCCATAAAAAGATTATAATAAAGTCTTCCAGTTGGACTCTTGATTAAATGGAATACAAATCCTAATGGAGTACAAATTATCTAGTAATAATACAATAGATTACCATATAGAGAAGAATTACAAAAAGGTCAATCTCGAAATTGATGAAATTGATCTTTTACAATAACTCTTCTAATATATTGACGAATTGGATGATCATAAATAAATCAATAAAATTATTTAATATGTCATTCAAAATTCTGTTGTTAAAAATCACAAATTCTTAATCAATGTCGATGTAATAAATATTTGTATTAATCACAAGATTATCTTAAATAAATGGCTTTTCTATATATATAGTAATATGACATTCAAAAATAAATTTAAATTCTCAAACCATAAATATATTCATAATTTTTAAGTTAAATCTGTATTTCAAATAAAAGTACAAAAATAATTAATTGTATTTTTTATAAGACTTAATGAGTTCTTAACTTTCAGTAAATATCGTTGAGTTTAGAAGTAAAAGTTTAAACAAAAGAAATCTTTTATCCTTTTCTGAACATTAAACAAGAAGAAAATCATGTTATTGTAATTACTGTGGAAAGAAAAGTCATTTCTAACAACAACATGCTCATTTACCTACATAAAAAGAAATTGATTTGAAGAATTAAGTAGATATTTTAAGGAAATAAAGCTTATGTGATGAAATTAAGACTGAAATTCCCAGTGAATTAAGTCTTATGGATAGTGAAAATGGAAAACTTTTTAGAAACTCAAATCGTTCAATATCTATTGTTAACAAATATTTCAAAGGATATATGAATTTTGATTAAAATAGTCTTGATGTTCATACTAAATTAAAGAGAAGGAGTTGTGAATGTTCAGAATGTGGAAATCTAACAAAATTTTAAAAGAAATATGAAGACTTATCTTTACCAAGAAGAGATAAAAAAATAAAGCAATNTCTTGCTGTCAATAACATTTGAATTGCATTATAGTCCATTCTCCAACTTAAGTATTAATATATTAGTCTATAGATATGAACAAATGACAGAATTCCAAATGCAGCTATAGACACCGGTAATGCACATTTTTTAAAGATTTATGCAATAAAGTAAATAGCAATTGTCCAACCTAACATTATAGGAAACCATTCTTTGCAGACAATGACAGAAAAGAATATTCCCATAAAAAGATTATAATAAAGTCTTCCAGTTGGACTCTTGATTAAATGGAATACAAATCCTAATGGAGTACAAATTATCTAGTAATAATACAATAGATTACCATATAGAGAAGAATTACAAAAAGGTCAATCTCGAAATTGATGAAATTGATCTTTTACAATAACTCTTCTAATATATTGACGAATTGGATGATCATAAATAAATCAATAAAATTATTTAATATGTCATTCAAAATTCTGTTGTTAAAAATCACAAATTCTTAATCAATGTCGATGTAATAAATATTTGTATTAATCACAAGATTATCTTAAATAAATGGCTTTTCTATATATATAGTAATATGACATTCAAAAATAAATTTAAATTCTCAAACCATAAATATATTCATAATTTTTAAGTTAAATCTGTATTTCAAATAAAAGTACAAAAATAATTAATTGTATTTTTTATAAGACTTAATGAGTTCTTAACTTTCAGTAAATATCGTTGAGTTTAGAAGTAAAAGTTTAAACAAAAGAAATCTTTTATCCTTTTCTGAACATTAAACAAGAAGAAAATCATGTTATTGTAATTACTGTGGAAAGAAAAGTCATTTCTAACAACAACATGCTCATTTACCTACATAAAAAGAAATTGATTTGAAGAATTAAGTAGATATTTTAAGGAAATAAAGCTTATGTGATGAAATTAAGACTGAAATTCCCAGTGAATTAAGTCTTATGGATAGTGAAAATGGAAAACTTTTTAGAAACTCAAATCGTTCAATATCTATTGTTAACAAATATTTCAAAGGATATATGAATTTTGATTAAAATAGTCTTGATGTTCATACTAAATTAAAGAGAAGGAGTTGTGAATGTTCAGAATGTGGAAATCTAACAAAATTTTAAAAGAAATATGAAGACTTATCTTTACCAAGAAGAGATAAAAAAATAAAGCAATTTTTAATCAAGAAACATCGTAACTATCAAAAAGGAACAACCAAAGAATTTCAATTAAGTTAGAAAAAAATAGTAGTATAAAAATCAATCATTTCTTCTCCATAAAGCCAGAAATCATTCTAAATAAAATAATTTGATTAAATTAGAAGAACATAAGATATAAATAAATTAGTTTTAAATCGTATATCAACAAGAGATTTAGAATAACCAAAATAAGTTTAAAATAAATATTCTATAATTAATTCTTGTAAACAATTAGATTCTCCTTAATTTACTCATAGCAAATCATAGAGATAAATATAACATAAACCAACAATGTCTTTTAGTACGATTTCTACTTCTAAGTGGAAATCTTACAAAAATACAAAAGAATTTTAATGAAATACTTTATGAATTGAAAATTCTTTTTTTGTTTTATCTATAAATTGTTAGTATTTAAGTAATAATAAGATTGATTCTCTAATATTTATTACATGATTAATTCTATTGAACTGTTTTTTGATTTTCAACTTTAATTTTATTTTAATTTCCATTTCTTAATGATTTAGTTGAACAATAAAAATTGGCAATATTTTCATACAATTTTTTAGATAAAATTAGATTAGAGGCAATAATGATATAGAGTTTTAACTTTTATTTAAAATATTAATTATTTTTGAACTTTCTATTGATTTCCCATTCTATTTTTAACATTTAAGAAATTACATCTCAACTTCATTCTAAATATTATAGTCTCTATGCTCTATATTATTGACTGACTGGTTATGTTTTACATATTAAATTTGTATCTATATAGAATTTATTATTATTCTTTTTTTATTTAGGTTAAGGGTAAAAGATTTGTTGATGAAAATGGTTGAGAAACTATTATAGATTCTGACCTGAAAAATATAACAATTAAATATTACAATTAATGAATTTTCAGCAAGCGCATATCAATTCAAGTGACTTCGATATATAAGCTTAAAAAACTCTGAATAACTTGCAAACGAATTATTTCGAAGAAATTATATTGATATATAATCATTTTATCCCATTTAAGGGAATAATATTATTAATATATATAAAACACACAATTAATTTTAAGAATTTTCTTTCTTATTTAAAAGAAATTATTGTAATTAATTTAATTGTGCAATTAAGCCTTTTTTAGTAAAGAGAATAGAATTCTTCTAGATTATTAATTGTAATAAAAATAAAAAGAATTTATTTTCTTATCTATTTGATTATTTTGATTTAAGTAAAAGAACAAATAATATCAGAACTTATTTTGCTACTTTAATTACAAACTTAAAAAAGTATTAATAATTCTAATAGGATAAGCATTTATTTAATATAAATAAATATCCTGAATGATTAATTGAAATTCTATGCCTTTCAGATAGTAGAAAATTTGTATGATTTGGTGATTTTAAAAAATAGGGAATATTTAGATTATTTTTATTATCAAAAAGGGACTCAATAAAATTGATAACTTAATTTTGTGAATATATTACTCTAATAGTAAAAAGGGAAAATATTCAGTGGTTCTTTTTTGAAGTAAAAGAAGGATAAACTAAATATAATGTAGTTTTCTAAAAAAATGTCTATAAGACTGTTATAAATAATTAGTATTATGAAATAAAAATGGTAGAGTATCTAGAATAACTAATAAAATAAAATATATTCTAAGCATTATTAGCATTATTAGCAATTTCAGCATTTTATGGAGTTTGTTATATATTTTCATTTGAATATAAAACTATAATTACTGGTTCTTCTTCTTAATAGTCAAATTAAGGGATAAGAGGAATTTCGCTATCTTGAAAAAATTGATTTTAAGACAGCATCTTAGCAAAATAATTAAAATTAATTAAAAATCTTTAAAAGGAATTAACAAATTTAAAAATTCCCCAGGGGTTGAGAGAGTTGCCCAAGGGTTTCAAAAGAACCACGAAAGTGTAAACATTGTTGACGCAATCCCTTGTGAGTTTTCCTCCCGACATGGCGTATGTGCTTTCTTCCCCTCCATCCATATATAAAAATCATTTGTTTCGAAAGATTTTAGACTTGAACCTAAACAGAATTATTTTAATTATTAAAATGGCAATTTCAAAAGCTTCATTTTTTTTTAGGAATTTAGTAAAGTTAATCTAAGTTAGTAAGCAATAAAATTTTTTTAAAATGTGAGCAAAACAAAAAAGAAAAAGGATTATTTTCTTGTATATAATAATAAATAATTTAATGTAAAAAGTTATACTAAAAACTAAAATATTTAGTGGGATTTTAATTCTACTTTCAGTAAAAATAGCTGTGTTAGCATTAATTTTAGCTAGAGAAACAAGTGATATAGAAATTAAAATATATGGAACTTTATTTGGGATAACAGCATTTTTATTTATGTCGATAAACTTTTATGTATTTTATCTATTGCAAACTATTAATGTGATGAATGCAGAAATAAATAATATTAATTGTTTTTCATCATGGATTATGCTGCATAAATCAATTCTAAATAATACCGATTTTTGGTTTTCAAAATATCTCTTGAAATGCTTAATTATTATAATATTTTATTACAGTTTGCAATTTCGTTATGTTGCTTTTGCCGTACCTAAAATTATTATAATTAGTTTGGAATACACAATTTTATTTGTATTCTTTATTATCAGTTTGTTTATTGGTTCCATAATGCAATTATACTTACTGATATAGCTGATGATAATGCTAGTTGATTTTAAAGAGTATTCTAAAAATATTGTTTACATTTATCATATAAAGGATTCATTATAAGAGGAATAGTCATATAAAAGAAAGATTACATTAATATCAATAATCTTTACTCTTGGTTCTATAGGATATTATGGTTTAAAATTAGCATTATATATTTTGATAGTCAAAAATAATGATATAGAAATTAATAATAAAGTATATTCAATAATTGTATCAATTTTGAATGTTAGTTGCATAATGTTAAGTTTATAAATATTTAGAGAACTCAAAATTATTTATCAACGAATTTCAAATACTTCAGATGTTATAATATATAATTTAAATATCCATTGTTTTACAGGATGGTTTATATTAATTAAATCATTGATTTTTAGTAAGAAATTCAGATTTTGGAGAATTTTTATATTCATTTTATTGTACATCTAAACAATTTATGGATTAATTATATTTCCTTATCATTAAATTAATAATATATCTATAAAATAAATGTATTGTCTAGAATCATATTTATATTATGATACTGCAATATTGGTTGTTCTGATATTTACATAATTAATTGAATCGTTTGCCAGAATCATTCATTAAGTTAAAAAAAAAAATCTTGAGTATTAACTAGAAGATCATAGAGCATGTGAATAAATTAATTATAGTAAATTGCAAATTTGTCAATTGCAGTATCAGAACAAACAAATGAAATTGGAACAATCTAAAATCAACTTAATCTTGAAAATTTAGTAGAAAATGCATAAAAAGATTATGGAGAATGTTGCTTTTGTCTTGATAAAATTATTAAAGGGTAAAGAGTGCATAAATTAAAATGTCATTCCTCTCATGTTTTCCATTATTACTGTATATCAATATGGTTGAATAATCATAATCATTGTCCTTTATGTAAATAAAATATGGATTGAATAAAATATATTTTTATTTTTTACATAATAACTCTGTTTTTATTTCATTCTTTAAAATTGTTATTAAAAAGCGATAGTTTAGATTTTTTAATTAAATAAAAAATATAAGTTTTCAATAATGGGTATACAAATATATCATTAAACTATTTCCAAATAATACTAAGCTAAACAGAATATATCTAGGAAAAGGAATATATTTTTAATAAGGAATCAATATGAATTAAGCACAACTGAAGATTAAAAAGTAAAATCTTACAGTTTTAAGAGTAACATTAATACAATATTCATGAAGTAATGCTGTAATCAAATAAGTTATAATGAGAGCCTTCATATTTTTTCCATTTTTACTCAATCTTTAATAAATATTGATTTTTAGAAAATTATGAACTTATTTATTCCATTTTCTATTTAATGTTCCAAATCCATCAGCATTCCACCAATCTTCATAAAACACAAGATTTTCAACTTTTGTTATTTCCATAAATAAACCTAGAATATAATCAAAAATTAAATAATGGTTGATAACAATTAAAATGCCTAATCGAAATGAATAATTAATAATAAATTTAGCTAAACCTTCATGTATATAATTGGGTTAAATTTCATACATAATATAATATAAGTCCCATAATATTATTACAGAGGAATTTATGATATATTTGATTATCTAAATAAAATTTGTTTTCTTCTTAAAAATCATTTAATTTGGTTAGCAAATGAGACATGGCAACCAAAGATATAGATTATATTGAATTAAGTTTAGTTTTTCATTACTTATAATGTATGAGTACATTTTCATACTAAAAATATATAAAAAATTTAAACCTGAAAATACAAGCAATAGAAGTAGCAAATATACCTTCTGTTATAGTTGTTTATATAAATGCACTGATAATTAAAGGAGATAACATAAATAAATATAAAATTATCTTCATTCTATAAAAGAAATAAGGCAAAAAGGATATCAAATAATAAAGTGGCCATAAGAGTAATATTGTGAAATCAATATTTGGGAAAGGATAATTATAAACTAAATAAAGTAGATGATATATCCAAATAATTAAAATAAAATCAAACATTATATTAAATATTGTTTCCACGCAGTAATTTTTCAGTTTCTACTCTTAATTTTTCAGTTTTCTTTTCAAAATTATCTAAATATTGTAAAAATTGCATTGTGTCCTTTTATTAGTCTTCACTTTCTTCTGTTTTCTCATCTATCTATTCTAGTATATATGGTTAATTAATCTCTTATAGATAGACAAAGAATTAATCTTGTTATTCTTTTAATAAAATTGCCTAGTTTTATTAAATGAAATTTGAATTATACTTCTTAATCAGTTCTTTTCTCCAAATATTATCTACAATCTATAAGTAACTTTAACATTTTTTCTTATAGATTAGGACACTCTATCGATTATGATTATGGTTATTATTATTCAAAACAAAGACTGTCTTTTTTATTAGTAGTTAATGGACGTGAATTCTCCTTCTAATCACTTAATACAAGATATCTATTCAATTTTGGTAAAGGACCTTCAGGTGGTCTTTTATCAAAAGGTTCTGAAAGTGTTCCTTTTAATACTTAATTTAATAAAATGCGAGCATATAGATTTCTATTCTTTTTCCAAACTTCATTTGTAGTCACTTAACACAGTTTCTTAGTCCATGCTTCAACTCTTATTTTTTAATGTTTATTAAGATTTTAATATGCTTCCTCTATTTAAAGCATTACTTTTATAAATTCTTCATCCATAATGTCTGTTAATATATTTTATATATTTATCAATATCAATTCATATTCCAATTTTAATGAACATATATAATATTAAGAAAACCAATTTAGATTCTTTATTTAATTTAAAGATATTTTTTCACATCAATTTATTCTTATATGTAATTAATAATTCAACTATGATCAGTGACTAAAAAACTTGTATTACCAAAATCCTCTTTCAATGGATTATAACCAGATTTAGTTGTTGTCCAAGAACTCTAAGAAAATTAATCGGCAAATTTATATGCCTTATATATTTAAGAATCTAATCCTATAATTTGTTTAACCATATATTAAACAAAATTGAAATCTGTTGGAAAGAATATATCAGCAGCTCCTCTTTCTACTAAATATGATTCATAATCTAATCTCTCATGTGGTTTTGCCAATTTCTTAGATACTATTGGTGCATTAATAGAATCTTAAGTAAAATTATTTTTCAAAAGATCAAAATCAGCTATTACTAATGATGGATTTTGGAAATTTTATTTTATGTGTTTCAAAACTTATAATGCTCCTGTTGGTAAAAATATGCTATTAGACTCTTAATTATTTTTTATATTACTTTTTATTTTCCATAATATTTACTAATCAAATTTCTTAATGTATTAAAAAGAAATCTATCTTCAATCTCTCCATCCTAATTTTTGTTTTCCTCTTTAAATTTCTAATACATAGCATAAGTTTCCAAAATGAATGGATCACTTATTGTTTCTGTATATTCTTTCATATTCTCAACATAAACTTATTTCCCATCTATTACTTTATCATGAGCAAGATTATCAAAGACCTCAAGAAATACAAAAAACCACATTTCATTATTTTAAGATACCTATTTGTAATTCAAAAAATCTTGATTGAAAATTCTTAAATTTCCTTTTTTGATTTATTATTTGAAATCTTATGACAATCTTTATTCTGCTTATTAACAAGCCTCTGGAGAGATATCAACTAAATGATATTCCATATTTGAAAATGTCTGAGGTTAGTGATTTCTCAAATAATATAAGACTCCTTCACAAGCAGCACCATATCCAGCACCAATTTCAACTATTCTAAGTTTTTCTTTACGAGTGAACCTAAATTATTAATTTATGTAATTTCCCAATGTTATTCCATAATATGGTCTAAATACTTCAGAAGGAGTTAACCATTAATTTTCTGGATAATTTTCTATTAATTTCTTTGTATAATCCTCATAACCCAATAACTATTTAAATTCGATAGGTTTTTTAAGTGCTCCAAGTTGAATATTCTTTACAAAATATCCCTCAACTGGATGATAAAGACGATCATAAATAAAATCTCTTACTAACATTTTCTTCATTATATTAATTGTTTATTTCTAACTATATAATAAAATTAATAAATAATTTCAATTCATTTTTTTCTTGCAAATTCTTCTAAAGCTTCGCGTCTAGTTACATGATTTTCTCTATCATAATCTGTATTGAAATATTGTTCAGCTTCCTCATACATTAAAACCTCATCTTTTTATTCTAATGGAAATAAAACAATCGAGATATCTTCCATAGGGAGAAGATTATACAATACTCCAATTATTATTATAATAAAATCTTACCATTTGACTTCTCCAAATAGAATACTTGAGACAACTGTATTACCAATACCAGTAAATATAACAATTAATTCAAGCATTTCAATCATTTCAATTGATAAATGCTTAGAAAGAGATTCTTTAATTGTTCTTCTTCGAAGTACATTATATTTATCAACAAAATAATATAATGTCAAACCCATAATACTAAATAAAATTCCAACAGGTATGATATCTCCATAAAAGAATGTAAACCACATAGTTTTCATAATATCACCATATCTCTTAGCCTATGAATAATCAGGCATCTCCATAATTTCATTAGCTTCTTACTATGTTAATACACAATTCTTAGCATTCTTTTATTATTATTATCTTTAATAGTCCTTTTAAATACTCCAAGGGTCAACAAACCATAAGATTGGAGGAATGAATGCATTTAATAAAAATACATTAGATTCATTATATATAAATCCACCTTTACCAATTANAATCTTTATTCTGCTTATTAACAAGCCTCTGGAGAGATATCAACTAAATGATATTCCATATTTGAAAATGTCTGAGGTTAGTGATTTCTCAAATAATATAAGACTCCTTCACAAGCAGCACCATATCCAGCACCAATTTCAACTATTCTAAGTTTTTCTTTACGAGTGAACCTAAATTATTAATTTATGTAATTTCCCAATGTTATTCCATAATATGGTCTAAATACTTCAGAAGGAGTTAACCATTAATTTTCTGGATAATTTTCTATTAATTTCTTTGTATAATCCTCATAACCCAATAACTATTTAAATTCGATAGGTTTTTTAAGTGCTCCAAGTTGAATATTCTTTACAAAATATCCCTCAACTGGATGATAAAGACGATCATAAATAAAATCTCTTACTAACATTTTCTTCATTATATTAATTGTTTATTTCTAACTATATAATAAAATTAATAAATAATTTCAATTCATTTTTTTCTTGCAAATTCTTCTAAAGCTTCGCGTCTAGTTACATGATTTTCTCTATCATAATCTGTATTGAAATATTGTTCAGCTTCCTCATACATTAAAACCTCATCTTTTTATTCTAATGGAAATAAAACAATCGAGATATCTTCCATAGGGAGAAGATTATACAATACTCCAATTATTATTATAATAAAATCTTACCATTTGACTTCTCCAAATAGAATACTTGAGACAACTGTATTACCAATACCAGTAAATATAACAATTAATTCAAGCATTTCAATCATTTCAATTGATAAATGCTTAGAAAGAGATTCTTTAATTGTTCTTCTTCGAAGTACATTATATTTATCAACAAAATAATATAATGTCAAACCCATAATACTAAATAAAATTCCAACAGGTATGATATCTCCATAAAAGAATGTAAACCACATAGTTTTCATAATATCACCATATCTCTTAGCCTATGAATAATCAGGCATCTCCATAATTTCATTAGCTTCTTACTATGTTAATACACAATTCTTAGCATTCTTTTATTATTATTATCTTTAATAGTCCTTTTAAATACTCCAAGGGTCAACAAACCATAAGATTGGAGGAATGAATGCATTTAATAAAAATACATTAGATTCATTATATATAAATCCACCTTTACCAATTATTGTTAGTTTAATATAAATTTTATATAATATTTAATAATATTTGATCATAATTACATAACCTGTTAAAAAGAAATCTATAACTAACGAGATTAGAGCTGTATTAATAAATAAGGCAACTGATTGTTTTCTTGCAAAACTTATGTTGAATTTAGTTTTATTTGAGATTTTTTCTAAATCAACAATCAAATGATAAACTTTTCCAATAACAAATTTATTGAAAAATACTACTGTCCATGAAATATATTAACTAGTTAAGAATGCAAAAGTTTAAGTTAATGAATCTTTAATACCTTTCTTTTCTTATTCTTCTACTTATTCATTCATTCTTTCAGCCAATTCACTAAGAAACCAAATCAAAAAAAAACAACCTGCCATAACACTAATAGAAATTGACCAAGCAACAACTCTTGCTTTAACTTTTTATCCAGTTTAAATATGTATAAATTCCCAATCTACATCATTAGGTTCTGGTGGTTCTTCTACATATAATTTATGTTCATTTAAAATTAACCCTTTTTCTTTTATATCTGCTGTTTTCCCTTAATTGAAAAATGCCTTCATTCTTTCCCAAGATGTATGAGGATTATGTTATAATACAATTTATTTCATTTCTTCAGTTAAAAACTTATAAATGCAATACCTGCAAATTTATCTCTATTTATAAATAATTCATGTTCAACTTAATGAATTTTATGTTCTAAAGATTCTAATTTTTCATCTAATTATTTAACTTTAAAATCAGTGAAATTCATACCATTTTCTATTAAATATTCTTACTTTTCTCTTACTAATTCTTTTAAGGATTCTTCTAAATCAATTACTTCATCTAAATTATAAACTAAAACTATTTTAGTGACTTTTAATTCTCTACCATCTGCTGCATAATTTTAAAATATATTCTTAAGTACTTCTTAATAATCTTCATTTAATTTTGGAATATTTTTAACACAAATTGTATAATCCGTTGGAGTCAATTAAGATTCATCAACTTCTATGACAATACTTCTTTAAGCTTTTCTAAAAAATAAAAATGAAAACATATTAGCTAATACTACAACTAATGATAAATTAGATTACCAACTTTTTATATCTTATCTATCATAAACATTTGCTAAACTTACAAAATGCCACAACGATCCACCACAAATTGAATTCTCTTTTTTGTGTTAATGATTATAATTTAAATGATTTTCTATTTGCTAATTTGAATGATTTTGTATATGATGTTACTGATTTTCATTCTTTATTTTTTGTAATTTTATTTAATTATAACAATAATCACCCATTAAATCTTGTAGCTAAACAAAACATTCCTTTCAATAACCAAAATTTAACTAAAATAAATATACAATATTTAATAAACATGTAAAACAATGGAAATCCTGATCCTAAAAATTTCATTTCAATTGTATCACAATCATATTATAAATCTATTCTTTCTATTGAATATCCACAACAAGGACATGCAGTTTATTCATCAATTTCTAATTCTTAAGCTACTCTTCTTGCTTTTGCATGTTTTTCAGCTAATTATCAATCACAAGGTATTACTAAAGGATTATAATGATTTGATTAATGTGACTTATGATGTAATTTTTGAACATTCTTTTCACATTTACTTCTTTAATGTTCTGAGAAATCCCTACTTATACCTTAGGATTCATGCTATTAAATTGAATTTTAAATGAAACGACTAGCCATTCAAAAATTAAAATAATAATAGTGTTTAATTTTGTTTATTAAATTTCATAATATTCTATAAAATAATAATTTATAAGTCATTATCATAATCTTTAAATATTTTATTAAATAATATTCCATAATGAATCGTCTTTTTGGTACTTCTAAATAAGAACCTCCAAAATAATAACCTCCCCCACCTTAAAATCCTTAATAACCTAAGGTAATAGACTTGACAGAACAATAAAAAAGAGTAAAATTGATTTATTAAAGAAGTCTGAAGCAAAAGTTAAAGAATTGACTGAATAAATCTAAGAATTAGATAAATAGATTGCTGAGTAATATCACAAAGCTAAAAACTCAAAAGGAGTTCAATAAACTACAGCTAAATCAAGAGCAGTAATGCTTCTTAAGAGAAAGAAGATGTAAATACTTAACTTAAGATTAGGTTGGAATAATAATTAGGATAAATGCTCAATAATTAAATGACCTTAGATTAAGTAGCTTTTACTAAAGAAAACATTTAAAATACTCTTGAAATGGTATCTAATTGATTTTTTTATCAAAGGCTCAAGCAATGTAATAAGTTGTTGCTGTTCAAAAAGAAGCATTTAAAGAAATCGATATGGACAAACTTGATGGTATTGTTTTTACTTAGTATCACTAGATCTCATGGATGATATGGAAGATATGAAATTTGAAACAGATTACATGAATGAAATGATGAATAGAAATTATGGATGTGATATAGATGAAAGTGAATTAGATAGGGAAATGGCAGAAATTGAAAATGATATGAATTTCAATGCTTTCTAGCCTTAACAACAATAATAACAAGTTTCTTATTAGGTATTTCTTTCATTTTTACTCCATAGAGTCTTACGGGTTAAAAGTAAGTTTATAACCCTTAAACCAATTGATTTTCATATATTCATTTTATAACATTGTTATAATCAATTTATTTTTTACATATTTTATTCATTAATTATATTTTATTCCTACTTACTCTATATTCTCTCTCTTTTTTAAACTTCAAAATAAATTATATACTTAGAATATTATTCTATTTTGTTATATGTATTTTCCAACATTTAATAAATATTCCCATTTTATTAATTTCCCTCTTTTATATATATATTTATTCTATAGAATCTTTTAATGAACAAATATTTGTTGAATATTTATAAACACAAATAATTTTACTCATTATTTTTACATTTTCTATGTACAAATCTATTCTAAAATTAAATCTTATTCTTATCTTTTTGATTAATTCTAGCAATCATTTTATTATTCTTTGTTCGAAACTTCATTATTGTATTGCTCTTTTAAAGTTGTTTCTAAATCTGAAAATGGAATACTCAATTATAGATTCTCTTATACTAATCCTTAAACCCACTTATTCTTTTAAATGTCTTATAATTTTATTCTACTTTTATGATTAGGATTTAAAAGCTCTCTGATCAAAGTTACTAATTCAAAACTTACTTATCTAGGAAACCTATATTTTCCTTCACTTATACTAATAAATATTTCGGCATTATTTTTTCCATTAAAAGGATACTGTCCAAATATTAAATAAAATAATAGAATTCCTAATGCCCAAATATCCTAACAAAAGTTTATTTTCTTTAATTTTCCTGATAATATCTCAGGGGATATGTATTGAACTGTTCCAACATTCAAGGGTTCATCAAATGGTATACCAGTACCTGATAAATATGCTAAACCAAAGTCAATAATTTTAATCTACTTTAAAATTTAAATAATTACTTAAAATTTAGTATTATCTGTAAAAAGTATATTTTCCAATTTCAAATCTCTATGAATTACATTATTTCTATGCATATACGCTAATCCATCTAATATCTAATTAAATAAATATCTGGCAATTTTCTCATTTAATGGACCATTTTCTAAAATATATTAAAAATATTTTACCTACAACAAAATCTAATAAAGTTTCTCCCTTTAAATATTCCATTTCTAAGACTGCTTCTGATTTATTTGGAAATAGTTTATAACTATACAATTTAACAATATTTTTATGTTTCAATTATTCTAAAATGACTGCTTCTCTGGCTATATATAAGTATTAACTTTTTTAATCATCACTTAAGAACTTTATAATTTTATCCTCATTAGTAATTTTGTGTTAAATGTGCATTATAGTGGCCTAACCTCCTTTACATATAAGAGACTTAGGAATATGTTCAAAAAGGATATATTTGCTATCCAGTTTCTTACCATTTGTTGTCACAAATAGTTTACCATTCTGTTTCAAATATTGTAAATCTTCCTCAAAAATTTCTTAGCATTAGTGATCAAAAACCCTAATTTTTTATGACGTCTTCATTCCAGCTACTAACTTAATTATTTTATTAAGCGAAGATGCTTAAGAAATAGTGACATGCATAGGGTTTTACGATTATAGGTAAATAGTTAATTGAGGATGACTAAAAGATGAGGAGTTAAAGTTGGTTGATAAACAATTTTTCATTGCGTAATTAAATAAAAATAATCATGATATATAATTTAAACTCATTTAAATACAATAATTATTAATTACTTTTAATATTAACTTTTATTATAAAAATTGAACATCATTAATTTGTAATTTTCATTAGGAAATCCTTTATTTTATCAACTTTCTATTATAATGATTGCCCATCTTAAAATACAAACTTATCATTTTATACAACCTCTCTTTTACCTTCCAATAGTGCTTATATTGAAAGATTGTATAATTTAAGTGAATCTAAAATTTGCTACTTGCTTAAATGAGGTAGTTTTATTTATTATACTTAAACTTTCAAATTGAACAACTTATCCTATATTTCCTGCTTAAATTACTTTTTTTTCCATTTACTAAGAATTGTCTCTTATTTAGGTATTCTGTTTAATTATGAGAAATGTTCATATAAAAGTTTGGATTCTTAATGTGCATTCTTAAAGCATCCAAAAAATGTTTATTTCTGTTACTTATTTTACTAATATCTCCAAAGAAATATTCTGAATTTCAACATAATATTTATGATTGATAATTATAAAAATAACCTTTAATATTAATATTTATTAGATATTGATATAATATTGAATACTCACTTAGATCTTATCAAATATGAACACACTTATTAGATCTTGGATATAACAAATCCTAATATAGGGTTATGTTTATATGGTTCCAAAAATCTTTAATTAACATATTTACATTCTTCTTTAAAACTATCAAGTAATATATATTTGATTCTAATAAAATTTGCATAGAAAACAAAGGTGAACAGAGATGATCGTCCAATAAGTAAGAATATCAAAGTAGCTGGAACTATTGCTATTTCTATTCTGTATTTAATTTTATAGATTTCTTTTTACATTGAATATATTTTATCAACTTAATTCTTAAAATCTAAAAGAAATCAAATATTTATACATTAATATATTGTTCCTTGCAATAATAAAACATAGGATGCTAATCCAAGAATAAAATGTAAGATTATTGGAACATTAAAAACAGCTTTGAAGGAGTAAACGAATAAGTATCCAATCAAAAAGAATAGATTTTATGTAAATTCATTTTTTAGTACCTTCTCACCATATTCTCTTGTCCTTGTTGGAAATTTGCATTATCTATACAAACCTAAAATACAGGCAGCAACTGCAAATTAAGTATTTGGGACTATAGTAATGAAAGAAGTAACAATAAATGCTAATTTTAAAAAATTCTCTAATCCAAAAAGAATTTTCTAAACAAGAGCTAATATGAAATCAATATTTACTTTACTATCCAAGGTTAAAAGCCCCTCCTTTTTATTAATTAGTATGATTTGCATATGAAGCTTACTAGTTTGGATTATTTATAAACTCAGAATCAAAGTCTGGATCAATATTATCCTTATACCAAATTTTCTTTAGTTTTTCAAATCTTTCTTTAGGTCTAATTATAAGAAGTTTCTAATACATTTTTGGATCTAATTCTTTAATAAAATCCTTCCAAACTACGTTATTTTCAAAATTAAAATTCTCAAACTGTCTCAGTTTTGCTTGATTCATAAATTGTCTGAATTTATTTTAATTAAAAAAGAAAACAAATTAAATTGATATGTATTTATCAAAATATATATACGTATTTCTCACTTTTATAAATTTACCTCAAACTTAATGTATTATGGCTGTCTTCAAATTTAAAAAAAATATTTATTCTAGTCTATTAAAATGTTTCTGCAAAATACATTGTATATTTTCCATTCATAAATTATTTTTCGCTAATCATAATTCATGAGTATTTAATTATTTATTATTTAAAAAATATATAATATAGATTAATTTCTTCATTTAATCTAAAATCTAAATATGAACAAAAAATTACAATAATATATATTTTCATGATAATCTACTTCTTAATAACTTATTTAGGGATATCAAACTTAATACAAACAAATTTGGAATATAATTGTGAATAAGACATAACATTAAAGTTATAAGAAAACTATATTCCAATTATCTTAGATAAAAAAGCTCCATAAGAATTTACTTTGAGAGATTAACCTGAATTTTTAAAAATTTCAGGTACTTTTGAAATAGATAGTTAAAATGTTGTGTATTCATCCATCTATGATGAAACGCTTGTTTAAATTCTATATTATAATAATTTATATTACTTAAAGAAATTCATTATGGTATTTAATTTAGTCCAAGGATAAATAATGAATTACACATTATAAATTATTTATTAAGCTGAAATTGAGATAAAATAATGTGAAAAAATTTTATCAGTTGAACTAGCAACATAAAAATTATTTATGCTTTGTTAAAAAGATGATTAATATTTTATTAGTATATACGATTTAAGAAATAATGACTAAGTCTTAATTCCTATAAATTCTTTTACAAAATAATAATAATTAAGCATTACTTAAATTATATATATAGAAAATTAATAATATTTTCTCATAGGATTTTATAATTGTGAAGATTGGATAATATTTTTTTGCGATTATAGAGCTATCCAAATTTTAGCAAGATAAAATTAATTTTAAGATTAAATTTTGAGACATATTTAATATGATTAAGATGTCATATTATAATTTGACCATTTCATCTTTAACTTGGATTAAAATATAACTATTTATGAAAACAAGGAAAAGAAAATACTAAATTTTTTATTTTAAAATAATGAATTAGTGATAATTCTTGATAAAACTGATGAATATTTAGTAGATTAATTTTAAACTCATTACATTCTGTATAGAAATGACTCACCTTAAATTATAATTAAAGAAAAACCTTTTATTATTATGTAATTTGATACATACATAGAATATATAAATAAATTTTCAAAAAGTTTTTTATTATTCTTAAAAGTGCAGAAGCTGTTTTTTTTAGATTCTTATAAACCCTTTTTAATATCAATTAATTAATTTAATGAATTAACTCTTATTTAATTAAATTAACATTCTTAATAGTTAATATGTAATGAGTATAAATATTAAAATAAGATTAATTTGGCATCAATTATCTTTAAGGATAATTTAATATTAGAGAATATCAAAATTTATCACAACCGAACTTATGAAATAAGTAACTTTTTATATGATGAAAAAATTAAATTATACAAAAATTCATTCTAATATTCCTTTTTTAAGCTCGAAATTTATAACCAAAGGTTGGCTCCAGAAATAATTTTATTATAAAATAATACAATCTAATGTAAAATCGAGTCATTTTTTATTATAAATGGTTCTTGCAAAGTACTTAAAAATTTATTTTGGATTAAAGAATCAATAACTTTTAATTAATTGTATATTTTATTTTAATAAAATAATTATGAACTTTGGATTATGAATTGTCGAACTAAACAAAATTTCAAAGTTGGAAAGTTTGAAAGATTGGATGAAAATAAAATTTAAATATTCAAATTTGACATTTTTATACCTTACCAAGAAGGAACAAAAATATTATTTATTAAAATAAAACAGGCTTCATTTGATTCCAAAATTATTCTAATTAAAGATATAGTCTTAAAAATTTTTAAGAGTAAACTTAACTATTTAATTGTGACAAAATCTTGCTTAATTTATTGCCTCATTACAAGCTCTAGGATATTATTTGTTGAGATTTATTAAGATTTAACATTACATTATGAAAATAAATGTCAAAATTATAATGTTCTTCACAACTTAGTTACTTCTCTTTTTTTTAATAAAACAATAAAATTTATAAGTTAAAGATTTACATTTGAATATGATTTTGATAACGAAATAATCTCTATTCATTATATAAAATTATCCTAGAATAATTACATTGTAATTGAAAAAACAAAAGATCAAGAAATCAAATTAAAGAAATATATTATAGACCATTATTAAAAAATTTTACTTTTCCTACTACCAAAATATGGATTTGAGTATTAAATACCTATTCAATATGATGAAAATGGGTATTTTCTAGGAATAGCTGCAACAAAAAATAATACTAAAGTAATTTTAATTTATTATTTATTTAATGATTATCATGATATTTTAATTGATGTTATTTAGGTTGAAAATTTTATTTTTCAATTTATCTCTGATTATTAATTAGCTTTTTAAGTTAATACAAAATGGAGCATTTATTAATTGGCAAAATTTACCATGAATTGTCAAATTGAAACATTTACTGAAGAATAAAAGATTGAATAGTATTAATTAATATTTTAGTCAAAATTGGATGAGAAGATTAAAAATAAAATTACAATTAACTTTTAATTTATAAATCTAACTGGATATTTGATTCCTAACAAATAATCTTTAATAAAATTTATTGTTACTAGTTAAAATCAAATTTTTTTTGACCCTCGAAATTTAGTAACAGGCTAGATTTACTCTATTTCTTCTTCAGACATTGATATTAATCCTCCAATTAAAAATATTAGAAATATTTCAGAAACATTATGTTCTTATTAAATTGATACGGTTTGTTATAATTATGAGGAAAATTATTTTATTTTAGATATTTTAAATGATGAAAATCATCGTTAAATACAAGCATAAGACTAATAAATATTTAAAAGCTCTTCATATTATATAATAATCTCATTTATAAGTAAAGATTAACATTAAGTTTAAATATATAAATAAGGTTTAGGAATTATATTAACAACAAATTTAAAATTAGAAAATTTTTTAAAATTTAATTGGGTATACATTTTTTCTAATTATTTTTTGATATAATTTAAGTAATAATTAAATATATATGTTTTTGAGTCAGAAATATTAAAACTTATTGAAACCTTAAATTTTGATTGTTATTAATGTGAGATTGTTGAAGTATAAAATCTTAATAATACAATAATGATGATTTTGTTAATAAATTAAAAAATTTATATAAAGATATTAGAGATAGTAAATGAAAAACCAAACTTGCATTATTTCAATGATGTAGAGTAATCAGAACTTTTGAAATCCATTTAAAGTAGATCATACATGTTTTATAATTTAATTTCAATACATGATAAATAACTTTCTTGCTAATTAGCTGTTATTCCATTTGATGATAATATTTAAATCTATTATGTGCTTTTAGATCTAAGATTTTAATAACTAAGGATAAGTAAAATAGGAGCTATTTCATAATTTGAAATTAACAATATTTATCAATATTTTTTCTTATAATCAGAATTAATGCTATTGTGTATATAAAGTTAAATACATAAGGCAATAATTTTGTATAATTTATCAAATATTTCAGCATTTAATTTACAACATCCTATATAAAGAGTTATTGTTGACTAAAACTCAGAAATATAGTTATATAATTAAACTAATTTCTATATTTTTTAAAAAGGTAGCAATTAAAGTTAATTATTTGAACTATCAAAATATTCATTTGAAATTAAAAATACATCAAATAAACTTGTAAATATTTCCTTTTCAAATATTTAGAATAATTTAGAATTATAAATAGAATTAATTTACAAAATATCTGATGATTCTGAAAATAATCAGTTAATATTTATTTCTGATAAATTCACTTTTTTTTTTATTTTCATCTGTTTTATAATATTTTTAGTTATTTTTTATATAATCAAGCATAAGAAAAACAAAAATTAAACTCTTTAGAATACGATTGAGATTGAATTATGATATTAATATTATTTAAAAAATAAAGTAATTTGATAAATTTATAAAATGCTTTAATCTTTGGCAATGAAGTTCTTTAAATTTTTTGAGTAGTTTTATATATTTATATTCTTTTAAACTTGAAATTTTTATATAATTTAATAGTTAATTAAATATGTAAAGTCATGTAAATTAATAGAAATACGAATCTTATGAGATGCAAAAGCCAAACATAACAATTTTTGAGTAATCAACATAGTTGAAAATTTAAATTGATGAATAAATTGAAGAATCTGACCCTGAACCAGAGAAGAACATTTAAGAAACGTAAAATTAAAATTTGTTACCTTCTAAATTGTACATTTACTTTCACAAATAGAAAAAGTTAAGAATATAAAACAATTATTGAGGATGAAAATGAAGAATGCTAATTGGAAGAAAATGTAAAGGAAATAAATCATTAAAAACCTTTTCTAATGTCAATCAATTTTGCTAACTTAAGCCTGTATAGATTTTCTAGTTTAGATTAAGACAAGGTAATCTCGATTGTGTTTAATAGAGTAGAATTTAAGGGCTGAGATAAATAATATAGAAATAAATAACAATGTTATTTATTATTAAATTGAAACTAAGTCATCTCAATTAGGATACACAGTAAAAGTGAAGAGAAGATATAATGATTTTAAGCTTTTATTGAGAGAATTAAATATTCGATATCCTTAACTTATATTACCATATCTACCAATAGGAATTGGTATGGGTAAACTTAGCAATAAAGATATAGAAGATAGAAAGAGATTATTATAAAATGTTATAAATATAATAACTATGCATTAAGAATTAATACTTTCAAGTTCTGTAAGAAATGTAATTATTATTTAATTAATTAGTTTTTTGAAGAAGGAGATCAATAGGAATTTGATAATAAAAGAAATTAAAGTCAATTTAATATGAAGGGAGGTTTGGCATAAAATATATAAAATATAATTGATAAAAGCATAAAATCATTTGGATAATTAAAGAATTGGTGGAATGGCACTAATACAATCAAAAATAATGAGGAACTTCAATCAATATAGAAAGAGTTAGTTTAATTATTAAATAAATAAGTTAAGCTTTAGAAATTACTATTTTATATATAATCATTACAAAAGAAATAACAAAAAATTAAAGATATTATTGCTCATTAAGATAGTTAAAAAACATAATTATTAATTGAAACTAAATTACATGATTGTGTATTAGATTATGCTAAGAATTTAGATTTCTAAACGAATACTTTAGAAGATAAGTTTGTAAATTAATATTATTATTTCTTAGGATTAATATTATCAACAATAAATTTGGTAATTAATGAATTTAATTGAATTTATTGATTATGCTAATATATATTTTCAATAATTAATAAAGTATATAGAAGATTTGAATGAATAATTATTATTAGTAGCACCAAATCAATAAACGTATAAATTATTTAATTAATTAGTCATTAAACAATAAAGGATGAGATTACTAAATATTTGAATAAGGCAAAGGATTAATTTTGTAATAAAAAAGATGGAATAATATCAAAATATATAGGGATATAATAAAAAGGGTTAATTGATTATTATATTAGTCAGTAATAGGAGATTTGGAATTATGCTTAAGAAATGAAAAACAAATTTAATTGATGTGACTTTTTATATAATTAAATTAAACAATGAAATCACTTAAACCAAGCAGAACATAGAATAATAAAAGTCCAATTGATGAAATAGGATACTATAAGTAATGTTCTCGTTTTTTACCTTTGGAAAGAGCCAACGAATTTTCTACTTAAGATGCAATTATTTATGACAGATTAAGATAAGCAGGAATGAAAAGAAATAAAGCATTGTAATTTTGCAAAGGTCAACATTGTAAAATAGATTCTACATAAAGAAAACATGGTCCTCCTGGTTATAAAATCTTTAACACAAAATTAGATAAATACAAGTAATTAAATGGGTAAATAAAACTAAATAATAGTAGTTGGTAAATGATTGGAAGATTAAATTATGAATAATCTATGCGAGAAGAATTAAGCGATGATACTTAATGGTAAATATAAGATTAAAACAAAGAAGAGTAAGAAAAAATGGAATAATTAAAATAATTTTATACCGAATTAGATTTAAAGTACTCATTTAATGAAATGAATGAATAAGAAACTTTAACTAAATTGAGATCTCTTTCAACAGAATAAAAATATAGAAGCCGAGTTCCATAATATTAATTAAGAGATGACAAAACTCGAATGATGTATTATGAAATGGCTGAATATATTTTACAATTAAAAAAACCCCCTAATACTCTAATATAAGAGCTAAGTGTTTTTGATGATACTATACCTTTAGTTAGATAAGAATATTTCGATATTTAACCAAAATATATAGAAAAAGCAATTCCTTGTTATCCAAAATAAAATTGCGAAAAGAGATCAAAACTATTAAAAGAACTTACAAGAGCATATACAGGCATGGTTACAATTACAGAACCTACTGAAGAAATTAAAAAAGTATCTTAATATTTATAATATTGGCTATTAGATCTTCTTACAAATTAGATTATAATAATAGCCATTATGTAAAGGGTTTTAAATAACAAACACCTAATGAATCAGTTCTCTCTAGTTTGAATGATCTCGATTAATAAAGCACTAAGAAAATAAAACAAAGATGTAGTATCATGACTCATCGAATAACTAAGTTCTCACCATAAGATTAAGTAGTCATTAAATACAATCAGTTTCGTAATAAACTTGAAGATATTGTAAATAAAAGTATTAAAAGAATGAATTGTGAAACTAATAATCCTATATTTTGATGATAATAATATAATATAAATTAATTAATTAATTTCTCAATTTTTATTATATACAACACCATTTGACTAACAGCGTTATTTATATTAAATAATAATGATTCTTTTAATTTTACAATAAGATTTACATAATTTATACATGAATGTTAAACTAAAATTATAATAATTATCAAAGTTCTATTTTTAAATAGTTTTTAAGCTAATCTATTTATACTGGTTTAACTAAATATCCATTCATTCCATTTTAAATTGCTAAACTTTCTTCTTCTTACTTTGCATATGCTGAACATCCAATAATTTAAATTTAAGGATATTATTACTTAATTATAGAAGTAGCTTAAATTCCATTCATTGTAGGCATATCAATATCCATGAATATCAAATCATATCCATTACATTTATTGCATCTATTTTATTTTACCATTTAGATAGCACTATGACCATCTAAAGAATATTCTAATTTGAGTGAAGAATTTATCTTTAAAATTAAAAATTTTAGAACTTCTATATTGAACGCATTGTCATCAACTATTAAAATATTAGCACATTAACATTTATTTAAATGTTATGTTTTGATATCATTGTATCTCCATAATGATTATCTTCTTTCTGGACTTTCTTCCTGTATATCATCTTATTCTTCTTAAATTTCTGATTCTTAGATATTTTTTGAAATATAAAACCAAAAAGATGAGCCATTCTAATATTCAGATTAAAATTATAATCCTTTTTCATTGGAACTCAAATTTCTTGCAATCATATTACTGATAATTAACCCCAATCCAATACCTTGTGGATTTAACTTTTTACTTTCGGAATCTTCAACTTTTGCAAAAGCCTATATTAATCTATCTTTATGTTCTTCTTTGATTCCAAGACCAGTATCATGAACCTCTATTTTCAGTAAACTGTTAAGATAATTTGAAACTCTAATTTCAATAAAACCTTATAATGTATATTTAAAAGCATTTCCAAGTAGATTAATGATAATTTACCTAATTCTATTAGGATCATTGTTTAATAATCTAGGAACACTTTTCTTATAATTTAAAATCAAATTAATTTTTTTAAAGTGTGCTTCAAGTTTAAATAATTCCATACATTCCTCGATCAATTTATTTAAATCCATTTATATAGGATTGATTGAAAATTTACCTACTTTTAATAATGCCAAATCTAACAAATCATTTGATAAATTGAGTAAATATTTACAATTTAGTAATGCTATTTTGATGTATTTACTTTACATGTTTGGATCTCTTTCATCTTATAATGCTGAAATAAATTAAATAATTGAATTAAGTGGAGTTCGATATTCATGACTAACAAATGATATTATACTAGATTTCACTTAGTATTATTTTTTCATCAATTTTATATAATCTCTATGAGTAACATCTCTAATTTAAAGTAGAATCAATAATTTTTCATCAATAAGAGTTGCATGAGCGTTGATCTCTAATAAACGTTTTTTTGGTTATTCTAAATCTGCACAACCTTCTCTTTCATATAAATTTCCTAAATAACTACCAATAAAAACAGTATTATGAGGGCTATTCTTTAAGATCTAAAAAAATCTTTTGTTTGGTTTAATATTTTTCAAATCACAAAGAATTTACTAATTAAATAAAATCAATTACATTTAATTCAATTTCTTCTTTAGATTAACGATTATTAGATACTTTTCCTTACTGGAAAGTTTATTAAAAACTCTAAAATGATGGAAATGAATCTCTAGGATCTCTAATATCAGGTTTAGTTTAAGTTTAAACAACATCTGATAATTATTCCAAACATTACTTAAAACTTTATTTTTCACTGATCTTAAATAATTCTTATGTAGCTAAATTACAAAAATGTATAGCTAAATTTTAAGTTGTAAGCAAAACGAGTGGATCTGGTATTAAATTTAAAAAATGAAAGCATTCCTATACCTCTTATTATAAACTTGTAGCTGATGAATGGAATTATTGTTTTTTATATTCAGGAGTTTAATCTATATTCAAAATTGATTTATCATATGATTTTATGTATGATGCCTAAGATTCTCCATCTTGCTTTTATTAATTAGCCCACAATATATACAAATGTAAAAACAATAATGAAATTCCTCCAATAAATGCATATAAATCATACGAATTCCAATTACACATTCTTATTAAAGCATATTGATTCATTAATAAAGTGGATTTCTGTAATATTCCTTTGTTAACTCTTTCTAACCCTATTTCAATACAGACAAAATATAGTATTAAAACACATATATTTTATAGTTTCACTGCACATTCCACAAAAAATAAAGCAAAAAACATTGTATAGATGAAATTCATTTACAAGTACCACTTTTCATTCAATTTTTAAAAGAACATAGCAGCTATTTATATAGCACTCATTATGCTTAATAATATTGTTATTTCTATTCCTTCAAAATCTAACAAAGGAGTTAGCACAATACCTATTATTCCTTCAAGAGGTATTTTTAATATTTTCATCATATTTTTATTTATAATTTAGGCTTCAATTAATAATTTAAATAGGAAACTTCTTAATTATATGAAAATTATGCAATAAGAATTTTTAAATAACTCTAATCAATCCTAAATTTTATTTAAAATGATTTCTTTTATCAAAAATACGATAGAAATATTCCCTAATCACATCATTATCAATTTTAAATCATTAAATTATAAAAATCAACAGTTATTAAAATATATTCTGATGACAATTTTATTCATTAGCAAGAAAAATGTTTTATCAAATTAAAATTTAGTTTAGTAATATTATTTGTTTTTTGAAAAAGACCTACATTATATTTGTAATTTTAAAAGAATATTAACTTTTTAAAGTTGGAAATTATATAATTGTAAATAATATCAATATTAAATTATTTTGAACTTGTGAATGAAATGTAGAAAAAAAAGAAATTCTTAAATTATATCAGGGCTAATGCAGATTTAGTTGTTTTTAATTAATAAAAACATTCCAATAGATACAGGATTTATATCAAGCTCAAACAAAACCTTAATGGTAAGGTGATTTAACATTTATAATGCTCTATTATATACTTATTCAGTTGACTAAATCTATCCAAATTTATAAGATGTAAAACCACTAATGGATTACTTTTAATTAAACAATGATTTTTGGGTTTGAGTGCTTATTTATCTTAACTGTGATTTAAATGTTATTTGATTTAACTATTATTTACAATTCAGATCTATAATCAAATAAGAGGGTTGAAACTTTATGAAAAATATGTAGAAATACAAGGAAATAAATATAATTTAATGTAGAAAAGTTATAGTGCAAAAGAGCAATTAAATAAATTAAAAATGGTTCTAGTACGGATTCATAAGGGGTTGAATTTAAATTTACAATAAAAACTTAATAGAATTAATAGTTTGATAAACAATAATATTAATTTTTTTCACACACCTTTTAACTCTCTGAAATCTTTTGATAACTAATTCTCTTCGAACTAAAAATAATAAAAATAAAATACAATTTTATCATTTAAATTTAATATTTCATCATGCCATTTCTACAAAAATTATTGCAAAAAAACAATTTATACAATTTCAATTTTATTTGTTCGTATAAGTGAAAATCCAATAAAATGATCATCAAGATATTGATATTTTTGTAGAAGTGATATAGAAAAACGATAAAAAAATGTTTTTAAGTCAATTTTAGTGTCTGCAATTTTTAATTAAAGAGCAAATGAGACAATAGTCTTTAAAATATAAAAAGATCCTATTTCTAAGTCTTTTGCACATTATTTAAAGATGTCTAAAATCTGTGTTCCATTTAAATGTTATTTAATATCTAAAGCAAATTTATCTGATACACATTACCAAGGTAAGAGATCAAAATAAGAAAATAGTAATTAGGGTAGCAATCTAATATCAGTAACTTGCCCTAAAAGAAAATTGTGAGCATCAAATTATTTAATGAGTTTTTATAATTCATCCTTATTTAAAGGTGACAAGTTTAAAGGATCACCAACAAATGCTTACAATATTTATTATGGTGTAAGTATTTAATCTTCCAAAAATATCAAGAATCTATTAAAAATAACATAGAGTGGTGCAGGAATTAATTTAGTTTTGTTCTTTAATTCATTTACAACATATTGGTTTTATTGTTATACAATATCATCATTGATCAATCCTGAGATTTTAGGATAGGCATACCATTTTCTATTTGATAAGACTAGATATATTTTATATAAGTACATTTCTCAAATGCTTTTAATAAGTCTCTTTAAGCACTTTTACCTAAAGAATCCCTTCTTCTAGATTAGAATAATCGAATAGCTTCTTCTGCTGGCATTCTTTCTCCATAAATTAACCATGCTACTATAGCAACTCCAGTTCTGCCTGTACCAGCATGACAATGTACAGCAACTTTTTTTCCTTTTTTAGTCATCAGGTCAAAAGCTGAACAAATTTTAAGAAGATTTTCAAAAGTAGTATCAGCTGTCATATCTTCCCATCCATAATTAAAGAAATTAATCTTAGCTTTTGATTAGTATTTAAATACCTTATTATAATGATTCAGGATTATATGAAAATCCAATGCCTGGAAGTATACCAGGTCCACATTAAGCATGTTCTCCTTATTATTATAAATTGATGACTGCTCCAATATTATGTCTTAATAGAATAATTATTATACTATTAGAATTATGGTATAACTTTTGGCATTAATGTCGTACTCAGTCTTTACATAGCCAAAATATTATCAGTGATCCAATCAGAATGCAATCCTTCTATAGCATTCTTATTTTTATTTGAATTAGCTTATTCCTTTTTACAATCTTACCCTCCACAAAAATAACAAATGAAATTATCTATTTCTTCTATTGGTGCAGGACCAGTTTTTTTATTTTATAAACTTGTCTTTGGTTCAAATTTGTTACTGCTTATCATTTACTATTTAATGATATTCTTTTTTTAAGACATAGCTCTTGATTATTGATTTTCTTATTCTAAAGGTGGCAATCTACGAGAATTTGAGTTGGCATTATCCATTTAATTAAAAATAAAATTTAACGTATATGAGTTTGACAGAACAACAAGAGTATAATTATGATGCATAATACTTGGAGACATTTGGGTGCAATCATTCTACAAGGTAGATACATTCTGAAAAATTGATTTGTCAATAATGTGGCATATTTATAAATAATGTAATTGAGTTGTTTTTAAATTAAAGTCCACCACAAGAGTTTATAAAACAACAAAAATGAAATATAATACATTCTTCAATCCCTTAAAGATTTTGGGAAACATCTTAACTCCATTAACAATAGCTTAACATTAAATTACTAGATTGCCAATTATTGATTTCTTAGAATAAACTTCTGAAAGATTAAACTTAAGTACAAATACAACTTTTTTGGCAATCACATATATTGATCATTTTTTTAATAAAGTAAGTGTTGATGAAAAACTAATTTTTTTATATGCTGCAGCTGCTCTAATGTTGGCAGCAAAAGCATAAGAATTAGATGAAAAAATACCTTTTATTAGTAAACTTAAACGTTATTCATCTTTAACCCCACATCCTGAGATCAATAATTTTACAACATAAGAATTTTGTAATGCTGAAAAAGCACTAATTGAATCCTTAAATTGGAAATTATAGAAAATTACTCTTCTTGATCGAATTGAATCTCTACTTTCTTTTGGTGTTATTGATGATGATGACAGTCTCTCACAACCTCCTTAGTAAAAAGAAAATAAGGATTCATAATTTACTCATATAAAGTTAAGAGATTTAGATGAAAAACAAATCATTAATTATGTTAATGAAGTAGAAAATAAATATATAGAAACTGCTTATTCTGTAATACGAGGTACAATCTTATATATAAGTAGATGATCAAATTTATTTCTCAAATGATCAAACCATATTAGCCTTGTCTTGTATAGCCTTTCTTAGAAAAAAGGCTGGATTACTAAATATTTGGTCTTAATAACTTTAAGCTCTTACTGGAGAATCAGCCTAAAAAATATCAGCTACTGTATCTTAGATTATGACTCTAACCCCTAAAAGTATTAGCAAACCTCTAATTAACACATAATCTAGCTCATATCTGAATAATTACTAAATCTCATCTTCTTAACACAAAAATTCTTATATGAAAAATAGACAATATTTGTTCGAATCAAATAAATCATCTGCTGGAGATATCATATCATAATATAATACTACAGCCAAAACACATCTCAAAGCTCCCTTATTTCAAACTTAATCAACTATGCAATTATAGTAAAAAAGTGATATCTGTAAACATCATCAAATAAATTAAACTAAATATTCTAGTAGAAATAGTAATTTTACTACAACCAATAATTATTCCTACTTAACTGATAATATTGTTCATCCAAATTCATTTATGAAACATGCTGAATTGGATAAAAAATATGAATAATTACATAAAGTAAGTGAAACAAAATTTAAAACTAAAATATTCAGTTGATGAATATTTGTCAAAATATAATATTTATTATATTATCATACTATTTTATTAATGATCATAATCAATTGTTAAACAAATATCTTATAGCTTCATCAATAAATTTATAAATATAGGAATATTATTCTGAAGTATGAACCATGCCCCATCTTTGTTCTCTCAATCTACGAACTATGCCAAAAATGGAAATTCTATAAAGTTCTGGATTCTCTTGCAATTCTATAATAATATAAGATAAACAATTACTTTAAATATCATCTCCAATATGTTATTTATATGCTTTAAGTAATATCATTAAATTTGATAATGCAATTAAAGTCCCAGTTCTTCCAACTCCAGCACTAAATTAATATAATCCAACTTATAATACCTGCAATGAAATACTACCTTTTCATCTACTAATAACTTATCATTAATCATATTTAATAATTCTCTAATTACATCAAAATCACTAGGTGATGGAACTCCTTAATCTGGCCATCCACACCATTAAATTTATATTACATTTCTTTCATCTCCCTCTTAACTAGCTTTCAAAACTCGTTTTATTATATTATTCCCAAGATCTTCTTGACTCTATAGATTTACTTAAACATTTCCACAAATCATTGTCTCACCAACATTTTTTGGCCAATATTATTCACATTATGCCTATTTAGTATAAATTTACTAACTCTTTGGTTCTCTTTTAAATTGCACAACATGACTATCATACTCATATTTTCCTAAACAATCATCTTCCAAAAATGACCAAATGTTGGATTCAATGGACCTTAAGTTGCTACAATCATCTTCTCCTTTCCATTTATTAACTATGTTACCAAATTTATCAATTACATTGATAAAATTCGCATTAATATAGCATTCCTTAAGGTTTTCCTCTTCATCCCCTTCACTCTTTAATTTCACTATTGAATGCTTAACTAATTTATCATCAATTTATCTTACATGGAATTATATTATTATATCTATTTAGTTTCTATATATCAGGATGAAAGTCAAATAAATTATCATTATGATATTAAGTTTCTGTTAATCTACGTAATAACTATATAGAAACTAATTAATACTCTAAATTCCATCTCTAAATCTCTTTTTAATGATTCTTAACTGAAGTGTAAAACTGAAATTCCTTTTTCGATAGCTACTAAATCAGCATTACCTTAAACCCAGTCATAAGAATAATCTCTACTAATTTCCTTACCTTCGACTAAGAAGCCTTACATTTATTTTATTTTAATAAAATGGATTAAATTACTTGTAAATAACTTTAAATCATGTTCTCAGTCATTCAAATACTAAATTAAAAATTTAATTCAATCAAGAGTTCATTCTTCAAATCTAGCAAAGCATGAATCATTCTAATAGTTTAATAAAAAAAACTAATTTTTAATACCTCCCTACAGTTTAAATTGAAAGTTAAGAATTGATTAATCTATTTTTTTTGGAAGGATATAAAAATCTAATTATTTTGAGTTAAATTAAAACATAACTGGATTTGAGAAATTAATAAATTAGAATTTCATTCAACCCTAGAGAATGATAAATATAATAGAAATATAAAAATCAATATAGTCGTCTAGTTGAAATCAATATAATAAAGGATTAAGGGATTTTGATTTTTACTGTTGATATACATTATCTAAAATCTATTCTAATACTTAATTTAATGAGCATTATCGACTTATTATTTTTTTAATTAAAATAATTAGAATCAAACTATTATAGGTTATTATTATCATCAAAATTCTATTCAATAATTATTTTGTAATTATCTTAATCTGGTTCTGATTGTAAATTACGAATATTATTTATTTTAATAATATTAGTGAGAATTACCTCTCTCTGAGAACCCTAGCCTTATTATTTTTAATTTTGACGAATAACTTGAATTTCATTTGAATTAACCTTTTATGATTATGATTTGTCATCCAATTAAAATGAAAATTAGAGTTTTTAATTTAATTTTGTTTTAAGTTCTTACTGTAATTAAAAAAGTAAATCCTTAACAGTCTTTTTTTTATAAGATGAATTGATTCTATCATATTTTTAAAGTAGAAATGGATATTCAAGTTGCTTGCCATCTCTCATCTCGGTTTAATTGAAGAATGTTTTTAAGAAAATCTTTAACTAATTCAGATTTGAATTTATCTGATATAGGAATCATTTAAGTTAGCTTACTAATTTTGACCATGATTGCATACGCATTCTTAATTTTATATAAAAGGAGGGTGTCTAAAAGCCATTTCAATCATTGAACAACCAAGACTCCAAATATCTGCTTTTCTATTTTAAATATATAATATTTGATCTACTTTCCATATAGTTATTATTTTATAACTTCTGGAGCCATGACACAAAGAGTACCTACAATATCATGTTTAATTTGAGATAATTATTTACCATTTCAAATATCTAAGTAAATAAAATTATATCTAAATACCTTCCAATTTTACTTTCCCATCTTAGATAATTAAGATATTAGCTCTTTTAATATCTCTATGAATTACTCTTTTTTGACTGTAGAAAGTGTATTCCAATAAAATCTACTTCAAATAGAGTCTAATCAAAGAGTCTTTAAATTTACTAAAATCTTTTAATCATTTTAAGAACAGAACCACCACTTTCATATCCAAAAAAATATTTAATTAATCATTATTTGTTTCTGAACCATTATAACGAACAATGTAAGAATGTAACAATCTACTTAAATTTAAGTTTCTCTTCAAATAGATTAAACTTTCTAAGAAGATAATAATTGAAGTTAATTCATTTTTATTTCCATTTTTTGATAAATAGTTATTAGACTGCCATAATATATCCATTAAATCTATTCATTCCTAAGAAAATTCTACAAAAAACTCTTTATATAAGCATTTCTCCTTTTATCCCAAGTAATCTAATATTCTTATTCTAACTTTTTTATTTTTTATTCTTTGGGAGTAATAATTGGATCAGAACTTACTTCCTTATAATTTGATTCTTCATATTATTAAATTGGAAAAGGTGATTCATCAGAATCTGAATAAGAATATTGAGTATGTTTAGTTTTTTTAGTTAAACAACAACCCATATAATATAAATAAATTAAAAATGTAATAAAAACAAAATTAAGCAAAAATAAGGAATGCATTACAATAACAACTATTCCCTAAGATGCAAAAGAAAATTGATCCGCCAAAAACATAACCAAAAAGGTATTATATTATAAAATGTATAATTTTAAGAGCCATAAGGATAGAAGATGAAAATAAATTATCTATAGCATTACCGCATATAGAGACAACAATTGCTATGAATTTTAATTAAAAGTATTAATTGGGGAATATGATTGGAGAAGGTGCACATGGATTAGTGAAAAAAGCCATAAAAGTAGAAACAAGTGAATAAGTAGCAGTGAAAATTACAAGAAGTGGAGATCCTGAGCTTGTTAAAACATTTACTGAGGCATACAAAAATACTAGAATGTTAGATCATGAATTCATAATAAAAGTTTATGAATGTTACATAGATGAGCAATGTGAAACTTTATATTTAGTAATGGAATACTCAAATTTACGGAGTTTAGAAGATGTTATAAAAAAGCATAAGATATTAACGTAATTGAATATCCTTCAATTAGGGAAGAATAAGCTAAGATTTTGATAAGAAATATTCTATTAGCTCTATAGCATATTCATGAAAGAGGAGTAGCTCATAGAGATTTAAAACCAGATAATGTGTTGATCAATAAAAAGTCATTGGATATAAAAATTATTGATTTTGGAGTAAGTAGAAGATTTAAAAAATACAATGGTAGAGAATTTGTAGATGTAAATATGTGGACAAGAACAGGAAATGTTTATTATGCTGCTCCAGAGATCTTAACTGGAGGAGGTTATGATGAAAGAGTTGATCTATGGTCATTAGGTGTTTGCTTATTCCGTATATTGACTGGTTAATTCCCTTTTTTTGAAGATAGCGTATTAGGAACCATTGAAAAAATACTTAAAGGAACCTTTGAATTTAATGAGAATATTTCTTTACTTGCTAAAGATTTAATCAAAAGACTTTTAAACCCAAATCCTATTCAAAGATTATCTGCGTAATGTATATTATAGAGATTCACATTATAGTGGCTTTACAACATCCTTGGCTCTATCATTATTAGATTGATCCCATATCTCCTAATAGCACTGAACTTATTAATAAAGTCAATTACAAAACCAGCGATGACATTTCTGATATTTCCTAAGGTGCTGATAAGAACAATTATTATAGTAGAAATCTTCACATGAGAAGCAATACTATGACCAAAAGTCCAATCATATAATAAGAATCTAATTCAAATCCAAAATCTCCTCTTAATTTATTAAAACAAGATCTCGATGAAGAAATTCAATAGTCTCCCTTAATCAAATTGAAAAAAATTCAAAATTAAACGAATAGAGAAATCAATATCATTAAAAAAAATGAATCTAATGGACAAGGCTTACTTAGAATTAGATAGAGATTACAAATGGAAAAACTAGACATCATACATGAAATTTAATGACTATTAATAATAACTCTTAAAATTAATCTTCAGTTTATATTTTTAATCATTTCATAGCATATCTGGATATATTTAGTTTCTTGTTTATTATTATTGATAAGGCATTGTGTTCATTTATTAATATTAATTTTATTAAATATATTATTGAGTTTGAGGAAACACACTATTCACAAATCTATTTTCTAATTTTTAAATCTTCTCCTAATATAAATTTAATATTTATCTAAATTCTATAAATGAGATAAAATTATCATCATTTAGGTCAAATATCTTAAAAATTGTTTATAATTCCTGAAGCTATGCATTTCTTTAAACCTTTCTAAAATTATTTTTTATATTTTAATTACATAAACAATTATGCAAATTCCTAAAAATTGAGAAGACCATCAAAATCTTAATCGAATCTTGAAAATAAATCATGAACATTGATATTATATTTATTAATTGTTTATTGTAATCTTGTAATTGCTTTCTCAGGATCAAATATTTATGTTTAAATTGGCATATAACCAATTTGAGGTGTTGATTATGATTAAATTAAAGTTGGATATTAATTATTTTAAAAACTACGAGGATCCAGTTCTTTTTATTTTCCAGGATAATTTTAAATATTTTTTAATGATGGTATCTATTTGTTACTTTAATTTCGCTAATTCTTACGACCCTTAACTTTAGATAATATTGCCATCTTTGTATTATTATTTGTGATCCATTTTTCAAATTCATCTAAAGATACTGATTAATCTCCATCTAAATCCAATTTTTTAAATATAACTTAACAATCTTAACGACTGAGAGTTGAATCTATTGTATGTAATAATTAAATTAATTCTGAAAATTGTAATGTCTTATCATCATTTTCATCAAATTGTTCAAACAAAGAACAAATATTCAAATTTTGTTTTATTATTTTCTATCTCAATTCATTCATCAAGAATTTAATATGTTCTTCTTTGATATGTGTTTAATAATCCTTAAAATAATCTTTAACCAATTTATGCTTATATACATCATCCCAATTCATTCTATCTGTCTCATCAGTTTGCAAACATCCTTCTATAAACGATATCATATTTTCACTGACTGATGTTTATTCTTTAGGGAAATCTAAAAATTTATGCTCAATATTATTTAATAATTATTCTATCCTACTACCACTCCAAGGTGTATAACCATATAATACGTTATATAATATCATCCCTATTGACCATATATCACATTTGCTTGTATATTTACTATTTGACAAAACCTAAGGAGAATGGAATTTAAAAATTTCATCTTTACGAGATTAATCCTTTTTCATTTCCAAACACTTTGTTAAACCACAATCTTCAAATACATTTATTATATTTACCTGATAATTTAAAATCTTTATCTTTTGTTAATAAAATATTTGTCAATTTTAATCCTCTATGAATTATCCCATGACTTATCAACTCAGTGAACCCTTTCAGTATATCAACCAATAACTTAAGACATTCAGATTCAGGTAATTTATGAACTTTTTACAAATAAGTTTGTAAATCTTATTCACAAAGTTCCATCACTACATAGTAATTATTGTCTGTTTATATCACTTCAACTAATTTAACTATTCTTTCATGATTTAATTTTTGCATTAATCTGATTTCATCTAACAATGCTTATTATTAATCTTCATCGTCTGTTATACTACTTTTTTTTATTATTCTTAATGCATATTTGTTATTCTTAGAATCAATAGCTTTAACAACCTATCTTTAGAATAAATTTCATTACTTTTCCTGTAGAACCCATTCCAAGGATGTCTTCAGGATTATAATGGTATTTATCGATTTATTTCATAAATTATATTATAAATTTAACATATTTTCTTTAGATTATAATATTTATATAGGTTGCTGTATATTTGAAAATAGAAATTAAACTTTAAAAAATATGATAAAAATAAATTCTACTGTCTTTTTGATTAATCAACCATTTTATCTTAGAATAAAAATTTTTAGATTTTATTTTCATTATTATTGATTTCATATGATAAAACAAAATAATTATTAACTAACTATTGATATAAATATCTATACAATAAAAAAATAGGAGAGACAAAAATGATAGAATAGAAAAGATATCTAAAAGAATTGATAAAGAACAATATAAAATGATTTTATGAAGATTTGTAATTGATAATGAACTTCATGATCAAAAGACCTCTTCTCTAACTTAGAGGAATTCTGATGCAGCGCTCACTTTTGAGGTGAGAACTTCTTATAATCTCTCAACAACTTCTAATTATTATTCTCTTTCAAAGGTTTGAGCTTCATATTAGGCTTCTTATTCAGCAGCCCATCTTTCTTAAATGGCCAATGAATCTTCAGCATCTTCAAGGAATAACTAAAGGAGAGATTAGAGATTATATAAATACAGTTTAATCTTCTAAGTCTTCAACAGCCTCTTAGATGGTGACCTTGAATTAAACAATTGAGTTTTCTAAGAATGCTTTTCTTTCAACTAATCTCTTGTGTTCTTCTTATAAATGTCCACTTTAGACTTCCCAATTAGCAGCTTATCTTTCTTCAGTGGCAAGGAGAGAAGCTCTGCTAGCAACTAATTATTATCTAATTTAAGCTAAAAGTTCTAAGATTTTAATGATGCTCTTGTTATCAACCTTTGAGGCTAATTATGTTAAAGCATTGATAAGTGGCTATATGATATAAAATAATAAAAATTACCTTGAAGAGAGCATGTTTAGATTCCATCAATTTAGCTTAGACCTTTTCAAATCTACTTTTGAGTTAAGCGAAAGCAACACCAGCTTATAAATGTTAGACAATTTTAGAAGCTTCATCAATGGCATCCATTTAATCAACATGTTCTGCATCTTTTCTAACCCATGTTTCATGTTATGATTGTCTTGTTGCAGATTCATCAGCAAAGCTTCTTTCATTATTAGCAATATCTGAAGTAACAACTCTAACTTCAGCTTCAGCTTCACCTAATGCTTCTGTTGTTGAATCTCTCAAATTTGAAAGAGCAACAATTTAAGATTAGTGATAAGCAATTTCTTATTCTAAATCAGCTATGATCTATACAATTATATTATAATATACTTACCTTTTCGAAAGCAACTGTATCACTCTCATGAACTTTGTCAGCTTTCTTTTAATCTCCGTTGAGTTGTGAAGCAATATTGTTTAAGAGAATTTATATTTCACCTACAGGTCCACCTGTTGCCAATTAAAGTTAAAGGACTGACAACACTGAATTTCCAAATGAATCTTTGTTAATTTAAGCCAACACTTCCTTTGGGCTCTCTGTCTTTGTTACTCTAGCAGTAGCAACTGCAAGGATAAGAGTCAATACAGGTACGATTCTCATGTTATTAATATTAATGAAATGAAATCACAATCACTCTCCAAGACATTAAAAATTACCCGTTTTTCAATTTATTATTGCACTCTCATTAATACGTTTTTCTCTTAATTAATAAAACTCCATTCATTTTATATTATTCTCTATTAAACTCTCTTCTATTTTTATACTAATGATTATTATATTCCCTTCTCTTCTCCTTATTTTATCAAAACTATCAATCATTCTTTTATACAGCATTCTATACCAAATTTAATTTCTATTTACTTTCTAAATAAAATTAATAAATCACTTCTTTTTATCAAATATTCTTAGTAATCAAATTGAGACACAATCTTCGGAACCAAAACCCAATCAAAAAATCTTAAGGAGATTCTTTATTATAAATAAATATACTAATATTGAAAAAATTAATATCTAAATTACTAACATCTTTTTGTATCTTTTATGTTAAAATTAATCTCAAGATTTAATAACATATAGAATTTAACCTAGAATTAGTTATTTCCTTTACTTTTTCTTAATCCTAAAATCTAATAATTTTTATAAGCTTCAAATACCATTTAAAAATTTAATACTTCAGACTATTTTTATTTCACCTTTGGGATTTGCTAATTTACTATAAAATTTTGATAAATATTCTTAAAATCTTTTATACAGTCAATTTATTATCTATTCTAATTCTTCTAGAATTATTGATAAATATTTTTATAATTTTTTAGATCCTGAAAGTATAATGCAAACTAGTTTACATAATCAATAAATTTATAATCTTAATAAAGTATTCACTTATCAAGTGGTCTTATCTTTTAATAACTAGATAATAATGAATAATATTTTTTTTAAGTATAAATTCTATTTACACTCATTTGAATTAGAAATCGTTTCCAATACACAATTTTAGGGTTAAATGGAAAATTCGTTAATCATTCAATTAAAGAATGAGTATTTTAATTTATAGTAAAAGAATTATAATAAATTTAAAATAACTTAGATAAAATTAGAAGATAAAGTTGAGAGATATAAAATTTTAGAATATATTACTCAAATATGCATTAGATTTTTGATTTTTCAATTAACTATTTACTTTGCTAATAAGTAAGGACTCATCTACCGATAGGGCCATTTCTTCAAATTAATTATTAATAAATAACTTCTTAAATTAAATGCATATCAGCACCTTTGATAACAAGAATTAGATCATTTTAAAATGTTCATGCTTGACTGCTCTATAAAGTAATGTCAATCCTTGAATAAATTAATCAATCGGATTCTTCTCAAAGTATTCTTATAATTCATAATATTCTTCTTGTTAGTACCACTTTAACATTTCAATATTTTCAGGTTCAATAGAAGATTTTAAGAATCTTTTTTTAATGGTTTATAAAAAATCGAAAGAAGATTACATAACCTCTATTTTTTTTATGGGTTAATTAATTATTGGTTAATGTAAGGATTAGCTGGTATGGATTCTATTAAATCGAGTCGGAGAAATAGATTTGATTTAAGCCTAATATTTGAGAGAAACAATTGAATTAATTTCTAATCTTACAGATTCCATAGCATTATGTTATTCTGAGATATCTTTCTTGACTTATTTATTGATAGCTATAATTTTTTAATTTTCTAAAGGAGGTAAAATAAAAGTACTCTTCTTGCGCATATATTTATTTAACAATTAAAATAAATAAATAAAAATATGAGATCATAATAGACATAGACACCTGAATAAATAATATATATTTTAAGATCTTTCAAGAGTTACATGGGAAAAACACACTCTATGAGTCCATAGACAAGATGTTAAACTTGTGTTTAGACTGTGAAAAAGGAATCTAAATAAAATTTTGATTGTTTACTGAAATCTCCTATATTGAATATTGAAGAATAGGAATTAGGGTAGGAGGGAGTAGAGAAAAAGATAGAACTTTTATCTAATTAAATTAGAAATATGCAAATGAAGTAGGAAGAATTGGAGAATCAACATTATAAACTAAGGAAAAATGTGAAGAGATTGAATGTTGAAAAAAAATATGAATTACAAGTAATACATATAAATTATAAATTAAGGAGAGAAGTTAAATGATTAAGAAATTGGATTACATGATTGAAATCTAGACAAAGTAGGAGGATAATTTAAATTAGTTAAAGTAACTATTTGCCTCTCGAAAAATTATTTGACTATCCTTATAAATTTAGTTAAATATGGAAGAATGGAATTTAAGTAATTTAAGTTAATCAATAAGACAATAAGTCTTATTGGTTTACAATAATAAAAAAAAATGTTGTATATTTTTTTTTCAAAAATTTTTTATATAAAAAGGTGTACAATTTAGTATTTTATAAAAAATATTCTCAACAAACAAAATATAATGAAAAAGAATGAAAGGATTGCTTAATAGATATATGCTTCTTAAATATAGAAATTGTAGGGTAAGATAATAGAAAAGAAACTCACAAAAGTATGTTCAAAACAGTAATTTGAGAGCCAATCATAAAATATCTCGAATAACAATAGTCCTGCAATGGGACGTTAAAAATCCTATGAAAATTTATAGAAGGTGAATAGAACATTCATAAATCCAGCATTATAGGTGTCTCAACAAAAATTGAGTAGCATTTTAAATGTTATGGCAGGCTAACAGACGAAGCCAAAATTTTAGAGTTTATTTAATACTGAATTAATGGATACAGTTAAGATCACTCACAAATTACGAAAGAATTAATCAATGGTTTAAATGGATTAACAATCACCTTAATTGACAAAGAATTCTTCTTTTTATCGTCCAAATTCGAGTGTGAAAATAAAGAATAGTAATAGTATATCTTATGAGTAATCATAACTATAGAAGACTAAAGATAAAATCAAATAATTATTATTAGAAAAGGATAATAATTGTTAATAAGACCAAAAGGAGATAGCTTTCATGATAAAACTAAATTAATCATTAAACCAATTATTCTCGATAGTTTTTTAGGAATAACCTAATACATAACCAACTTCAACTTAAGATACGAATTCAAGTGTCCAAATAGATCATTTTTTTAAAAGATAAATTTAAATATTATCGTAATTTTACACATAATAGATGGAAAAGAAAAAGCTAGAAAATATACTCAATTAAATAAAAAGAAAACATGAAAATGTATTGATGGAATACAATTAGTTATAAGATTAAAAGAAATAATAGGATGATTTAATGAAGAATTTGTAATAGTAAATATCAGGATTGCAATGTAAAATAAATACATAGCAAAGAGAGACAAAGAGTGAGTAAGGTATATAAATATGAAATAATAAAACAATAGAATATTTAGAATTGAAATATCTAATATAAGGACAATTTGAAGCAGTTTAAAAATTATTATAAAGAGAATAGTTGACTAAGATATTTCTAAAGAGAGTTGGGGATAGTTCAATTTTAGAGTAATATTGAATATTAAAAATTTGAGGATGTTCGATTAATTTATATAAAATGCTGAATAAACGAATATGGATGAGACAGAAGGGAATCTCAATATAGATGTGATACCATCAAATAAATTGATTTCTTATAAGAAATTAATAATAGCATAAGATTAGATGGAAATGTCTGATAAGATTTTATGTTAATATGAAGATAATTATAAATAGCAATTGAATTTATGTGATTCTATGTTAGCAGATGATTCTAGTAAATTACTTAAATCAATATATGATTAGGAGTTAATGATTCAGAAGAAAGTAGTTTTGGTTATTTAGGGAAAGAATAGGCTACTGAGATAAGTTGTTATTTTAATGATGCTGATCAATTTTTTTAAGGGGAAAATTAAAAGAAGGAAGTTCATACAATATCAAAAGAGAAATTAAAAATTAACATGATGGATGTTTAATTAGCATAGGCTGCGTAATTATAATAAAATATTATTATTTAGTTTAAATCATTAAGAATTAATTGAATAATAATAATAATAATAAAAATTATAATAATAACATAAGATACTTCCAGATGATTTGATTGATAATGATATGGAGGAATCTGATGAAAATTTATGCGATGATAATGATGAATAATAATGTTGAAAGGGAATAATTATTGTAGTTTGCTCATTCTATATTTATGTTTAATATAATATTGAATTCTATTAATTAAAATTAAATAATAAAGGAGATTTAAAATCAGAATTAAAAAAAGTTCATAGCCATTATTTAAGTTTTCCTTTAACCCAAAACCCTTTTTTTTATTTTCCTTATTTATCTATAAAAATTCCAATTCCATCTTACAATCCACATTTCCATTATCCTTTATAACAACGACCATCCTAGTATTACATTTCTCCATATCCATGTTTAAGTCCTTCTTTATATTGACCAGAATAAATTCGACCTTAAAAATAAATTAAATAACAAATGATAATATACCATCTCCCCATTTCATAGTACCATTTCCATGTTTAGATCCATTTTTCCATTAACCTTCATAAAACTTATTCCTATCTGTCCAAATCTATATAAATAAGAAAGACTATATACAAATATTCCATAACCATGAAATTAATCATTTTCAAAATCTCCTTCATAAATACAACCATCAGATAATTTGATGATTCCAAGTCCATTCTTCATGCCCTCCTTAAATTTCCCTTCATAAATAGATTTATCTTTATATATCTCTTTACCCATTCCATGTTATAATCCTTTTCTCCATTCACCTAGTATATTATGTCATATGATACCTTAATAAATGCGACCATCAGAATAAACATACTCGCCTATTCCATGGAACATACTATCTAACCATTATCCTTTATACATTTCAGTGCCATTCACATATACAGCCTCTCCCTATAATTCATTTGAAGTCCACTATGGAAATATTATAAATATATTACTGTTCCTTCAACATAGCTAAGAATAATAAATATTATGATACTACCTATCTTGCAATTAATATTTACCTTTTCCATTTGCCTTTCCATCTTTCCATTCTCCTGTATAGATAGCTCCATTCTTCATCAATATTGAGGATTAATCATAATCATGAAGTTAGTTAGGATCAAAACAAAATTTAGAAGGTTCTACTTAAGTTGGTGCTGAAGTCTCTGGAGATTGCAAAGTCGTCAAAAGTGATTTACGTACTTTATGACCTCTATAGAGTGCTTATATAATTATGATTTTATTCTCATCATAATAAACAGTAGCATCCTCTTTTATCACTGTTTCAGATTGTTTATGTCCGCTTGAATCCATTGTAGGTAAGTCTTCAGGAGATACCGGTATGCTCTTACAAATGCCCATTGCAATAGTTTTTATCAAAATTATTTTATATTACCAAATTCCCTTAATATTCTTACTTATTTATGAGACTATTAACTCTTACTCTATACCAATCATCAATACAACTACTTTACTTTATATAACTTATGTGTCTCCCTATTATTTGCTATTTATAATATATAATCTATATATTATATTTAAACATGTTTGCAGACCTTATTCAGCATATTAAAAATACAAGTCCATAATTTGTAATAGGACAATATGCAGATGCTTATGATAATTATAGTAGTTGGCGTATGTGTAAAGTAATCAATCTCACATCTGATACTATCACTGTTCAATATGATGGATGGAGCTAAAAATATGATGAGACTCATAAACTTAAAATTGGAAGAGTAGTCTATTTTAGATCACATACTGAATTATATACAGGTGCTTAAAAACTTGCTGTTAGAGAATACAATATTAATAAAGAAATTGATCATATTCAATAAGTCATTGAAAAAATGCAGAAGTTAATTGTTAATGAATTTGCTAATGTTGAACCACATGATGTCTGTCAATTTATTAGAGGCGAACTCTATCTACTTATTGATAGTGTCATGCAAGAATAACAATAATATACTCAAGGTGAATTTAAAATGACTACAGATCTAATAGAAGCATTTATACGATTCTTCATCTCATGGGCTAATAAGATTTAAGAAAAAATTAACATCTTTATTCAAGGCATTTAAGCACATCCTCTCATTTATTATTTTCATTTAGACACATGTTTAGTCTCATGTCATCCTGAAATGTTTGATACGTTAACCAAGATATTCAATGGAGGAGGACCTAGATGTAAAAGATACTTTTAATATAATGAAACTTAACTTTTAAAGATGTATAACATAACTGATCGATCTTTATCTAATGCCCAATAAGGTTTCTTTAAATATTTTTAGGATAGTAATGGTTTATAAGTTATTGAAAATTTGATTTCTTGGTAAAATGGTGAAGGAGAGAATAAACAAAAAGTTCCTTTTGGAATAATAAAGAATATATTGCCTTTAGTTGAAAGTATCTATCGAAGTTTTAATGTAAATTAAAATCAATAAGAATGGTTATAAAAAATAAAAGATATGATAATCAATCGTTTACATCAATTAACTACTAATGATCTTAAGGAATCTAATCTAAATCCAGTCTTTTAGATTTTTAAGTTGATTCCATAAAGTTTCTCTAGTATAACTAACATATCTTAAGAATGCGAATGCACCGAAATAAAATTGGCTATAACATTAATAAAATCATCAATTCTAGAGAAGAAAATAAAAGGTGTAAAAGAACTAACAGAAATAATTAGCAAAATAACATCTTTCAAATCTTCATAGACGTATATGAATACAACAATTAATTATTTCAATTCAGAAAGATTAGGGAAATTTCTTTAATATGAGAAAGTGTTTGATATTCTTCTTTAAGAAGCTGGACACGCAGAAGTATTCAAAAGAGCAGCACCAATTTTAAGATTTATGGTCGATCAAGTATATTCAAGTACTAAAGATATTGAATAACTATGGGAAGCTAGTTAAAAGGGACATGAAACAGAAGCTTAGAGTGTTTATGAAGTCATAAGTGATATAGCTAGAGTAATGACCAATGAATAGATGGAAGTCATTTTCTAGAAACTCTATAACATGTCTTAAAAAGACATTGATTTGAATTTGATTAATTTCATAAAAGATTTCACTTTGAGTGCACAAAGAAATACAATTAGAAAAAATAAACCTATTTAGACACTTGCTTTGATGTGGGAGTTATTATAAGATAAAAGTGATTTGAATCCTAATTTGCTTGAATCTCTAATGAGTGGATTTATTTAATGTCTGAGAAATGATCGAGAATAGTTTCAATAACTTTGTTTGGACAACTTAAAAAAATCTATTTCATTCCCATAATGTTTACATATACTTCAAAAAATTATTGAAAGCTATGGAATAGGACAAGTCTATTTTGGTTCTTCATCTGAAGATAATCTTAATAAAATTATGAAGGAAAATCAAATGATTGATCTCATTGTTAGAAATCTTGAAACATATAGAGCATCTGTAACCAATTGCTAAGATTGCTTTGCTATTCTCACTGGCAAAGTTGCACATGCACAGCGGATTTAATATAAAATGGATTTCCTTGAATACATAGCTGCAAGTCCAAAAAAATATGAGTTTTCTCTTGAAAATTTCAAGAAATTATGGCATATACTCATAATTAATCCTATTCACGAAACAGATCGTAATCCTATGTTAGATTTCTTAGTAAAAGGAGGATTCAGAGTAAAGGATGATTTGTTCAAGCATGTATTCTGCAATATTAACTATCCAATCAAATTATGCTATAGAAGTATAGAAAAATACTTTATGCAACTAAATCAAAAAAATGGAACAATTAATTGTTAAAAATCTTATATAAGAATTTTAAAGTATGATTAGATAATAGGATTAAATTTTTTTTTTGATGTGGCTTTTAATTATCCAGATGCAGATTAAGCAATATAAACTTTATTACAATTACATATGAGAACAGAGAAAGCAAATTAAGTAGAATAAAAATTGTAAATGTGGAATTCATTACTTATGAAATGCAAAGAAGCTTTGAAATAACAAAATAGTTAAATATAGAATGTAATAAAATGTCTAAAAGATCTTGTAACTGGAATTGAAGGGAAATAGTATTTGAATACAAGTAGTCTTGAAAATACTTTTACCAAATTTTAAGTTCAATTAGGTAAGGATGAAAAAACATTAAAAGAAGTTTCATTACCATCAAATTGTACTCTATTAGCAGTAAGAAACCATTTGAGTTCATTATATAATCTTAATCAATAAGATTATGATATGTTTTTGGCAAATCATGATATGAGAATAAATTAAGATAATGAAGAAGATTTGACAATCAGTTTGTTTGAAGAATCTAAATCAAGAGATAAACCAGATATAATTCTTTAGAATATAAGTTAGAATACAAATTCTTTATTTTTAAGCATTCGAAAATTCAAGACAAATTTAAGTAGTAATACTGAATTATCAGAAATATTATTTGAATTATTATAATCAGAAAATTATGAAGATATATGGGAAGTGTTAACATTAATGCCTTAAAATAAACAAATAAAGGAAAGATTAGATAAAGGAGGATCAGATGAAGATTAATGGAGCAAAATATTATATTTTAATTGTAATAAGAAATTATTGTATTGTTTATAAATTTATGAAACAATGATTCAATAAGATAAGAGTCTATTACAATAGTTTTTGAAAACAAAAGGATGTTAAAGTATAATCAGTTATTATCTAAAAAGACAAGAGAATGAATTCGCTAATCTGTTCAATCTAAAATGTTATGCTTAAATAGCTAAAATTATTGGGATGTGTAATGTTAGAGATTAAGAAATAAATAAGAAATGTGTAAAATATATTATTTATGCTTTAACAAAAATTGAAAATAAAGTATATCAAGATCCATCAGCAATTTAGAGTTTTCTTTAAAATAACTTTAAAATAACTTCTACTGAAAATGTAGGTGATATTGAATAATTAATAAAGAGTTTAACAGAATTGGTAGATCCTTAGATTAGAAAGACTCTGTGTTAATAACTTATAGAATTAAAACCTTTACATAAACATTTTAAAAATTTGGGTGACAATTTATAGGATGTTATGAAACTAAAAAATTAAGCAGAACAATATTTAGAATTGTATGCTGGTGTTTTATAACAAACTAATGGTAACGATTTAACAAAAATTACCTAAAGATTGCCATAAATTATAATTGGTTTTTTATAAGAGGACGAAACAGAAAAGATATTACTATAAGCTTTTAAGTTGATTTGTATTCTAGTAACAAAATGTGAAGAATCAATGATGATGATCATAACAAATGAATAATTATCTGATTCTATTATAAGTAGTTTGTTTCAACTTAATGCAAAAACACTTTAAAGTTAAGATACAAGAAAAGCAGGATATGAGATAGTCTAAAAACTATTTGCTAATTAAAAATTGATGAATATATTTGAGTAATATTTTTAATGTGCTTTTTGGAGAACAAGTTCAAATACTAATTGGAATATAGTTTAAACATAATAGAGTAAGAGTTAAACTGGTTTTGTTGGATTACGTAATCTTGGATGTATTTGTTATATGAATTCATTAATGTAATAATTATTTACCTTACCAAATTTCAGAGAAAGTGTTCTATCCCTAACTCTTGAATAAGGATAATAAACAATCTCATATTAATTTTAACTTTTATTATCTGCATTAAAGAATTCTTAAAAATAATTTTATGATCCTTCCAATTTCTGTAGTGTACTTGGTCCAAATTATAAGCCAATTAATTTTTATGAATAAATGGATGTCGATGAATTCTTTTTATAACTTATGGATAAATTAGAACTTGAACTTAAACCATTAAAAAGAGATGTTATTATACCTAAAAGTTTTGGAGGATTTATGAGTACAGAATTCATTAGTAAAGGATGTTAGCATTAATCATCAAGAGAAGAATTATTTTTAGCATTATCTTTACAAGTAAAAAATAAAAAGAATATATATGAATCAATGAAAATGATGACTGATGGAGAAATGCTTGAAGGTGATAATGCTTATATGTGTGAGAAATGTGAAAAAAAAGTACCAGCTTTAATGAGAGTGTGTATAAAATAATTACCAAATGTATTAATAATGGTATTAAAAAGATTTGAATTTAATTATGAAACTTAATAGAAATTTAAATTAAATGATTATTATGAATTTCCAACTCAATTAAATATGAAATAATTCACGAAAGAATACTTATAAAAATAAGATAATTAAGATACAGAAGAAGGTGATAGACCAATAGTAACAGAATATTCAGATGAATATTATGATTATCATTTGAGAGGTGTAATTATACATGTTGGTACTGCTGATCATGGACATTATTATTCATTAATTAAGGATAATTAAAATAATAAATGGTATGAATTTAATGACATTCTTGTAAAACCTTTTGAATTTGGAGATTTGGCAACTGAAGCATTTGGTAATGATGATAAAGGAAGAAGTAATTAATTATTAAGTAGATCAAAAAATGCGTACATGTTATTTTATGAAAGAAAAACATATTTTGATGAAAATGGAAAAGCACTTAAAAGCGATTAAGAATTAAGATGGTTTTTCAATAATCAAAAAAGTGAAAAATAAAATGATGAAATCTTGATTGACAATATTAAATTTTAAATTAGTTAGATTATGTTTGATGAAGGTTTTTTTGAATTTAGTTGTGCTTTATTGAATGAAGGTTCTTAAATTCATATAGGTAGATTCTGTTTATAATATTTCCTTACTGTTGTTATACGTTTTTAAGAGAGAGCATAATTTGTACCTAAATATTTAGAGAAATTAAAACAAATTACTAGAAGTTCAATATAATTAGCAAATGAATTCTTAATTTCAATTTAAAATAGTGACGTACTAAATGAATTAATACTTTAAAATCCAATACAAGATATGAGGGTTATTATAGGTGGATTAATTAATGATGCCATAAAATGTCTAATTGAAAATGAAAAGTACTAATCATATAAAGAATTCAAATCAAAAAGTAATTTAATTCAACTTACATAATCTATGATTCATTATATTTAAGTAAGGAAAAACAGTGAACAAATTTAAAGAATAATCTATTAATTATCTTTATATGATTTTAGTAAAACATATTTAAGAGAATTAAAAGGTGTTGGAAGAATCTTCCTTTACTTTTTAGATGAACCAGCAGTAGGAGCTGGTTATATAGATATATTAGAACCAAAAATTGAATAAAAATTACTTAAAATAAATAAATAATATATAAGAAGTGAATAAATATTTTAAAGTCCATAACTTATGTAATAATAAGAGAATCTTAAATTTGATAATCTATTTGTTGATTATACTTTTTTAATGATGGCACTTAATTAATTAATTTATTAAGAAGATGATGAATTATGTATGTTAGATGATCCTTTACTATTAAAAAGACTCTTAAGCATCACATTTACAAGATAAGCAAGATTAGCATTAAAAGAAGTTATATAAAAATATATAAGACTTAATAATAACCCTTGGGATCAAAGTTTAGCTATAGTTGTGAGTATCTATGAACATATGAAAGAATGCGATGAAAAAGATTTAAAGACAGCTTTGATAGTTCTAAGAGGAATTGGAGAAATTGATGATGCATATTCTGAATAAAGAGTATTATATAAATTAAACTTAGTTAACTTTGATAGCTGAAGCATATATTTCTGCTTTAAAAGACAATTTAGGATATTGGTATTACACTTCGATTATGTTTGATTACATCATCAAGGTATTATTTATTAATAATAAATATTAAGATAAGTACTAAATTGAATTTTCAAAAGGCCTTTGTTGATGTATTAAATCGGAATAAAGGGGTTTTGAAATTAATGTATCAATGGTTAAAAGAATCTTAGAATCCTTTATAGAATTTCACATAATAAAGAGTATCATAATTAATTATATTAATAGTGGAAAGTTTTTAAAAAGAGATAAACAAATGTATTAGCTTAAGACATTACTGATAAATTAAATAAATTATAAATTCTATCTTAAAAACGAATAGAATCTCTAGATAAAATAATGAATTAATAAGTTGTGAATAGTAGTGGTTATGATTCTGATACAATTCCTAAATATGATTAATAGGTTGATGTAATAATACCTGCAAGAACATACATTAATAATTTCGAGAATTGTGGTTATTAAACATTGACAATAGGAATCAATTTAGGAGACATGATGGAATTACGATAGAATAATATAATTAAATGGGTATTTAATACAGATTCTTCACTTGCTCCACCAAACACTTAGACAGCAAAATATGAAAATCATGTTTCCTTTATGAAATGATCAATAAATATTATCATTTAATTAAATCATCTAAAGCTTGATTAAATTCAGTTGGCACAATAGATTTGTATGGATATAAATCAATTGCCTATTAATTTTATTCTTCAAATTATTATTATAGCAAACTCTTAATCTCAGGTTTAATAGTTTTTAAATATTCTTTAGTTTTTGTTGATAATTCTAAAGATAATTTTGGTTAATTAAAGAATATAAGATAATTCTAAAACCTTTTAATTGAATCTATATATATTATTATAAATATTACTAATTAATTCTGTACTTTTAGTCTATATATCCTTAAGAAATTCAATCAAATATTCTTCTTCTACAGGTGAACCTTCTTTTATATTTCTACTTAAAAATGATTTTTCCTTTGGTTTTCTTTTTCTAACTCCTGTAGTAACTGACATTGTATATGAAGATTTTGTCATTCCAGATTTACCACTTACATCACTCATTTGATCAAAATCAGCATTGATTTAAGATGGTGCCAATATTCCATGTTATTTTTTCTAATCTTAAACTATTCTTAATCTTTCTAATTTTTAAATGAATAAATGTTATTGATTTAATAAATGATTTACTTTTAAAGAGAATGCTAATTATAAATGATCATCTATATTTATTTATTAATATCTTAAACATTAAGCAACAGATTCCCATTCTTCAGCTTTGCAATAATAATGAATAGCTTATTCATAATTCTTTAAATATTCTTAAACTTATCCACAATCTTTCCAGCGAGAACCTGCTAATAAATTATTTAAATAATTATTTAAATAATCTTCTTTTGGATCAAATGATAAAATTCTTTTTGTATCCAATATTTCAGAAGATACTTAAACTGCCTTCTCATATAATCCAGCACTTTCATAAGCCAATGAAGCTTAATGATATTACTTTTAATTATTTAAGTAATCTCCCAAAACTTCCTTTACTTTCTTCATCATAACTTAATCATTTCTATATACTTCAAGTGCCACCCTAAATCTATTTTATTTTCTTATCAATTCTATAGATTTTTATTTCTACTCTTCATTTCCTTCTGATAATACCTTAATAGCCTTATCATAATTCTTTAATTCAATATGAATAGTTGATTTCATATCAATAGGATCCTTTATTTATTAATATCTCTCTAACATTGGTAAATATTCTTTAGGATCTTTTTAAGTAAATTAAGCCACCTATTTAACTAAATCAAAATCATAAGTCCCCAAAGCTACTTCAAACATTTTATTTGCATCTGCCAACCAACAAATGTATTCCAAAACTTATTCTGACTTTATTTTATGATGTTTTCTAATTGAATAATATAATCTTTATACTTATAAGGTTTATGTGTTTCTGGATTTAAATGTGGAGGTACTTCTTCATGTTATTATTCTATTTATTTCAATTTCAATGTCTTTAATAAAGCTTCCTCAACTTCACTTGGTTCCTTCTTTAACATTGCTGTAACTATTGTTAGAATATGTGTCTCCCTAAATTTAAATAAATATAATATACTCTTTCATATTATCAATCAACTTTTGACAAACATAATTGATTTTAGTTGTACCCAAAGTTTTGTCAACTAGTAATACTTTTTAATGTTTGTATTATTCTGTTGTCAAAACATATGGTAATTCAAAGCTTATTTCATTATTTAATGATTAAATAAATAGTTATAGATATTATTCTGATAATTATTCTATGAGCTAAATATCTAATTCACCTGAAAAATCAAACATTAAATTCATATCTAATTTATGTTTTCTAATCATTTCAAAACAAATTTTAAATTGCTTATTATCGTATAATTATTTGCAAAGATGTAAAGCCATCACTCTTGGAGCTGTTGTTTCTAAATTACCTCTTGGAATTTAAACAATTAATCTATCCAAAGAAACAATTGCTAATATTTTTGCTCCTCTCTCTACATTACTAATATTTAAACTCTTTTTATCAATTTAAATTGGCTTATTCAAATCTAGTATGTATAAATTATGAAATTAATCTGTTGTGTTAATTGTAAAAGCCAAAAAATGATCAAAAAAAGCAAAAGATGTACATTCATTTGTAACTAATTAATTATTCAAAGTTAATCTACTATTGGATTTCAAACAACCAAGCCATTCATTATGCTACTAAATCTTAATATCATAAACATTCTATTCTTTATTAGCTAAATCAAATTCACTTAAAGCTTCTTCTTTTGATTAATCATAAATAAACTTTTCTCCAAATCGAGAATGTAAAATTATTTAATTTCCATTTTTAGTTAATGCTGATATTTATGTTGATTAAGAGAATTCTTTTTTCCAGATATTTATAATTTCAAAATTAGGTGAAATTACAACATCAATTAATTTATCACTTTCTGTCTCATGTACTACTAAAATTGCATGACAAAAGATTATATCTTATTACTTATCCTAATAACAAATTAATTTATGAGCACAATCAATATCTAATCTAACTTTTCCTAATTAATTAGCATTATTAAAAACACTTAGAATTCCATCAAAAGAATACACATAAATTAATTAATCAAAATATACTAAATCTATTTAGCTATCTACCTTTAATTAATAATGACTTAAAGGAGGTGGAATTACTCCTTTTTTGTAATCACTTACTAATAATGTATCATAATCAGTAGATAAACCAATTGTAGTATTATTAAAATGGTAATTCAACCAAAAGATATTCATATTATTTTCACTAAATACTACTAGTGTATTATTTTCTATAAATGTATAATCCATAATTTTATCAAATTTAAATGCTTTTTTAGTATACCATTTATAATTTTATCTCAAATGAAGTGTTATTTTATTTCCTTATTAAAGTGCTAAAATAATCCCATCTGGACTCCACTTAATATTTGTAGATTCCTCATATATATTGAATTCTAAATGTCTTAATCCATTCTTCTCCCAAAATATAACTTATTTCTCTTAAATACCAGCAATAAATTAACTATTAGGTTACCATGATACTGTATTAACAAGATGTCTTGGTTTTTCAAATATAGTTTAGACTAATCCTCCTTCAGGATCTGACTTACTGGGACTTCTAAATTTCTCCAATTATACATCATAAGTTTCACATACTCTTCCATTTTATATTGCATAATTTAAAGTGAAAAACTAAGATTATTTTATAACTAATTTTTACTTTCCCATCATTTTTAAATGATATAGAGACTAATTAATCAAGAAGTCCTTCAATATTAATCTCCTTTACTGGTTCTAATTATACATCAAAACTCACTAATTTCCCATCACCACAAACAACTATTAATTATTCTTAATTTGGATTCCATGCTGCACCTAATACTCCACATTCAAATTATCCAACAATTTCTGCTTCTTCCTTATAAACCTTAACTATTGCTCCATCTTTATAAACTATAATTAATTAATCATTTTCCATTAAATATTAAAATGACAAAATTTAAGAGTTATTTTGAATTTGATTACCTACTTTATATGTTGTTTAAATCTAAAATTAATTATGCATTGTACATTTAACAATTTATTATTGTATTCATATTTGATGATATTAGATTCTTTATCAATTATAAACAATATTTTTGATAATTCATCAAAAATAAATGCTAAAGGTTGTTAGATTTCATAACTAAAAAATAATTGATAATCTATATACCTTTATTAGCATTGTATTTATATTTCTTTCATTAATTAAAAATAATTAATTAAATATAATTAAATATATTCATTAATATAGTATACTAATTTTTATCAATTAATTTCCATTCAAAAGAGTTAAGTTCGAAAAGTTTTCGGAATATGTAAGGATGGTAAGAAGGATTTAGTTTTGGGACTGCAAATATTTAATTCTGTACAAATTCTCGGAATATTCTTGATTTAGTTTTGTTCCAAAATCAATTTTGCAGTTCTGGAGTATTTTTAATATTTCATAATTGGAGAATTTAAGTGTCGAATTGTATGATTTTCAGTCTCTATTAAAGTTTATGTTTTATTTTTATTGTGCCTTCTACTTTATTTTATTCGAAATTATTTCTTCATTTGTTGATACTTTTCAATATAAAGATTTTGAGTTTTTGTTTAAAACTGATTTAGATTGCCACATTCATGACAATAACAACTATTCCTTCTCTTCTTTTATTTAATCGTCTTGATTAATTAATCATAATTTGGAGGTAGACTAATCAATTTTAGTTATCCTCTAAGAAATGGTAACTTTTTATTAGATTAAATTAATTCTAATGAAACATCTGAATTTGTATTAGCACTTGAATGAGTAGTATCTCTTTATCTTTTAACATGTTCTTATACTGGGCAGGTAATATGAGAATGTAATTTTTGAAAAAAACTTAGGATTCCACATTCTCTACAACAACAACTCTATCTTCTATGATGTTTTATTTATTCTGTTGATTAGTAAGTAATAAAAAAGCTACTTCTTCTAGTTGATTTTATATTACAATAATTCATAAAACTAATAAAATGTGATCAATTCAAAGTTGATTTAAATCTTATTATGGGTAACAATCTACCTGGAGTCCTTGTGAATTTCGATGATTTGTGATAAGTTTCCATTAAATGATCTATTGGAGGTGATTTCTCTGTTTTTTATCTTCTAAGGTCTATAGTTTACCAATAACCTTTAGATTCATACATTTTTTATATTGCTCTTCCCTTTCTTGACATCTCATGTTAAATAAGCAAAGGAGATTTAGCACTACATTTTATTAATGCTTCCCTATTAGAACGAGATGTCATTCTTTATTATTCATATTTCTTATGATCAGATATTATTTTGAAGACTTTGCCTAATTATTTTTTAATGATGAAACTCTTGAATGTGTTCTAGGGAATTAACTATCTTTGAGGTATCTTAAAATTTGTAGTTTATTGAAATTTTGTTTAATTGCCACATAGATTACAATTACAACTCTTTCCTCGTTTAATTCTTTTTTCAATATCTATCTTGAATTGATGATAGATATGAAAGCTTGTTGATATTTATTTTCTGATTTATCTTAAGTTTAAAGATGTTAATTGATCAGACTTATGATGCTACTGAACTGTTAATGGTGTGTTGAAGAAAATTGATTAGAGATAAGTAAGTTTGCCACATTAATCACAATAACAACTTGCTCTTCTTTGTACATCTGGAGATAATTGAATGAATGTTTAATTTAGACTTGTTTTACGGAGAAGATTTCGTTATTATTTTATGATCAGCATAAAAAAATAGTTTTATAATATATTGAATCGTTTCACAATTACTTTTTAATCTATCTACATGAGAAATCTTTAATTGCAGAAAGAACAATTTAACTATAACTCATACATTCAGTTCTAAGTCTTCGATGTTATACTTCAATATGTCCTAAACTCATCATTTATTTTTTTTATTAAATTAATTGTTTAGGATTAATCCTACTTCTACTTTACATTTATTCTAATTGAATTGTTTTACTATGAGTAAGGTTTTTTCTTTTTATAATAAAAATCTTTGGAGATTTTCTCTTTTTTTAAAAGGGAACGTCTTTGTGTCCAATTTGAAACTATGACATTGACCCACATTCAGAGCAATTACAACTATTTCGACGAGGCTTTTAAGTTTTATTTTTATAAATAGAATGTGCTTAACTTATTGATGTAGACATAGTTCTTGAATTCAAATTGATTTATTATTTTTCGTCAATCTAAATTATTTGTTATTACATTTCTTTTAAGGATTCATTAATATAAATTTGTTAAGGGATCCATCCGTTATTTTAATGAATTTGTTAAAATTGACTTAGTTTACCACATAAATCACAATAACAAGAACGTCTTCTTTAAATTGCTTAGTTTTTAAAATGCTAAGAAAAATCTGGGTATTTTTATTGACTTGTCCTTCTCCATTTAGCATACATGAATTTAATTTTTAGTTTTATTAAATAAATAAAATACAGAAATAAACAAAAAATAAGAACTTATCAAACTAAATAAATTTAAAAAATCAACTGAGTTCCTTCTAATTTTATATACTTATTAAATAATTTTTATAAGTCTCAAGAAATTATCATCATATTTATCTATTTAAATGTGAAATCATTAAGTTGAATCATGTTTTTAAAGGGCTAATTATAACATTGACTAACTTTACTCTGAATTAATCTTTAGGTTAAATCATTTAAATTTCTTAAAGATTATATTTTTGAGGATTTAGAACTCTTATTACTTTTTGATCTTTTTATCTTCATTTATATTTGAATTTTCAACTTAAAATGATTATACTTAATAATCATTGATGATATAATATACTTAAATGAAAGCACTTGTCATTCTTTTTGATTCTATTCTTAAAGGACTAATTACAATTTATCTGATTTCTTGAGGAGATTTTAAGACATGATTTGATCTTAAAGCAGATAGAGGAGAAGTTTTCTGATTATATTCAGAAACAACCCTTAAAATTTAATCTTTCATTTTAGTTGAATGATCAGACCATACGAAAACTTTATCCTTAATTATTTGGATATTGAATTCGACCTTAAGAATCAGAAATTTCATATATTTATAGTGGGGCTCTGATTGACTCTATAATATACTTTTTTTTTCTTATTATAATATTATTTATTTGGTTATTATAATATATTTAAAGTTGTTTTTAAAATTAATCTATAATTGCCATAAATTTAAACTTTAATTGTATAATAAATCTAATCGCAATTAACCACTTTTAATCTTTAGATGAATCTGCTTATTATAAACTCAAATAGATTAAATCATTTATCTATCTATTTGTTAATTATTCCAAAGTTTATGTTCAAACAATAAAAAGCACTGATTTTATTTATACTTTTTGTTTATAGCATTAATGATTTTAAGTAAATAGTTTAAGCTGTCAAAAAATAATTAGATACATTCATCACCAAAAAAAATTAAAAAATTTATTTATAGAAAAAAAAAGGAAAGAAATCTATATTGAGATAATTTAATCAAATAAAATGATGAGTTGTTTTTGTGATAAAGAAATTTATTTAGTTAATTTTAAATTTGAATATAAAACAAATATCTAAAACTTAGAATTCAATATAAAGATATAAATAAAAGAAGATTAAATTGAATTTTAACATAATTAATTGATATTAATGATGAACATAAATAATTAGATATTTTAATTAAATAAATTAAAGTTTTTAGAAATTAAAATCTTAAGATACAAAGATTGTACTGCTAATTTTAGATAGTCATATTAAAAAGCAACTACATAATAATTCTATAATACCTTTCAAAAAGTATTTAACAAAAAACTATTGCTTGAAAATTAATCTAATAAGCTTTCACAGTTATTACATTGAATTTTACCAAATTTATTAAATGCTAAATAGATAAGTTAGATTGAAATAACTTTGATAGTATATTAAAACGAGAAATTTTAGATTCATAATTAAGAGTAAATGAATCAATATAAATCAAGATTTTGTGGATGATAATTTAGTGAACATATTCATAAATTTTAAGAAATAATTTCAATTAAGAATTCATAAAATTTCTTATAATTATATGTAATATATTTTTTTGGTTTTTTATCATCATTATTATTAGATTTAATATTAAAAAAAGATTTTCAAAAATTTTTCGGGATGTTACACCATTTTTAATAATTGTAAAATATTTGGATTAGAAAAATTATTTTTATAAAATGGCAAGTAATTGTAAAAAAATTAATTCCAATAATAATAATTTATCAAATGATTCCTACAAAAGCATTAGAGCATTTAGAAGAATTATTAAAGCCTATTTATGATTTGAGTATTTTCAAGATAAAGAATAATAATTTTTGGGAAACTCAAATTTCTTTATTGATAAATACAATTTTTGAAAATTGTAACAAACTCTTAATATATAAAGACAATTATTACAAAATTATAAAAATGATGAAAAAGAGAAAGTTATGATGTAAATATTGAATTAATTTAAAATTAGATAGCAAAGAGAATTAAGTAATAATATTGGTTTTCTAATTAGAAATAGTGTTTAATAATTAAATAAAATGTTTGAAAGTTATAAAAAATATAAATCAAATAAGTGTAAAAAAATGTAATTTGTTGATATATATATTTTAAATATAAANGATAATTTAATCAAATAAAATGATGAGTTGTTTTTGTGATAAAGAAATTTATTTAGTTAATTTTAAATTTGAATATAAAACAAATATCTAAAACTTAGAATTCAATATAAAGATATAAATAAAAGAAGATTAAATTGAATTTTAACATAATTAATTGATATTAATGATGAACATAAATAATTAGATATTTTAATTAAATAAATTAAAGTTTTTAGAAATTAAAATCTTAAGATACAAAGATTGTACTGCTAATTTTAGATAGTCATATTAAAAAGCAACTACATAATAATTCTATAATACCTTTCAAAAAGTATTTAACAAAAAACTATTGCTTGAAAATTAATCTAATAAGCTTTCACAGTTATTACATTGAATTTTACCAAATTTATTAAATGCTAAATAGATAAGTTAGATTGAAATAACTTTGATAGTATATTAAAACGAGAAATTTTAGATTCATAATTAAGAGTAAATGAATCAATATAAATCAAGATTTTGTGGATGATAATTTAGTGAACATATTCATAAATTTTAAGAAATAATTTCAATTAAGAATTCATAAAATTTCTTATAATTATATGTAATATATTTTTTTGGTTTTTTATCATCATTATTATTAGATTTAATATTAAAAAAAGATTTTCAAAAATTTTTCGGGATGTTACACCATTTTTAATAATTGTAAAATATTTGGATTAGAAAAATTATTTTTATAAAATGGCAAGTAATTGTAAAAAAATTAATTCCAATAATAATAATTTATCAAATGATTCCTACAAAAGCATTAGAGCATTTAGAAGAATTATTAAAGCCTATTTATGATTTGAGTATTTTCAAGATAAAGAATAATAATTTTTGGGAAACTCAAATTTCTTTATTGATAAATACAATTTTTGAAAATTGTAACAAACTCTTAATATATAAAGACAATTATTACAAAATTATAAAAATGATGAAAAAGAGAAAGTTATGATGTAAATATTGAATTAATTTAAAATTAGATAGCAAAGAGAATTAAGTAATAATATTGGTTTTCTAATTAGAAATAGTGTTTAATAATTAAATAAAATGTTTGAAAGTTATAAAAAATATAAATCAAATAAGTGTAAAAAAATGTAATTTGTTGATATATATATTTTAAATATAAATAATATGATCCTCATAGCAGCTTCAATGCATATGAGAGAGCATCGTTCTATTTCTCTTAGAATTCCTTCAATTCATGTAAGAGATGAAGATCCAAAAGATGTTGTTAAGAGTAGCATTTGTGGTATAATGATGGGAGTAGTTTTTATGATTATATTTTCAATAATTGGGATGGTAGGAATATTTATAAATATTGATGAAGAAGCAGAATTTGTTTGGATGTTAGGTATTTTGACTTTCACTTATGTTCTATTTATTCCTTACTTAATTTTAATTTTATATGATCTAAGAAGAATATCGAAAGAATTAGAACAGCATTAAGATGAATCATTAGTAATGAATCCATATGCTTTTGCTTCTAGTATGAATACAATTATTGCAATAACAAGCACAGAAAAATATAATCCTTTTAGATTATTGAATGTTTAATTTTTCATAATCTCTTTGATTATTAGTGCTTTCTTAATAAATTCAAACATTGTAATAGGATAATTATTAGCAATTATTACTTATATAGTGGCAGCAACTATACTTATTTATGTTTGCAGAAGGTGTTGGTTAGGATGTTGTAATATTAAAATTGTTAACAAAAAACCAAAAAGATATAATTTCCACCGTTATCCATGTAATATCTTATTTATTTTTTAAGCTCCAAATCATGTTAAGAAATCAGCATTCGCATTTAGTGTTTTATTAATTACTTATTTTATATGCAAATTATTCCTCTATGTGATCTTTTTATGTTTAGAAGAAGAACTTTTTCAATACACATATTTAGCTAATATATTTTATGCTCTTATTATGATTATCTAGTTGACATATGTCTCTTTTTTGATTAAAAGAATAATTATTACTTAGTAATACAAAAAATATTTTTAATGTTACATGACTCTATTTTAGTCCCTTTACTTATCCTATACAACCTAAAATTGTGTTCTTAAAGGACTTTACTTCTTTTCTCTATTTAGCACATATATTGCATTTTTTCTTGAAAAACCCTATTTAACTATTACATATACTGATCTATTTGGAATTAAATAGTTTTTTTCGTATGAACATTTTATTTATTTGTTCACTCTTCTATAACTTATTTATTTCTTCTTATTTCGAAGCTACTGTGTAAATAAGGAAGAAGAATAAATATAAATTTTTGATTTCAATTAAGTTTAAACTTAAGATAATCGTTTACAATGGATACAAAATCAATAGGATTATCCAATATATGATAATAAATTATCAGATTATGTCTACTTAATTAGTGATTTAGAAGCATTACAAGAAATCTATGATAATCTAATTTTTTAATCTAATTAATTAGATTTAAAAATTAGACCGAAAAATGGTTAGCTAATTAATTTAGCCTAATGGATTGAAAATAAAAAGTTTTAATTTTAACTTTAGGGTAGAAATTTAGATGATGAATATTTTTAGAATTTAAAATCTTTTATTAAAGAGAATTTTGGAACCAAATAAAAAGACACTAAAGAAAAATAAAAATAATTTATAGAAAGATAAGAATGCGCAATATGTTTATAAAATTTAGATATTAAATAAAATTTAACTCAATTAGGATGTCATGAAACTCATAAATTTCACACACTATGCATAGAAACATGGATTAATGCTGTTCAAAAATGTCCATTATGTAATCAGCCTGCTTGATTATCATATATATATGACTACAAAATTATAATTTTAACTTATATGATTAAATCATCATTCTTATATTAGAAATTATAAAATATTATTTAATTTTACTTCCACTAAACCTTTTAGTTGTTTCCTAATAAGCTTATTAAATTCATCTTAAAAAGATTAAGTATAAACAATCATAAATGAATATATTTTAATAATGATTATAAATTCCATTATCTTGTTAAAAATTATGCAATTTTGATTATTTATTAACGGATTAATGGGATGTACATCTTCAATAGAATAAAGTACTATGATATCTAGTAAAGCTGGAAAGCCTAATTTGATGAAATAAATGTCAACAAGCTCTATCATTTGTTATAAGAACTCAAAAATAAGAGAAAATATTACAATTCTTAATTAGGGGAAATCATAGCTTGATTGTTAATTCATCACATAGGTATTAAAAAAACACTATATATTTTATTAATTGAATGAAGAATCTATATAGAAGATGATTAAACATATGTTTTATTGTTTGATTAAACAAAATCATCATTTATACTAAAATATCAATACTCCATCTTGTATGTTTCTTATTGATAAAGGTTAATTGAAAACTTAAAATTTCACACTATTTCAGCCAGGTTCTATTGTTGGTGAAGATAATTTATTATTAGGATAAATAAAATTTATAGAAGCTAATGAAGACACTTATATGTGGGGTTTAGATATAATTTAATTCAATAAAATAATTTAATGGATTACATCCCAATCTTTTATTAATAATCGAGCATTCTTATAACAATAATATTTATTTTAATATTTCAGCTAAAATTAACTAGATGGAATAGCAGCAAATATTTTATAAGTTCAATATTCAAAAAATCAAGTGATGTTTTCAGATGATGCATATGTAATAATTAAGAATGGTGAAGCATCTTTATTTAAAGGTAATCAATTTTGTAAAACTCTTTCTCGTAGAGATACTTATGGTACTTTATATAAATTGAATAAACCTAAAAATACTAAGGTTAGATCAGTGATAGAAACTTAATGTCTTATTCTAACCTAATCAAAATTAATAGAAGTGATAGGTTTTAATATTTAAAAACAAATTTATTAAGCAATAATAAGATTTGTTTTGATTGAAATTGAATTGCCAGGGTTAGAAATAGAAAAAATTTTAGAAAAAGAATAATATAAATTAAAGATTTATAATAATGAATCTATACGATAAAGGTAAATTCATGAAGACCTAAGTATTATTGTTGATGGAACTGTTGATTGTGAGGGAGAAACTTTAAAATTGGGAGAATTTATTTCAGACCAATTTGATAATTCAGTTTATATTGCAAATGGAACTATTGCAATTATTTAAAGAGATTCTCTATATATTGAAGATTATATTATAGAACAAAATTCAGATGATGAATTAATGCAATATAAACCTAGATTTTCTGAATTGAAGCAGTTATAAATTATTAGAAGAAATTATAATAATGTTGTTAATTTAGTTTAATTCAAGTAATAAAACTACATTCTCAGATAAATACATAAATTTTCTCAATAAAAAACCTAATAAGAAAGAAGAATGAAATAATAAAAAAAAATATTTGAAATTCTCAAGTGTCCTCATCTATCTACATATTATCAATTTTATGAGGATAGTGCCTCTTACTATTTCTTATTTCAATTTATAGATGGAACTCTCTTATCTGAGAGAAAATTAAAATTACCATAGATTTAATCAACTATATAACAAATGATAAGTATTTTAGAGGCTTGCTATAAAAATTCAATTATTTGTCGATCTGTCAAATTAGATAATTTCTTGATTGATTATTAAGGAAATATCTATTTAATAAATCTGTTAAATGCAAAACAAGCATCTAGAACCTATACAATTATTGGATCACCACATTATATGGCTCCTGAAATCCTTGAAGGAAGAGGGTATGATTGTAATAGTGATGTCTGGAGTTTAGGTGTATGTTTATATGAACTTTTATTTGAATAAGTACCTTATGGTTAAGCACTTGATGATCCATATTAAATTTATGAAGAAATTATAGGTTCATCTGATATTGAATTTCCAGACAGTTATAATGATGAATCAGGTAAACATTTAATGAAATAATTAATAAACAAAAATGTATATCAAAGAATAGGGTCAAATTTTGATTAACTCAAAAACCACTCTTGGTTCAGTTAATTAGATCTATAAAATATATCTCCAAATGAATCATTATTAGAATTAAGATGTTGAATAATTGATATTACTAAATATAAAAACATTAATATTTATAGTATAATTAGAATTTTAAATAATTACGTATTACATATAAAATATTTGATTAAAAATTAAATAAATTCTAGAACAAAGAATTTAATAAATTAAATTAAGTATTTTTTATAGTACTGTGATGTCATAGGTTTATAAAATGACATTAAAATTCATTTGGATGAATTCATTAAAAGTTAAATTAAATGCAAACAAAATAAGTTTAAGAATAAAAGAGATCTTCATCTACCTTCAAAAATATTATATGGATTATAATAGGGGTGTTTGTGGCCTACAATATTAAATTGTATATTAATCGTAGTTCTTTAGCCCAATTTGAAATAAGAGGAAATGGTATAATATAAGTTTATAAATTAGAAATCATAATGGAAAACAAAGGCTTAAACTTGTAAGACTTTCAACTTTCTTCATTGTCAAGAGTCCTTTCTCAAAATCCTTAGACAACTAAATTAAATGCATAGTTATCACTAAATTATATTAATGATTTTAGAAACTTCTTTGTTAGTTTAGAGAAACTAAAAGATTTGAATGAATGTAAAGCATATATTATATTTAATTTAGTATCTCTTTCTCTTGGAAATAATCCAATAATAAATGAATTAGAATAAGCTAATCTATTGAGTCAAGCTTTATCTAAACTCACAAAATTAGAAACATTAATTTTAGGACTTGATTCTATATTTAATAATGATAGTAGAGAAACTATAATAAAAGGATTAAGCAAAATTTCTAGATTGAATACATTACGTGTTTCTCTTATTAATTGTGATTTATCTGGAAATGGATTGAAATCACTTTATCCATTGACAGAATTATAAAATTTGAAATCTTTAGAATTGATATTAGTGGGTAGTAAATTGAAAGAAGAAGAAATGAAACATTTGTAAACAATTTTACATAAACTTCCAAAATTAACAAAATTGAATCTTAATCTTTATGCAAATAAAATATAAATTGATGGAGCTATAACTTTAAGAGATGGATTATTTTAATAAAGATAATTAAAAGAATTTGAAATAGATCTATACTTTAATAATATAACTACAAATGGAACAGAAAGTTTAATGGGAGTGGTTGGTTCAATGGAGAATTTAACATAATTAAATTTAGGTTTAGAATTTAATTACATAAAAAATGAGGGAGGAATATTGGTTGGAAAGGCATTATCATAATTAAAAAATCTAAAAGATTTATCAGTAAATGCAGCAACAAAGAATTTTGGTTGGGAAGGTTATGAAGCAATAGTAAGTGCAATTGAAAGATTGCCACCTTTAGAAAGTTTAGAATTAATAATTGGTGTCAATAAATGTGGTTTACCTGGAGCAGAATTATTAAAATAAACTTTATTTAAACATGATAAATTAAAATCTTTAAAAATTAATTTTCTAGAAAACTATGTTGGTGATGCAGGTGCAACATATATTGCAGAAGGAATTTAATATCAAAAAAACTTATAAATATTAAGTGTTAATATGAATTTCAATTCATTATCTGATAGAGGTGCACTTGAATTAGCAAGAGCTGTTAAAAATGCTAAATCTCCAAAAGTATAATCTTTCATAATTTTTAGATTGTTGATTTTAGAGTCAGTTAAAATTAAATTACAGATAAGGGTATCAAAGATGTATTTTTACTTTTGGAAAAAGCACTTCCTAAAGTAGATTTATTGGAAGTAGAATTATTAAACACTGCACTTACAAATGCAACAAGAGATGATATAGAACTCAAATATGGAAAAGTTGATAAATTGTAAATTAGATTAAATACAATCCCCCCAAGTAATTGGGAATGATATTTGTTTTTATATATATATAAATCAGAGTTTCCTTTTTAAATTACTAATTTATCTTTTTATACTAATGTATCTCTTTCTTTTTTTAGTTAAAATTGATTTAAGTAAATCAAGTTTTAGTTAATATTTTATTATTTAATATTCTTAAAAAAATTAGATTGACTTAAACATTAAATATAATTGTGAATAATAAAATGATTGTTGCATATTTAAATAATAATATAATAATAATATTTTATATAAAGATTTGAATAATAAAATAGATAAATAATAAAAATTGATCACTAATAAAATAGATAAATAATCAAGAATAATTTGATAATGTGAGCACTAACATCTGAATCAGGAATATTATAGCTAAGATCAGGATCTATTTCCTATCCAGTTTCACAAATATATTTGAATTGATTCCAATTGCATTCATAATCAATCATATCACATTATTCTTATTCAACAATTTTATCACATTATTTTCTACAAACATTATCATGAGAACTCCAATAACATCTTGAGGAAGCTTTACATAGTTGTTCATTTGTGAAATGCTTACACAAGATTGATTTACATTAATTATTATTAAAAGTACATAGTTTTGATTCTAAACATGTAGCTTGATCTGTTTACTCTTCACATGATTCACATTAAGCATATTTAGTAACAAAACAAGTTTAATCATTCATTTCATTTCCTTAACAATACTACCATGAAGATCCAAAGAGACTAAAGATAATAATTTATAAAAGTTTACTAGCAAGGTTTATTTGTACAATGATAAGGCCCTATTCTTAAGGCAGATGGTTACCATGAACATTATTAATTGTTAATAAAACTTTAATCACAAATGTAACCATTACTAATATCTGCACAAGTTGTAATTGTTACACATTAATTATCTATAAAAGCACAATTATTTTTTGGACAACTTTTTTAATCATAATCAGAACATTATATAGCTCTACAAACATAATTATCGTTAACACAAAAAGTTGGGGAACAATCTGTTTATGGACAAATTTTATCAATTGCTAATGATGATACGCAATTATTATTGATTTAATAACATGAAATAGAATTAAAAAAGAATTTATCACATCTTTATTTTTCATTAAGATAAACTATATCTTCACATTATTTAGCAATTTAACATTTATTTTAAATATCTAAGTAACAATTTTCATTATTTAAAGAATTTGTATTTAAACATTCTACATCATTTAAATCTATACATCTTTTTAATCTACAATTATTGTTATCAAAATAGCAAATACTGTTTTGAATACAACTGTCTTGATTTAACTAATAACATATATTTACTTTAAGATTAGTTTTATATTAACAAGTATATGTATCATAATCCCATACACAATCTGGTTATAAATAACAGGCAATTTGATTAATTCCTTTAGAATTACATGGTATTTTCAATGGAACTCCATAACAACTATAAGTAGCTTATTGATAATGACATTTTTAAAAAACTTAAATGGCACATGCTAATGGATTTACATTTTCTATTCCATAACATATTGCTGATGTATTTTTGTAAGAAGTACATTGAAAATTCACAAATTAGCATGGTTCATACAAAAGAGCAGTACATGCATATTTATTTAATCCTGGTTGATTACATTACTAAAATCTATTTAAAACATTTGTACAAACAAAATTAATTGGATCATATGTACAGAATTATTCTTAGTAATCAATGTATTAACAAGCCAAACTATTGGTTAAAGTTTATTTATCACATTAGTTGATATTTTCATCAGGGATGAATTAATTACATTGATCATCTTCCCAATAACAAGGTTCTATTACTATTGATAAACAAGCCATCTTAGAAAGACCTTTTGTTTTACAAGAATCTTTAACATTAGCTGCAATACATTGATGTAATTATTCATTATATTTACAAGATATCTATAAATTAGAACATACTTTTGAATTTATATTTTAATATTGAGAACATTATGAATATTTAACATCCAATTTATAGAATTAACAATTATTATTTATAAATTGACATTATGATCTCTTTATATTATAACAAGCTTTATAATTTAAACCTATTGTATCACAATCATCTATTTCAGAATCACTCTAAATACATGAAAATACAACTGAAGAATATTTAACACTCTTCTCACTCATTAATTTACTACAAACTTTTGGACTTATAAGTGTTGGTGTTTCTTCTATATTTTCATTTTCATCAAATTCATAACATCTTGAATATCTCCATTTGCAACTACTATTATTATTCAAACAACTTAAGTAACTTTAATTCTAACATTAACTTAAATCACTTTCAATACATTAATTATTTGACCATTAACATTAATATTTTAAGTTTGTTAAACATTCATTATAATCAAGTTCATTTTCACACTATTTATGATTCACATCTACTTAATTATCTAATTGAATATTATTCAAATCTTCCATCTAAACTATTTTAATTGAACACTATAGTAGAAAATCATCAAATTCACAATTATCTATACTCTAAATCTGACAACTCTTCTTATTATAAGATTTTGGCAAATCTTTGCATAAAAATTTATTACTAAGGTTAATATTTTGACATTAATTATCCAACCATTAACAAGCTATAGGAGCATACATACAACCATATTGATTATATATATAAATACAATCAAACAAACGAGGTGTCCATTCCTAACACATATTATTGTATATAGTACAAATCTGATTTTTTACTAGTTTACATAATTGAAAACTTAAATAATCATGACAATGTTATAAAACTACAGAAGTTATTTAAATTTCCTAACATTTATTTGTAGAGGGATTTATCAAACAATTTTTATTACTATTTTCTTTACAACTATGATAAGTATACTCAGAACATTCTAAATTATTAGCTGAATTATTTTAACATTCATTTGCATTTGTATTCCATCTACAATTAAATGCTAAATCACAATTATAATTTGATATATTGTTACAAGCAATATCAGCTTTATTTATTTTTTCAGTACATTAATATTAATTCCAATAACATTCTATATAATTTTAATTTAAACAAGATAATTTATTATATCCAAAATTATTGCATTAAATTATTATAAGTTAATCACTTGTAGTAAAACAAGAATAATCCAAATTGTTCCACAATTGATTGATACCTAAACAATAACCATGAGAATAAAGTATGTTAGGATCACTCTAATTGTTAAATTCAACACATTCGTCATTCAACCATATACATTTTTTAAAAGTGTAATTTAAACATACATCTTTGTTTAATTGATTACACTATAAATCCTCTTCATTTTAGTAATATTAACAATTATTATTATACCAAATGCATTAAAATTCTTAGGTTAATTTAAGACATGTATTTTTATTGATATTTGAACAATCTTCAATAATTGCCTCATTTGTTATTTAATCACATTTATATGTTTTTAAATTATATTTATAGTAATCATCTGTTAACATTAAACAGGAGTGTAAATTATTGTTCAAATTGTAGGAAGTATTGTTAATAATTTAACATGATTAATATACATTATCATTATCATATATTACTAAGCAACTTCTTTAATATGAAAATACACAATCATATAATTCAATTGCATTTTGACATTCAATTATATTTCTTGTAATTTTCTTGCAAAGATGATTTTAAAAATCATAAAAGCAGTTAGGTTACAATTATTAACAAGTCTAATAATTTACTTGTTGATTCTAAATTTCATCACAATTTGTAAATACAGCAGTTTAACATTTATTATTATCATATTTGCAATTGAGTCCGAAATCACTTAAACAGAGTGATTTTAATTAAATATTATCACAACTTAATTGATTTTAATAACAGAAACCTTATCCAAGTTTATTTGAATACCAAAAACAATTAGGTAGAATTAAACAAGTTTAAGGTGAATGGAAAACACCTTCTTCTTATATACATTATGATAAAGTGCTTTTAATACATTTCTATCCAATAAAAGAGCATTATGAGGATCTTTAATGAATACAATTAATAATGCTAGAAGTTTATTCACATTGCATATTAAAAGCATTTTCAATATCAATTTATAATTTTTACAAATCTCCTAGTACTTAAATACATTTATCAGAACTTGTATATACATTGTATTGTAAATTAAAACAATATTGATAGGATTCCTTATCATAACGATAAGATAATTATTTTTAAGTACTATCTTCTAAACATTAAGAATTGTAAAATACACAACTTAAGTGTTGAATTGAAAGACAATCATTTTCTGTAGTTAATTGATGACAAAATTTAATATGATCAGGGTAAGAAATACATTTATTATTTAACCATAAACACATATGATTTTAACCAACACATAATTGTTAACTTAAAGCTATGTTACAAGGTAAATCTCTCAATAATTTTCCACTGACACAACCTTATCTTCCATTGAAGCAATATCCTCTACCATTTTAGCATACTTTATGGCTTTAAATATAATTAATAGGACAATAACTATTTGAATTTTAGCATAAATTATCTGTTGAGTTCCAAATGCAATTTTTACCACTAGTTTCACAACTGTAAATGTTTCTAAATTCACAATCAATTTAATTAAATGAATTATTGTAATATTAGCATTTGTTTTTTATAAATATGCATTAATATTTAGTTTATTTTAGACATAAAGATTTACTGATGATGTCATCACATTTATAAAGAACATTTTGATCAGTTTATTATAAACAATTTTTGGTGTCAGAATCATAATAGCAATTATCAGTTGCTAAGCTACAAATTTAAGGATTTCCAGTCAAATTAGTTTGGATATTTGTACATATATATAGTCCAACATATTTTTGAGTTTATGAAACATCAATACAAGTATTAAAAGAGTCACTCTCTAGAATAATACATATTTAATCTTAAGTTTTGATTAAAGTGCATACTTCCACATTAACTTCAGAACATTTTAAAGTATTTAATTATAAGGTATTGTAAGTAGGATCAGAAGAGAGAGGCAAACATTGATGATTATAAAAATAACATTTTGATTGAGTAAATGATTGACATCTATGTTTATTGATTTTTAAGGTTGATCCACAATCAATAATTGGAGCATTGTTTTATAAACATTTAGATTAATTTTCATCATATTAACAAAAATGTTTAATGTTTAATTTTCCATTATGTATTTTTTATTGGCAAGCCTTTTCATTGACATAATTATCGCAAACATCAAAATACTATTCTTTATATTCTTAGCATTAAGTATCATTCCAGATACATGAATATTTTCGATTTATGACACAAGCAGACCTTGTTAGACCATTACAATTCAATATTGTATATAGATTTGAATCGTCAATTTATTTACAATTGAATAGATCATAATAACATTGATTCTATTACTTTTAACATTAAATTTTATTCATAAATTATTAACATGTGTTATTGATCTTAATATTAATAATGCAAAAGCCATCTTAATAAGAGCATGTTTCATTCTCTATCATTGAACATGCATAAGGAGAAACATTGACTAATTAAATACATTTATCAAATGTTTTAATAGTTGAGCATGAGTTGTTAATCCATTAACAAAGTTCATTTTGATTGGAGAGACAAAGAGTTTTATTTAAACCAACAGTATTACATGATATTTAAGAACTTTATGTTGTGCAAGTCTATTTGATTTGATCATAAATACAGTTTTATGAGTAAGAACACAATTTAGGATTGATGCTTAATCGATTATCACATTATTGAAGTGGTTCAATCAATTAACATTTCTATTATTCATAATCCCATTATGAATTTAGTTATAAAGACAAACAAAAATATTTATTTATGTTTGATAAATCCTATGTATCTAAAATATAATCTTTTTAACATTGTTTTGTAATTTCATTAAATCTATACAATGCTTAATCTTACATTAAACATTGATTTCTATTCCTTACAAGATTTTCAGGTAATTAGGAATAATTTTTGAAAATAGAGTGTGTTAAAGTATTAATACATAAATTATTATACCATATACATAATTGATCTTATCGTTATACATTACTACAACTATATTTAGTATTGGCTTCAGAACATGTTAATATTCTTAGATCTCCATATTAACATTAATTTTAAGTCCAAATACAAGGCAGTGCCAAAGTTTCACAATAAATTTTACTTAATCCCATTTAAGTGCATCCTTATAATGGACTGCATCTAACAAATGCTAATAGTTCTTCTTCAATCCAATAACAATTTGATTTCTTATTGCAATCATTCTTTGTAATTAAATTGTGACAGCCATCATCACAATATCCTTATTTATTATTAAAGTGTAAAAAACAATATTTCTAACTCTTACTACATTGTTAATGAGTTGCAAAACCAATCAAAGGTCTGCAATCACTATTTTCTGGTTGATTTTTAACTTCAATACACTAATTCTCATAATAATTAATTGGTTAGATAACTTAACAATCTAAATATTTAGGACTTATTTAACATGTAAATCTACCTTAATTTTCACATTTGTAATCAGTTCTTTATTAAATTTCATCTAATGTAAGAATTTCACATTTATTATTAGCATAAACACTAACTTCAGATATAAATGGATTGATATTAATGTATTGACAATATATTTAATTGATACCAAATATTACCTTTTGATTTTTTATATTGAAAAGTGCTCTAAACATTAAGTCATCAGAAATATCTAAACCTATACATCCAACTCTTGTTTAGTCATTTATTAATAAATTTAAAGTATTATACTAAGATTGTTTTTGTGGAACATACCAAATAAATTATCCTTATGAGTTTACATAATTATTCTGTAATTCTCCTTCCTCATAAGTTTTTAGAGTTTAATTAAATTCATCCATTGATGCTAATAAAATATAATCTGTCGGATCATTTAATTATTAAGAATCTAAAAAATTACTATGAGCTATCAAATATCCATTAATAAGAGGACATACTGACATACTCAAAATTAGATTAGGGAAATTAACATTTAAATTAGCTAATTCTTCAGCAGATAATGATTTACACTACTGATCCTCCCATTTACAAAGCTCATCCGAATTCACTATACCCATACATCCATATTTATTTAAATTTTGATTGCATTTCACTTTACTTATATCCTTAATATTGCGGCATTCAAAATCAAAAATGCATAATGCTTATAAACCTATTGGTGTACTTACTTACCTTGTACATAACTTAATACTAAGATTTTAATCACATCCTAACATTAGATCATCTGATGTTCTACAATATCGTTAATGTGGAAACCATCGACCTAAATTCAATAAGCTTTATTAATATACAATATTCAGTCCTTGAACCTACACATGTTTCATAACTATTGAGTTACCTACAAATATCCAAAGTGTAGACTTAAGTTAAGATCAAAAATATAAATAACATAATTTAAAATTATTATTTAAAACATGAATCCTTATATATATCTATATTGCCTCTTTTCTTAATTATTTATATTCTATAAGATATCTCTAAATGAGTAGTTTTATAATATTTTAAAACAATCTATCTAAAAATTCACAATAATAGCATTAAAAAACCTTTTACGATACCCCAGAATATGTCTGACTTTAATTTATCAACAACTATTTAATATTCCTTTTCAACTCCTTCTTTATGTATTTATTCTTAAATTAATTTCAATTGATCTGTATTCTGAATAATCTTGATTTTGATCTATTAATTTTCATGCTGTTTATTCTTGAATAGGAATTCGTAATCATTTAACTCACTTATTTGAGAGGCATCTATTACAACTTATTCTTCAGAGATATGTGTAATATCTATTATTCTATCTGTTTCTACTTCTTTGATTTGCTTTAAGTGACATTCAGATTGAATCAATATAATTTGTTTTTAGATTTCCATCTTCTAAATGAGAAATGAACATGCTTATGAAATAGTAATTAGAACAGATATGATCAAAATGTTTTTCATTAATTAATATTATTCATGAATCAATTAACTGATTCATGAAGGAATAAGAATTTAAGAAATATAAATAAATTTAAAATATGGATAAAGCAGAAGCAGAGACATTCAAATAACCTTTGATGAATGAAGTTAGTTAATAATTCAGCATAAAATCAAAAAGATCGAAAGGAAAGTCATAATTATCTGTTCTGACTGAACATTCAAAAATGGACCCACATTTATATGAAATCCCAGATCTTACTTAGATTACTTAGAAAGTACTTTGTCGTTTGATTGTTGTTTCAGTAGTTTGCATAATATTTTTGGTGGCAGAAGTAAGATTTAAAAATTATGAAATCAGGTAATTGGTGGATTATGGGCTTAATCATTAGCTATATTATCAGATGCAGCACATATGTTTTCAGATATGAGTGGATTTTTCATTTCAATATTTTCAATTTGGCTTGGATAAAGACCAGCATCTTAAAAAATGTCATTTGGATATCATAGAGCAGAAGTCATAGGTGCATTAGGTAGTATAATATTGATATGGGGATTAACTATTTTATTATTTTATGAAGCAACAGTTAGAGTAATAGAAGAAGCCATAGTAACTGATCCATTAATAATGTTAATAACAGCTGGATTTGGATTGTTTTGTAATCTAGTGATGGCCAAAGTATTACATTCTTCTCCTACTGGAGGTCATGATCATGGAAATATTATGCATTAATGTAGTGGTCATCATCATGGACATGAACATAATCATAATCATAATCATGATCATGATCATACTCATACTCATAGTCATGATGATGATAATCATTCATAAACTAAATAAAAATAATAAAAGAAAAAGAAAAAGATCAATATTAAATAAAAAAGATAATAAGTTAGTGAAAATGGAATAAGCATGTTAGTTGTTGAATAAAGTATTGAATCTTAATCAAGTGATAAGAATTTAACTATTAAAGAAGAAAGTGAAAGTTCATCCTCTTGTTAAAATAATCAATAATCTAATCTACCATCAAAATAAAAATAATAATAATCTCGTGATCATAATCATTCAGAAAATTGTGGTCATGATCATTAATAAATTGATATCCCTAATCATTTTGAAAATTAAACTACAACCAATAAAAAAAATAAAAAAAATTCTAAATAAGATAGTTCCGAAGATGATCATAGTAGTTGTAATTCAAAAAAAAAAAATCATGAACATGAACATGAGCATGAACACGAACATGAACATAAATCTAAAAAGAATAAATTGAAAAGCAAAAATTTAACAGAAATTAATGAACATGACAATTATAATCTTAAAGCTGCTATGATACATGTTATTGGAGATATTTTATAATCAATTGGAGTCTTGATTGCAGCCCTCTTAATTTATTTTTTTGGACAATAAAAAGATGAAAATAATCAAATTGTTTTTACCTATTGGTAATATGCTGATCCCTTATGCACTTATTTATTCAGCATTCTTGTTCTATTTACAACGTTTGGAGTAGCTAAAGATTGCTTAAGAGTTCTAATGGAAGGTACACCATAAAGTAAATCTATTTTTTTATTACCTAGATTTAATAATTGATGAATTCAATGATTAATTAAAAGCCATTCATAGAGTTAAAGAAGTACATGATTTACACATATGGTCACTTTCAGTTGGCAAACCAGCTATGTCAGCACATATTGTCTGTATAGAAAATCCAGAGTATGTCTTAAGAAAAGCCACTAAATTATGTAGACAATTTGGAATCTATCACTCTACTATATAAATTGAATTATATGACAGGTAAGGAGCAAACGATTATATCAAATGTAATCACAATTTGCATAAATGAAACATCAAAATGTATATTAGTTCTTATTATAAATTATTAAAAATTTTTTGTACTTATTATAAATTAATTAGTATCATAAAAAACAAAAATTAGTTATTTATAAATTTAATAAGAAAAGAAAAGAAAAGCTAAATCCATCACAAATCACATAATCTTTGTCTTTCTGTAATAAAACAACAGAATTTTTTTAATCAATAATTCCTAAAGACTCTTTTATTCATCTATCTCTAAATGTGATATTTTAAAGGCTCATTAAGGAATTAATTATGAGAAAAGTGCAATCGATAACTTGCTCAAATTATTTTCCCAATTAAAATATTTAATAAATTAATTTTTAAATTTCTGAAACCAATCAATTTTTTTTGTAATAAAAAATACAAAAAAAAGAAATTTATTATAAATATATTATGAGGATAGATAGATTACAAATATTTAGAAAAAGTTTATAAATAAGATTTTCAGGAATATTTGGTTTTCTTTAAACTTTATTGAGATACTTTAAGATTCGATAATAGCTTCTAATTTCTAAAAAACCTATTGAAATTTTGAAAATGTTAATCATCCTCTATTTTATAAGGTTATGAATAATCGATTTAATCATCGAATACGAGTTGTTTAGAGGGGAAATATTTTTTGAAGAGTTTTTTACTTGACGATGCATAAGAAATGGCAGTTTTTATTACCTCCTCATTTTTGATTGGTTGTTTTTATCCTGGAAATCCTCTTTAATAGATATTATTGTTACCCAAATCTTGCTTTATACAATTACAAAAACTAGCCTATAGAAGATTGTTTATCCTCTAAGAGGATTTTTTTAACTCTTAGGTCTTAATTATCATCCCATATTTCAAATTCTTCTTCTGCACTTACTTAGCTATCAGTAATAGATACTATAGATTGCCTACAAGTGATACTAGTTTATTTTGACAAAACTTATATTGGCTAGATTTAGATGATTTTCTTATAAAATTGTTCTTAATATTATTTTGCTTTATTTGTTAAAGATTAACAAGTTAGAGTCATTTATAGAGATTTGTATTGATCATTATTTTAAGAATTAGTTTTGATGGATTTGATACGGAAAGTCTATGAGTTTTTCATTAATTAATAAATTAAAATACTAATTACAATTATCTTATATTAGGTCTTCTGTCTAAATATCTTTTTTTTATTATTAAACTAAATTATGATAGATTAAAATATTAGTTTTTTTGTTTAAATATCATAATAAAATCAATATTTAGAATAGAAACATAATTTAAAAAAGGTTAAAGATATTAAAATATTTATCTTCTAAAATGAAAGTTAAGTTTATATAAAATTAAATAAGTATTAATATATGGGGAAATTTACAAAAGACAAACGAGTATAAAGAAATTCATCATATTCTAAATAAGTATTATATAATATACTTGCTCCTTATATATTTATAAAAATTAAAGCCTTTGCACCATATTTAGGATATTTATTATAGGAAAGCTAAGGAAGATTAATTTAGAGCAAGATCAGCATATAAGCTATTATAAATAGATGATTCTTTTTAAATATTTAGACAAGTAGAGAGAGCAATAGATTTATGTGCAGCTCCTGGTAGTTGGTCATAAGTTTTGGTTAAAAAATTGACAGAAAAGAATTTTCTTCCATCTGAGAGTTGTAGAATAGTATCTGTAGATTTGTAAGAGATGGCACCTTTAGATCATGTTACATAGATATAAGGAGATATAACTAAAAAAGCAACAGTTGATGAAATCTTAAAAAAATTTAATAACTAAAGAGCGGATATTATTGTTTGTGATGGAGCACCTGACGTAACTGGTTTTCATGATATCGATTATTACATCTAATCATAATTAATTGTGGCTGCATTAAATATCTGTTTAATGACTTTGAGGGATAATGGAATTTTTGTAGCAAAAATATTTAAAGGTTCTGATATCAAATTATTGTATTCACAATTTAAGTTGTTCTTCAATTAAGTTTATTTCATGAAACCTAAATCAAGTAGAGCTTCAAGTGTTGAATACTTTATCATGTAAATATATATATTTATATGAATTACTTTAGATGTTTATAATACACTCCAAAAATATAAACTCAAGATTTCCATCTATATACATTTTTGAAGGAAATTGAATAAGCAGAAAAATAAAAATAAGAAACTATTGATTAGGAAATAGAAAAAGAATAGTCCAAATATTACAAATTTATTACATGTGGAGATTTATCAGGATTTGATGAAAATTGAGTATAAATAAAAATTTCACATTCATTACTCTGCTGTGAAATATTTTCTCATAATATCTTTGAGAAGTTTTGGTTCTAATTTTGTAGGAATCTAAGCTTGAGGAGTTGAAGGTGTAAAGGATTCAATATTCGATTCAGAATGTATGTTTTAATTTGATTCTTTCTTTGCAGTTAACCATCTTTAATAATATTCATTTTTTTTCTTTCCTTCTTATTATTCTTTATTAGCCTTATGATCAAGAGAAGAAATCCTATTTCTATTTTGTAAAGCTTGTACATGAAATCTATTATTCATTATTCCCAAATTATTATTCATTATATAATTATATTATTGTTTTTTAAAATATTTAAGAAACTTTTAAATAATCCTCAAAAGAGGATCAAAAATATAATATGGGAATTTAAATGATTATTTTCATTATTTTTATAATATTCTTAAATTCAAATTGAATTATTAATAATATAGTTCTGAAAGATAATTATGATTATTTTAAATGAAAATTATACTAAGGTTTTTAAAATAAGTTATATAAAACAGTATATTAATAGAGTTTATAGTATAAAGAGTAATTAATTTATGGAATTTTCAATTCACAAAATAAAAAAAAATATATATTAAAAAAAGATGATTTTTCTTGAGGATACTTAGAAAATGTTAACTCGTTCTCCTGAATCATTTAAAAGATTAATTTTACCACATAAAAGCGAGATTGGTTTTGTATTTACTAGATTAAATAAATAACTTTCAACTGTAAAGAGTACAGAAAGAAAACTCTTTAAAAAACGTCAACCTAATGAAGAATTTGAGTAAGTTAAGGTTGATTCATCTTCAAGTTAAGATAAATAGATGGCTGAAGATCTTTTAAAACATGAAGTGTGTGATTGGTAGAATTTCATGTAGAAAGATTAAGAAACAATTCGTCAAATTAACTCCTAAGATGAATTGCTTTAAGAACTACATTCAAAAACAAAAACTTAAGAAACTACAAAGAGAAATAAGATTTGGCAAGATGGAAATGAACGATATGTGTATTTTCAAAGAATGAGATAAGGAAAGTAAGCTTATATATATAATATCAAAAAGTAAATTGTTACCCAATTTGAGTTCGCAAGACTTTCTTTCTTCAGTGCGAAATTCATCCAAACTTAATGAATATGCTAAGGTGTATAAATAATAGCCTCAAAATATATATTTGAGTCTTAATCATTCTCAACCAAAAAGAGTTCCTAAGACTTTTGGATTAGTGTAAAATACCTCTCAATTACAAAATGTTAATACAAATAGATGTTTAAGATCTAGAGAGGATTGTAGAGCATTCTCTTGTGCAATGTTAACATAATAGAGTAAAACTATAACTTCTCTTTAAATGAATCATAATATTTTTGATCCATAATAATTAAGAGATGTTTTATTAAGTTTTCCAACAGCACTTAAAGATTTAGAATTAATCGATTGTAAACTTCATTATTAACATATGGACACTTTAATGGCTTTTATTAATAAAAATTAAATTGTAAAAATTAATCTAGAAAAAAATAACATACGTGATTAAGGATGTAAGATTATCATGAAGTATTTAATGAGTAATAATACATTATAACATTTGAACTTAAATAACAATTAAATTACAGAATGTGCAAGTATAGCTATATCAAATTTATTAAAATAAACTTAGAGATTATTAGAGTTATATTTAGGTTATAATAATTTAAATTCAAGTGCTGGTAATGTTATATGGAAAGCTATGTATAAAAATACAAGTGTAAAAATATTAGACATGTCTCATAATAATATTGCTTCTATAGATTGTGCAGCATCAATAGCCAAGGCAATTGCAAGACCATATAATGAATTACTTCATGTAGATTTATCATATAATAAATTTACTTATCCATAAGCATAATTAATAGCTGAATCATTAATTAAAAATGAAACTATTTATGGTTTTCATTTCGAAGGTAATTAAAGTGAATTAGTAGTTAATCCGAATGGATTTTTAGTAAATAATATTCAATTCAAGAAAACATTAGGCGATAAATTACTTTAACTTTACAAATAGCCTTAATATTTTAAATTGTTAGAGATTCAAAAATCACAATCATATATACCTCCAAAATAATATGAGGAATTAGTCATGCCGTTTAGTAGATAAAGAAAAATAAGATCTACAAAGTCGAATTTTTCAAAAGTTAATTAATTAAACAAATTGGATACTTGTTGGATTTGTGAAGGATGGTAAGAAATCAAATTTGAATGGACAGCTTATAAATCTGGTAGTCTATATAATGAACCTATATTTATTCATTTTGATTTCGAAGATTATAGACCTTTATTGATGACTCATTTAAATAATGAATTTTTTTTTGTTAAGATGTGTCCACCAAATTATGAAATACATTACTTCTTCACAAATCCTATATTAGGTGTTTAATAACCTGCTATGGATTAACCAATTAAATATTTAGATACTCCCATTCCTTCTATTCCTTTTTTATATAATGATGAAATTTTAGTTGATGGAAATTCACTTGATTAAGTTAACATTCTTTAAACCTATAATAAATAATAATTGTTTGATAAATATATGCCTTTGGTTTAATGCAAACCCAGAGAACCTTTAGCTAAATTTGATTTTTCACCTTATTTAAATATAAAGAAACTTAATTGGTCTGTTGAAACTTCAATTTTTAGAAATTTTCAACCAGATACTCCATAATTAATTGATTAATGTTTTGAATTTGATTTTTAGAATTCTAAAGTAACAAGATTAGTGAAAGAAACAGAAATTGTTGAAGTAAAAGAAAGTTTAAAAGATTTATATCGTAATTTATTTCATGTTTATAAATATCATGCAGCTGGATCATAAGCATAACCAATTCCTTGCATTTTGATTCATGATTATATTGATTTTTTAGTTTAAACATCTCTAATGGAAGGAATGAAAACTAATGATATTGATATTAGTTTTACATCAACCAGTGCTGCTAAAGATGTTTTATTCCCTTAAGCATATGAAAAAGGTTTAGTTAGATGTTAATTACTTGAAATCATGATTAGATTATGTAATGATAAATATATTCGTCCAGGATTATTTACTTCTATGGTTGATTCAATTAATGCTATCAAATAATAATGTTAAGAATACTTTAGCAAATTTGATTAAGCATAATAATGGAGAAAAACAAGACTTTGGATTTAAAAATGTGATATTTTATTAAATGATAGACTTGCCATGTTAAAATCATTATATAAATATTGTTGTAAACTTAGTAAGAAACCTCAACAATATAAATTTGATTATGTATCAATATAAGATTTTAAAGATATGGTAAATCAATGTAAATTAATTTGTGATGATTTAAGTGAAAGAGAATGTTGTTTAATTTATCTATAATCGATGGTAACATAAAAAGATGAACTCTTCTCACCTAAACATTATTAAATGAATTTTCATGAATTTATTGAAGCATGTTGTAGATTAGCTGAAAAATTATCAATCATTCGTGGTGATAAACCCATTGATATTGAAGATAGAAGAGCTAAAGACTTACATACGAAAATAGATGGATTTCTATTATATATTTATCTTAATATAGGAAATGAGATGAAATAAGCTTTGCCTCTTAATGATCCAGATATTAAAGGACTTGACAAATGCATGATTAATGACTTTAAATCATTAAAATAAAAATTAGAGGATTCTTTTACTGATGGAGATGAACCACCTTATGATCCTAGAGTTGAATTACCACATCTTTCTAGCTAAATTACAAATATTTTAGGTAATACCTTAGGAGGTAAAAAATAAACACTTAGATCTTAAATGAAATAAATTAAAAAAGAAGAGTAGAAATTTTCTTTAATAAATTTTGTCTAATACTTCAAAAGCATACAATAAATATACAAAGATCAAGATGATTGATATTTTGTATTAGTATTTTTATTCAATCTTATTTATTATAAATTATTATTTCAAATTAAAATAAATATAAATTGATTATTTTTATTATAAAAGAAATAGTTTAGAGAAACAGTTCAAAAAGAGAAACAGTTCAAAATGAGAAACAGTTTAAAAAAGAACAGTTTTTAAAAAAGAAATATTTTTTTTAAATTGATAAAAAAAAAACGAAAATTTTTTAACGCTCATTATTTTTATGTAAATTTGGTAAAGGCATAATGAAACTTAATTTCTTTTGTTTTAGCTTTTGCTTAATCATCTTCAATAGGGTTTTAAGCATACAAATTATCGAAAGGAAGAGCACAATATCCAGAGGAATTATAAATTTATGATAATTAATTGAGAAGAATCTTTCCTTTTTCCAATTTTTTTTAATATACTAATATAAATTTAATATAATTTACCTGTGTTATATATCTATGTTGCAATAGGATAATAAGATTAAAGAGCATAAACATTTTTTGACATACTTGTTAATGCATAATATTTATCAGCAACCTTTAAAGCTTTAAATTCATCTGTTGAGAAAATTTAATTATTTGACCATAATGATAATACTTTAGCTTATCCTTCTAAATAATTTTACCATTCAATTTATAATTGATTTAAATAATCTTAATCAAAAAGTTATATGTATTCAATAAAGTATTATCTACATTTTTCAGCTTAAGGGTTTTTTAGTTTAAATTTTTTTAATCCATCTAATATAGTAGAATTTGATTAAACAATAGTTCTCTCTTTAGGAGTGAGATGTCTGCAAAATATAAACCATGCTCTAGGTAGACTATCTTCATTTGTTTTATGAGATTATGTTAAATATCTTAATACAACTGATAATTTCCTTAGCTGTAAAAGATGTTTACTATGATTTTCTAAATAATTAGAAATTATAAAAAATGAATGATCTACACAATTACATCCAGTCCATCTTACACGAAATGGGAATTTTTTAATTCCTATTCCAATATCATCTCCAAATGTCCAACTTGGCTTAAGTGCTTTTCTCTTTTCTTTCTATTTATTTTATATGTCTTGTTATATTTCAGATCTCATTTCCCCTTAAAAACATTATTCCATAATTTGATTTATTTTTAATTTCATGCGATATTTTTATCGATCATTTAATTGCTTAGCTCCAAATTTTTAATAAAGTTTTAATCCTTATTCATCTGCTTTTTCAACCACTTGTTAGTAATTCTTTTTAAAAAATTCAATTTCTTCATTATACTTTACTATTTTGATGTTAATTATTTTAGTGAAGTTCAAGTTAAACTTTAATAATAGCATATTATAATCAAACACGTGATTCTTTTCTTTTAGATTAGATCCAAGTTGAAAGATCTTATCTTTTAAAAATTTCAGCTATTCCAAAATCGTTGGAATACAAGCACTTATATCAACAATTGCTTTAAAATAGTCATTTAAAACTTCTCCAAACCATTATAGTTTTAAGTCCCCATTCAGACCCAAATTATAAATTAGACTTTTACCTAAGTTTCAGATTTTATCAAAATATACCATCTTCTTCAAGTTTAAAAAAAACTCCATTTTGCTTTCCTTGTCCTAAATTACACATTGATACAAATCTTGTCCAAAATCCAAATGCATCAATTAGAGTTTCATTTGCTGTTAGGGAAACCTAAATTACAAATGTTTAATACCTTTGTAATGCGAAAAAGTATGATCCTATTACTCTCAACTTATTTATATAATTAGTGAACTTCTTTTAACAAATTGTTCACAACATATATCAATTAAGTTACTTCAATTGATAAAGTTCCTGTTTTCAAAAATTAAAAGTCTTCAAATGTTAAAGTTTATGTCTCATCTGAGGAAACGCATCCCATATTTTATTATTATTTATGCTACATCTCACATCAATAAATAAAATTTCACTATCGATTTATTAAATCAATCTTTTTATATTATTTCAATATCTTACAAAATTATATTTTTAGAAAAAACAAGTGTCGATGGGATATAATTTATAAATTTTATACAATTCCTTATTAAAGCGTACTTATATTTATTTTCTACAAAATATGTACAAAATATAAATAAAGACTATTCAATAATTCAGTTGACAAAATATGAGATAAGTAATTCATACTTTCTATAAATTTTCTTCATATTAATAATTATTGTTTTTAAAAAAAATATTTAGACATTACTTTTTTTTTTTAACTGTATAAATTGTATAATCATTATATATATTTATGTGAGTATATTTAAATTCTGTAAATAATAATATCTTAAATTATAATTATCCAAATTCTGTAATTATTTTTTTAATTAAGAAATAAAAATCAGATTTAACTAGATAATTTCATTATTTTTAATATTAATTATACAAAATTATAATCTTTGTTATTACTAATTTTTTTATTAATATCTCTAATTAACAATTTCTATTTAAGCAACGAAATCGAAAATTGTTTTTACTAATACTTTAAATATAGAACTAAGCTAGCTTGTTATCTTTTGTTTGAATCATTTTGAACAAACATTTCAAAAAATTTTTTGAGGTTATATTTGAAAATTATTAGACTAGAAATTAAACCTTTCAAATTAATTAAAGTATTCAAATATCACAGTATTTTTTGTTATTCATTAATTGAAAATATAGTAATATAGTAATAGAGTAAAAATTTACTAAAAAGAATACAAAAACACAAGCCAGAGTTCAATAGAGAAAATTTCTGGAATCTGTTTCTGAAGACTTTTCATAAATAAGTATAATTATTTAATTCTTTCTAATAATCTTCTAAAATAAATAAAATATAAATGATTTTCGTGAATTGAATTATTTGATTAAAGAGTGTAAAGAGTGTGAATTTTATTACATATAATTTTTCTAAGAATTAATTATGTAAATAAGAAAAATGAACATTAAAATATGATTTGGTTGTATTTTTTACAAAAAATAAGTGATTAATTTATTTTGGAAAAATATAACATTAATTTATTAACGATGAAACAAATTGTGATAAATTTTTCTGATCTGAATGATGAGGCTAAGAAAAAGTATATTAGATTTTTGGCAGAAAATAATCTAAATGCAGAGAATCAATAATTAAAGAAATCTTAATTGCCTTCATAACATCGTTCTAGATAATATAGTACATTAAGTGATATGGCAAATAGTAAAGCTTTCACACCAGCAAGTAATTGATTTTATTTAAGTAGATAGAGTCATAAAAATAAGTTTCCTAACACTTTAAGACGGATCATTCTGTTGGTAGCAAATTTAGTGATTTGGAAGAGACTTATCCAAAAATAATGAGCAAGATATAAAATAAAGATCTATTATCAAGACCATTAAAATTAAGTTTCAATGAGTTAAGTCTTTTAATAGAGGAAATATATTAAAAAAAGTTTATTGAAGATTCAAATCAAATAGCAAAGAATTAAAAAGTTCAAGAAATAGCTTTTGTAGATTATGTCTATGAATTCCTATAAAATAAATTTAAGCATTCTAAAAATTAAGTATAATTAGATATATATTAGTAAATAATAAACTTTTTAGCTTCTGTTGACTTGCATTCTTTAAAAAGGAAAGATGTAAATATTTTTTAGCAATTTTTAAAATTCAACAAATAAGAAGTGTTAACTTTTTATTTGTTTACAAGAGCAGTAATTTAAAAAGAATTAAAATTGTCATTTTATCATCGTAATTTATATTAGTTATATAATTATTAAAGCATTAAGAAAGCAAGGAATAGACAGTAATTAATTGTAGTTGAATTAAAAATAAGTTCAATAGATTTCTTTACTTTTATATGGATCTCCTGATAAATATTAAGAATTTAAGAAATATTATCCTGGTAACAATATATCTGTAAGTGAATTTTCATTTGCAGCAATTTTAATATATGAAGCTTAACATCAAACAAATAAATAAAGACCATTTTAATAATAACCAAGATCATTATCACCTCATTAATTTACAAGTAATAATAGTAATATAGAAACATTTGAATAAAGATAACCAGATTCTCCTTTATTTATGTAATCAGAGTCTACTCTGGATAATACAAAATAATAAAATGAAAAATTTTTTTCTTCTATATCTTAGAATGTAAATAATTAAAAGAAATAATAATGGACAGTATAAATAAAATTACATCGAATGGCAAATTCTGTAAATAATGTTTAGAAATTAATTAATGAAAAATTGGAAACAAAATTATCTGATTTTATAGAAGAAATGCTTTCAGAAATGGAAGATTTAACAGATGATTAGAAAAAATAATGTGTAAGTGGAATAGAAGAAAGAATTGTAGATACAGTAGCAATTTTATTGGATGCAATTTATAAATTTGATAAGTTATTGTGGTATATTAGATTAAATTTTATAAAGGTTCAAGAAATTGAATAAATAGCCAGATGAAAATGGATTAGAGTATATTGAGAATTTATAGAAACTTTATAGATCTTTAGTAAAAGCAAAATAGCCTTTAGATGATTAATTAGAATAGCTATGTTAATAGATGATGCAAGTAAATATTAAATAAAATAATATAAAGACTCCAGATTTGGCGAAACAAATTGGAAATGAATTATTATAATACTTTTATAATTGTGAATGATACTTAATAAATAAATAAATATTTATATGTCATAATAAATTTGGGGTAATCCATAAGGTTGGGATGCTGCAGAATGGTAATCTGATGCAACTTGGGCTGATAGATTTATGTATATAGATCCTTACTTCTGGAGGTAATAATTAATTTTTATTTTTAAATCTTAGTTATTTTGGTGTAGCTTTGGCTTTGGCAACATCTATTATAGGAGCATCATGGGGTATATTTGTTACTGGTGTATCATTATTGGGCTCAACTGTCAAAGCACCACGTATTAGATCTAAGAATTTAATTTCTGTCATTTTTTGTGAAGCTGTTGCTATTTATGGTGTCATTATGGCCATCATTATGATTGGCAAAATTGGACCTATTGAAGATATTCCAACAGACTAAAATGGAATTAATTTATGTTATACATATGCACTTTATTGTGGCTATTCTTTATTTTGGACAGGTGTTTCTGTAGGATTATCTAACTTAATTTGTGGGTAAAATTTATTATTATATTCTATAGTATTGCTGTTGGAGTTACTGGTTCTGGTTGTGCTATTTCTGATGCTTAAACTCCAGAAACCTTTGTTAAAATTCTAGTCGTGGAAATTTTTGGATCAGCCCTAGGATTATTTGGAGTCATTGTAGGAATTATTCAATGTTCAGGAGCTACTTTTCCTAAAGTTTGTCCCACATCTTGAATTGCATATTCAAATTACATATAAATATATAATATTCTATGTTTTAACTTTCATCGTTTGAATTTTATTTTATTTATTAACAAATTAATAATATGAATAACTTAAACAATAATATTCACAATAATAACGAAAAGATCTCTGATTCTATTTTTAATTACTATCAGGATTCCTTTTTTAATCAAACCATCACTATTATCAGAAAAAATAGATAAGTTGAGAAAAAAATAAGAATCTCAATCTGTGGCACTCATTTATTTTATTGATTTTTACTATTTAAATGTTACATTCTAAATTTATTAAATTATATAATTTATTAAACATATTTTTATGATCTTGATGTAATATTATTAAATCTATTTCACATTTTTATTTTATTTTTCAATATTTCTATATACATATATATATTCTTATTAAAAAAATAAAATAAACTAATAGATATTTATTTTATTTTTCTCTTTTTTTTTAAATCAATAATTTTATTAAATTTTCTAGCATGGAGTCTAGGTAAAACAAAAGATTTTTTTTCTAAAGGACATTCTATAATTGAATTTCAGAATTTATTTTATACTAAATATCAATAACTTATCTACATAATTATTTAATCAATACAGCAAAACTTCAATCTCAAACAGAGATAATTGATAATTTTTGAATAAAAAGATGAGTTTTATTAAATCTATTACTTTTAATTCTATAATTTTTATAAATGAATTTCCAAACCCAATTCATTCACTCATACTAAATAATTAGTATTAGAAATTCTTTGTTATTAAAATCTTTAATGTTGCTAGAAAATATTTTAAATAAGTTGGAATACAAATTATTTTTTTGATAATTTATGATTCAATTTTTCTTATGCTTAATTAATATATTTTGGATTTATTAAAAAAAATAAACTTTTGTTATCTCATCATAAAATTATAATAGTAGATCTTTTAATTAAATGCTTGTTTTAATGTAATAATCATCTAAAATGAAGTAAAGCTCATGCTGATTAATTTTTAATTACCTAATTTTAATTATAAATTGATAATGAATAAGTTTATGATGAAATAGAGATTATCAAGAAAAGTAAAAATTTTGAATTTAAAAAACGATAACTGATTAATAATTAGACATTTTATTAAAGATAATAAAATGATGATAAAGTATGAATTATATTCTTGAAAATCAATATGAGATATTTAATCTAAAATAATTTGAAACTTTTCTAATTCAAAAATAAACTTTAAATATTTTTTGGTTTATTTAGTTATTTTATTTAAATTCTTAATTTTTGAATTTTTTTTCAGTGCATTTTATAATATTCCTGTTAAATAAAGTATTAAAAGAAAAGGTAGTAAAATATAAGTTAATGTATTTATTTGTTAATAAAGTTTTAAAGCAAAAACTAATTACTATATGGAATTAGTTTTAGAATAATATAAGAATAATAATAAGAAAAAAGAATAATATAAATTTAAAATGTAAATTTTCTTATAATTTCTGTGGGAAACATGTTAAGTATAAATAATGAATGGGTTTATGATTTAGATTTGATGATATTAATTATAATTGTATAGTATATTTTTATGTGATTTAAAGTTGATTGAGTGTAATGAATTCTGATTTAATAAAAATATTAAATAAATCATCACAAATGGCATTCTAATAAGACTATGACTATTTATTCAAGATCCTTCTGATAGGTAATTCAGCAGTTGGCAAGGTAAGATATTGAAAATAATATATAAGAGTTCATTATTGTTACGATTTTCAGATTAGATTTTTAGTGAGTCTTTTCTTCCAACAATTGGTGTAGATTTCAAAATTCGTACTTTTGACATGTAAGGAAAATCAGTAAAGATGTAAATTTGGGATACAGCAGGACAAGAGAGATTCAAAACAATAACAGCATCATATTATAAAGGAGCACATGGAATAATTTTGACTTATGATATTACAGACAAATAAAGTTTTAAGGATATTGAGAATTGGTTAGCAGGTAAGAAATATATATATAAAAATAAAAGAGGTTGAAAAACATGCTTCTGAGAATGTGGTTAGATTATTAGTAGGTAATAAGGCTGATTTAGAAAGTAAGAGATAAGTTACTTTTGAAGAGGGTAAAGAATTGGCTGATAGTTTGGGGATTAAGTTTATTGAAGCATCAGCTAAAGCAAATACCAATGTTGATTAAGCCTTTATGACTTTGGCAAATAATATCAAAGCCAAGATTGGAAAGTCTGAAGATAAACCAACTCCAGGGGGAAAGACTCCAACAGGTGGTTTAAAGAATCCATAACCTACAAAAAAGGAAGGAGGTTGTTGTTGAAATTAAGATAAATTATTAAATAATGGGATTTAAGGAAGCATTCACAAGATAAGGTGATGGAGAGAATCTACTCTTCGATGATGATGCATTCATCTATTTCGCCATATCTATTCTTACTCTAGTTATTCTTCCTTTAGTTTACTCTGTTATCAAGCCTCTCTTCTCTACATATGTGTTGGGAGAAAATAAAAGAAAATTTGCACGTGTCCCTAAAAGCACTAATGACTAACAGAATCTATTAATGGCTAAATAAGAATTAAAACTTAAATGGCTTACAACAGCTTATGTGTTTAAAGTAAAATAATTATTCAATTTTTAGATCATAATACTTGTGGCTCTATTGTTATTACTTAATGCATCTATTTAATCATTACCGAACACTGAAAAAATTAAGGGCTTTGATCCTTATGAGATTTTAGAAATTGATCCTAGTGCAACAGAATAAGAAATTCGTAAAGCATATAGAAAGATTTCATTAAAATTACATCCAGATAAAAATCCTGATGATCCATAAGCAAATCAAAAATTTATACTACTTACAAAAGCTTATGAATGTTTAATAGATGAAGATAAAAAATCATTATGTATGAAATATGGAAATCCAGATGGACAATAAAGTTTATCTGTTGGAATTGCTATGCCATCATTCCTATTGAAAAAAGAAAATAGAGCTGCTTTTTTAGCAGTCATTTTTCTTTTACTTTTGGTTGTTGTACCTATAATTGTTTTGTATGAATTAAGATCTATTGGAAAATATGATTAAAATGGAATTATGCTTAGTAATTAAGAAAAGTTTGAAAGAGGATTAGAGGAAAACTTATTAATCAAAAAAGGAGTAGAATTATCTAGTTCAAGTGATGAATTATGTAGATTAAGAGTTAAATCAGAATAATAAAATATTGCTTTAGAAAAACTTGTCAATGAATTAAAAGAAGAAGCTGAATTAAGAAAAATATAAAAGTTTGAAATTACAGAAGCACTTGAATCATCAAAAAAATAAAAGAAGAAAAGAAGAGTTACGATTTCTATAGCAATGATACTTATCTATGCTCATTTATTTGGTAAACCAATCCCTGAAAGTTTATAATCTATGTATAGATCTACAATTAAGATAGTTCCAAAACTAGTTAATTCAATGGTAAGATTAGCATTTGAATTCTCTATGAAATATAAAGTTATTTAATGGAGACAAAGAGGAAGGTTTTAAACTAAATTTATGGGTGCTAGATGCATTAATAACATTTTATAATTTTCTTAATGCATTGTATAAGGAATATATGAAACAGATAATCCAATTAATTAAATTCAATTTTTTGCTACAAAAGCTAAGGATTATATTAAAAAAGGAAAAATGCCAGTCTTTTAAGAATTAGTTTAAAAATCAGTTGATTAAAGAGTGGTATAATCATATTTAATCCAAATAGTTACCAAATTGGGTACCTGAAGAATTTAAGGAGGAAATAATGAATGAAATCAATATGTTTCCCTAATTAGAAATCAAACATGAAGTAACTGTTGATGATGAATCAATTGTTGAATAATGTAATGAAGATATATTTAGTGTATTAATTATTTATTTCTTAGATTAAAATCACATTAACTAGATTAAATACTCCAGAAGGATAAGATATTCCCTTCGCTCATTCAAATAGATTTACATATGTAAAAGAGGAGGGATGGCATATTTTAATAACATTTTCAAATGAAGTTTATTATTATGCATAATTGAACGGAGCTTCTCGTGTACAAAGCACAGAATTCAAATTCTAACCAAAAATGTATTTTGGAGATGTAGTTGAATTTGAATTTACTTTATTTGTCATTTCAGATTGTTACAGAGGTTTGGATGCTGAAATACCTATTAAATTTAAAGCTAAGAAAGCTAATTAAATAAGCAGAGTATATTAATAATATAGTTTAGGCAGTTGAATATCATAAAGAAGATTAAGAATTAGATAAATCACTTCCATTTATTTAATCAATGCTATTTCCAATGCAAAATAAAGTTGAAGATAGTGATTCAGAAGATGAAGATTAATCAAAGAAGGAAGATGAATGAATTGTTGAGTATTAGAAAATTATCAATATAATTTTATTTTAATGATCTAGTATTATTAGTAAATTTGTAATCTAAAAAATATGAGTAAAAAGTAGTCAAAAAAAATTAATGACTTCTTTATTAGTTTAATATTAAATATGACTGAATACAAGAGATGTCCTTCTTGGTAAGATTTAGCTTATGATTGAGTTTGGAACAAGTTTTGTCTACTAATTTCCTGCTCCATTCACTTTATTGTGAAAGAAACATTGTTCAATGTGAATTATGCGATCAACGTATAGATATTAATGAAAAAGAAGAACACATGATATTACATTAAAAAGTAAATATTTTATCTATTTTAACTTAGAAACCATGTTTCTATTGTCATCTAAACTACGAATAGCATCTCTTATAAACACATTAGAAAAATTGTTCAAATAAGCCATTATTGTGTGTCTATTGTGATTTGATGATAAACTAATAAGAAATGGCATAACATCAAGCTAAATGTGGATCCAGAACTGAATAATGTACTATTTGTAAAAAGCACATCTAAAAAAAAGGTATAAATATATTGAGGCTTTTTAGAATTTGATATTCATATATCTATTTGTTAATAACCTTCTCCTCCCTCTCCTAAAAGAGAAAAACTTAAACAAAAGCTTTGTGAAAGTTCAGATGATCTTTCAGTATAAGAAATAAAGCCAAATCCTTAATAAAAGCGTCCATAAAAGAAGTAGATCAAGAACTGTGCTCAAAATTAAAAAAAAGAATAAAAAGATTAAAAGTAATAATTCTAAAAGGGTTTCTTGGATGATGATGAAGATGAAGAGCTTCAAAAAGTATTATAGTAGAGTTTGAATTAAAAATGAATTAATAAAGTTTGTGCGTAAGATTTAGAGCATTGCATCAAAATAGACATCTCTCTCATCCTATCTATCATACACCTAAACCTAAATTAAAACGTAGTTTCAGCTTACCTAAACTTTTCGTCTTTAATCCAGTTAAGCAATTTCATAGCATCCCTCAGAAAATGAGAAGAAAAAGTTGTGATTGTAAGGAATGTGGTCGAATGACTAACTTTCAATATAGAAATATGAATGTCCCACTCATTCTTAAACCTTCTAGAATTAGAAGGTAACCTTCTCTTAGAAATAATAGATTATTGACTGCATAAAATACAAGTATATATATGCCTGCCATATAATTATTTTAGAAAAACTATTTCGCAAATTTTCTGCTTCAAAACAAGATACTTTGATTTGCACTTCTTCTTCTTAATTAATGCTCACTTCTCTACGTAGAGCTTCAGCAAGAACCACTGAAAAACTCATTGAAGATACTCAAATTCGCATATTTGAACCTCCTAAGTCTTGTAAAAGCCATTTATTATAAAATATTAACAAATCAGAAATACAAAAGATTACCTTATAAATTCCTAAATCATAACGAATTGTCAAAACATAACCCTCAGAACATACAAAAATTAAATTACCTCAAACTTATAAAAGCTTGAAGCTAATTTAAAAGAGAAACTTTCTTTGTACATACTTGAATAAATATAAGAAATCTAAAACATAAATCAATTTATAAAAGATCTGAAAATACTTCATAAAAGAATTATACAAACAACAAATTAATTATTTTAAATTATATTATTATATATTTATCAGTTTTCTTACTCATTATCTCTATTTAATCAGCCTTTATATAGAAAATAAATAAAATCAATAAAGCAATTTCTCAATACAATATCATTTATGAGATCATAAGAATCAAAAAATTTTTTGTATATATATTTATCTATTCACTCTATGTTTTTATTGGTTTATCATTATAAACTCTAGAAAATTTTGAATTATATTTAATTCAATTTATTTCAAACATTTTTAAATGTTTTTTCAGATCATTTTTATTAAGAATGTACTGCTTTATTAGAATATTTTAAACTGATAAAAATAGGCGTCTTCCCTAATCTATTTCATGAACTTGACATTATTCCAAAAAATTGATTTTAGGAAATGCAATAAGAAAAAAATCTAATTATAGAATGACTCTTAAAATAATTTATGAGGATTCTTTTCTCTAGTCACAATTTATAAGGGCAAAGTATTTAGAATTTATATTATTCATTTAGATAGATAAATTTTAAAGTTAAATTAAGTCAGCTTTCTAAAAAAATATTGTTAAAGTCAGCCTTCTATTAAAATGATATTTTTATTTATTAGATCTCTTCTAACATTAGAAACATAATTTTAACATAATATAATGTTAAAATTGAAAGAAGTAAAATGTTTGATGAAATATTCTGATAAAAAATTTCTAAACAGTTTTAGTTGTTAAAGTAAAGAGGAGAGTTAATAAAATGGATATATGATGAGTGATAGTAATAAAAAGATAAAATAATTAATGTAAAATATTTGTTTTTTGATAATAAACAAATGACGGAATTGAGATAATTTAAAATAAAAAAAAAAAAATTAAAAAACGTATAGTTTGTGTAATTTAAGCCAAATAAGGGTGGCTTAGAAAACATTAATAATATTAATGAAAGCCTTATTGATCTTAGGATTAGTGATCTTCACACAAGCCGTCTTTGTCAAGCATGCTTCTGAACCACATGCTGCAGTCTTCGCTTAACTCGAAGCACTTGAAGACCACCCATTGGGAAAGAAGATTTTGGACACAATTGCCTTGTAAATGAAGAACAAGTCACCACTCTCTGACATTGCCAAGATGTTATAAGATTTAAGAGAAAACTTAGTCCTTTAATAACAAGATGCCGAATTAGTCCACGTTGCTTAAGAAGCTGATTGTGAAGCTGAAATCTATGGATATAACAGAAGAATTGACTTCGCTTCCAACGAAATCACAGAAGCCACCATTGATATCAACAAGTACACTGCTGATATTGAACTTTTGGAAACAGATATTGCCAACAAGGAATAATAATTATAAATCTTAGCTAACTAAGAAGAATAACTCAGATAAAAGAGAGCTGAAGACCATGCTTCATTTGAAGAAAGATAAGTCACAACCCCAAAGGTCGTTGAAGCCCTCGACGTCATTGCCGCTAAATTGAGCGCTATCTAACCAGAAGCTGATGCTGAAGCAGTCCTTGCTGAATTAGAAAGAGTTGGTGGAAACAACCCCATCCTTGCCCTCGTTTAATTAGCCTCAACATTCTCAGCTGAAAAATTATAAAATGTCTAAGACAAGATTGCTGAATTGAGAGCTTCATTAGAATAATCCATCATCGATGATTAAGAAGAAGAAGTCTAAGCTTAATTAAACTTCGAAGCTTAAATCGTTGAAATCAATGAATAAAGAGCTGCCCTCTAATCTGAAAAGGCTGACTCCGAAACCAAATTAGGATAAGCTTAAGTCTAATTAGCTGCCGCTAAAAAGAGAAAGTATGATGCTGGAAGAGAACTCGACTCAGCCACCAGAGGAAAAGTTGCTAAGGAAGCTGAATGTGAAGCATGGAGAACTTAATATGCTAGAGACACCGAATAAAGAACCGTCGAAATTGGTATCATCAGATAAGTCGAATAAATCCTCGCCACCAAATTAGAAGGTGCCTCCTCATACATCAAAGGAAGAATTAACTGAACTTGATCATTATAAAACCATTTAACCAAATTTCTTTCATTTTTTTCATTTTTCTTCTACTTCTTTATTTTATTAAAAATATATTATACATATTTTCTTAATATTTATTATATCGATCTATCCTTATAAATCATCTTTCTTATTCATTTTCAATTTCTTATTATATTATAAATATATATAATTCAAATATATTTATAATATATTATTGCTTTTCACTTCTATTAAGAATCACAAAATCAATTATTTGACTCATTTTCTCAAAGAATACATTATTATTATAAAAATTATTGAAAACTTCCATATGTAATTTTTACTGGAAAAAGTTGACTACTTCTTAATTGAATGTCTTTATTTCAATTTATACCCTTTACACTTATAATTTTTATTGTGTTTTAACATTCAATGTTTAGAAGACACTCTAATTAGTATAATAAATTATGAAGCATAAGCTAGAGCATTTTAAATGGAAAAAAACAAACATAAAATGATATCACATCTTGTTTATCATTCTCTGAATTATACCTTTTTTTAAGGTTTTTCTTTACAATTCATAGAACTACATGATGAATCAGGATTTTAGTCATTTGTTCTTGCGCTTAATATTCCTTTCAAGCAATCATACTAAAATTTTATTTCTTCTTCAACTACAATTTTAGGTTCCAAATATGTAATCAAATGTTATTATCGAGGAGAAGTAGGACGAGATGATAATATAATATCTCCATCCTAATATGTATACAATTAACAATGATCTTATATCAATTCTTAAAAGTTTGCCAATTACAGAGAGTCTCCCATTGATTTTATAAGGCTGTCTTATTATTTCAAAGCCACTATCTCTTCTTACCCTTGTGAGACAGGATTAGTCATAGAACAACAATAATTGCCCATTATATATATTAATATTAATGTTTTCTGATACAACACTCTCTACTTCTTTATAATAAATTAAGAAATAAAAAGATTTAAGAGAAACTTAATTATCGAAAAAAACCCCTTATACTGAATTCTTCAATTATAGCTTCTAAAAAATATACTTTATTTAGATTTTATAAATATTTTATATGATAGTTAATTTTATTTTAAATTTTATATTCGAGCTTAAAAATACATTAAGCTATTCCATTAGGCATATATGATTACAAATTCTTAGATCATAAATAGAACTGTTCTCTTTTTTTGACCCATTTCAGAATTGAAAAATGTTACTGAATTTTCAATCAATTTAAAATTGAATTGAGAGGATGATTAAAACCCCATAAATCCATCCTTTTAGCATTTTATTTTAGAATAATAGGTTTATTTAAAGCTGTAATAAAATCTAGAATACCATCTAAATCATAACTATTTTTATTTTTCAATTTTAATAATTTCTAAATTTAAATGGTGAATCATTTTTTTAGTTGTAAATTTTTGTTTTCTCTTTTTATTGTGATTTGTATCATTGTGAGTCTAAATCCTAAGCCTATCCCAGTCTTCAAAATAAAAAGGAGAGGCTAGAATATTATAAATAACAAGATGCATAAGGATTTATGATACTGTAATTCTTTGATTAGGATTTTATCAATTATGATAATAAATTAAGTGCTTTTATCATTTTTTTGTTGAATTAAATGTAACACTAGTTTTTTTCAATCATAATTAAAATTATTATTAACATTTGAAAAAATTGATAAATATTTTGACTTTGATTTTTATATTAGAATCATTGGAAAATAATTTATTAGCTAATTAACTTTTTACTGATTGTATAATAAAAAGGGGTAATTTAATGCAAAACCTTATTATCAAATTAGTTGTCAATCTTCTGTTCAGGCATTTGATTTAAATGTACTTTAAATAGATTTGACTCATGTTACTCTAAAGTAGACGAATTTTATAGAATTATTTAAAACTCATTATTTTCCTTGAACAGAGCTTTGTTTAAAAAATAAATAACCCATAAATAATAATTATATACAAAAAGTAATTTTGATGAGATAGCAAAGAGTCAAATCAGATATTTTAGGAGATCAAGTTTACAGGATATTTAATCAATCTTATTTAAAAAGTAAATTTGATGGAAAAATGGAATGAGATGATTGAGGAGTTTTGGAAAGATAAGAAATCAATTTAATTTTCATTTAAAAAAGTAAGTGCAAAANACTTTATTTAGATTTTATAAATATTTTATATGATAGTTAATTTTATTTTAAATTTTATATTCGAGCTTAAAAATACATTAAGCTATTCCATTAGGCATATATGATTACAAATTCTTAGATCATAAATAGAACTGTTCTCTTTTTTTGACCCATTTCAGAATTGAAAAATGTTACTGAATTTTCAATCAATTTAAAATTGAATTGAGAGGATGATTAAAACCCCATAAATCCATCCTTTTAGCATTTTATTTTAGAATAATAGGTTTATTTAAAGCTGTAATAAAATCTAGAATACCATCTAAATCATAACTATTTTTATTTTTCAATTTTAATAATTTCTAAATTTAAATGGTGAATCATTTTTTTAGTTGTAAATTTTTGTTTTCTCTTTTTATTGTGATTTGTATCATTGTGAGTCTAAATCCTAAGCCTATCCCAGTCTTCAAAATAAAAAGGAGAGGCTAGAATATTATAAATAACAAGATGCATAAGGATTTATGATACTGTAATTCTTTGATTAGGATTTTATCAATTATGATAATAAATTAAGTGCTTTTATCATTTTTTTGTTGAATTAAATGTAACACTAGTTTTTTTCAATCATAATTAAAATTATTATTAACATTTGAAAAAATTGATAAATATTTTGACTTTGATTTTTATATTAGAATCATTGGAAAATAATTTATTAGCTAATTAACTTTTTACTGATTGTATAATAAAAAGGGGTAATTTAATGCAAAACCTTATTATCAAATTAGTTGTCAATCTTCTGTTCAGGCATTTGATTTAAATGTACTTTAAATAGATTTGACTCATGTTACTCTAAAGTAGACGAATTTTATAGAATTATTTAAAACTCATTATTTTCCTTGAACAGAGCTTTGTTTAAAAAATAAATAACCCATAAATAATAATTATATACAAAAAGTAATTTTGATGAGATAGCAAAGAGTCAAATCAGATATTTTAGGAGATCAAGTTTACAGGATATTTAATCAATCTTATTTAAAAAGTAAATTTGATGGAAAAATGGAATGAGATGATTGAGGAGTTTTGGAAAGATAAGAAATCAATTTAATTTTCATTTAAAAAAGTAAGTGCAAAAAAAATCTATTTTATAAATAAATATTTTAGAATAAAAATAGGATTTGAATTAGAAAATATAATTGATGAGTATTTTTGATTGAAATGACATATGTTTATTAAACACATCATGTATTAATTGATGAGAATTAAAAATTTTTCAATTTTATATCAAAAATCAGTTCTACTATTTTTGGTCATCGAAATTCTTTGAGATAATTAATTTTATCCATTAAATTAAGGTTTCTTATTAAACAACGATGATATTTCATCTCCTTATCCTTGTGTATTTCTTTTACTTATCACTCTAGTTCGAACTGGTTTATTAAGATTATTAATTATTTTTTTATCTTTTTTTTCATCTGAAAATGGGTCATCTCTAAAAATAAATGAAATAAATACATTAATTTAAGTTTCTTTTTTATTTTAATAATTTGATTGATTGCTTCAGCACTAAAAGTATATGAAGAAAATTAATGAACAAAATTTCTTTTTCGTTCAAAGTATTTTGTGAGAATACGGAGTGCTTTAGCAATAACTACTTTTGGATTATTCCAAATAAAATAGAACTAGAAATTTTTCATAGTTTCGAATTCTTCTAATTCCATAGAATATGTTTGCTTATCAAAAATTGGTATAGAAATTTCTTATGAAGGATTATCTGATACCAATTTAGTAGTTCTATGCGTTTTAGCAGTTCTATTAGTTTTAGTTTTTGTATATCTTCTTTTATCATTGATATCTATTGAAACTCTTTTATGATCAATTGATTAGACTGATGGTATAATGGGTAGTTCTGCTTAGATGTCTCTAAGTTTTGATTTTCTATGAATATGTTTTTCTCTTTCTTAATTTATATCTAATTAAGTTTGAGATGAAAATGGTTAATAGGATTCTTCCCTATTTTAATTTTAAATGGCACTTATATGCTTTTGTTAAATTCTTCCAGGTAAATTTTTTGGACTATGTAATCCATCATTTTTTTAAATAGATCTCTAATCTTCTCTAACACCATGGTTTGAGATATGTGGAGCAATTTCTTTTTCATAATCCTCGAATGATATTTTCTTTTGAAGATTATCTTACAAACCAAAACCAGCAGTTTAAACTGTATGTTTGACTGAAACATTTCTTTTTTTGATAAGATTTGGACTTTAATCAGAATCATCATTTTCTTAAATAGGTATTAAATTTCTAGTATTATTGGTATGATTGTTATCATTTTATAAATATGATGGAATTTAGGATTGTTGTCTAGAAATTTTCGAGTAACTTTTATTTTGAGAAGCTAGAATATAAATAAATAAGGATCTTACAGTCATAAGGATATCCATCATTATCATCATATTAAGCTTCTGAATCATCTTCATTAATTGTAAGGTTATCATTATAAAGTTCATTTAATTGAAATTCTTTAATAAGTGAATGATTTCTTTTCAATTCTAAAAGAGTTGCAAAATGATTCTTATCAGATTTCTATCTAATATAAGTAACATTTCTTAATTATAAGAATGGAAAATTATCTTTTTTAATTACTTTTTCCTTATCTGGAACAAAATGTAAGATTGGACAATCTTTGATTAGATGATTAGATTTGTTACATGAATAACATTATAATTAAGCTGATTGATAATTATCACTTTATAAGATTTAATCTCTTACTTCACAAAAACGTTGCTAAAAAACAATAGAATAAATAAAATTACTAAATCTATTTCATTAGTTTGGAGTACATTAATTAATTTTTATCTGGTGATTTTATATGCTCTTGAAAATCCAATGCTTTTAGCTGATGCAGTTCTATTGAGACCAGTAAAAAATGAATATTCACCAAAAGATTATCCTTTTTATAAATATTAAAGCACTTTAGCATTTTTACCTTGAGGTTCATTTTAAAAAAGAATAGAAACTGTACCTTTAGTAAGAAGATAAAGCGAACAATCATCTTGAATATCTTGTAAAATAATTTAATCTTCAGGAGAGAACCTCACTTCTTCAATAATCAAGGATAATTCTCTTAAAGTTTTTTAAGAGAATCTAGTTAGAACTTAATTAGTTTTCATAACATTTAGTCTAATTTCAAAATTGAGTTCTTCTTATAAAGAACTAGATAGTTTAGTAGTAATTTAAGAGACTTCTTCATCATTAATTTCTTATTCTTCTTAGAAAATATAATCATAATAATTTCTAATTCTTGATTAGAGTTCTGCTTTAATTTGATTTTTAGTTAAGAATTGATTAAGTAGATTAGTACTTCTTTTATAGAGTACTTATCTTGAATTTAAATTACTAAGCATTAATCCAATGCTATTGAAAGAGAAAGCAAATACACCACAGGCTAAAAACATACTAAAATTGACACATAATCTTTCATAATTATTTTATGGAGTTAAATCACCATAACCAACAGTAATCATAGTTTAAACAGCCCAATAGAATGCATAATTGTATTTTATAAAGATATCAGCATCAGCTATATTTTAACTCTCTAACCAAGTTTTATCATGTCCAATTTAATAGAAAGCAACACTATGCCAAAGACAAGCAAATAGATGGCCAACATAAACTACCAGAAATAGTAATTTCACTAATTCTATAAGATCCTATACTACTCCAGAGAAATTGAAAAATCTAAAACTTATATATTTTTATCTACTCTTCTAATTTATGAACTCTCCCTTACAGTTTGAATACTCTACTACTATAGTAGATTGTTAATGGAATTATTCGCCAACCATAATTTTCATATGAACTATCAATATTTGAATATTAGGCTACAAGCATCGAAACAACTGAACACTTAAACATAAATTTAATAATTTTACTAAATCAAAGATAGCCTAGCTATTAATATAATTCATGAATATCTTGCCTCTAGACTTAATGATTATTCCCTTTTCTATATATGATGTATTTATCACTATAAATCCATCTATTATTATGGAAAACAGAAAGTAAAATTCCACTTCTTTAACCATCATATTACCAAATACAACTTAATCAAATGTAATTCCAAAAGACAAGTTAAAAGGAGTCCAAAAAAATATTATTATTATTGTGAGCATGTACAACATTTACCAACCAATAACTAAAGCACTGCTTTAATCTAAAATAGGTACAAATCTTAAGTTCTTACAAATCTTCCTAATTATATTTTTCTGTGTATGCTATTTAGAATCCATGTATCTTAAATCATCCAGTATTGTATTTTGATATATGCTAAATTGTGACAGCTTTCTCACATAAGCTCTTTAAAGTAAAACATCAATAAAATGATTGTAATGGCTTTTAGCAATTACTAATTTAAGGAAATTTTTCACTCCCTCTTTTGAAGGATTACTTAAATTACTATAAGCTAAATCTTGCATTTATTCTTTATTTTGAACACTCCCTAGAATTTTCTCTTCTAATAAAGAAGTTTTGGGAGTAAATTAGATGGCCCCTGAATTAGGAGATTAAGATGGATTGATTTGTTCTGTTGCTTTAGGTAAACTAATCATTGAAGGTGGTTAAATTGAATTATCTACTCCCTCCTAAAGGGGATCAAATTTTGGAGCAAAGTTTGCAGGACCTGTGAATTATTATTTCACTTGCTCTTCATTAGAACTTTAAGGAATTATAGCAAATTAAGAATTGCCATTATCTCCATAATCTTATAGCAGATCAGATAAACTCATTAATTAAATAATGACTTATATTCTGTACTGTTATAGCTCATCACTTTGAATTATATGTGTCCTATGAAAATCTTCATTAAAGTTTATATTCATTTTCTAAAGAACCAAAGTTAAGATTATCAATATTTATACCCTTGAATATGCAATTTTATATTCAAAGTTAAATTTTTATCTGAAGACCAATTTGATTTTGGGAACTGTAGAAAAAAATAATCTGGAAAATCAGTTTTAAAATTAAACGCTACTCAAAATACTTACATTCATATCGACTGTGAGCCAATCAATTAAATAAGCATTATTTAAAAGGATTTTAATTTATATGTATATAAAATGATATTGGAGATTAAAATTAATGTTTTTATTTGGGATATTTATTTAATGGTTAATTTTTTGGATCAAATTAGAAGATCAAACTAATATTTATATATAACTTAGATGACAGGATTATTGTAAAAAAGATTTTTTATAAATTGAATAATATCAAATATTTAGATTTATAATGAATAGGGAACATTTTAAGAATTTAAAAAAATTAAATTATTTAGTATAAATATTTGATTATAAATTCTAGAATTTTTAGTCAATTACACGTAATAATTAAAATTATGAAATAGCTTCTCTTGCTCTCTTTACTTGTTTTTGCAGCATTGGCTGATTACGAATACGATGGTGATGTAATGGTACTAACAGAAGAAACATTTGATCAAGCATTTAATGAATTTGATTATTTGATGTTTGAATTCTATGCTCCTTGGTGTGGACATTGCAAAGAACTTGCACCTAAATATGCTGAAGCAGCTACTGCTCTTAGATCTGAAGGAATAGTATTGGCAAAAATAGATGCAACAGTCTAAAAGAAATTAGCAGAGAAATATGATGTCAAAGGATATCCAACTATTAAATTTAGTGCTAAATAAACTGTAAAAGATTTTGAAGGTGGTAGAACTGCTGATGGAATTAAGAATTGGATTTATAGTAATCTTAATCCTGAAAGTGAATTACTTGAAACACTTGAATAAGTAAATGAGGCCATTGCTTAAAATAATGTTTAATTTATTTATTTTGCAGAAGAATAAAGTGAAAAGGATAGAGAATTGAGAAAATACAAAGAATTCTCATTCACAATGAAATAACATTTTGCTCACACAACTACTAAATCGATAAGAGAAGCTTTGAATATTCCAAAAGGAACATATTTTGTTGGATTTAGAAATCAATAACCATATTATTATTAAGGAAAATTATCATTCCCAATAATGAGAATATTTGTTGAGAATGTTGCCAATGAAAGAATTCAAGAATATTCTGAGAAAAAGTACTTATTAGATGAAAGAATAACTAAAAATAAACCTTTTGTTATTGTTTTCTCTGATGAAGCAGAAGCTTAAGCTGCTGCTCATACTTGGTCTTTCTAAGATGAATTACTTTTTATAAAGAATGTTGATGAAGAATTTACTAGAAAGATTTAAATTAGATCTTAGGATTAAAAAGGAGTTTTTATTATTAAAGGAGATTAAAAATATAATAGAGTTTAAGGCTAAAGTGTTAGTGAATTTTTAGAAGCATTTTAATCTGGAAAAGCTCATAAATATTTGAAATCATAGGCTGTTCCATAATAATAAGGATTAGTCAAAATTTTGATTGGTGATACTTATGATAATGCAAGAGCTGTTAATGATTCAATAATCTTATATTTTGATTCTTAAAACTAAGAACAGTAATTATTTAATTTAATTATTTAGCAATGCAGTATAAGAATAATTTTTGAAAGTGGCTGAAAGACTACAATAAAATAAACAATTGACATTTAATAAAATTGATTTATCATAAAATGAAGTCAGTGATTTGGCTGAATCTATAGAAATAGTAAAGATAAGATTATATAAAAATAACTAATCAACAAAGTTTGTAATTAGAGCAAATAAGATCTAAGAAGAAAGGTTTGTTAAATGGATTGTAGATAATGCAGCTAGTTAAGTAGTAGATCCAAAAGCTGAATTATGATTGTGTAAAATAATATAATTATAGTATATATTCTATATGGAAAATTCTAGATTAAGTATAATACACAATTTATATCCTAATTTATTTCGTCATTGAATAATAAATAAATATGGCAGATTAACTTGTTTTAGGATATTGGGGAATCAGAGGATTGGCTCAACCATGTATAAATAAATATCATACTTTTAGTGAGATACATGATAGAGTATTTGGGTTTACCATATGAAGATAAAAGATATCTTAAACCTGAAGAATGGTTTGGAGTACTTAATTAAGCTCCATTCAATACACATGTCCTTGTGAATTTACCATATATCAAGGATGGTGATAAGTACATCTATGAGAGTGCTGCTTTATATGTCTATTTGGCACATAAAGCAAATAGAGCTGACCTCTTAGGATCAACACCAGATGAATAAGTTGCTGTAACTTAAGTCAGAGGTGTCATTTAAGATGCCTTAAAAGGATTCTTCCATATTATTACACTACCTGAAGATTAATATGCAGCCAAGAAAGAAGAACTTTATGCAAATGAAGTCGCTTGGTTGATTGAAAGATTAGATAAATTCATTGAAGGAAAAGCATGGGCAGCTGGAGCCAATCTTACATACATTGATTTTGCTCTCTTTGAATTAGAAGAAACATTGAAATCTTTCCATCCAGAATCTTGGGCAAAATTTACTAATCTTTAAAAACATCACCAAGAATTCTCAAACATTCCTTAAATCAAAGATTATCTTGCTTCTGGTAGATTCCTTGCAGGACCCTTCTATCCACCTGGTAGATTTAGATGGGGATTCTGATCATTATATTAAAAAAAATATATTATTAAATATTTTATAATCATCTAATCTAATTATTTTTTTATGTTCAAAAAATTTATTTAGAGTATCATCTTTTAATTTTTTCACATTTTTTATATTATCATTTTTTTTAAATATTTATGAAATAACAATTTAACATCTAAAATTATTTAGAACAAAAATAATGTTGCCTTTTTAAAATATTTCCTATTTTTCTCATCAAGTTTTGAATGTTAATCTTTAATATTTCTCCATTATTATTATTTTTCATTTTTCTATTATTACAACTATAATCTTCCTTAAAATTAATTGTAAAATTATAATCTCATAAATTCTACAGCCTCACAGAATCAGAGTCTACTTAATTTTATTTTTATATATTTTGAATTAATTAAATGATTTTTCAATTTTGAGTAAAATATAAATGTTTATCCTAAGAATTGCTCTTAAGAATTGAGTACTCTTTTAAAAATCAAAGGCATATTTTTCACTATGTAGAGCAAATTACTACTCAAATAAAACATAATTATTGATTTTAGAATAAATTCAAAAATAACACATATTTGGATATTTTCTAAATATTTTAGAAATTATGGGATTACTTAAATTATATTGTGTCTTAAGTTAAATTTATTGAATAATTTCTCAAAATATTAAATTGAATCATGGATTTTAATAACAAGAACATCAAATGGAATAGGAAATTATATAAATTCAATTTTCTTTAAAAAGAATAATAAATTAACAGTTTTTTACTCGCTATCTTAACTAAGTGATGCACATAAATATAATTTAGCAATTTTTAATTTTGCACGTTCAGCTAGAGAATTTCTAATCCCATATATTAATTTTTATGATGCTACCAAAGAAATTGTAAAATTCCTAATAACTACTTTAAAAGCTGATTATCCAAAATTCGAGATTTCCTCTTTGAGTCCAAGTTAAATATTCAAAAATATGATTTAAAATAGACAACCAAATTTTCTTAAATTTTTTTCATCAAAATGAGCTAATAATCTTATAAAGAGGATGGTAGGAAATATTATAGATCATTGGAATAAGTAGCCTTTCAATATCTTATACAGACTTGCTTTGATAATTTAATATTGATCAAAGCTTTAAAATCTTTAATTTAGTTTTAAATTCTTGTGCCTTAATGCATTAAAGAAAGATCTAAAAATTTCATTATTAATAAATTGAATGAATTAAAAATCTTACATAAAAAATTTAACATCTTGATTTTTTCATATTTAATTTGGCGAGTGCGACTAAATCAATAGAAAAATCTTCATCTTCAAAATCTTGCTATATTAAGAGATAATCAACTCTTTGTGATCTCAGCTGGAAAGTTCTATTGAGAAAAAAAAATTAGACTAAACGTCCTAACAAAAAATTATTTCAAGGTTACCTGAACCTATTAAATCAAAAAATATACCAAAAACGTTGCTAAAGCTATCATATAATAAATCTTAAATAAAAATTTCATTGATTAAATAGATGATTAAGAAGAATTTTAAAAATTCATCATAAAGAATAAAAAAATTTTAAATCTTACAAAACTACTTAAAGTAACTAGACCTCACAAAATAAAAAGATTAAATAAATTGCATTCATAATTTAGATAGATTTGGTATTTGCAAATTTATATTTTAGTTGGAATTTCCTTAAAAAATAATACATATCATATATATTTAATTCTAAAATTAAAAATCCTGAGGGACATTTAAATTATAGAATACAATTAATGAAAATATTTGCTTAATAATAATGATTTTATATATGAATGAATTAATAAAATGTTAATCAATTTAATGATTTCGTCTTAGTTTAATCTTATTTAATGACTTGATCAACTTATTTTAAATTCAAAAACTTTTCTTATATGAATCATATTATATATATTAAAAATTAGAAATATTAGAATAATAATTTTTTTTTCACAAATAAAATAATTCAAAAGAAACATAAATATGTTTTGCAAGTAGATAATGAAATTTGGGATTTAGACAATTAAATATCAAATTAGACCTTGTATTGCTTATAGAATTATAGTCAACAATCACTTAAACTTGCATAATTTGAATCTCTTATAGATTAATTAGATAACACCATTTTTAGAGGAAGATGAAAATGATTCTAATGAATTAAATTTAATAAAACTTTTGTCGGAGGTGAAATCTATAAAAGGATATTGAGTTTAAAAAATATAATACCATTATTTTACATTCATTCATCATAAAAAGAAATTGTAATAATAATTTAAAATTAAAAATTGATTCTTGGATGAAAAAAATCAAATCAATATTTTCTACCAATTGATTTTTTACGGTTCATATCTTTTTTATCTTTATTATCTTTTTCATTAAGTTTTTTAGATTCACCTTTTGCATCTTCTTTATTATTTTTTGTTCCTTTTTTACTATATTATAATAAAAATGATTACTTATCTTTATCATCTTTTTTTTTATCATCCTTTTTCATTTATTCCTACTTTTCATCTTTTTCTATTTTTTATTAAGCAGTTTCTTCATCATCCTTCAATTTTTTTGGACCTCTTTTATAAGGTGGCAATTCCTAATATAATAAATCTTATTTTGTAGCTGATCTTTTAAATTTCTCTTCAATCAATTACTCAAATTATTCTCTTTTATCTGAATATTTTCTAATCATTTATTTATAAAATTTACTTCTTCCAATCTTCCAATTACTTATGATAAATTTAAAGCTTTTTCTCAAATTCATCATCATACTTCTTTCTATCTTTATTTGGTAGTCGATTAAATTGATCAACTAATGCTTTTGACACCTAAATTTAATTTAGATCAGGATGTTCTTCTGTATATTATTTTCTATTCTCTCCTAAGTAAACTAAACAACCAGAGACAGGTTTTTTTGGTTTCTCAGGAATTTCTAATAGAGTTTTGTACTTTTTCAAATCCTATGCGTTTCCCCCATAATGCATAAGTAAATCCTCTTTGTATTTTGCTTCCATTTTTTCAAAATCATCTTCGTATTTTTCCTTTTCCTCATCATCTAAAATTTTCCACATATCTCTTATCTTGTCTCGAATTTCTGAAAGTTTCATTTTGCCGTCTTTTTTCATTTGAGGTGCTTTTTCAGCATAGAAAACCTGAAAAGAATTTATACACTATCTAGCAGGAGGTTTCTTTAGTGTTCCACTTCTAAGTTACATTATTTTCGAGGGTTTTTCAAATTTAAATTTTATGTATATATATATTTTTCGATATATAGATAATTGAAATTAAATCAGAGAAATTCTGTTATTATATTATATCATTTTGATAATATTCCAATAAATCGAATCAGGATTAAGAAAAATATTAATTTAATAATTAATATTAGCAATATAAAAATTTATATTATAAATATTTTTATGTATTATAATTTATATTATAAGCATAATTGATATTAATTGTAAAACAATTAAAATTTATTGTAGTTTATTCATACTTGAAAATTAGACTCAACTATTCTCTAGAAAAATTCATTTTTCGTTTAATCAATTTTAGTAAAAATTAACAAATATGAATTTTTTCAATACTTTTATTAAAATAATAATGACTAATTCTTAATTCTCAAAATATTTTTTTTACTATTTTATTTTTATCCTATTTCTATTGCACAAACTTCTAATACGTATTGCTAAAAGGTTGATATCATTAAATTCTTTAATAAACTACAATCTATATGGATTGTTCTTTTGATCTAATTTTTATTTTTTGAGACAGGAATTACAAAAGTCAATAATTAATAAATATACTATTTAAGGTTATATAGAAAGAATTAATAGAAAAGGCTTGATAATATTTTCGTATTGCCTATATTTAAAAAGACTTTTAGATAAATATTTTAAGTTGAAATAGTGTATTATAAAGTATAAAAATCATTTAATTTTTTAAGAAGAGGCTAGAGTTGGAAATATGAATTTAGTTGGGCAAAAGATTGGAACTGACAAACATGGGGAAGTAGGTGAATTAAGATCTTCCATTTCTTCATCTTTATTTTATATTACTAAAATTGGATGTATTAATATTTCTTTTTAGCTTTTCTTCTGATTTGCTTTCATAATGAATCTGTTCTTTTAGATATTGAAGGCACTCATTCTTATTATAATTATTAAATTATTAAATAAGTAATTTAGAATCATTAAAATTTAAATCAAAAATTACATAGGAATTGAAAGTAATTAGATAAAATTTAATAATAATAGTTTATACTGTTTCACTAAAATAGAGGAATACTTCAAAAGAAAGAAATAGATATTAATATTTCTTAAAAATTCTCAATGTTATGATGCATTTTAATATTAATTATTATTTTAAGAAATTTATGATGTCATATTATAATATCTGACAAATACTCAATTTTGTTTCTTTTTGATAGTGAAACAATTTATATTAAGGTAAGTTGTAATTTAATTGATTACATTCTTAATAAATAAGAGAGTCAGAACAATGGTCAAAATGAATTGTATCCAAAACAATATTTTTAAGTTTTCTAAACTGAATGGAATAAAAAAGGTTAATAAACTGATTACAATGAAGGGTAACATTTCTAAATGGAATAGAGGAGTTTAATCCTAAGTTAAGAGATGATATATTTACTTTAGTTGTAGAACAAACAATAGTTTTACAGACAATTGAAGATAAAATGATTCCAAAATTAATTAAAAGTGGTCCAGCAAGTTGACTATATATTGGAGAAGAAAACCATACAAATTCTTAGTGATAATTAATAAATATTACAAAGTGTCCAAAGTACAAATAAAGGTATCCATTCACAAAATACTCTAATAGGTTTTTTAGACTTGAAAATATTAGAGAAAAACAAAAAAATATCAGATATAATGGCAGCAATTAAAATGATAGTAATTACTATTTTATAGAGATTAAATCCAAATAATTAGTTATGCCAAGCATTTTATCCAAAAATAGCAGAAACCTAGATGATATATAATAAAATGTTACTAATTAAACTGAAATGGCTACTAATTCTAATTCTGTAACACCAAAATTAGCTAAATGAGTATGCAATACTCCAGTATAATACTCTTTCTAATTAATAGCCCATAATCCAATCTAACAAAAGAATTAAAAATAAAATAGTGTGTCTCTATCCATTTAAGTTGCTTAAGCAGCTCCAATAATGAAGAATTGCATAATAAATGAATCACAACCATGATCAAATAATTAACCCAATGGTGATGATGATTATGTTCTTCTGGCTTATTTACCATCTGTTGCATCAAGAGTTTAATATGCAAAGATAGCAAATGCCATAAAATAAAATGTCCAAGTTGGTATTTCTTTAGTTAATGTCATATCAGCAAAAACTTAAAATATACATGCTAGAATCATTATTAGAAATCCAATAAATGTTATTAGATTTGGAGCAAGCCACTATAATTGATTTTAGTAATATTTACAGTAGGATAGAGTTCACTTATAAATACCCAAAATGGATTAATCTTATTATCTAAATAAGAATATCCACCTGATACGTATTTATATTTTTTTAGATTTTCCAATCCATTCTATGAAATAAAAGGCATTTAAATTTATTAATGAAAACAAAAATAGAAGTATCTAGAATAAAATATGAACATATTCATAGAAATTACAAAAGAAAGGAATTATTAACAAATAAAAATAATTATAAAATAAATTAATACATGATTAGAAATCCTTAAAATCCAATTGTCTTTTTTGATGTTGCTATAGCAGGTTAAAAGGTTGGTAGAATTAGAATGGAATTATATGCTGATGTTGTTCCAAAAACAGCAGAAAATTTTAGATAATTATGTACAGGAGAATATAAAAGATTTGATAAACCTGCTGGATATAAAGGATGTTAGTTTCATAGAGTAATTAAGGATTTCATGATATAAGGAGGTGATTTTGTAATGGTATATATTTTTAACTAAAACAGGGAGATGGGACTGGTTGTGTTTCTATATATGGAGATAAATTTGAAGATGAGAATTTTCAATTGAGACATGATGAACCTGGATTATTATCAATGGCAAATTCTGGTCCAAATAGTAATGGTTGTTAATTTTTTATTACTTGTACAAAATGTGATTGGTTAGATGGTAAACATGTTGTATTTGGTAAAGTAATTGATGCAGGATCAATGTAAGTTATTAGAAGAATTGAAACTACTCCTGTAGGTCCATAAAATAAACCTAAATAAATTATTATCATAGAAGAGTGTGGAGAATTATGATTTAAATAAATTAATGATCTCAAACAATATTTTTATTTATATTCAAATGGAAAATTTATCTTTATCTTATATTATGTATATTGAAAATTTCAAAATTTGCCTTAATTTGATATCAAACTAAGAAGTTCATCACCACAGTGCTCATCATATTTTTTCTCTATTTTTATTGTAGCTAAAGCTGAAGTAAGTTATATTATTTATTATTCACTGAGATTCAGTTATTTAATTTACTAATCACCCATTTACATTAACATTTATTCAGAAATTTTAAATCCTTACAAAATTTTATAAATACATTCTCCCTAATTATGTATACATTTATATTACCTCATTTAATTTAAGAATTTCTTCATAAAGTTTTTTTGAATAAGTAAGATGTGAATTAGTTTAAACATTTTATTAACTTTTCAAAGTATAATTGTTATTGATAATATGTAATTATTTTTGATCTGGAGTTGTAGGTGCTGTTCGATGTTTTTTTTATGTTTAAAATTATTATTATTAAGCAATATGTTTTTTCTTTTACATTTTCGAACCATCTGAGAAATCAGAGCCTCTTCTTGAATGAGAATCTGATGTCTTAGTATTAGTAATAGATTATTGACAAAATGGTTATCCAATTTCCATTTTTTCTTTACTCATATAATCTTATGGAATATAATTAGGAATAATAGGTCCAAGATAATTAGACGTAGGTTTATAAGGTTATCTTCTAGTTTCAATATGTATGTTAGGTTCTTCTATAACCCATGAATTATCTTATAATTATTTACGAATTCTTATAAAATTTAACTGAAAATGATACCTTTTTTCTTAGTCTGAATGATAGAATGCACATTCTCCTAATTTCTTAATGCAATTAGATTAAGTACATGGTTTAGTTTTATAAATTAGAGGATGATATTCATATTCTTTCCAGCCATGACAATATTAACAATCTTCTAAATCTGGACATCCTCCTTTATCATAATTTAAAATCTAATGAGTTTTATTCCAATGTGGACATTCTTTTGGTTATAATTTCTTAGGATCTCTTCTAAAATCCTAAGCATTATGAGCATAAACACAAGATGCTCGATCATGACTATAAATATTTTAAGATAATAATGTTACTTAATTGTAAGAGGACACCAAACTGTTTTGTACTAATACATCCAAAAGTTTTTATCTTATACCATTCCATCTAATTTAACAGGTATAATCAATTCTTAATCGTTATGAGCAAATGAACAATATACTCCATAATCACAATCCTTTATATGAGTACAATATTTAGTCTTATATCTATTTGGATGATACACCTACTCTACTTTATTATGTGACAATAGACATTCATCACCCTATGGACAATTGTCAGCTTATGGACATAATTAACATCTAAAAATATAATTTTCATCGTTTCATTACTTATATTAATAATATTTTAGATCTCTTCTTCGATCTGTTTCATCATGAAAAAATGGACAATACTTTTTTTAGTTTATTTGATGTTAAATCTAACATTTTTAAGTTTTAAATAGATAATGGTCTATATGTTATTCAATTCTAACTGGTGAATTAGGTTTGTAAACATCTATATTAGTAAGTGATGATTCGTGTGAACGAACTCTTCGACTTCCTAGCATTCGTTAAATAAACTATTTTTTATAATAACTATTTTATCAATTCATCATCATCATAAAATTTATAAAAAATGTTAGTTATAACACAATATTTGAATTCTTGTAAATATATATAATCTTATAACAATCTCATTTAAATATTATTATGAACAAATTTTTTTAATATTTTTAAATATCATAACTTAATTGAGTTTATTGAATTCAAATTAATACTACCCATACCTTAAAATTATCTATTCTTTAATTTTCCTTTTTCCTTCTTAAAATTATCTCCCCTTGTAAATTTCAATTTATCATTTCCAAACTCTCCATATTAATCTCCTTCTCCAAATTTCTTTTTAGCTTCAAATGTATTATCTCTCAAATGTTCTGGTAATTTTTCATAAATTGTCTCATCACATTTTTAGAAAAATCTCTTCTTCTCTTTTTAATCTTAAACTTCATCATTAATTGGTATCACTAAAAATTAAATATCTCAATACTATTCATTTATGTAAATGTTCTTTTATCTTACAATTCTTTTTACTATTATTTTTTATTCTTCTCCTCTTATTTTGGTTATTCAGTTTCCTCTTCTTCTTCTTTTTCTTCATCATTTTCAATGTCAGCAACAAATTTATTAGCAAGCTTACTAATTAATATTTTATTAAAAATTACGGATGTCCTTCAACATAATATTTTACTATCTTTGATAAATCCTTATTAATCATAGGGGTTTCATCATGTTCATATAAAGAATCTATTTGCTTTGCAGATTTCTTTAATCCGATAGATCTTAAGTATTCTACTATCAAAGGCAATACATCCTATGGAGTCAAGTCTCTTTGCATCAAAATAATAAATGAAATTTATTTTAATCACACAAAAATCTCTATTAAAATTCTTATGCATTAATAAAATACTTTCAATTCACCTTAATTATAAATAAAAACTCTTATTTCAATATTACTAATGAGAAATCTTAAACAATTATTATTAAATTATTCAATAGTAGAAACCAATAAAAATTTTATAAAATTGATTTAGTATATATTGGATATTATTAATACTTTGAAAAAAAAGCTCTCATAAAACCTAAATAAAAAAAATAATTAATAATTAATCTAGCATAATATGAAATTATTAACCATGTAAATAAATGAAATATTAACAATTTCTAGTAAAATTAAAAAGAAAAATCTTAATTAGTAAAATAAATCAAAAGCCTTATAAATAATTTATTCGAATGCCTCAAAAAAATTAATGTGTATCAATTATTATTCATTAATTTTTAGCTAATTAAAGTAATGTATTTAATTTGTTTAGTCTTAAATCTATGTTTTATAAATCTTCAGTAGACATATCAATCTTACTTGAAGAAGTTGCTACTATTGTATTCTCTTTGTTTTTTTCTCTTAAATCTTTTAATCTTTTAATCAATCGTTATTCTTCTGGATCCTCTTATTTATATGAATTTGATGTTTTAGGATGATTTTTATTTTAAAATTATTTTGAACCCTATTGTTTAATTTATAAAGATCTTTTTTTAGATGAAGTTGATCTTGCAGAAGGACTTTATTCAATTCGTTTTGAATTAGATTTTCTTCTAAAGGAAGATTCGGTGTCACTATCTATGCTGATATCTTTTCTCAACTTTTTATATTAGAAAATATTACTCTGATTGGAGTTGTTTTTTCAAGACTTTTCCTTTTAGATGGATTATTATTACTACTATTAAGTGATACTTTTTATTTATTGTTAGTTTTTGTTACAGATGGAGAGCGAGAAATATTAGAGTTAAATTTAGATCTTGATTTATTCAGAGTTTGTTATAGTTCTGATTCCAATGAATTTATTCTTAATTTATTCTTTTTATCTTAATTCTTTAGAATTAAATTATCATCAATCAATTATTATAAATAATCTTCTAACTCAATTATTTTTTTTGATATTTCAGCATTAGTATTTTCACTTTATAAATACTTAGATCTAAGATCATTGTATTCTTATTTATTAATCATAGTATTTGAATATTGATGATTGGTATTCTTGAGTTCAAGTATTTCTCTATCTTTTTGATCAATTATATTTTTAAGTATTTCCAATTCTTTAATTTATTCATTCAATTAAATTTGAGGGTTGGATTAACTTTTAATTGAATCTTTATAATATGATAGATTTTTTTGTAATGCTTCATTTTCTCTTCTTAATCTTATAATTGTATTTTTCATTGATTATAAATTTGGTTATTCATTAAAATTTAATGGTAGAGGATAATGAACTTTATCAAATTCTACAATATAACTAAGTATAAGATAACGTTTATTATTTGGAGCTAAATTTTATGTTTGTAATTATTTAGATCTTTTGTTTTTAATTTACTCTAAATCTGAATATGTTAGAATATCAATATACACAGTTTCAGTTTAATTATTGAATGCAGATTATAACATTTTTATGAAGGTTGTGTATTTCTTATAATTTCCAGTTTTGGATGCAATTTCTTCAACATATGAAGCTTAAAAATTTGCAATCCAAGAATCTCCAGTTTATTTAGATTCAATTTCAATGTTAAGAATTTCTTGATTAGCATTGATGTTTATAATGTAAGTGACATCATGGAATGAACGTTCAATACAGATATCAAGGAGATCTTCCATTTTGAATTATAAATCAGTTAATTTATTAATCAGATTTCAAAATCAGGAATAATAACATGCACTTATCTATTGGACCAATATGGTAATTCTTCAGCAATCTATTGTGCTTTGATAATAAGTTCTATGTATATATAAATATAATTATACATTCTCCCTCACTACTTCTATTAGGCATCTTTTTTAACATGCTTCCCAATAATTACATACATAAAACCTTATTGTATGAATCAGAATTTTCAAGCATTTATAAAACAATTCTATACATGCTTTCTGCTCTATCAAACTAAAAGATTAACCATGATATTTATTACATATTTATTTGTACTACACATCCATGCCAAAAATAAAAGCGATCTATCCATATTAGTTGGATCTTATTCCTCATAAAAATTTATAGTTGTTTTCAACCAAAATTATAATTCAGCACGTTTAGATGGTGCTTTGTTTAGTACAAATTCACTTAGATTTAATAAAGGTTTTCCTACATGTAAACTTTTGAATTAAGTTTTTGTAAGATTATTTCTATCTTATGGTAGCAAATCTTCATTTAATAACCATTCTAATCCTGTTTTAATTTGATTATTTGAATGCTCAATGTAATAAATTGACTTTTTAAATAATGGTATCACATTTTCAAAATCTGCATCTATATTTTCAGCTGGTATATCACTTTATAAAGGTCCTATTTCTTCTTCATCATCACTTACAAATTCTCTAAGACTTGGAAATTTATGCCACCATGATGCCACAGCTAAACTATTGTAAGCCCAACCTTTTAATTAATTAGATGGTTCCGAAGCCAAACATTCTCTCAATCTTGATTTTGCATCAGTATAATTTTCTTTTAATAAATAAGCTGTCTATTAATAGTTATTGATAATGATACTCCCAAGAAATATAAGAATTATTTCTAATATCCTAAAGGTACATTTTCTCTTTGCATTTCACTTAATAAAGCTTTTCCCAAAAGTATTGCCTTATTCAAATTATACTTCAAACAATGAGTCAAAAGATCACTATATGCAGAATATACTAAAGCATAATTCGCTTTTTATCTTAGAAATTGTCTAATTATTTCTTCTAGTTAACCTTCAGCATCTTCATATCTCCTTAATTATAAATTAGAATAGACAATTCTATCTATTCATATAAGATTTACCTTCTTGAAACATCAACCCATTCCTTATCTTTTAGGTTATTAGTCTCTAAAAAATTCTTAAATCTACCAAAAAATTAAAGAGCCACTCTATATTTACCATGTTACATTTATTCAAGTCCATATCAACCACAAATATAATTAATTTTGTACTTATATTATTCTGTTGCTAATACTGTTGAATACATTTCATCTTATTGAGTTTGGGTTGGCTCAATTGTTTAATTAATATAAAATCTTGGAGTACATTTTTATATTGTGAAAACAGCATTTCGAACAATTTTAAAAAGCATTTGGAATGATAATTATATTTAATGATTTCTTATAAAAATATGTGATAATTAGATAATAAATCATCATTCTCTTAACTTAAATTATATCTATAGAATTATTTTGTTTAATTGTTAAGATTAATCTTATCTAGATTAGAGATATAATAAAAAATTATTTTAATAAAAAAGCAATGTTTGAAGATGACTTTTTAAATGGGTATATGTCAAAAAATCATACTATTCTTGAAGGATATGCATATGCTATTTCAGCTAATTGGTATTACTTCAACTTAATTTTAGGTATAGATAATTTTAAAGATACTTATAAAACCCATCAGGTATTGATGCTTCAAAATTCAATAAAATTTTGAATGCTGATATAGTAGATAGAGTTATTGATAGATCAGTCTCATTAAAATAATATTCTATTCTTCCTTCTACATAAGTAAATTATGATCATATCTATGGATTATCATCAGAAGCAAAACCAATGGTTGATTTTTTTGTTGTTTCTATTGATGTATGGCACCATTTTAAAAAGTACTATTGTTCTGGTATATATATTAATCAATATTCATTTTAGATTATGATATTGTTGTTTTTGTTACTAAATAGCATCCTCAAATAAAAAACTATTTCTTTTGTGAAAATTTAGATGAAGGACTATGTGTTTGCAGGGATATCATTAACATTCTCTTTGTAATTGTATTTCCAAAAAACACTGATATATTGTAAGCAATATTAACACCTATAACTCCTTGGATGGATTTAATAAAATTTCGCACTTTTATATTTGCAATGCATAATTTGGGAATTTAAACCATTAAATTTAGTAATGAAGGCTTTATCTATTTTAACAACAAAAAAGTGCCCTTTAAAGGCAATAGAACACTTTATGATATTGGAATAAACAAAGATATTTAAATTGTTATGGCATGTTAAAACTTATCAATGCAAGATATAGAAGAAGAAATTGAAACAGATGGCGAAGAACATTAATTGGAATCAAGTAATTATTATCTCCATAATTCTAAGATTTACATGATAAATAAGAATTCTTAGAAATTTTACAAAAAGCACTTAGTGAATAAGCTACTATTCAATTGAGTGTAAAATCAATTCAAGAAATTTAATAAACTTTAGAAAAAAATGACTTTTTTTAAATTTGAAATTATTATATAAATATACAAATATATAAATATATTAGAGTGAAAAAAGATAAAATTTGACTAAGAATTGGCTAAAACTTCTTAAATTTAAGATTTAACAACATTTCATTTAATTTATCAAAAAATGTTTGCTCGTCGTAATGGTTCCAGATTAAAATTGAATGAGACATAGAAAAACTTTGTAATTAAGGTAAGTATTTTCATTAATAAATTTAAAGAGAGCTTGCTCTACTAATAAATCCTCACTTTCTAGTCTAAATACCAGTAATTCTTCCAAATTTTTTGTAAAAGAATTTTACTTATTTGCATAGTAATTTGAAGATAAGACTCATCCAGAAGATGGAAAACTCTTAGATTTGTTATCAGAAAACGAAAACTTATAAAAGTCTTAAATTTATCATCTTTAAATGAGTTCTTTCCAAATTCATAATGATGAATCTGTCTAATAAAGATGTAAATCTTTAATTCCTTAAAATATTTTAGATGCCTTATCTGATGATGTAAACAACCCATAATTTAGAAGAAACATTACATATAATTGGCATTATCATAATGATCATTAACAATATCTTTGTTAAGACACAGTTTCTTTTAGTTTCTCAATAAAAAAGCATGGAATAAAAGAAATGTTAAGAGCAAAGATGGTTGATTGGATGATAGAAGTATATGGAAATTATCCTACTACCACAACATCATAGACCTACTTTCGAGCTGTTGGTCTTTTAGATGCATTTCTAAAAAAAACATCCTAATATTACTATGATGGAGATGTTCATCTTATGGGAATTAGCTGCATGTTTATTGCATCTAAACTTGAAGATATTTATCATATCCCATTAACAGAGATTGTAACTAGAGTTGGACATAATAAATTCAATATCTCCAAGGTGAAATCTATGGAATAAACTATCTTAGAAACATTATAATTTAATGTTTATTTTCCAACTCCATTAGATTATTTATAAAATCTATTTTATAAATGCTTTAGTCTAAATGATAAGTAAATATTTAAGTTATTTCTTTTAGTTAGACATTACAAAATATCTATGAAACGTGTATATATATTCTGAAAATGTGTATGCATGAGCTGCACATGCTCAATTTTACACCTAATCTGTTATCAGCTGCTATTTTAGGATATGCAGTTAGAGAATATATTGATACTAAATAAGAGAACAAAAAAGCTGATAACTTAAAACTTAATAAATAATCAGTAAATATATTATCTAATAATTATAGCAAGATTCGATTGTCAAAATAGCTAAAGTAGACTTCAATACATATAATGAATGTTAAAAGCAAATTGGTGAGTTAATTAATACATTTAAAAGCAAATACCCAGATCTTATTAATTTAGAAAAATTTTCTTGATGATATTTTTTTTCTAATTTTATTAATTTTTCATAAATTTTTCTATTTAAAAAATAAAAAAAATTAGCTCTCCAACGGATTCGAACCGTTGATATTTGGATTAAAAGTCCAATGCTTTAACCAACTTAGCTAGGAGAGCCTGATTAATAAAATAAAGGATTAATTTCAAAAATTAATAGAATTAAATGAAAAATTTTTAATTATTTATTTAATTATCAATAATATTTTCATTATTTAGGCTTATTGATTTCAAATATTTTAATATTTAGTTCTTTTGATATTTATCTTCCAATATTATATAGAAAATGAAGATGAATCAAAATACTCAATAGAGCAATAAATTAGATTAATAATCCTTCATTTAAAATAACCTATCCAAAAATTTATCCTGAAAGAGTATTTGTTAAAAGAAGAATGAATAAATAAATAGAATTTTAATAACTTGGTAGTGGAGTATTACATACATGATTTAAAGCCACAATACCCACTGATTTGGACATAGTAAAACCAACAGTATACATATAAGATCTTAAATGTTGTTCAATAACATTAGTTTTTGAGAAATAAATGTTATAAAGGATTACAGCATTGAAAAAGAAAAAGTATCTAAGTTGTTTAAATAAAGATGACACTGATGTGAATTTGCTTATTTTATAAATACTATAAAAAAATATATTTAAATTTGTTACACTGAGGGCATGGTTATTAAAACTGACATAGCAAAAACCAATAAAATGAAATGATTAAATTATATTCCATTCAAAATAGACAATTTAGTTAGCCAAAAATCACATCCTAAAAATAAATGATTAAAGCATGTTACCAAAATAAGCAGTGGCAACAAAAAATATGGCTACACTGATAGTGCCTTCAGCAGCTGCATTTATGATAGGCAGATTCATTTCATGTGTATAATATTCTTCATGAGCAATTAAAAAAAAAGGAATTGATGGAATAATGTAAAGAATAATTGAAAATATATTATTTCCAATTTGCATAGCTGTGGATAGATTTGTACCTAAAATCATGAAAAATGTAACCTTATAATAAAATGATCATAGAGTCAAAATTATGGTCTAAGATCATTCCAAGTGGAGATGAATTTTCTTAAAGTTTAATATTCTATATTACTTGTTCTTCTAGCTTGTTTACCATCCAAATTATCAAAATTCTGGGATACTCATTATTTTTACCATATAAAGCAAATGCAGTATGGTTGTTGACCATAACAACCAGTTTGGGATGGATCCTTTAAAGTTGTCCTCCATTACTAAGTAAAATGAGATGTGTGGTATTATCACGCATATTAGCCCTAATAGTGTGAGAACGTTGGGTCTAAAATATTATTGTAATCCTTATAATCATACGCAACATTCAAAGGAACAAATTTCAAACAATATTCAGCAATTGGTGAAAGGATGTAATTATACAGCAAAGATAGATCAGTTCCTTTATATGTATAGGTTGAGAGGTATTTCAAATTATTTGATGGTATGAAATCATAATTAAGGTATTTCATTAATATTTTATTTTCTTAAGTTCTTTTATAGTATAATTACAGTATTATAAACCAAATTTATAAAACTGTTTTACACTGATTTCTTAAAACTATTCTAACTGATTGGCGATGTAACAATATGCAAATTTCTAATATTAATATAAATAAAATTCTGAATCCTTCATTATTTAAACTCTTTTTAAGAAATGGTATGATTAGATAAACATCCCTGTCTAACAATTAAATTCATATATTAATGAATTTGAAAATGTCTACAACTTAATAATAAATGTCTTTTTTTATTTAAGTAATTCTTCAACGAATGCCAGATCTTTTCAATACGATTGAGCAAACGGGAATAAAATGGAAGAAATTTATGGAATGTACCATTTAGTAATCTTGTTACCACTATGCTCAAATAATACTTTATGGTTTTTTCGAAATCGTTCTCTTTCATTTTTAAGCCTTAGTCTCTTTCATTCTTATTTTCAAATTAATTTTATGCATTCCTCTAAGTTTTGTAGATTTTATTCCTATTTTTTCTCTTAATATAGATATCCCTACATTGTTCTTAAAACAGAAGTAAAATTTTAACAGTCCTCATTACACATTTAATGCTGCTTACATATTTTTTTCAGCAATACTATTTTTCTTTTTGAAGTCACTTTCTTTAATTCTTTCGAGTATTTTAAGTGGTTACTCAAGTTTAAATTAGACATTATAGAAACTAATTTATATTTTTCATTTTTCCACCCATTAATATCATTTTAATAGTTTGACTTGGCTAGTATATTTTTAACATCATTTTTTATTAATAAGTTCGATTTTAATTTTTTTGAATTGAAAAAATTTTTTTACTTATTAAGATAAAATGAAACAATAGAATGACATGTCAGCACCGTACAGAATAAATGAATTGTATTCTGTTCAAATAAAAAAAAACATAATTTAAAAAAAATTAATTCAATTAGAAAAAAAAATGGTAGGAATTTCATTCCTTTAAACCGAAGAAAATAGGCATATATATCTAATTATTATTTTTTGTATTAAACCTACAAAAATAATTCTATGTATCAATTCAAAAAGCAAATGTTGTAATTGGCTCTTAGGAAGCCTTATACCCTACACTGATCTTAAAGAATATCTAATTACTTGATTACTCATCAGCAGCTATTAATTATTAATATTGATTATATGTCGGTGTTGGAAGGTGCTTTAAATTTAGAGAGATAAGGTGATTGTTGGAAAGTTGATAAGAAAAAGGATTAAAGTCTAATTGCAATTGCATTAGGAACTAAAGAAATTTGAGATTAATATAATGTTTCTTTAGGTTTAAATTAAGAAAAATTACCAGATAAGAAATGGTTAATTAATAGAATCATTCTTATGTCTACTTTATTTTATTATTATTGCATTCAAAATACATAATTTAAGCGCCAATACTTATCAAAAGAAAATTTAAAGAAAACCAGGCAAATAAATAAACTACTAATAATTTTTTCAATATTATTTCTTTCTAAGCATAAAAAATGCAATCAACATGTGAATCAATAAATTTTAATTGATTTTATGCTATCTTTTTTATAAAAAAAAATTTCTGAATTAGATTTTTTGTATCATTATAAATTTATTCATTGCTTTGAGAATTAATCATAATGCATATCAGAAAATTATATTTTATAAAATTGGTTAATACTTAAAAGAACATTCTTAAATAAAAGATTTACTAAACTTTCTTCAAGACTTTTTAATGGAAGAGGTATGGATGAAAAAATAATAAAAGAGAATGTTAAACACTTTTGAATTTTAGACTCGTATTAAGTAATCAATAATCAATTAGTTAATATCATTAAATGAAAAGCTTTAGATTTTATGCATTCATAAATGCCTATTATATTTAGGATGGGAAATAGAATAAATTAGAAAATATTCCAAAAAAATATTTTAAAATAACAAATGTTAAAATTTAGTTTTTTAAAGAAAAATTAATAATATTATACATAATTAATCAAAAAAAAAGATAGAAATCTTTTAATTTAGCTTCTTAGTAAAGTTTATGTTATGTAAGTAGTTTTTTTGAAAATCTGTTTAAGGATTTTTGTCACATAATGGAAAATAATTAAGGATAATTTAGCGAGTATGTATATGTCAATTTCAAATATGCACTGATCAGAGGATTTGAATGGTCGAAAAATATATTGATTTCTGAGAAAATTAAAATTTCAAAATATGAAAGATATTAGTCAACAAGAAAAATTATTGTCTTTTGCATCACAAAAAAATTTATTCATTCGGTGTATTTATACTTAAAACAATTGAAAAAAGTATCAAACTTAAAATCAGCACTTACCTAATTGATAGTTTAGGTTTTTTTATTTACAATTGTGATAAATATTAATAGAATTTAACGAATACAGTTTTTTTTACATTTATGAAAAATAAAGTTTATTTAAAATTGGAAGGCAGAATAAAATACCTATCGGTAACCTTTAATAAAAAATTTAAGCTGAAAATTAAAATAGGAGAAAGATTAATTTTTTGAATATTTTTGGTGGATCTTAAAAGAGAAGGTAATTCTTTTTAAAAGATAATTTAAATCATTATGTGAATCTTTGGAAATTAATACAAAATGATTATTTGCATCTATAATTTTTTCAATATTATTTTAATATTTAATTAATAGTATTTTTAATTAGAATAAATGTACTGATATTTTCTGATCACTTTAGACAAAATTTCCTTTAATTTTTGTTTGATTGGCTTATTCTAAGTAGAAATGATGAAATTATTTGTATTGTTATTTAATAATTATTTAAGCTTCTTAAAAATGATGAATCAAACAAATATTCTTAGTCAACCAATCATAATACAGAATTTTTTATTTTAATAAACTTATAAACCCCCTGAATATAAATTCAAAATTAAATTAAACAATCAATAATAAAATGGCTAGAACTAAGTAAACTGCAAGAAAGAGCACTGCTGGTAATAAAAAACCAACAAAACATTTGGCTACAAAGGCTGCAAGAAAGACTGCACCAGCTGTAGGAGCTACTGGAGGTTTAAAGAAACCCCATAAATTCAGACCAGGAACTGTCGCCCTTAGAGAAATTAGAAAATACTAAAAGTCAACTGAATTATTGATCAGAAAACTCCCATTCTAAAGATTAGTCAGAGAAATTGCACATGAATTTTAAAAGGAACTCAGATTCTAAAGCTCAGCTGTCTTAGCACTTTAAGAAGCTGCTGAAGCTTATCTTGTTGGATTATTTGAAGACACTAACTTGTGCGCTATTCATGCAAGAAGAGTCACAATTATGTCAAGAGATATCTAATTGGCCAGAAGAATCAGAGGAGAAAGATTCTGATCAATTAATATTATATTCAATTAAATTTATTCATCTCTATTAATGATAAAAATTTTCTTTTTAATTTAATTTTTATTCAGAATTTATTCCATAAAATTACATAAAAAATATTATTTTATTATTATTCCTTATATATTTAAAATCAAATGAACATTTCCATAAATTACATGTTTACTTAAGTTTATCTCAATTTCTAATTATTATTATTGAGACATTTAATTTATCTTATTTTTTAATATATCTACTTTATTAGTTATGCCTTATTTTATAGATGCATTTTTTTCACCTTTTATTTTATAATCTAATATTATTATTATTATTTCTTTAATACTGCATGAAAAACCTTGAACAAATTATTAAATGCTTCAATAAAACTGAAGGCAGAGATAAAATTAGTAAAATGATTTAATATGGGGCAAAGTTTTTGTCATGGTATTTCCAAAAATTTAACAACTTAGAAAAAGCACATTAATTTAATAATTTATTTAGTATGAATAAGTATCAAATAATAAGTGGCTATGAGAGAAGCTAGAAAAATTTTTAGATTAGCTAAAACATTGAATGAAATTTAATACATTTTTTATAAGATTAAAGAGAATACAGAAAATGTAAATGACATTATAAGAGTATTAAAAATCTTTTCAAGAATTTGGTTTGCTTTATTTTGGTATCATTTCATTATAGACTAGGGCTTTTGATAACCTAAGTATATTATCATAAATTTAAATTATTTAATCGAACCCAAAAGTATTAGGTAAAATTGCTATGTCTTTTTGGGCAGTCGGAATAATTACTAATTTAACAGAGACTTTTAGAGATCTTATTGGAAATCTATTATACTTGAGAAAAGTCTAAAAATAAACTGACCATAAAGAAATACAAAAGAGAATAAATGTTAATTACTTAAACATAATTAAAAATCTATGTGATTTATTACTAGCAGGTACAGGCAGTGAATTATTCTCAAAGATATTTTTTTATCAACCTAATGATGCTTTAGTAGGCTTTGGAGGATTTATTGCAGGAATTATAGCAACATATCAAGCAATTTGAAAAAAAGTTAATCAATAATAATTTATATATAATGAGTAATTAATCCTAAAATTAAAATTTTTATGTTGTTCCTATTCCATAGAATATAACAGTTTTGCAAAGTTTTAAGAAGTGGAGAAGGACAGGAGAAAATTTGAATGGTGCAATTATGATTGGAGTCTTGGAGAATTTTCTTTTAAATGGGTAACTGGAAAAAATATAATCAATATTAAATAATTTGAAAAGCGTTTCAGATGATCAAATCAAAAAAATAAAAGATTGTATTGAAAAATCTTTATAGTTTCCAAAGGGAGATTAAAAATTAGATTACATAATGGATTATCTAAAATCATCTGATCCTCATAATATTTTTGCTGAGAAATTGATCTTAGAATATGTTAAAAGAGTAAAAGGGAATTTAAAATCAGATGATGAATTGATAAAAATATCAAAAAATCTTTTTTCTGTATAAATATCTGTAATTAGAGATGATGATTAAAATAATTTTAATATTATATTAGATCCTAAAGACAAAGATCTAATTATTTTATACAATTTTAATTCNTTTATTTTGGTATCATTTCATTATAGACTAGGGCTTTTGATAACCTAAGTATATTATCATAAATTTAAATTATTTAATCGAACCCAAAAGTATTAGGTAAAATTGCTATGTCTTTTTGGGCAGTCGGAATAATTACTAATTTAACAGAGACTTTTAGAGATCTTATTGGAAATCTATTATACTTGAGAAAAGTCTAAAAATAAACTGACCATAAAGAAATACAAAAGAGAATAAATGTTAATTACTTAAACATAATTAAAAATCTATGTGATTTATTACTAGCAGGTACAGGCAGTGAATTATTCTCAAAGATATTTTTTTATCAACCTAATGATGCTTTAGTAGGCTTTGGAGGATTTATTGCAGGAATTATAGCAACATATCAAGCAATTTGAAAAAAAGTTAATCAATAATAATTTATATATAATGAGTAATTAATCCTAAAATTAAAATTTTTATGTTGTTCCTATTCCATAGAATATAACAGTTTTGCAAAGTTTTAAGAAGTGGAGAAGGACAGGAGAAAATTTGAATGGTGCAATTATGATTGGAGTCTTGGAGAATTTTCTTTTAAATGGGTAACTGGAAAAAATATAATCAATATTAAATAATTTGAAAAGCGTTTCAGATGATCAAATCAAAAAAATAAAAGATTGTATTGAAAAATCTTTATAGTTTCCAAAGGGAGATTAAAAATTAGATTACATAATGGATTATCTAAAATCATCTGATCCTCATAATATTTTTGCTGAGAAATTGATCTTAGAATATGTTAAAAGAGTAAAAGGGAATTTAAAATCAGATGATGAATTGATAAAAATATCAAAAAATCTTTTTTCTGTATAAATATCTGTAATTAGAGATGATGATTAAAATAATTTTAATATTATATTAGATCCTAAAGACAAAGATCTAATTATTTTATACAATTTTAATTCAAAATATTATGTAATATAAAAAGAAGTTGGTCCCTAATTATATAAGTGTTTATATTGTACTAAATAAATATCAGAAGATTATTATAAAATGAACTGCTCTTAAATAATTTGTTATTAATGCTTAAAAAAATTTTTCGATTAAGGGCATAAATAGGTTTAATGTAAAGAGAAAGGTTGTACATCTACAATAACATGTAATGACTATTAAAAAATTTAAAATAAAAAGAAAGAAATTGAAAAAACTGCATAACTAAATCAAATTATTCAATAAAAAGCTGAGGAAAAAGGAAAATCAATATAAAATGATTAAGATTTATCTAAAAAATGTTTGATTAGTAAAAAGCATCCTGAATCATAATTAAAACAAAATAATTTCATCACTCCATAAAGCAATTAAGAGGCGACTAATTAGTGTGAGGTTTGTTTCAACTTTTTTTAAATATCGACCATATATACAGCTGAATGTTCACATAAATTTTGTTAGATTTGTTGTGATAAAGAAATAAAAAAAAATATTAGTTGTTTTTAATGTTACAAAGTAAATTGTGGATACAAGATCAGAATAGATGATATTTAGAAATTCTTTTATAAAAAAATTTAAAGTTTGACATTTGGTAATTGTGCTAATTGTAATCAAGAGTGTAAAATTTTTTAATCATTTTAAAACAAATGTTAGCATCTTATTTGTTATAATTGTGTGAAATAGATTTATACAGAAGGACGTAATTCCATTTGTAAATAATGCTAAATCTATATAAATCCAAAGGATTTGGATGATTATTATTTACCATAAGCATCATAGGAAATTTAGTAAATCGATCCAATTTAATAAGGTTTAGAATAGTTGTCATGTACATTTTGTAACTCTCCTTTCACAGATTATAATTTATTACAAGATATACCTTGTTAAATCCATCTTCTTGGAACTTGTTGTATAATATTTCCAGCAGATTGCCCCTAATGTTAAATTGGTTCTTTGATTTTTGAAAAAAGTAATTTTATACTAATTTTTAGAGAAACTAAAATTTGAATTATACCAAAATGTGATGTATAATTTTAATTTCGCCTCTTAAAGTTCAATTAAGTGAAGAGTTCTTTGTTTTATATCATCAATAAATGTTTTCAATATTTATCGAAGTTCAACAGACTTAAAATTTTTTATAAATAATTATAATTATTAACATTAAGGATGTCCTTAAGAAGGGAAATGAAATTTTGAAAAATATTTCTTATTTAAATTTAAATTAGAAACTTTTTATTTATGTTATATCAATTAATTTAATAATTTTTCATGAAAATTATTTTTTTATTCATAGATAATTTGTGAATTAATTTAAATACATTTTTGAATACTTGAAAATGAAACTCAAGTTTATTTTAAATTAATATGCTCACTTAAACCTAGGTTGGTTAAGTTTTTGAATATATTTAAATTATTGAATATAAAAATAAATTTTAAATGAAAATACTTGAAATAAATTATAAAAATTAGATTATAAGTTGATGAGTTTAAAATTATTTATCTAATCTATAATATTAATTGCTTTCTAATAATAAAAAGGGATTGGAAAGAGTCGAACTTTCTTATTCTTTATGAGGACTAATGAATGCCACCTTGGCACAATCCCTTTGTTCTGATAAAAATAAACATCGAAGTATTTAAATACAAAATTTGTTAAAACTTCATCATGTTAAATTGATTGAGACTAGATAATACTCTTAAAAAATATTGCAGTTTTTTATTTTATTACATTATCATTCCTAATTTTTTTACTAGATAAGTGATTTTGATTTAGGATTAGGTTTGATGTTTAGGTTTTATCTGAATTCTAAATTTCTTTCGATTTTTCATTAAGGAAAGGAAATTTATATTTGTAATTGTTATCAACATATACAATGTATTTTTTGTATATTTAAAGGGTTTGGTGATTTACTTGATTGATAAGATGTGTTTAAGGTAGTTTATAAGAAAAAAGAGATAATAATTAATTTTCTGGTTTGTTCTGATCAGGGAATATTTATTAATAAAAATCAAAAAAATGACTTAGAGGGCTAAAATCATGTTAAAAGAAGAAAGTAGGGAGAGAAAGAATGATGAAATACGTTTATAAATGGTTCTTTGATTGATAAAAGAAGTATGAGATAGATTGAATAATTTTGTAAATTAAAGAATTGATTATGAAAATAAAATGATAAATAATGAGTAAGAGAATATGTAGTAAAATTTATGAGGAATAATACTTATTAATAGAGACAGGAAATTTGATTTATATATATATGCATATTTTAGTAGGAATATTGAATTTTTGATTATAAAATATAGTTGAATATCTAAAATATCTAGTAAAGATATAAAGATTTTAAAGTTTAATTAATGAAATAAAGAGAAATAAAAAGGGGTCGGAAAGAGTTGAACTTTCAATGTTATTCTTTGGACTAATAATGCCACCACTGGCACAACCCCAAATTTCTTATAAAAAGTATAATAAATGCGTATAAATATGTTTGTTGTTATGTTATTTGTATAATAAATGATAAATAGAAAAGGTGAGAAGATAGGTAATAGAGTAAGGATAGAATAGTGAAAAGTGTTAATTTATAATAATTAAATTTAGATGATAAAGGATGATAATTATGAAAGGGAATTTGAGTTGAAAGAGTTAGAGATGGAAACAAAGAATGCTTTTTAAGTAAATAATAAGATATAGGTAGTTTTAAGATCTATTGAATGGATGTGTAGCTTATAATAAGTAAAAAAGAAAGGAACTTTTTGAGACATTTGAGTTTGAGGTAGAAGAGAAAGTTCCAGTTTTATAAGATTTAGATTCAATTAGAGTGATGACAGAATAGATGTAAACAATGCAAAAGAATCTGTAGAGTAAGTATGCTTTGATAAAGAAAACTAAATTGTTATTTGAAAAGAGAGTAAATTAATTAAGAGAAGCATTGGGGAATATCAGAGTGAAAGAGTTTGAAGTGAATGATGATTCAGTAATAAAGGAATTACATTTAGCAAATAAGAAGATGTTGGAGTTTCAGTAATTATCAGAGAAATTCAGAAAAAATTAATTGAAACGATAGGAATTATAACAAAAAGAATTAGAAAATGAGTAAGAACAATTAAGAAAGTAATAATAACATATACTTGAATTAAAGATGGAGAATTAAAAGTTATTAGATAAAATGTAGTAATTGGATTTAGAAGAACAAGAAAAAAGAAGAAAATTACATGAATGTTATTAAACTAGTGAATATATAGAGTTTTTTACAGAAGTACAAATGTTACAATAAGATAAAGAAGTTTCAACTAATTCAAATGATTAATCAAGATAATTTGGAAGAGATAGATAATCTACAAGACATGAAATTGTGACAATGATGGATGAATTTTATAACAATCAAAATATACATTAATTAACTGAAGAAATTACAGAGTTTTATAGATCAATGGTTGAATAATTAAAAGTTTAAACACATACATATAATGCATTGATTGAAGAAAAAGCTTTGAGAAAATTATAGTTGGAAGAAGTGGTAGAGGAAAATAATAGATTAAGAGATTTTTCTTGTAATGCATCTCAACTAGATATAAATTCAATTAATTAGAATGGTTCAATTAATCCAATGAATGGTGAAGTACCTTAAGTGATACAAGAAAACAATTAATTAGGTAATTATGTCAAGCAGAATTAAATGTGTTTAATAGCTATTCATATGAAAGCTATTGATATGATATCAAGAATTTGTATAGGATTAATATGGCTTAGTGAAACATCGAAAATGGTGTCTAAATCTTTGGATAATTTATGTTCTCAATATTTGAAAGGACATTCAAAAGCTGAAATTAAATTATTTATTCCTAAAAAATATATGGGTAATCCAAAACCATAAAAGTTTGGATCTTTTATATCAATAATAAATAGAAATAAGAATGATAATAGTCCAAAAGGAAGTAGTACAAATATTGTAACAACAACAACAATTAATAACGTAGACAAATCTTTTGAGAATGAATAATTAATTCAAAGCTTGAATAGATTTAAATAATTAAAAAATGGATATGAATAAATTTAACTTACATGGATTACACTGGTTAAAAATGATTTACTAACTTATAAATTTGTTAAAGAATTCAATTTTGATTAAATTGAACTTAATCAACCTCTTCAAGATATCATATTATAATTACATATTGTTTATGCAGAAGTTATTTCCAAAATTAATTATTTTCAACATTATGAATATTAGTTTGCATATTTTAGAGATATTGTTAAAATGATTAATTAAGCCAAAAATAAAATTAAAATTAATATTAACAACAACAGTCATAAACTATGTGATTCTACACATTTGAGTAGTAGTTATACTCCAAATAAATATATTGAAGCTACATACAAAGGTTAATTAAAAAGATTAACTCATCCTTAGGTTGAGGATAATGAGCCAATCATTACACAAGATAATGTTAAGAAAATTTAAAAAACAAGTGATGAAACTAAATTTCATTAATTTTTTATTCAATAATCTAGTATCATTTAACGTAAATCACCACTTTTACATGAAAAACTCATATCATAAACCTTATAAACTATTGATTAAATGCGTAAAAAAGAATTAGATGATAATTATTAAACTTCAGATCAAGCTGCTTCAGATATTGATTACCTTAATTAAGAACGTAGAAATCTTAAAGGAATGCTTAACAAGAAAATATAATAATAGCAATAGTATATATCCAAATCAGAAGAAAAAGATCTCATTTCATCAAGATCAATTATGAAATAAGTTAGTCTTTTATCCAAAATTTCACATTGTAATTTATTCAAAATATTATAGTATCTAGAGTCAATTCTAATTAGAATTATATATAAGTTAATAAATCTATTTAAAGATTGAATTAAACTGTGTAAAAGAAAATGTCAGAATATTTTACACAAGATTAGAATTCTTAAGAGAATAGGATAAGATATCCCCCTATAGAAAAAAAAGTATCATCTCGTTCTCCAGAATAAAAATCCATAATTGACACCTTTCATAAGGATCTTTCGTCAATGATCTTGAACTCTACTTCAAATGGTCGATCATTCATGGCCTGATGAAAAATAGTTAATATATCTATATCTAAAAATATCTATTTTATAATTGTTCATTTTAGTATTTTGTTAAATATAATATAATAATATTGTATTCAGTTACCTTGCCAAATATATCATTTTGAATTAATTTTACTTAATATTTCTTGAATTAATTTGTCTCTTGTCGATTAAAGTGTAGCAATTTAAGTTTAAAATAACCAATAAAATATTATGAAATCTCTTTCGCTAATAATTTTTGAATATTTGAAAAGCAAATACTAAAATGTGACAACTAAATAGATTAAGTACAAATACCATGTAATTAAGTTTACATATCACAGTTAGAAATGGAATAAGGTGAATGCATAAACATGCTCAATCAAAGTGACAATAAAGTTAGAAGTACATTAATTAATTTTACTATACTCAGTCTGTTCTTCAAATAATTTGAACGCATTGGTGTAGTTATTTATTTTATAGTTATGATTCTTGAATACTCAATTTTTGGAGCAACAGAAGAAGATCTTGTTGTTTATATGGTCCCTCTTACTATGCACTTTGTACTTCAAATATCGAAGGCTCTCTATTTTGACTTTATAAAAAGAAAATAGGATGATATAGTAAATAATAGAAGAATAACACGCTTTCGTAAACTTAGAAAAGATAAACCAAAATAACAAGTAACTTAATAATAATAGCAGTAATCTTCATTTAGAAAACCTAAAATATCACTTTATGAGAATTGTTTTTGGGGTTGTATTGAATAAGGAGATATTATTTATCTAAAACGTAATGAAGTTTGTCCAGCTGATATGCTTTTGCTTGATATTTCAGATGAAATTCTGTAAGTACAAACATAAAATTTTTAAGGATTAACATTAGATTAAATTAGATAACCAACATAATTAACAATGTTAAAAAATGTCAGAAACAGAATGCAAGGTTTTGATTATAAAAAGTTACTAACTGGAACTATTTAATATAATATTAATGAATCATAAATTAATGGGTTTATAAAATTAAAAAAGGATCCTAAAGGTGAATATTTCAATAATGAAAACATAATTTTTAGAGAAGAATAAATTAGAACTTGTTAATATGTTATTGGTATAGTATTATAAACAGGAAATAATTGTTTTTGTTATTAAAAGATGGAGAAATAAGAAAAAAAGTCATTTTTTGTTAAAAAGTCAAGTATGTTTTTTGCATTAACTCTTGGAATAGCTTTAATATTGTCTATATTGAGTTGGTTTTTGGCATCATTTGCTGCTTGTTTACCATATAATTAGGCAGATTTTGATGCTGAAACACTAATATTTTATATATTGTAGTATTTAAAACCAACACCAATATATTTTTATAACTGTATAGATTTAATAGAAGTTATCAATGCTCATATTAAATATAAAAAATATGTAGGAGTTAAGAGTACTTAGATAGATTATTTATAATTAAATTCAGTATCAGTAGGAGATATGGTAATGACAGAATATGTATGTTTTGATAAGACAGGTACTATAACAAATGGAGAATCTAGAATTCATGCAATAATAATAGAAGATACAATGTATAAATTTAATTATAATAACATGATAAAGAATTAATGGAATACATTTAAAGATCATTTACATAATTAAATAAAGAATGATCCAAACTTTTAGATAGAAGAGATCGATGAATTAGATATAGATATATAATCAAAAAAAGTAAGACATACAGGTATATTTAAATTAACATTATAACATTGGAATTCTAAAAAGATGTCAAGTTGTGAATTAAATAAATCAGACTTAGCTTCAAGTAGAAGTATAGCAAATCCATTAGATGAGGGTGATGTAGATATTGAAAATATAAAAGTTGAAGAGTTTGATGATACTCATTATAGAGTAACACCTGAATTAAGTAAAATAAAGCCAAAACCTTTTTTCAATAAAAAAGCCATTTCTACAGCACCTGTATAAATGGTAGCTGTAAGTTAAGGAGGATTAAGTCATTCTTAAGAAGAAGAATTCTTAATAAAATAGTAATCTTATAAAGAAGAGTAAAGATCTTTTGATAATAATAATAATAGATCTATTAAAAGTAAAAAGTTCTTAGAGCATTCCTAATCTGATATGAAAAGATAATATAGTGCAAAAAGATCATTTTAATTAGATAAAGTGGCTGAAGAAGATATTGAAATAGTTTATCATGGAGAGAATGAATTCTATAAACATCTAATTTAAGGTTAAAATAGACTTATTTATTAAGAGTCGCTATTGTAATTATTACTTTGTTAAGAAATACTCTCCCGTTATTCTCCAAGTGAAGATTAATTTATGCATGATTCATCTTCATATTCATTTGATTAAGAAATATTGAGATTTGTAGGTTAACTTGATATTAAATTCTTATGTTGCAATGAATTTAATGGTAAAATTATTTATATTGTTGATTTTTTTGGTGAAGTTATGGAATTCTAAGTTATGGCAATATATCATAATGGAAATAGTTAATTAGGAATACTAATACTCTATCCTGATAAACTTTAAGAGAAATTTATGCTTATCAATGAAAGTGATCCTATGGAAAGTCTTCAATATGTATTTATAATGAGAGAAGAAACAAATTAATTACCTGTGAACATTGATGTAGATAAAGCAAGTAGAGAATATTGGGATAAAGTATTTTAAAAATTACACATGAGTGGGATGAGATCAATAATATATTCTAAAGTTTATTTAAAAGAATAAGATGCTAGTATATTTTTATCTCGATTCCAAGGAGAAGTAGGAATGTCAGCATTTCAATCTATATCTAAAGATATGCAAATAGTTTAGGTTATAGGAGTTAAAGAATAAATTAGATAAGATACAAAAATGTTGATAAGTCAAATGAAAGCTGCAGAACTTAGTCTATATATTCTAAGTGGAGATGAATTAAGTAGAGTTTTACCAGTTGCATTCAAATCTAAAATACTAAATTAATATGATACTTTATTATACCTAGATAACGATAATGCTAGAGTTGTTATGAAGAATCATTTGACCATACTTTCTCAATCCTTAAAATTAGAAGAATCTTGGGGTTCAAAACCTATGAGAATGAGCACTCTTGATAGACATCATCGTTCTCTAACTATTGAAGAAAAATAAGCTATCTATCCAGAGATTAAATCTTTTAGTATCATTTTAAGTGGAGACTATTTTAATGTTATATTGTAGGATAGTTATTTATTGAGTCATTTCTAATTTCTTCTCTACTTTAGTAACTCTTTAATTGCTTATAAAATGGATTAAAAGTAAAAAGCTACTATTATTCAAATCATTCAAACTCAATTCATTGGAAATAAAAGAGTTTTAGCAATTGGTGATTCTTATAATGATAATTATATGTTTTGTTAATCTAATATTGGAGTTTAATATTGTCATTATCCTATTCAACTATAACAATATCAAAGAGGAGGCACTAAATTAAGACTTAATCGTAAAGTTACCTCAAATAAACTATTAGATAATCCATTAAATCGAAAATTCTTATAAAATGAAATGTGGGTTACTCCAACTACAGATATATGTCTCAAAAATTATCTTGATCTAAGTGGTTTAATGTTTTTTGAAAGTAGAATCTTTGCTGAAGTCTATGACGATTTACTTGTCTTTTCTTTCTATAGATCTCTACTTATAATTTATATTTTATTCTTTTTATATGCAAGCTATTGTAGTTAGAATCTAACTATTTTAACTGGAGCTTGGCTAACTGTTTATTAAAGTGTTTTACTTTTTATTTAATAAATTGTAAGTCTGAAATCTAAATTAGATAAAAAATATGATAAAGATTCGATTGCATATATTGAACAATTTAAAAGTAATATAAAGATTTTCAAAAAAAAAAAAGTTTTGTCATTTATTTTAAAAATTAATGGAAATGCCATGTTAGATGCTGCATTATTTTATTAATCATTGTATATTATTGTTTTTGATGAAATTTAATTTGAGACATTCAAATAAGTATTACTAATTCTTTTAATCTTAAGTGACATTGTAAAATTAATAGTATCAACAAACTACACTAAAAACACATGGATTGCATTTATTGCTACTTATTTAATATTTTGGTTGATGACTTCAATTTTGTCTGCTTTTTTTTAGAATATGGAAAGTTTTTTAGAATTATTTACAGTTTCTTCAACTTGGTTAGCATTAATTTATTATAGTTTTTCTTAATTTTGTCTTAGTAGTATAATTGAGTATATCTAACCATTATTTTGTTAATCTCTAATTGATTAATCTTAATTTGAATAAGTTTAGAATTATATTTAAAAGTCAAATAAAAATGGAACAAAGAAATATCATAATCTTATAAAGAGATTTGCTTAAATAGCAGGTAAGGTTTTTAAGAAAAATAAGGATGAAATGGATATATCTATATAGGACATAATCTGTGAGTTAAAAGTTAATCAAGATAGAATTAATAAATTTACATTGAGATTTTTAAATAAAGACACAGAAATGAAATTTAAAAGGTTATCGAAACTAACTTGGATTATATTTGAAAGAATTAAACTTGGTTCATCTCTAATTTTTTTGGAAGTATTTGCACTATTAATCTATTCTCTTAGTATTAGAGATGAAATACAATCTTAAACATATTTTATAATTTATATTCTAAGTATAAGTATTTAAGTAATAATCCAAATAATGACATGTTCAGGAATGTATTTGAAGCATTTCTTTTAGATAAATTTGATTATTGCTAGTATTAGATTACTTACTAAAATGATATCAGATTTTGAATAAGAAGAATCTTATAATATTCTTTTAAGTTAATGTTATATATTAATAATTATATTTTCAAGATTACATATACCTTTATTAAATTTTATCATAGCATCCTTGTCAATTATTGGATTCTTAAGATATTAGAGTTTTAAAACAGATTATTATGAAATAATAAATGGAGATTTAATAGTTTTGGTTACATTAATATTATTTATATCACTCTAATATAAATTGCATATGATGGAAAGATAAGATTTTTTATTGGCTGCAACATTGAATCAAGAAACAACTTCAATGACTAATGTATTATCAATTTTATTACCAAAATTTATAAGAGATAGAATAAATGCAAGTAAATAGAAATTATAAAATAATTTTAGAGGGAGTATTTGAGATTTAAGAGAATTAAGGAGAAGTTTCAATTTTATTTTGTGACATATGTGGATTTGATGATTTAATAGCAGTAGAGAAAGAGAACATTGTTAATTTATTAGATAGTTTATTTAGAGGATTTGATAGTTTATGTGTATAAAATGGAATGTAAAAGATAGAAACAGTTGGAAAGACATTTATGGCAGCAGGAGGTTTAAAAGCAGTAGATTAAGGGACAAAGTACATAAATTAGAGTGCAGTAAAGAGAGTAAAAATATATATTAATAATATAAAGGCTGTTTAATTATCTTTAGAAATGATGGAATATGCTAAAAAATTTAAATTTGGATAATCAGGTAATGTAAAAATAAAGATTGGAGTTCATTATGGTCGTGTAATTGCTGGTGTTATAGGTCATCATAAACCATAATTTTCATTAATAGGCGATACTGTCAATACAACAAGTCGAGTATGTTCTACTGGTTAAGATGGAGAAATAACATTATCTAATGAAGCATATATGGAACTTAATATGCCAGATTTATAATTCAATTAAATTAAAGTAAATGCTAAAGGTAAAGGAGAATTAATTACTTGGTAAGTCATTACTTCAATCAAACGAAATACTGATAAAAAAGTTAGAAAAAAGAAAGGACTTATTCCAAAATTTGATTCCTCATAATCAGATTTACCAACTTTAACTAAATTAGATCCTACTACTCCGAAAACTGATTTTCGATAATTAAAAGTTCCATAATAAATTAAACAATTTGATATTTATCCAAGAGAAATCAATGGAAAAAGTGAAAAAGATTTAAATTCTGATCATAACACTAATAACCTTAATGTACTTAAAGAATCGCTGTAATAGAAGGATATTCATCCTTTAAGAAAAAAAGGATAAAGAGGACCTACATTAATTATGAAAGCTTAAGATGGTTAAAAAGTTACAGGTGTCTTATAATTATAACATTCCACTAGTCAAAATAATATTTAACATTAAAGTAATAGAAATCTTCCTCCTATAGTTGTTTATTAAGCTGAAGAAAGTGTTCATTCTAATAATTTAAAAGATGAATCTTTTTTAGAAAAAAATCAAACTAATTTATTACATGATTTATCATAAAAATTAAGAAGAGATCTTTATATTGAAATACTTGATGAAGCACCAGATTATGAAGTTGAAATTGAAAAAATATAATTTGATGAAGATGAATAATTTTAAAGTGAAGACTTATAATTAGAAAGAAGTAGATTCTATCTTGATTTTAAAGAAAACTAAAAAGAATTAGCATAAGAATTTATGGATTAAAAAGAAGGTATTAATATTGTTTTCATGCTTTCTCTACATTTTCTCTAGTTTTTATCAAAAACTATTACTCTTCTATATCTATAAAATTAAGACAATTGGATTGTAGTTTTTGTTATTAGATTTGTAGCATCAATCTTATTATTAATCTTAGCTATGTTATAACATAAAAAACTAAAGCATAGATTTTATAAATATTAATACTTTTTAATAACTTACTTTTGTATATTAATTAGTATTCTTTTAGAATTTATTCTCATGCCTAAAAAATCAGTTGAATTATAAGCAGCAGAAGGAATTTTATTAATTTGTTTCTTTTGTTCACTTTCAATCATTAAAATTAAATACAAAGTTTATTTTAATCTTTGTCTCTTTATTGTTTAATTATTGATAGTTTTGATTCTTTATAAAGATTTAGCTATTGCATATTACACAATTTTTCAAAGTTGTATGACATTTATAGTTCAATATCATTTATTTTTCTAAGATTTAGGTACATTCAATAATAAAAGATCATTAGAATTAAAAAAATTGTAAACTTAAAATTTAGTTAAGTATCTGTTACCTACTCATATATTAAAGCAATTTTTATCTAATAGTAATTAAAGAATGGTTTTAGTAGATTAATTTGAAGATGCTACTCTATTATTTGCTGATATTGCTGGATTTACTGAATATTCTAGTAAAGTAGAACCAGAATAAGTTGTCAATATGTTAAGAAATTTATTTACTGAATTTGATAAAATATGTTTGAATTAAAATGCTTATAAATTATATACTATAGGTGATTGCTATGTTGCATTTGGAATTGTTGATGTTACATAAAGAAATCCTTCTTAAGAAGCAAAAAATGTTGTAGATTTGGGATTTAAAATGATAGAAATAATTAGATAAGTCAGATCAATAATAGGATTTGATGGATTAGATATGAGAATTGGTATCCATACTGTAATTATAATATTTAGTTTTAGGGGAAAGTAATAGGAGGAATCTTAGGAACAGAAATTGTTAGATATGATGTTTATGGAGCTGATGTTATGATTTCTAATAAAATGGAATCTAATGGAGAAAGAGGAAAAGTTTAAGTATCTGAAGAAACTAAATAATTACTTGAATAATCTTATCCTGATCAATTTATATATACTTTTAATAAAGAAGTAGAATTCAAGTCTATTTGTCGAAAAACTAAGGGATATTTTATTGATCCAATAAAAAATGATAGTAATGAAGATTTTGATGATATGAATCACTTATAATTTGTCAAAGATTTAGAATAATACCAAAATGTATTATAATGAACTGTTGATCTCTATAAAAATTATATTTAAAAAATAGATATCATTATAAAACTGTATTGTTTTCAATGTTCTTCTTATACAATTTTAATTGTTAATTAGTTTTCTTTTTTTCTAAATTTTCAATGAATTTTGCAATTCTCTATTTTAATTCAGGTTATTCTATAACCATTTCAATTGTTAATGGAGTTCTATCAAATGGGTCAATCTATTAATTTAATAGTTATTTTTTTATTGTTAATCTATCAACAATTACCTAATTTGATATCTATTTGAATATTACATTAGAATGAGGTAATTTAACTGGATCTGTCATTAAAGAATAACATAATGGATCCAAAAACTCATCAGGAACATCATCTGGTAATTAATTTATAATCTTTTATTTCTCTTCATATTCTTAAAGTTTAATTATTAATTCTCTAAATAATAATATTCTTTGATATGGAATTATGTGATGTTTGCCTAATAAATTTATTGTCGCTTAGAATAATTCTATGGAAAAACACCTTCATTATATATTATATTATAACCTATCATCTTTAACTACTTGCATTAAAAACTTTTCATTTGAACTAAAATTTATGTATAATTCAATCACATTTCCCATAATTAATTTTGGATCAAAATTTACAGACTCTAATGATTGTATTTTATATTGAACAGCCTATTTGCCATTTAATTGTTCTAATGTGTAATTAAGATTATTAGCTAATTTATCTCTAATTTCATCAGTTAAAAATGCTTCAGGTTGAACTTCACTAAAAACTTAAATATTCTTATAATATTCTTATAAAAAAATAGTAAAAGTTTTTAATTCTGATTATAGTTTTGAATATTCTTATTTTTATTCCATATCTTATAATTAAGATTCTAAATTTTTCATTTTCTTCATTCTGGTTAAACATTCATCCAATAAAAATATCATATCATTTAAATAATAATTAGCAAAAGTTAAGAACATTTCTTTTTCTCTTTCAACAGTTTAAGTTAATAAAAGATTATACTTGTCCTTGTGTTTCTCAAGCAAAAATCTTATTAATTTACAAAATTGATATCTGAAATTAAACTTTTCATAAAATTAATTACCTTCACCTGTTCTTTCACAATCAATAAATACTTTAAGTATTCCACCAATCATATGTTTTTTAATAACCTAATTGTTTCTAAATATAAAATCATAAGATTAAGGTTATAGAATTCCTCTTTTATTCATTTTGCTTTAATCGAAAATATGAAAAAGTTCTATTCCTTTTATTCTTAAATGTGGATTAGTTATATTTCTAGTATCCATAGCAAATATGGCAAATTCACAACACTTTTCTAATTCCTAAGAATATTTAAGAATTTCATCATTTGAATTGTAAACAGTAAAGAATGAATGAGTATCATTAACAAAACTAGATGGCAATAAACCATACGGATATTTAGGTTTATTATTTTAATCTATCATACTCATTGCAAGTTGACTTGAAAAGCTTAAAAATTACATAGTATATTTTATAGTATTTGGATACAAAATTTATGTATCAAATGATAATTTTTTTCTCAAAATTTCATTAAATTAAGGAGATTCTCTACCATACTATTATGCTATATCTCTTTATCTAATTAAAATTCCATTATAATAAAATTAATCAATATTTGTAGCTACAATATGATTAATTCTTTAAGTTAACAAAAACATTGTTGTCATTGGATCTATTTTTGTTTCAACTTCTAATAATTCTTATAAAGGTATTAAATCAGGAGCAAGTAAATCAATATTTTAATATATTGTTGAAAATAACGGATGTTCTTTTAAAACAATAAACAATTATAATTAAATATTCTTAATTCTCAAATCTATTTTATTTTAATCATCAATCCATGGATTAAACATTTTAAGTAAAATATAATGTAAATTAAATATTAATCCAGGAGTACAACATTATAATTACAACCATTAATTGAATAACTTTTCTAAATTTAGATTCAATGTTATAATATTTGAAATGAAAGTGTAAAAATTCATTTTAAGAACATTAGATTTATGTTTCAATATTTTTGTGAATAAATTGCAAATTTCATCATTCAAATTAAATATTTAGATTCTATAAATATCTTTCTCTTTTGTCAATGTACTGTAATCACCAGTAAACTTATTTTTTTCATTTAAAAAATCTGTATAAAATAAACTACCACTTAAGATCTTACCAATAATGCTGTAATTTTAGAATTGTTATCCAATTTATATTAACTTAAATTTTCCATAAGCCCAACTGTTTAATAAAATAATTTCCATAATATTTTGATACTCTGCAATAATTTATAATAAGTTTAGAGTTTACAATGGTTAATTTAAAGAATCAAGAGACCAATTAGCATTAAGATCAAATTCTCTCTTAAACATTAAATCCATAAATTTTTGAATATCATCAGCACTAACCTTTGTATTAATATAATCAAGCAAATTATGTAATATTCCTGATTAGATTTCTTATTAATTTGAGCTAAATATTTTATTATAAAAAAAGGATGCCCTTTAATTTCTATTATCATCCTTTCTATTAGGATCTTCATCATACTTTTCCCACTCTAAACCTTCAGGATATAAAATGCAAGTTATTAATTACCCTTACAAATTATTTAGAATTTCATAATACTTGCTTTTCTCAATATTTCCATCACATACTTTAATAAATTATTCCTAAATTTCTACATATGTGATATTTATTAGAACTTCTATAAGATATTCAAATTTTTCTGATTCTCTAAATTATGAACATGTTAACAATGTATAACATAATTCATCAATAATATATTGAACAGAAAGGTATTTATTTTTAGTAATAAACTCAACCTTTTTTTCATTAATAACCTAATTATTTACATCAATTTTAAATATCTTTGAAAGCCAAATATGTTCTACTTCTTCTGGACTTAAGTGGATAATTTCATTTTAAGGTTAATTGATTTACTTTTCAAAATATTCTTCAATTTATTCATCCTCTACTTATTATTATATTATTTATTGTTTTATGATTTCCTAAGAACTACTTTAATCAATATTCAATAATTCTTTATTTACATCTATTTAATTAATTTTCTATTATTATTGCTATTAATGTTCATTATATTAAATAGAAGACATTCCCTAAAGACTCATTAAATCTTATTCATTTACTTCAGATTCCATTTTTTATTGAGCTTTTTCATACTTTTTGGCCCAATGATCTTGAGCTGCTTAACATCTATTATATTATTCTTATGGCTCATTTCGTAATAAGGAAGATGAAGATTAACCCATTAAAATAATTTAAAAATATTACTATCTAGTAATTAGTTATTAGGGTTTAAATAAATTACATAAAAATTTAATATTCAAAATAAAGAATATTCTATAAATTATGAAATGATTTAGACTTTAGTTTGAACTGTTGATTATATTTAAATTAATTGCATGAAATTTATAAATTAAGTACATTTTCTATGTTTAAATCATAAATTTAATTTTTAAATTGATTATGGAGTCTCCAATTAATAATTAAAAGTATTCATATTCTGCAATCATTCCTTCTTTTAATTCCTTGATTCATGTATTTAACTTACATGCTATTAAGAATCAATCAAAAATCTTATTTTTTGTATCTTTCTTTTCATTTAAATTAAATTTAATTCAGAAAATTAAACTGAATTGATTCCTAGACATATATAATCAGATATCTTTATATTTCTAAACTCAATTATTTTCAACATTAAAAGCATGAGATTTTCTTAGTTCAAATTCCTTTTTTCACATATATTTTCTTGTCTAATTAAAAAACAACTAAAATATTATTGGTTTTATTTCAAGTATTCTTTTATTTTTTTCATATTAATGAAATAAATATATCCATTATTTTTATATACTTTCTTCATCATAATTTAATAGTTATATATATTTTTTCTTTATTCACATGTAGGAATTTATAATGAATAAGAATGAGAGAAACTTTTCTTTACTAATTATTAACTTTGATTCATAAGAAAATTTATACTCATTTTATTCAAGAATAGACAAATTGATAAAATATCAAAATTAAAACTAAAAGTTATTTTGAAAATATTTTCTTTGAAGAAAATAATTTTTATTGTTAAATTAAAAATTTATAAACATATTTATTATGCAATTCCATTTGCAGCATTGCTCTTTTATAGAGAGTTTTCTAACTCAATTCGGTCCATAGAAATAAAATTAAGTTATTGAATTCTTAATAACTATGGGGATAGATTTGGCAAATAAAACAGGAATAAGAAACACAAAAGAATTATATTAATTATTAAAACAACTTTCAAGTACATATAATATAATAAATTCGAGAAAATATTAAAGAACAAACATAGGGAGATATAAAAAATGAAATAAAAACAATTCAAAAATAATTGAGAGATTTAAATGAGTTAATTTAAATCTCTTAAAGAGAGAATAGAAATGTATAAGGGACACGTAAAAAATAATAAGGAATGAAGAATTATGAAAATAGATATGAATAATATGAAGATAATCATATTCATCGACCAGATTATTAAAATACATATTAAAGTTATAATACATAGAGATCGTAATCAAAATCTCCAGTGTAATTAAGTGATCGTACTCCTCATAAATTAAAGCATTCAAGATCTCATTCACATAGAAATTTAACTCCAAAAATTACTGAATCACCTCCTCCTCCTTAAATAGTATACATTAATAAAATGCATAACAAATTCGATATAAAACCATAATTTGATGATAGATAAATGTAAGATTTCAATGTTTTTCTAGTAAAAAATTAATGTATGGTGATCAAAAATAATAAGACAGAGGTAGATATTTTGGTAAGAGTCCTTCTCCTTAACAATTAGTTTACTCTTCTTAAACTAGTGGAGGTTTATCATATAGATAATATCAATATATTCCACATTAATAGGATAAATAGAAATAAAATATTTCACCTAAAAAATTGCCTACTTATCTTCAAAATGTGGAATCAAAAATAAAACCTATGATTGATTAAGATAAACTCTAATATAGAGAAAATAAGAATAAGAATTTAGATGGCACTGTAAAAAAATTAAATAATAATAATAATAATTCACTTCAATAATAAAATAGCGCTGAAACTGATACATTCTTTGATATTCAACAATATATATAAGATTAAAAGAAATACTAGTTTTCACCAGTCTAAGAAATGAATGACGATGATAGGAATGAAAATGATGAAGCAAGTGAAACTTTTTCTAATTTCAGTCCACCTAATGAAGAAGTAAAGGAATTCTTTTAATAAGAATATCTTTAATAACGTAGATGATAATATAAGATTATTGAATTTCTAATTATTATTCATTAATTAGTTGCTCTAGATAAAACATCGTAAAACTAATCTTTTGTTACATAACCTTAACTATTAATAATTAATTTTATTTCTTTACCTTGGATTTTTACTATTAGCTTCCTAAATCATTAATTTTAATTCATCATCTGACATAGTCTCTCCTAATTCAAGAGCTACTTTTTTTAAGTTTTCAAAAGTGATGAAATTATCATTACCTTAAGAAAATAAATGAAATGCTCTCTCTATTTCTTCTTATGATTCTTTTGCATTCTATTATTTTAATATTTTAATATGTATACCATTTTTTCTGTCATTATTTGAAGAAATTCATTAAAATCAATTGTATTTTTATTTTCCTTTGAATCATTATTATTATTGAGGTTTTATTTTAAATTTTAAATTTCCTCTTTTCCTGGTTCAAAGCCTAAAGCACGAAGAGCCACTTTTAATTCTTTTTCATCAATAGTACCTAATAATAATAATAATATTTTATAACAACCTGATCCATCTACATCAAATAAGTCAAAAGCTTCTTTTATATCCTTCTTTTATTTTTCACTAAGCTCTTAACGGAATGAATGACCTGCTTTTGCTTTCCGTTATCCTTTTTTTGCTTTTCCTTACATTTAATTTATTATTAAGATGTTTATATTAAAATATTAAATAAGTTTATTAAAAAGACGAGTTTTTTAATTTAAATTTATTCTCACATAAAATAATTAAATAAAACTTAGAATATCTAATTTTAATATCAAATATCTTTCATTAAGGGGATGTAGATAAAAGTTAAGGTCGTTCCAATTTATATTTTTTACTTAAAAGAGAGGAGAATTATTTAAATAAATATATAATTCCTTTATTTTTGATGCTGAAGATTAATTAATTATCTTTGCTACAAAGTATACATATATATATTTAATTCAATTTTAATAAATCTGTTAAGAATTTAAAGATCGGATTAAAAAGCATGAATTGAAGTCAACCAAATTATTGACCTTTTTGAGAGAGGAATCTTGGCTAATTGGAAATACAATTAAAATAATGATTATATATGAGGAAGTTGAAAAGATTGAAAAGTTATAAGTATCATCAGAAAAAAGAAGATCAAGTTTTAGAGAGAATATAAAGAATGTAGCATCCCTTTTTGGAAGTGAGCAATTTCGTAATAGAACCAGAAGAAGTTCTATATATACTTATCTAAATTATTCATTAGGCATCCTTTTTAAACCATTTTTTACATTCTGAGGCTTTATTCAAGCTTTATTACTTATTAGAAGAAGTAAAATTTAGATTTATTATAATATAAATGATATCTTTTAAATACGATTAATGAAGCTCTTGGATAATAAAATGCCTCAATTTTAAATCAGTGAATAACTAAATGATTATGATTATATTCTGATTTATTTAAAAATATATCGAAAATCATTATTATTTTCATTAACAAACTCCTGATGCTAGAATTTTAACAAGTTCTTTAGGATCTCCTCCATATGTAGATATTGAAGAAATTTAATCCAAAATTTCAAATCCAGATATAATTTCTCCAAATGCTACATGTTTTCCATCAAGTTATGAACATTCAGTTAAAGTAAAGAAGAATTAAGATCCATTTGTATTAGGACCTCGATTTGCCATAGAAACAATTCCTCTTTTATCATGTTTTATAATAAAATTTTCATCCTTGAAATATTTCCCCCATATACTAGTACCACCAGTTCCATCTCCTCTTTCATAATCACCTCCTTAAGCAATGAAATTTTCTGTACATCTATGGAAGTTTGTTCCTCCATATTTAGTTTAACATAATTTTCTAAAATTTTAACAAGTTTTTGGGCATTATTCATCAAATAATCTTATTATAACTTAAACAGATTATCTATTTCCAACCTACATAGTCATAAAACAATCCTTTTTGTTTTTAGATGATTTGTTCCCCATTATAATTTATTTATTTTTTTATTATATAATTTCTGCGAAAAAGAATTACATAAAGTAAAATTCATTAAGTTATTTTATTTTTCTAGATCTCACTTTTTATACAGGTTCACTAATTCCTCTTATCATTCTTCTTTTTCAACCTAAATACCTAATATTTTTGTTTCTATATATTTACCAGGAATTTACTTTTTTTCTATCTTTATTCTATCTTTATTATGATTATTAGGTCTATGTATCGAAATTATTTGAAAATAATAATAATTCAAATTCTAATTTATTTTCTGTCAAAATCTTATCTATAAGAGGATTTTCAATTTATTTAAATTAAACAGTATCTTTTCAACCTAAATTTCTTTGAAGTTTGTTAATTACACTTTTTTAAACTTTCTCTTTTATTTTCTAAACTTTATTCCTCTATTTAACACTAATTTCCTTAGCTATCTGAGGTAATGCAATTATTTTCTACACCTTTCTCTTTTATTATTTATTATTCAATGATTGGTAGATTTATTTCTTAATTTATCATTAAAAAGTAAGTTTTCTATCATTCTATTTATTTTATTCTCAAAATTTTTCTATTATTTCTTCATCATCACTTATTTTTACTACTTATGCTTTTTCTATATGAAACTATTTTCATTAATATGATTGAAGATTATTCTTATCTTCTTTTACTACAAAACTCTTATCCCATTTTTTGTTTATTTATACATACAAAATATTTAAAAAATATGTAATTTGGATTATATTCTAAAAATATTAATTCAATTAGATTATAAAAAAGAAAATAATTTGCTTAAAATGAAAACTTTTGTTAACGAATATATACTAATTTTTAATAACTTTAAATTTCATTTAATTTAATATGGCTAAAAATAATAGAAAATTTAATAATTATTTATTACGATATAATTTATTTAATTAAATTTTAAATTCCTTGGACTTCATCTATTTTTTTTATTTTTTACAATAATGAAAGATTGCGTTGCAACTTATCTAAATATTAAAAAATTCTGTATAATTATGGAATATTTGACTTAGTTTGATAAGAAGAATAATGGATTATGTGATGAAATGATGGCATGATCATAATTTTTTTGCTGAGATTTATAGTAATTCATAATAATATTTATATATATTGACAGAATTGCAATTAATTTTCAATGACTTAATAATACGTATTATAATAAATTACCGGAAAGTTAAGATTCTTGATTTTAAAATTCATGAATCTGCAAATCTAATTACTCATAATTTATTAAATATCTTACATTTGAATAATCATGTCACAAAGTCAAGAATAAAAGGTTCGATCAAGAGCATAAACCCTTATGGTAAATTTAAATATTGCCTTGGGATCACTAAATATTGGGTATGTTGTTACATACTTAACTTTATCAATCGATACTTTATTTGCAGTGCTGTAAGAACTCTATATATAAAATTAGTGATATAAGTGCTGATGAAAAAACAGAAAGACTAAGTTTGCTTGCTGGAATTCTTCCATTAGGAAATGTTGCAGGTGTGTTCATTGGATATTTGTTAAAATAAAAGTTTACAAATAAATAATGCCTTCACATTGCAGACCTAATAGGAATAACAAGTTTATTGGCTGTGATAGCTGACTATTATCTCATAGTCGTCATTAGATTTTTTCTAGGGGTTTCTAATGGAATATCAAGTTATTTGATGCCAGTATATATAAAATCAATATGCCCTCAATAATATTTCGGTTAGTTTAGTATGTTTGTTGGATATGGCATAAATACAGGATATGCTTTAGGATAATTAAGTGGAATTGGATATATAGAGTATTAACTGATACCTATTAATTTAGGTATTCAGGACCAACTTCAAATTGGTGGAGAGTAGTGTTCTTATTTCCAACTGTTATTTGCATAATTCGTTCTTTTGTCATGCAATTTATATACAATTACGACAGTCCTGAATAATTAATTTAAAGGGGAAATATTGAACAAGCAAAATATGTATTCATATTATCTATTATTTAGGTTATTTGTTAAATCTATAAAGATTAGTATGTTGATGAATAATTTGAAAGGTATAACAAAATGGCTTCGGAATTATAAAAATAAAACAATAAATCCTTTTGGACTGCTTTTGAAAAAAAGAAACTGATTACATTATAAACTGGAATTATATCAGTATATATATATACTAAAAATTAGATGTTGGTATAAATATGGTGTGGAGTCTTCGCAGTATTTTATTATAGTGCTTAAATATTTGCAGATATGGCTGATGATGATGTTGTCTAGAAAACTGTGTATACTTTCTGTTTAGGATTATCAGGATTTGTGGCTTAATTTTTTACTATTTATATGGTTAATAAATTAGGAAATAAATACATCTTACGTAATATATTTATAATATCTAATAGTTATTGGTTCATTTCTTATTGGATCTCTCAACTTAGCAGTTTCAATTATTTCAAGAGATGTTACACCAGAAAATGAATTGGCTATTTTTATTCTGCTATTACTTCTAGTCATGACTTTTGGAGCTACTTTAGGTCCTGCTGCGTGGGTATAAAATAGTTATATATTTTTAGAGTATTGTACCATAGCTGAATGATAGTGATGGAACCTTCATTGCTACTGAATTTCGATGGTCATTTTAGACTATTGTAGTTTTCTGTTTTCCTTTTATGGAAAAGAATCTTAAAATTTTTGGTGCCTTTCTATTCTTTGCTATAATTGACTATTTATACTTTATTTATTGTCACTTCTTTTTGATTGATGGCAGAGGAAAAACTAATGAATAATTAATAGCAGCTTATCATAATAAGTTTGGCTATTCAGTTGTTCCAGAATCAACATCATAACAAGGAAATATTTAGACTGATTTTTAATAACCACAAGATTTACAATTAATAGCATAATAGTAAGGAAACAATAATAATTAAAATGAAAAGTGAATCAACTATATTCTAACTTCTAATTGTTGTAATAATTTTTATATAAACATAAATTAAATACAAACTTAATCAAATTATATATTATTTGATATTGTCAAAACCTTTTTCTAAGTATTCTGCTTTAGTAAAGCAAGCATTTTAAAATTCATTGCTTCTATTGAAATTTAGAGTTCCTTAAAAAACAGAATCAATATCATCAAGGTGTGTTACATTAACATTCCAATCTTATGAAGAATTTTATCTAATTTCATTTGATAGTCTTTCATAAAAAGAACTAAAAAAACTATTACCACCACTTAGATAAACATTTTCTGCAAAATATCCCTATAAATCTTTATGCATAGTTGATAAACTATCAAAAAAGGTTTCAGTAGGACCTTTTTAAGCTAATCCAATTTCAGTAGGATGGAATAGAATTTCTGGTATAGTAATCCTTTCTTTATCGAGTATTAATTTTTCATCTAAAAATCCTACATTTAATAAATCAACAGCATATCCTTCTCTTCTAATTTCAAAATCTGGTAAAATGTAATATTTTCTAAAAAAATTCTTAGGTTTTTTCATATCTTAAAAATAATTCATTGAAACAAAACATAAAAGTTCTTTAATTTTACTACTTAAAAGAAAATAGTTTTTTAAATCAAATTATTTAAAGGAAATGTTTTCTTTTAATTAATTAGTTAACAATCTTCCACCAATATCAATTCTTCTTAAACCACTATACATGATTTCTCCATCAAAAATTGGCACTAAATAAGTTGCACTATGACTTGTATCTATTATATATGTAAATTATTTTCTCTAAAGACCTTCTCTAGCCAAAACATTGTAATAGAGCATTTTTTAAGCATTTATTGGACAAAATGCATCTACATTATAATATTCAAACATCACATCAAAGAGTTTATTGACAACTTAATCAGGTGTAAATGGTTAAAATGGATAAGTGATTGAACAATCCTTTAATAATTTTGGATTCAGAAATTTGTCCCTATAATAAATTAGATTGCTTGATACCATATATTGATTTATTTATCAAAATCTACAAGGACTCCTCTTACATGAGGTTTGTAATATGTCATTACTTAGGATTCATCAAACAATGTATCAAAATCATAGATCATTTACCCTGTCTTTTTTAGATGTGCAATAAGATTCAATTACTTGTGTTTCTAAACATCATTTCCATATCGAATTTGATATGACCCATTATCAAGAACAAATCTTCTCTAATTATTTTGCCTCCAATTATCCATTATTATAAATATAGTATAATTTGATATAATACAAAATATAATCATTTATTGTATTTTCTTATTATTAGTAATCCTATTCCTATAGTCTCTAAAATTGTCACACTCAAAATTATATCTAAATCTAACTCCAATTATTCTTTCAAAAATAAAGTTGGCACTATGGATATTAATAACAATGCAAGCTTTTTATAATATCTGTTATAAATTATTAAATAGAATGAATAAATGGGTATTATTAAAAGCAAAGGAGATATTATACAAATAAGTAGATAGTGCAATATGAAACTTACTATTTTGTAAAATAAATCCAAAAATCCTATAGTGTAAAGCAATGATAACATTTAAATTGAAATTATAAGCAAATGAAATGATTTTATTAAATTGCATTGAAATTCTGTGTGCTTTAAAATATCTTGATCACAATCCCAACAGAATATATATCGACAATGTTAACATTTCATCTAAGGGCAACCTCCATTTTTCTAAATAAGTACACCACATTAAGGGCATGGTTTAGTTAAAATAAATTGCATTGTTTTTGTAAATAACTTTTGTTTATTGAATAATCCTATATTTTATTCATGCCAAACAGTATGACACTTTTCACATTCATAATTTCCATCACAATCATCAGGTATTATTCCATAATATTTACAATCTGTCTTTGGACAAGGTAAAGTATCCTAAGACTTTTATAAATATTTAATGCATAAAATCTCTTATAATTAAGGTTCATATTTTGTTTGTTGAAATATTTTAATAAAATCCAAACTCTATTGACATCCAAGACATATTTCATCACTTTTTACTTTTATTTATTCCAATAAACATGAATAGCAGTATGTACATTTGCAATCTTTAAGCTTTACAAATTCATTCTCATTCTATGTACAACAACAACATGGGCAATTCATTTCTTAAGAGTAATTAGTATATTTTAAAAAATAATATTGAAAGACTTATTTTTGATTTATTTGCAATAAAAAGTTTCTGACAAGGAATTACTTGGATTAATTTAATAAAAAAATATTGTAAAAAGTTTTATAAAATTTATTTTTTACTACCTTTTTTAGGAATGGTGTACAATTATGAATCTACATGATAATAATTAGATGAATAATAATAAATTATTTTAAATACTTTAATGAACTAAAAAAATCTTCATAAATTGGTATTGGCTAATAATTTAGAATTGGTTTTCATAAATCGGCTTTGGCAATCAACATTGTTGAAAATGTGATTTAATAATAAGTATAAACCGTAATTTATCTTGAAAATAGAAAGTTGAATTACTCAGTAATCCCAGTTCATTTTACAATAGAATTAAATGTAAATTTGAAAAGAGAATAAAAAATATTTGATGTAATTGGAATTAGTAGAATGATGTACAAAAAATTAAGTCCTGTGAGAATTTTCACAAAGAAATAACTAATATTTTTAAAGAAATTAGAAATTGATATCATGAACTCTTCTAATAATTAAAATAAGAATATATAAATAGAGTCTTAGGTTTAATAATAATAAAATTATTTTACACCCTCTAAATCTCATTTAAAAGGATTATATAAAATAAATAAATACTGATACTTCTACACCAAAAAAAAACAATACTATATCAATATCACAGAACTTAATTGTAAGAACAAAAATTAAAACTAATATGACAGATATGTAATATAACAATAGCCCCTGTATATGTAGAAGTCATAATTTTAACTAGAAAGAATGAAATTTATACCATTATATTTAACTTTAAATTCAATATTATAATTAAAATTAAATTGTAAATGGAATAACATAAATAATACTGTAAAATTTCAAAATAGGATAGAAGACAAATTATTCATGAAGTACTTGTAAATAAGAGATTAATACTTGAAGTAATTCATTTGAATCATAATAGGTTGCTAGAGAATTCAAAGTATTGCCGTCAACATGCAAATCAATAATTAATACTTACATTAAAGAAGGGAGGATAGGAAAAAAAGAAAGAAGAATTAGAAAATTAAAAAAAGTAACTGCAATTTACACAATTACATTAAATCCATTAAATCCACTTTCATCTACAATATCAACTGAATGTGAAATTGCTGAAGTAGAGCAACCTTCTCTTCAAAGCAATGCATTGTAATAAGAACTTCCTTAAAAAAAACCATATGATTTCTTAAGTTAATGGACTGAAAACTACATTCAAGATTACAAAAAATACAAATTAGGTGCTAAATATCATTGAAATTTTGATTTTAATAAAATCAAATCAATAGTAATTTCTAAAAAGTTCTCATTATTTTTGTTTATAAAGTAAGTTCATTTTTCTTTCAAATTCTTCTTTTAATTAATTCTTCTTTTTTTCTACCATAGCTCTTGTTTCTCTTTCTTATTACTATAGCATTTGCTTCTCCCTTCTAATAGAACATAAATTAATTATTTACATCATTTAATCTAATTTATTCATTTTATATTCTGTCATCGATTTTTTCATATTCAAATTTTATTCAAATCTAACTTTCGCGTTATCTGCATTTGTTAATCCATTTTCTAATAATGCTTTTTAAGAAAATAATTTATTATTTAATTTTCTCTCATTTTCTATTTAAATTTATTATGATAATGAATCTTTATAATTCAATTTATCTAAAGTTTTATAAATTCTTTGATCTAAGATTTCTTAAGCCTTCTTGTAATTTGAATCATTCAACTCTTACTTAATTTAAAAAGTCATTGATTTTTCAAGTTATTTTATGTTCTATTCACTTTATAATTATGATAAATATTAGTCTTTACGTATTTATTGATAGTTAAATTGATCTATTTTAAGTTATTAAATTTAATTAGCCTTAGTAATTGCTTGATCTACAGAATCTCTCAAATAAAGACTTCTTAGATTGGCTTTTTCTTCTTTTTTCATTTTAGCATCTTATACGATTTATTAATGCTTCTACTCTTAATTTTATAATCTTTATTCAAGATTCTGAATGATAATTACTCAATTACTTTATTCTTCATAGTTTGTGATTCATCATATTTTTCTCTAATCGCTGACAATTCTAATTACTTTAATCTAGTTTAAAAGTCGCGTTCTTATTTCTTCTCTTACCTTTAACCAAATATGATTGATTCTTTCTGTTTCATTCTAAATTCTTTCTCTTTATTTTTTTCAGCTACTTCATTTTACATCTCAAGATATTTTATAAATTATGATAATTCTTTATCTTGCTTTATTAATTGTCTTGAGTAGTTTTGTTCCTCTATTTTTAACATTCAATCTGTATTAATATATAATTATAATAAATAATCATATTTTATTAAATAATTCTTTTAATGTTCCTTCTTTGTGCATTTCCATCATAATGTCACATCCACCGACTAATTCTTATTTTACATACTTATTTATTATATTAAATTATACTAATTATGGAAAAGTAGGCCAGTTTGAATATTTCTTGATTTCTTCTCTCATCAAAGGATCTGAAAGCACATCAACAGAATGATAATTTTAAACTTTATAAAATTAAAGAACCTAAACAGCATAATTTGAATAACCACACATAGGTTAGCTAGGTGTTCCTTTCATAAATAATACAACTTGGTTTGATTTAATAATCTTAGAATAATTTAAATGAATTTACATTATCAATTTCTTTGTGTTTTTATTAAATCTATTCTTAAGTGTATTATGGTTGTGTCTTCTATTATGGTTAGAAATCTGGATGAGAATTATTATTATCATGATTATGATTATGATCATGAGAATGATTATGATTATGCTAAGAAAATGATGCTATCATTCTTGTTGACAAGTACAATTAAGGCATTCTCAATATCTACTTTGATATTCTTTAAATCATTAATAAATTAAATATTCTTGAAATTGTAATAATGCTTAATTATCAACCTGATTTAGTGCAAATTTTTCAAAATATAAATATGCTGGAAAATCATAATATAAGGGTATAAATAAAGTAATTTATATGAAGAGAATGATATCTAAAGATTAAAATAAGTTAATAAAATATATTTTTTAAGCTTTTGTCATTCAAACTAATAGTTTATATTGTTCGATTCTAGATTTCTAAAAAAGTAAATAGAATATATTACCAGATATGATATTGAAAGATCTTATTGCTTCAATAGGCTTTCCCCCTAGAATATTGCTTTTTATTTCGATTTTTTCTCTTCAATTAATTAATTCATAACAGTTTAAATTTCTAATCTTAATATAAGCATATTAATTTACTCTAAATTCTTTGATTCCTTGATTTATGAAATATCAGCATCATCAAACAAAGAGTCAAGTAATTGATTAATGGTCTGCATCTTAGGACAAGGTTGAGAACAAGATCGAATATGAAAAAATTTGTGAGTAGTTTTGGTTTTATGTTTCTCTTTAATCATTTCTGCAGCAGTAATACATTATTAAATAAGTTAATAAGTAGGATTATTACAAATATGCAGAGATTAATGAGTATTAATAAAACTTTAAGTATGTCTGCCTTACTTTCTAATGAATTTGACAGGTGATGACTACAAATCTTTTGTAACTATCGTGTGCTATGATTTACAAACTGATTTGTATTAGCCATTTAGATTTTTGACTTATAATTCAGGATTTACTGAATGTCTTTTTTTAATTTGCATAAGTTAATGTTATATTATTTTCTAATAAATTTATTTTCAAGATCTTTTGCCTCCTATTCCTTCCCAAAATGACTACATATTTAATTTCCATTCTCCATTGATATCGAATTCTCTCATTAAATAATATTGTTCTTATAGAGTTAAATTGAATCCTAATTCTTATAATCCAGTAGCAAGTTCTTCAAATTCAATTTAACCTTTTAATTATTTATCAAGTTTTCTAAGAGAATATATAGAAACATGATTTACTTCATTAGATCTAATAAAAAGGAATCAAAATTAGGATAATTGTCAGCAAACATTCTTAACTTTGCTATAATTTATTTAATATCAGCTTCTTTAAAAACATCAGGCTTTTATTTCATGTAATTAACAGTAAATTCATCTGCTCTCATCAATTAAAATTTGTAAACATTAAATTAAACGATTGCACCTAATTGAAAATCCTGAGTAAAATAAACAATAATACTTTTTCAGTATAATAGTCATTAGTTAATGGATTCTTTTATCTAGATCTTTCTTAGAATTTACCTCCCTTAATTATTAGGATTAAATAATATTACCCAAATTCCACTATTTCTTTCTGATGTTTAATACACTTAAACAGTATCATCTCCACAATAAAAGGAAATAATAAACCTTCTGGAATTCTCTTCTCTTACTTCGCTAATTAATCTTGATTCAAATCTTAAAATGAATTAATCTTAAGTGAAATTCTTTCGAACATCTTTTTTAGGAGGTTTAGGTTAAAGTGAATAAACAGATCCTAAAGAATCTTCTTCATATCCATATCCATTATATGGAGGCACTGGTTAATAAAACTTCTTTCCTCTCTCCTACTTCAATGTGGCCGGTCTATTTATTTTTATTTATTAATTACTTCTATTATATTCCTAACACCCTTAAGTAATATTCTTTCGTAAAATCATCACAATTATAAATAAAACAATCTCTTCCGTATATTCTTACTTAGTTCCCACAAATTAAATCTAAAGGACTATAAAATTCCTCTTTTTTTAGTGTCATTCCTGGATAATGCGTTAAAATTGGTTATTTAGGTATCTTTTATCTTCTTAACATTAGTGGATAAGGATCCTTTCCTGAATTTTGTTTTCTAACTTCTTTCACTTCACAAGTATCATCTGCCAAATAATAATTAAGTGTATAATAATTTAATTAGCCTTCTATTGAAGAATCATCCCATATAATATCAAAAGATAACACTTTTCTATCATTACTTAAATATTTATTTAATCCTCCATTTGGATGTCCTCCTCCTAGTTTTACTTCAAAGTATTCTTTATATTCCTTTGTGTCTGGAGGATTGATTTTCAAGTCTTTTGTTTCTTTCTGAGCCTAAAAGTTATCTCTTGGTAATTATTCTGGCAATGATAAGGGTTTACCCATATATTCATAAAACTCTCTGGTGAATGTATCGCAATCACAAATTCGATAAACCTTATTTCATTAAAAATTATACTCTATCATAGAAATTTATGTTTGAGCATAATTAGAGATCTTCCCATGTATAAAAATCTTGTTTTCCTAATTTCTTAGGAATCTTCTATCTTTTTATGAAAAGTCCTTAAGGAATGCCTGAATTTTATATTCGAGGCTATCAGTTATTTAAATTATTACCTCAGTTACGTGAATAGTTCCATCAGAAAGGTAATAATAGATAATAACTTATCTAATTCTATAATTTTCATTAGGATTTTCTACTACTGATTCTTAGAAGTAAGAATAAAATCGTAAAACAGCTCGATCATATTTCAACCAAGGTGGTTAAATTCTTGGAATATAATCATTTTCAGGTGGTTATCTACTACCGTAAGTGAGATTTGGAGGTGTTCCCATTTTCATTGAGTCTAATAAATTTGGATCAAATTCTTCATGAATAAAATTAGTTTTTTCTTGCACAGTTCCATTAATATTTGAAAATTATTGAGTTTTATGATGATTTTCTTTGTAAGGGTCTGAAAATACATGTCCAGGAAGAAAAGGTACTTACTTTGGAAACTATGCATTCAAAGACATATTTTATTAATATATTAATTATCAATATATAACTGGTTAGATTAAACAATTAAAAATTACCTATTTAAGCAATCTAAATAAAGTCTATATTAACAACTCACTCTTGATAATAGTTAGATTATTTGAAATATTGAAAAATTAATGTAACAAAAAATTGTGTTTGATACTTAAAGTTTATCTTAGATGTAAATTTTGTTTCTTATAGAGATGTCCAGAAGAATAGAGAGAAAAATACATATTACTAGGATAAAAGCTTTAAGAAGCTAAAGACTTTGAAGATAAATTACATCATATGAATGACGAGGATCATGAATGGGAAAAGTTGTAGATAGAATTAGATTGTACACCTCATAACACTAAAAATAGTAAATATGTCATTAGTATTAAATTGAAAAATAAACTTAGTTAGACATGCATTAGCTTGGCATAATTATTTTAAGAGAGCCACAGAATTTAGGGATAGAAATATTTATAGTTATGAATTAATGGATCCTCCACTTCATTACCTAGGTAAGAAACAGTGTGAAAAAATGAGATCTGAAATAAATATGATGGAATTTGATATGGTTTATATATCACCGCTATTAAGGTATTTAATTAATACTTCATATAAATTAGAACTATATAAACAGCATAATTATTATTTTAAGATCATCCATAGAAAAATAAAATATAGTTTATTTTATGTCCTTACATAAGTGAAAAAATCAGCAGTTAATATTCTATATATAAATGGGAAAATTTGGCCAATATTCTTTAGGATGTATTCTTAAAATCAATTTAAATAGGAAACCAACCCTATTAAATTTGACATTAGTGAAATGCCATAAAAACTAGAATTTTGGCAATTTATTTTAATTGGAAAATAAGGGAAGATTGAAGGTTTAAAATCATGCAAAGAAGATTAAGAATAGTTTTTAGTTAACAAATTTGTCAAAAAAGGTAAAACTATTAGATTAGAAAAAAATAAACATGCAGAAAAAAGAGTAAAAATATTTTTAGAAATATTAAAAAAAAATTAAGCAAAAGATAAAGTTGGAATAGTCTCTCATTCATAGATTATTAAATTAATATTATAATAATCAAATATAGTAATTGAAAATAAAATAAGAAATGGAACAGTATTAGGAATTAATATTTGATAAATTAATAATTTCTTTTACATAATAAGGTTTAAAAATATTTGTTTTTATTTCAAATATAATTATTTTTTTATATAATATCACATATATATTCTGACATTGGGATTGAACATGTCCATCCAGGTGAGGCTACATTTAATAAATGAAAAGAATTTTTATCATGTTCAAAAATAAAATCTTATTCCATTTTTCTTTTTTCAATATCAAATAATTGAGATCTGATTCCTGGTTTTCCTCGATCAAAATATTCATGTAATTTATTCTCTGGAATTTAATCAAGTTAAGTTGTTAATTTTTTAGCTTCTTTAATCATATAAGCTAAAATTATAAAAATATTATTTGATACTTTTATTAATCTTTTTTAATTCATTAATAAGACTCTAAGCATAGAATTTCATATCTTTTGAAATTACATTTTTTACGTTTAAACTTAAAATTTAAGAAAATTCTGGAAAAACAAAATTATCTTTCCAATTGTATTATTCTCTCCATAATGCAGGAAAGATTGAAGGTCCAATTTTTAAATGTCCATCTGTTGTTAAAGTAGTATGAATTCCTAAAAAATAGTTTCCAGCTAAAGGTGGAACTGGATAAATGATAGCATTTGCTTCAGGAATTTATCTATTATTTATAAGATAACTTCCTTTGAATGGCCAAATAACATAATTTTTACAATAATTAAATTATTTTGCTATAACATCTGCATATAATCCTCCAGCATTGATAAAATATTTACATGAAACCATTTATTTTTGATTTGGCATTTTTAAAACATTAAATTATGTTGATTAATCTTTATTTTGTATTAATTCAGTATATTTATGATTTGTAAATACTTAAACATTTTAACATTATTTAAGATCTTCATGAATACTTTTCATTAATCCTTTATTATCAGCAACACTTGTAGTTGGTGAGTATAGAAATTGAAAATTTTTATCATGAACTTTGAGATATTTTTCTATTTTTAAAGCTTTATCAACTTCCATAAGTTCTAATTCTACTCCATTAATATCACCTTACTTTTTTATTTAGGATAATCTCTCATTTTCAGCAGCATTTCTTGCTACTAAGAATTTGCCTGTTTTTCTAATATTAACTTTATGATCTAAACAATATTAAGTTAAGGTTTTATTTCCATCTTTACAAAGGGATGCCTTAACAGTATTAGAAGCATAATAAAATCCTGCATGTAACACAGCACTATTTCTAGTTGATGTATGTAATCCTAAACCTGATTCTTTTTCAAATAGTCCAATTTTATGATTAGGAAATCTTGTTGATAATGTTCTTGTTAACATTCCACCAACTACACCTCCTCCTATAACTGCAATATCTAACGATATCATTATTTTATTATTTGATGAAATATATAATATTTTATTTATAATAATATCAACATAATAATATAATCAGAATTATTAGTACAATTAAATTTTTTTTAATAGTATTTACAATAATTTTTAAAATACAAATAATTATTATCATTTAGAAATATCTAAAAGATAATCTTAAGAATTAGCCCTATATCTAATGAGCGGAAGAGAAATTCGAACTTTTTTTTCCTCATGAACACTTATTTTTCTGATTTCTAAATCAAATTTCTTCTTTCCATTTTTTATTTAAGGTTAGGAAGATTATTTAAGCAATCTACGAAATTGTAATATATCATTTCCTCCTATCCATTTATGAGCCATAATTTCTTGCATTGAAATTCTTTAATTATTTTTAGGTACTAATATTTTATTAATAAGATCTTTAGCTTCTTCTGAAACACTTAATTCATGTTAGAAATTGCATTGAAGAATATTATTAATTTTATCTTCATTTTTTCTTCCTTTAAAAGGTAATTTACCATATAAAAGACTATACATAATAATGCCTATTCCCCATACATCTACACATGGACTTATAAATTTAAGTTTACCATTTAAAACCTCTGGAGGCATATATGGTAGAGTTCCCACATTCATAGTTTCTCTTTCTTTCTAAGTTCCTGCAACTCCTGCTAATCCAAAATCTATTAATTTAACCCATGTATTTCCTTAATTAACTAACATTATATTTTCTAATTTCAAATCTCTATGAACAAAAGTTTTTGAATGACAAAAAAGCAATGCTTCTACTATCTATTTAATATAGATCTTTACTTCCTATTCAGGTATGATTCCTTTGTCTAAAGACTTAATATAAAATTATTACTTCTAATTAATTATAACAGAGATCCACCTTCTAAATATTCCATAATTATAATACACTCTTGTGTCTTTTAAAAATAAAGACTTTAAAAGACTTTCACAATATTACGATGGAGTAATTCTTTCAGGATTTTTGATTCCCTTTTTATAATTGAATTTTCTTCATCAATATCTCTTGTTATTTTAATAGCAACATAAAATCCAATAAATTTTTATTTTGCTAATAAGACTGTTCCTTGACCTCCTTTGCCAATTTCAGAAATAATCTCATACTCTTAAAATATGATGCTCGCATCTAAGTCCTAACCGAAAAGAGTAATATATAATTTATTTCCATCTAAAACAAATTGTAAATCTTGCTCTATTAGTTCATTACCATTTTAATTAAAAATTCTTACTCTCTTAGGAATTACACTCCAACTTTAAATAATTTGGTTGCGAATATCATTAATAGTAGTTTTAAAAGTTAATGTCAATTTAAAAGGAGGAAGGTTTGGAGAGTAGATATTGACTATTCTACTTTTATCAAATTAAGTCTTCATTTTTAATTTATCAATTTCAGTTGATTGGTCATTTAACTTTAAAAATACTTAATAACAAAAAAATCAAAATTAAATACTATCTCTCAAAGAAATTACTCAAACATCATGAATTCTTATTATAAAATGATCAAATCACTATTTCATTCTAACAGAATGGAAAATATCTTTAATTTCTTATGATTATTCTTATGGCATAGATTTTAAAATTGAAATTACAGTATTATGTTTTTTTTATAGATTCTTAAGTAAATATAAACAGAAATTTATACTCTCAATATAATTATAATTTTGCTTCTTTTAAATTCTAAATTGGACAACAAAATAGACTTTTCATAATATTAAGTTTATAATCAAGAGTGTTATTCATTCATTGTTTCTAATTTTTATATGACTCCTTAATATGAAATATGAAATTTAATTTTCCCTCTCTATTTAAACTCTTTAATTAACTAATCATCTTTATCTTTACTCAAACTAGTTGAAAAATCATTCTTCATTTATTAAATTTAGAATTCATTTTCTTAATTTTCTTCTGTAGTATTTCATTCATTTTTTTTTATAATTCATCTTTTAATTATTATCTACATTTCTCATTTGCTCTATCATATTTTTATTTGAATTTCTCCAATAGTCTAAATGAATATATTTAATTGAATTAGTCTAATTATGGTTAAATTGTGATTATAAATTTTATGTATTGTAATTTATTTTAGTAATAATTAAATGTACAATAACATCTTCATTAAATTCTATAATTATCAATTAAAGTATTTTAATAGTTAAAAAAAATAAAGAATTCATCATTATATGTAATATTATTTATTAAATTGACTCTTATTTTTTTTCTGGTTCTGGCTCCATTTTATTATTATCATAAGCCTTTTGAAATTCTGTTTTAAATCTTTCTACTTCTTCTGGATTGGTAAATCTGACACATAATTGCCAAACCTTTGCTTATTCATCAGAAGCATCAATAACATGTCCAAATCCATGTTTTATAAACAGTTTTGAGTTAAACTAATTTACAGAATCGTTCTTATGGTGTAATGAAGTGATTTGCTATGACTTTACCAGTTTTATCCTATCTCATCAATAATCTAATATTATTTGTTTGCTAATATTTTAAGAATTTCAAATCTCCAACTCCTCTTTCCTAAATTTAATTCTAATATTAAAATACCTTCCATTCTCCATCTGCAAATCTATACATATTTGCTCTAAATTTTGAAAGTTCTTCTTCTACAGTTTTGAATGGAACTTAAGGAAGAATGGCTTATCCTTTAAACTCATCTAAAATTCCTGGTTTTTCTGGATCATCATTATCACCATCATCTAGAAATTCCTCTACATCTTCTTTAGAGTGATTTATATTAAAATAATTTAAATAATTTAATATAGAAAATTAAGTATTATACTTCAATCTTCATCTTTATTTTAAATACGACATTCTTCATAATAATGATAGAATTAATCATAATCTTCCTCATTTTCTAATTTTACACAAAATTGTTCCAATTTAATTTCTCCATCACTTTTATCTTTTCCAATCCATTCATAACCATATTGATGAAACATACTCTTTGTAATAATTTCTGTCACTAAATGATTTGCTCTAATAAAAAATGTAGCATCTTATCTCATAAGTATTCTACACTTATTAGTCTCATTATGTTTTAAAAACTTTAAAATACCTTAACCTCTTTACTATAAATTATAGTTCTTAAAACTTACTTTCCATTCATTATCTTTAAACCGAAATAGCTTACATTTAAATATCTTTAAACATTATTCATCTTCTTCTCCAGTTTTGATGACAACAGGTAATAATTTAGGAGGACCAACGTAAGGAATGATTTCCTCTTCAGGATCATCAGGAATAGGTGGTTCTGCTGGATCAAAACTCATTTTATTATAAATTAATTTAAATTATTTAAAAATTAAAAATTAGAGCAATATAAAGTTTTTATTATAAAAATTTCAATAGAATTTGTTAGTAACTCAAATATATGTATTACATTTCTAATTTAATATTAAAATTCAATATATTTTATATTAATCAAGTATGTCTACCGTTTACCCATTCTCCTTCTAAACTTTCACGACCTTAATTTGATAATACACATCCTTTTCCATGAAATACTCCTTTTCTAAAAGTACCATAAAATACAAAATATGAATCATAACAATCTATAAATTGCATTTAACCAATTCCTTCAATTTCTCCATTAACAAAATTACCACTGTAAGTTTCCCTATTATTAGCAACATTAGAAAAGTTCATAAAATTTCTTAATTATAATTTCTATGTTTTGGATTCTCTAAACATTAATTTTCCTTTTCCCCAAAACACATCATCCTTCCATTAACCTGTGTATATAATCTTCCCATCTTTATCAAATAGTGTTCCTATTCCTTATTTCCTACCTCTTTCATCTGTTTATCCCTCATATAAGGCTTCTTCACCCATATACATAATTTTTTTAGTAATGGTTGTTTTTTTATTAATATCATAAGTAGTCTATTTATTATTAGTTTGAGATTAAAAACTTTAATCTCTTTTATTTGATGATAAAGTGTTTTTTGTAGCTTTGGTATTTCTTTCATGTTCTTCTAAAATATTTTTACTAATTCGAATTCTCTCTTATGAATTGTCATATTTTTTTAAGAAATAACTTTTAAAATTTCCAGTACGTTTAGGTGTAACTGAACAATTAAATTCATCTTATGAAGTATTTGTATGTTATTTTTTATTTTGATTTGCATTTTGATTTGATTTTGGTGGTAATGACTTTTAAATTTAACTTATTCTGCTATCAATCATTTCAATTTTTCTGTTAATAGTTTCAATCATATCATCTTATACTCTTGATTTATATGGACTAACAACTTGAGCTGGAATTTAAGATCTAATTTATGGTTATACTGATGTAGTTGGCTTATTTAAAAAGTATTTATTACTCTAATGAATGGTAAACTTTAATATACAGGGGCTGCTTATTAGATTATATAAACTTATGGTTATGGGTATACAATAAACATAATAAAATATAATAAAATTTTATTTTATTTGATTATTCTCATTCATATCATTAAGCTGGTAATTATGATAATAAATCTAAAGCACTTTATACAATGCTAATTTCTTCAGATATGTGAGATCTTTTGCTAGTATAACTAGTATTCTCATTATCTTATGCAATTCTAGTTTAATCAAGTAATTCTTTTGATGTTTAAATAAGTTCTTATAATTCTGATTATCTTCTTTTAGCTGAGGCCTATTAAATAATATTAATATATATATACTAAATCATTATCTTTTGCAGTAGCTTATCTTTAATTGAATTATTTATCTTTATCTAAATTGCTATAAGTAGTTTCAAATTAACTTCTCAAAGTTTGATATTATTACTCTGAATTTGTTGATGATGTATTTATAGCATCTAATCTATCTTAAACATTTTCTGCAATCCCTTCTAATTTAGTAATTACTCTTCTTATAGTATTATCATCATATTATGAAGTCATTTAAATCATTATAGAAATAGGATGTTTATCTCCTAAACTTTTTTTAGCAACTTCAATAGCTCTCTCTCTTTCAATCAAACTAACATTTCCCAAAAGTGTGTCTGTTAAAAATCTTAATACTTCCTTAACTGCTGCTAAATATCTTGAGTTATTGTTCAATTTTTCTTCTGCTGCTCTAACTTCTTATTAATGATTATCACTCAATTAAGTAATTTAATTTGATAACAATAAAAGTTATTATCCTTAAAAACTCAATGATTGAGTTAGTGATGATAGATCAGTTGTTAAATCATTTATTTATTGATTTACTGAGCTCAATTCACTTTCTGTAGTTTCTAAAGTATTCTCCAATTTAGTAATTTATTATTCATAATTAGCTTGTTACTAAATAATTACATATATACTCTTACAGCAGAATGTTCAGCTTCATTAGCACCAGATGCAGCAATTAATTTATCTAACATCGATTAAACTATTGATACTACTTCACCTAATTTGCTTGATTAATGTAATTCAAGCATCCCATAAAAATAATCGCTAAAAGGAGTGATTCTTGTTTTCTGGAATATATTTAATATATATATTACTTCTCTTAATTACTTAATTGCTGTTAGATGAGTTTCTGTAGTAACTGATATCACAATCAATACCAATAATATTGCTATTCTCATTTATTATATTAATTAAAAAACGACTTCTTTTCTTTTTTGTTACTTAATTTTTATAAATAAAAAACATCATCATCACTTTATAATATGTATAACTCAATTACAAACATAATCAAAATTCTCAATGACAACAATTCTATCTTGGTCTATTTTCTCTTGATCTATTTTACTCTTAAACATTCTAAACTTTTATAATCTACAATTTCTTAACAAAAAATTCAATTAATTCATTTATTCCTTCACCAGTTGCAGTCGAAATTCTGCATAAAGTAAATTTTATTGTTTGCACATTTATTATACTTTATCTTAAGAAATACAACGAAGATTTTGAGCATCATCCACAAGATCCAATTTATTACCAACAATAATAATAGTTATAGATACATCTGCATAATAATTTATATCTAATTAATTATTAATATTGTAAGTAGTACCTTTAAGCCAATTTTATATGTTTTCATAAGTATATAGATCAGTTAGATCATAAAATAATAATGCTCCTTATGATTAAAGAAAATGACTAAATAGTTGGAATAATACTTTGATGTCACAGACTTATATTTTTCTGATCCAGCTTAATCAATCAAATTATACCTGTGTCCCAAATTTTCAATGTTATTAATTACTCCTTATAAACAATCTATTTTGAGGCATATTCAACTCCAATAGTTGATTTTGATTATTGAGGAGTAATGTTTTTCATTGCTCTTATAAAGAAACTTGAATTTCCAACTTTACTATCACCAACAAGAATAACTTGATTATAATAATAACTCAAATTATAGATGAAGTTTATTACATTTAGTAAATTAATTTAATAATACTGACTGATAAAGTATACTCAAATCCAAATTCACTCAATAAATTACTCTTCCTTAAATTAAGTTGATTGGAATAGGACCATGATTCTTAGAATCAAAAGATACTTTTCGATTATCACCTTCAATCCAAACATGATTTTTAGGTATTTTGTTACCATAAGGATCAATCTCATCTTCCAAATGGATTATTCTTTTACAAACTGTTAAGTCTGGTCTACTAGGTGATTTAGCTATAATGATATCTCCCTTTTATATCTTATAGAGTGCTCTTTAAACCACTACTAATTCACCATTCTAGACTGTTGGATGCATTGATTAACCTTCTGAAAGCTCAAAGGAAATTACATGCTCAGTTAGTAGATAATAAGAACAAAAGGCTGGGATAATCATTAGAATGTCCTTTTATTTTGCAAGAATTTACTTCAAAGTGGATAGCATCTATTTATATTAATAATTGCGGTATTTTAAATTAAAACAAAATAGTGTTTTTAATTAATTTAATGTAGTTTTAATAAAACAACTAGTTCATATAATTTGCAAGATAATTGTTAGAACAACAATCCTCATCAAGTCCAGAAATGGATGAACAAAAAGACTCTTCTTTAGACATGAGTTAGTTAATTAAGTTGTAACACACTATTCCTGACAATATTTTAATCTCTCCAGAACCTTCAAAAAAAAAGGGTTCCATCCTTTTGCCCTCTGATGATCCTTGCAATTGTAGTAGATCTGGATGTAGAAAAATGTATTGTGAATGTCTTGCTAAAGGAAGACTATGTTCCTCATTTTGTAATTATTATATATCTATTTACAAGGTAGATGTTAAAATTGTCATAACAAAACTTCAAATAAACTTGTTTTGAATGTTATTGAAGAACTAGATCAAAATAGAAATAGAAAAAGATTTAGATCAAGAAGATTTAAGGATGTATTTTTATTCATTATTTTAAGGGATGTACATGCTAAAAATCGATGTGTTTGAAGAAATACTGTGAGTGTTTTAATTCTGGTAAAAGCTGTGGCTCTGGCTGCAAGTGTGTGAACTGTGAAAACTATGTTCTTGATGAAGTCGAAAAAATAATCTGTACACCAAACTAAAAAAAAACTTCTAAATTTTCTTCTAAATTTGAAAGTGCCAACACAAATACCAGATCAGATTATTATGGACTAGTGTTAGAGAAACTCAATTTAGAAGAATTTGAAGAATCAGATGAATGTAATTAATTTTATTTCTTATTAGAATTGGATAAGATGCATACAGTTGTTATTATGATATTAGGCTAATTAATCATTTGATATATTTGTTTACTTATAAAATAATATTTAATTGTCTTATATGGGCTAAGTCTGCTATAGAGACTACGATGAATAAAAATTACTCAATTAATCGAATCTCCAATTACCTGAATCAATTCAAGGATCTATGATAAAATCGTAAAGTATATCTATTTAAAAAATAAGAGCTAGTGGAGATTGTAATAAATTACAAAGTATTGACAATGTTTAGGATGATCCCGAATTTCAAATAGAAAACGAAGAATTTCTCTAACTTTCAAATGTAATCCATATTTAGATATTCAAAAAAGAGAAACACGTCAGAAATGGATTTTGGAGGTAGAATAAATGAAAAAGATATCAATTAAGCATCTTCTTAGAAAGTCAACATTGATAGTTTTAGATTATTGAAGGTGTTGGGAAAAGGATCTTTTGGGAAGGTTATGCTTGTATAATATAAGTCATATAAATATATAGGTAAGTATTACGCAATGAAAGTACTTTAAAAAAAGAATATAAAAAATGATCGATAAAAGAGACATACTGAGACAGAGAGAAATATATTAGCTACTTGTTAGAGTCCTTTTATAGTGAAATTAAGATATGCATTTTAATCTCCATATAAATTGTATTTGGTTGTTGATTATTTGCCAGGAGGAGAACTATTTTTTCATCTTAGAAAAGTGATTAGATTTGATGAAATTATTGTAAAATTTTATGCTGCTGAAATTCTCTTAGGATTATAATATTTACATGAGATAAATATAATTTATAGAGATCTAAAACCAGAAAATATATTATTGGATAAGAAAGGACATGTTCGTTTGACTGATTTTGGATTATCAAAGATAATGTTAGATGATGATAAGGCAGCTTTTAGTTTATGTGGAACTCCTGAGTATTTAGCACCTGAAATATTAACTGCAAGTATTAATGTAAATAAAATTAGAAACTGGATATGATAAAACTTGTGATTGGTGGAGTTTTGGTGCTTTAATATATGAAATGTTAGTCGGAGCACCTCCTCATTACAGAGATAATAAAAAGGAAATGATAAGAAAAATATTGACTCAACCTATTCCATATCCTTAATTTTTAACTGAAGAAGCTAAATCCTTATTATAATAATTATTAGTTGTTGATGTAAGATGAGAATAATAATAATATGATTTTAGCCTAAAAAGCGATTAGGATTTGAACAAGATGGATATGAAATTATGTAACATAACTTTTTTAGATCTATAAATTTTTAAGATTTAGCTCTTCGAAAAGTATTTTTAAAATTGTAAAATAGACAAAACCTCCATATGAATTTGATAAGAAAGAATTAAAATATTTTGATGAAGGATTAACTAAATAAATAGCAAAAGATACTCCAGTAATGGGAACACTTATGCCTAACTAAAATTTTTCTAATTTTACTTATTAACCAAGTGTTGCAAAGTGAAAATCTTTAATTTATTATATCAAAAATAGTATATATATTAATATAATAATAATATTAAATGAGTTTTAATATAAGCAATAGACTTAGACCTTAGACTGCTTATTTAATGTCATAATAAGATGTATTCTTTAATTTTAGTAAATTGTAAGTTAAGGTCTGGTAAATATACATAGAATGATTAATAAGTCATAAACAAATTGTTAGATAAAAACTCGAATTATTTTGAACATATTAAAGGTATATCTAATTTAATAATTAATAAGATTAATGTGTTTGTGGATTGTGTATTTGCGGAGGATGTAAATGTGGATTAGAAAGATTAAAAGAATAATAAGGAATGCCTATGAAATCATAGTATTAATAAGAGTATTTTGAAAAGTAGCCATAAAGAATGAAATCAATATCATAATTACCATCATATAAAGATGATTATACAATGAAATTTGAAACTACTTAAAGAGTAATTTAAAACAGTTATTTTTAGCTTGATTTTAAAGATCCAAAATAAAGACCATAAACATCATATAAACCTGAATAACCTAGATTTATATAGCCATTTCATGCAGGTTCTACTTACTAATTGACTCATATATAAATGCCTGAGAGTAAAGGAGACTATATATTTTAGATGAGAGAGTCAATATCATTCCTTAAAATCATCCAACTGTTATGAAAGATCTTAAATTTTTAGGATCAAGTGAATATAAAAGAAATTTTAGTGGAACCCCAATTACTAGATAAAAGAATCTTATATTTGGAGCTCATAGTAGTTTTGGGTAATTAAAATATTAATAATATTTAGAAATCCAATAAATCCAGGATTGCCATTTTTTGGATAAACTACATCATCTAGAGCATTTAAACCATTTAAAGCAAAGAAAACAAGACCTACAAAAACGAATACATAAGTTTAAAGTGTACCAACATTTGATGGTTAATTTTCAACAATAACAAAATTGGATTTCGGGGATAAATCATTATAGATTTGTCCAGCAAAAGCGATTCTTAATTCTAAAAAACATTCTAATCATTCTGGGTTTTGAATAAAATAATATATTCAATTATTGATATTGTACTTATTTTATTTTTATTATAATATATTATTCACAAATTCAAATGTCTTCATCTTTGACATCATAGAAATCACTGAACAATTAATAAATACTCTATGGAGTATATTAACCTTAATTAGTGATATATAAACTTATATATTCAGGTGGTACATAGTCAAATGTGATCTATTAAAATTATAATAATTAAAATACTCCAATGCTCATTTAATCTACAGAAGAATTTGAATTTATTTTCAATGGAGATACAAGTTCATTAAATGTTGTTTAATCAAATGCATATTTTGGAGTCAATTTATGTGCTCCAGATAATACAATCACAGGAACAGCGAATTATTTAGCTAAAACACAAATTGCATATGTTCCTGGATGCATTAATAAACCTCCATTTTTAAGAATTGCATCTACTCCCAATAATGTTTTATTTACTCTTTACATTATAGCATATGCATTAGTAAAAGGTGTTAATGTTACATTCAATTAATGTTTACCTAAATCAGTAGCAAACTATTTTCCTAATGTTTCAGTTTCACTCTCTAATACTATAATCTCAAAATTTCTGGTCTTTTTAGCTGATAATAAAAAGTTTAACACTGTGGTTGAATATTCATAAACTAAAAGTACTTCATTTGTAAAAAAATGAGTTGATGCCTTTAAATATATTTATATTTATTACAAATGTATTGATATCATCTGAATGAGACTCAAGCTCTTCTAAAACTTATTCAATTGCAGGTAATATTATATTTTATTATATTTCATTTGAACCTGTCTCTGTACCTGTTTCAACTGTTGTTTTAGATCTGCTTGATTATCTTTATATTGTATGAGCTAAATCTTTAAAATTATTTTCTTTATTTTTTATTTAAAGTAATCCTTATTCAGAACTCATCAATCGTATTACTTAAATTACTCTTCTAAACACATTAGGAATCCAAAAATCTAAAGGACCTTACTTTAGTCTATTAGATAATTTCTTTATATATATAATATAATCTTCTATTGTTGAATTTCTAGGCAATTTTGCTTATTTAGCTGATAAATGAGCCTTTAAGGCCAATATTGATTCTTTACTAGAATATAGTCGAGCTGAAATTATAAATAATGCTTACGCTATGCTATTTAAGAATTCATAATATCAATTCTTTAATAATTTAATATTTAATAATTAATTAATTTTTGTTATTATTATTATATAAGCAAATCTGTATATTATATTTTTAATTAAAAATTTCATTAATAATTATAAATATGAAGTCCTTTATTAAAAGTTATTTTTTAAATTATCATCTCAATGCTATTAATTTAAAATTATCTAAAAATGTATTAATATTTTTGAGACTTAAAATCTCAAATATACTTCTGAATTATTGATATGTAAAAAAGGTTTATTGAAATTCATTAACAGATAAATTTTCATAATTATTTTTATATATTAATGTAAAAGCATCAATAAACAGAATAAAAATTTTCACCCTTATACATGGGTAAATTTCTATGTAACTTTAAAACAGATAGTGGATTTGCTTAAAGAAATAATCCAAAATTAAAATATAAGATAAAAGTCTTAGCAATTCCATTAATAAAAATTAAGGAAATCAGATTTCATGAAAAAAGATTGTTTGTAGTTGGAGGAGGAATTTTATAAGAAGGAAGAATAATGTAATGTAAAGTAAAAAAAGATGATGAAGAAATTTATAAGTTTTACAATAAATTTGGGTATATTGAACATGTATTTGATGAATTATGGTATTTCTTGATCAGTGCAGACTATGTTAAATTAAAGGTAAATTTTAAACAAATAAATGCATAACCTTCAACTATTTCATTAGCTGAAATTTCAGTTTTTATTACAGAAAAAGCAATAAATGACAATTATGAACTAAAAATTTTAAGGTATAATCGAGGAATTAAATCAGTAAAAGGTTTAGGAAAAGCTGAGAAATTTTAACAATATCACCTTTAACATTTAGAGGAAATAAAAATGGAACACTAAAGATTTGCTAGACTTTCTTTACTGCTTATGTTTGATTTTATGAACATTTAAGTTGAAATACCTTCACTTGTAAAATCAGATAAACAGTTTAAAATATTTTTTACATAATATTGTTACTTTTATGAAAGATATAAATCTTAACCTGTAAATTAATTAATGAAGTCTTATCATAGACCAATTATAGAAAATCAGAATTACTTTAATAATTACATAAATAGTAATCATTTTTATAACAAATTATTTACTAGAGAATTAATATAAAAAATAGCTCTTAAAATTGATCGCTAAGGATATTTATCAAATAATATGCCATATAAACCAAAAATTGAAAAAATTCATCCTCTTTTACACATATAGTTTTAACGTGTTGCTATTGCATTTTATGAAGCAATTCTTAGCTTTATTAGAAGATCTATGAACTCAGTAGTTAAATAATAATAACCATCATATTCTGATTATATTCTTAAGACCATATTTTTATCAACATTTCCTATTTAACAGAATAAATATTTAAAAGATGAATTATATTAATATTAGCATTAAAATTTTATTTCAGCAAGAGAAACAATTTCAAATAATTTAAAAGAAGATGGTGGAGTAGAATTATTAAGTGATGAAAAAGTTAGGATTTATGAAGATTCAAAAAATCAAATTTTAGATTATTTTTATATTGATTATGTAATTTTGGAAGATAAAACTTAAAAAAATTATTTTACTTTATTAAAATAATAATAAGAATCTTATTTTGAGGAGACAAAACTTCAATAAAAAAAATAAAACGAAGATATTTAATAATAAGATTTAAATAATATATTTGTTGTATAAACTTAATTATAAGAGTATAATACACCTAAAAAAATGTTATCTTAGTTAAAATAACATTAAAAATAGGCTTTATATTGGATGCTAATGAGAGAAGGACATATTAGTAATTCTAATACAGACTAGAAGCAAAAATTATCACCTTTATGGTAATAGATCAAACTTTTAAATGGTGATTCTCTTTATGTAAATACTTTTACTGCAAAAATTTCCAAAGATTTTATGCCAATTTAAGAAACGAAAGGTGGAATATTAGCAGATGAAATGGGATTAGGAAAGACTATTATGGCATTGGCATTAATATTAGAAACTTAAAAAAAAGGAAATTAAACTTTAATTGTTGTTCCAAAATCAGTTATTTTGTAATGGGAGAAAGAAATTTAAACTCATACTAAACCTAGAAGTTTAGAAGTATTAGTGTATTATAAACAATAATCTAGAAGTTAGAAGATAAAATTATAAGATTATGATATTATTTTAACTACTTATGCTATTTTAGCATCTGATTATTCAATATGGACATAAATAAATGAAATAGCTTAAGATTAATAATAATAATAATAATAATAATAATAATAATAATAAAGTAAATAAAGTAAATAAAGTATAAACCCTAGGTTATTAGGAGAAGACTAAGAAGAATCTTCTGATATTGATGTTAATTCTGATCAATCGGTTTCTTATTCAATAATTGTTAATCAAATATCGAAAAAATAGAAAGATAAGGTTAAATAATAATCAAAGAAAAAAAAACTCACAGTAGAATAGTTAGAAAAAGCAAAGAAAGAAAATAACTTATTTAAATAAAATTATTATAGAGTAATATTAGATGAAGCTCATAACATAAAAACAAGATCCACACTCTAAACAAAAAGTGCTATTGCTTTACAAAGTTAATTTAGATGGTGTTTAACAGGAACTCCAATGTAAAATAAACATGATGATTTATTCAGTCTTCTTTAATTTTTGTAAGTGGAAACATTTTCAGAATAGTAAGATATTATTCTTATAATATAGCTTTTGGTGGAATACTTATGTAAATAAAGAAGAAAATGAAGATGATCAATAAAAAATCTTAGCTTAAATATTATAACCAATAATTTTAAGGAGAACCAAAAATTCATAACAATTTGAAGGTTTATAGTAAGTAATAGAGAATATACATTGGGTTGAATTAGATTAGAGAGAGAGGATGTTATATAAAAAATTGCTTTCAGGATCATAAAATCTTTTTAAAAGTTTTATGAAGAGTACATTAAATCAAAGTTATATTCATATATTTTAGATAATAAATAAACTAAGACTTGCATGTAATCATCCATAATTGGCTCTTAAAGATATTAATCTGGAATAAACACCATTAGATGTCGTATTAGATAGAATAGATAAATTTTTTATTGAAAAAACTCATAATGGGAATGTAGTCACTGAGGAGTATAAATAAAATTTGATATAAAACATAAAAAATGGAACATTTACTGAATGTTTAATATGTACTAAGAATTAGATAACAGTTTTTAGCTTATCATCTTGTGGACATATTTATTGTAAAGAGTAAATATCATTATTTTTAAATTATTAGATGTTTTTAAGAAACAGTTATTAAACTTAAGAATTGTCCATCTTGTCGTACAAAATTAACAATCTAAGATTTAATTGATGTTGTAGTAGAAAATGAATAAGCTTTTGAAGAATTAAAGAGTTTATAATTTGGTATGAGTTCAAAATTAACATCTGTTGTAAAAGAAGCTAAAATAATTAAATAAAATAAAGAAAAAGTTTTAATTTTCACTTAATGGATTGAAATGATAGGATTATTGGAAAATCAATTTAAAGAAAATGGAATCATAGCTTTTCGTATAACTGGTTAAATGACAGTAGATAAAAGAGAAAAAATTATTAAGAATTTTAAAGAATAATAGAATGTTACTGCTCTTATACTATCTTTAAGAGCTACATCAACAGGATTAAATTTAACTATGGCAAATAATGTTTTTTTAGTAGATCCTTGGTGGAATGTATGAAATTAATTTATTTTGTTTTAGCCTGCAATTGAAGATTAGGCTATAGGAAGAGCAGATAGAATAGGATAAAAAAATTAAGTTAAAGTTGTTCGATTTTTATGTAGAAATACTATTGAATAATAAATTAACTTGTTACATTAAAAAAAAAAATTTTATATTAAAAGAGCACTTGGAAACAATTAACAAAAGGAATAAGAATTAGAAGATTTCAAATTTTTATTATTTTAAGAATGACTAATTAATTAATTAATAATATATATATATTATTAAAATGCATAACGATGATGAACTTGAAATATTTTATAATCAAAACAAACAAACTAAAGTTGAAATTGTCAATAAAAAAAATAATTAAAAAGACACCAAAAGCAGTAAAACAAATACAGTAAATGAAAAAAATCTAATTTCAAATTAATAAGATAAGAATCCATAATTTTAATAGTAATCCAAAACTATTCCTATGATTTCAATGAAAGCATTTATTTTTAACTTTAAAAAGTTTTATAAAGAAAAAACAAAAATCAGAAATTTGATAAGCGAAAACTCAGCAAAATAAAGAAACATTAGTCTTTGTATTTACTTAAGAAATTATTTTGTAAGTTAATATTTCATATTTAGAATAGCTATAAAAATATTAAAACAATGTTATTGCAAACAAAGATTTAGGAAGTGAAAATGCTTTAGAGATTTGAAGAATTAGCTTTTAGAAATATTGCTGAATAAGAAGATACAAGAATATATGTTAAAAATTAAGAGACTGATCAAATAGCAGCAATGTGTAGAGAATCCCTTTAAGAACTCTTCTTATAAAAGGAGAGTGCATTTTATGAAAAGAGAGTTATATGCCGATATTTAGGTACTCTCCTTTCTTAAGAGAATTATTCACCTGTAGGTTATCCAGATTTAGTCAATAAATATAAAGATTAATAGGCTTTAAATTCAATATATTTACAAACAGTTGGTAATTTTATTAAAAAAATATCTTAATAATTAAAGGGAAATTATTTTAAATTAGTAGATATTGCTCATTTTTTATATGAATAGAAATATAGAAGATCTGATGTTGAATAAATAATGAAGTTTATTTCAAAAACTAAAGAAATCTATAATGTATCTTAAAATAAGGAGAAATAAGCTCAAATTGACGGTGATAGACTTTTACCATTTGAATTGATCTCAAATGCTTTTAATATTCTATCTAATAAAGATAAAACTAATTTTGATTTAATAAAAGACTTACTTAATAATATTAGATTTCTTATAAATGATTAAATTAAAATAGATACAGTAGAAAGAGTATAGAAAGTAATGGAACATAATATTATTGGTGATTATATATACAGATATTTTTCTGATTTAGATGAATAAATATAAAACTTACTAACTTATATAGATTAAATTTCTTAATTATTGTGTTCTATAGAGAGCTTAAATTTATCTACTAAATAGGATTAACTGGAAGTTTTATTATGTTTCATTCATAAAATTTAAGGGAATTAGATAGAAGAAAAAACTGCAATGATGGCCTAAAAACATACAATAATACTTTCTGATTTGCTTAATTAGTTTGAATAAACAGTTGAGGATTCGAAAATAAAAAAGGATAAAATTTAAAAATAACCAGGTAATCAATTCAAAATGCCTAATGTTAAGCAAGTTTTGTATGATGATGATTTAAGAGATGAATAAATTCTATAGGGTGAAATAGCTAATCCATACAAACTTTAAACAAGTGATCTGCCTATAAGAAAGCCAAAAGTTATTAATCTAAATTAAATCAAGCCTCAAGCTAATTAAATCACAGTTAATGAATTATAAGAAGCAGAAGAATTTATTAATTGTTATATTGAAAAGGATTACGATAAAGATGAGCTTATATTATCATAAATATAATCATAAAAGTAGAAAAATTTTGAAAAAAAAGAAAATTCATAGTTTGATTCAGCTTAAAGAGATTTATTATATGAAAGAGAATTTGATAAACTTAAAGAAAGTTCAAATGCCAAAACTAAGGATGAAATGATTTTAAATCTAAAAAGTTAGATCAAGAATTTAAAAGATTAGGTCCAATAATATAAAAAATGAAATTGAGAATTTGGTAATATTTATAAAAACCTTTTTAAAATCTTATAATTTAATATTTTATGCTTAATTAAAATATTTATTAATAATCAAAAACCTGATATCTAATCTTATGATTTTTCTGCAGTATATCCTTTTTTTCCTAATTGATCAATTACATTTGTAAGATTTAGTTATTCTTATCTAGATTTGGCAAAATATATTCTTAATGCAATAAGTAAAAAGCATAATAAGATTAATGAAACAATTACTATTGCAACCAAAAAATAATAATTGGTTTTTTCTTCTTCAAAAGTATTGATAACTTTAATATTGAAATCTATTTCTTTTTTGCACATTATTAAATCAGAATAGAATGATTAATTTTTAATTAATTCCAATTAAAATTTTTCTTTACACCAAGTAGAATTTAGTACTGCATTAACTGTTATTTGGCTATCTTTAGTTGCTAATTTAGTTAATTTACATTCTACATATGGTTCAACCCTAATAAATCTAATAAACATAAGACTTCTAAAAGATGTAGCAACTAAAAAGTTCTAGAAATAATAAAAATGAATACTTAATTTGAATGAGTAGTCAAATAGAATGATTACATTTAAGGAATTATTGCATATTATGCAATATCTTCTTAAACTTCTGTTCCATCCTCCCAAGACTCATCAGTAATTGGAGAATTATAATTTACTTAAAATCCTTCATGAATAGAATGATATATTATTTTATGACCATCATAGCCTCTGACTATAGCAAATTGATCTACAATTTCAATGTCAAAGAATTTTTCATCTAAATAATGAGTTTTAATGTAAAATAACTTATTGTCTTATGAATATATGCAATATTCTAAAATATAATTATATGAATTGTGTTCGACCATTATCATGATAACATTTTAGTATGATTTAATTAATTTTGCTCCTTTAATTTCTTATATTGAATCTAACCATTTAGTTAAAGTAAATGGTTAATTTTATATTGAATATATCATTAATCCTTTATATTTATCAAGAATAAAGATATAATTATTATCAAATCCACCAAAGTCAAAATCATATATAAACATATTTTAGATATCATTTGATAGTTAACTATAAAGATTTTAATTTTAAATTAATTAATTTTTTTCATTAATTGAATAAATGTCTATTCCTGATCTTCCTCTAGCAACAAATAAATAATCTTTATAAATTTTGGCCATTCCAATATATTCTTCTTCATTCGAAATAGATATATTGCTATTCTTGAATGTAAATTAACCATCTTATAATTTTCCAATAATAATTTATTATGGGAATACTATTAAAACACATGACTTTTAATCAAACCAAATTAGTTGTGGTTAAATAGGTTCATATTAAGTTTATCTAAAATCACTAAAATTAAATGTTTAGTTTGATTTAATCGAAAACTTATTAGATAATTTTGAAAATTGAAGCTAAAATAAATATAAGAGATGATTGCTTGTTAAAACAATAAGCCCTTGGGATGTTGTATTTGCTAATCCAACTAAAACTGGATTCTTCATAATAAAATCAGGGTCATTAACATTAGCAGTTCTGTTTATTTTTAAAGACTCATCAGTATAATATGAATTGGTTGATGGATATAGTAATTTAATTTCATTTATCATGTGCGGTTCAAAGAGAATATTTTTATCATATGAATTGCATCTCAATAAAGATTCATTGTTTGATTTCACTTTCATTCCAATTGTGGTTTTAGAATCATTATATTGTACAACTCTTTTTGTTTATTCTGGAATCATTTCAATTGATTCATCATTTTTTTTCTCTAGTTCAATTATTTTTAAATCTTGAATTGGATTCTCAAGCTTAACTTAGGTTTATACATGAGTAGCGAATGCAAATATCAATATAATAGAAATCATTTATTATATAATTTATATATGTTGATTTTCAGATTCCAAGTTCTTCTAATGAACAAAAAACATTATCAATATCTAATTTATCTTTTTTAGTATCAAAAGAGAATACTCTTTTTTTTGTGAAATCTGCCACAACATTTTCACCTAACATATCAACCATTTTTCTAATCTTTATATTAATAAAAAATAATACTTTATCTTAAAGTTATTCTCTCTGCTTTTTAAGTTTTCTATATTTACTTTGATACAAAAAAAATAAGATTTGGCTTTTAACTTTTCTTGAATGTCTAATTAAACCATCATTTGATCTGATCATAGCAGTGATATAAAAAGGCCATAGTAAGAAGAATATTAAAGTCAATTTAAGTTATTTCTCTTTGCTAATAAAATTCCATTTTTTTAAAGCATAATGAAATAGAACAGTATAGATAGCAATGGCAGCTGGAACAATCATTATTGAAGCCAAAATTTTATAAGATGCAATAACATCCTTTCCACTTAACTTCACTTTAGAATTAGCTAAAGCTTTTTATCTTTCTCTTTCTGTATATGTATTCAATAAAATAGAAATGGGGATAGTCATAATATACCCAGGTAAAGCAAAAGATAAACTAAATAAAGCCATAAATAAATCAAAGGCTATTTTGTATATATCCATAATGGTATTCTTTTCCATTCTCATAACTTGATAATCATATACACCAAGTGCTTTTAATTTGTAATTATACATTTTGACTTAACTAACTACTTCTTTAACTTCTGGATGATTTTCTAATTTATAAAATGCAGATGAGAATCTTCATAATAAAGAATAATACCTTTTTACTAATTCTAAATTATCTTAGGGTGAGAGTCGTGCTTTATCAGGTAAATAAAGAGATCTTACAATCATTACAGCAGATAGATCTGAATAAGTAGGAGCTTATATTGTTACAGTTTTCAATTACTAATTTAAATATTTTATAAATAATTATTACACTTTCAATCTCATAAAGTAGATTACTAATAGCTTCTCTTTTATTTTTTGCATATAAATCTATTAATTCTTAACTTACTTCATAAGGTACTCCAAATTCTATGATTACTTTTGATCTAAATTTATGTCCTTTAAAATAATTTAAACCAACTGGTTATAGCTTAACTTTTGTATTGAATTTCTAGCTTGCTCCTAATGCCATAATACAAATTCCTGGTTTAAGTGGTAATAATCTTGTTTAATCATGACTACCTCCTTCTGGAAATATCCCTATACATGCTCCTTTTGATAATTCAATCCAAACCTATTCAAACATATTTGATTAATCAATCTTTGGTTATATCTTATATTGTAGATTTCTTATTGGAGAATCCAATTATCCATTATTATTTATTTTTAGTTAAGTATCACTTATTATTTCAACTATTTGAAATTCTTATTCATTCTATTTATGTTTATATATTCTTATATTACAGCCACCAAAATATCATTTATTTTGCATTACGATTTAAATTCTGTTCTTAAACCATATACAATATTTCCATCAATTCTTTAAATAGTTCCAAAACCACGTTTAGATAGATCCTATGGTCTTTCAACTGGAATTCCTCCTAAAGCTTTTCCTAAGTGACCTATTATTGGTCTTTTCATGCTCTAATCAATTAATTTCATTGAATTACTTTGGCTGCTGCTATAAAATGAACTTTCCTTGGAATATTTGAAATAATTAGCTTTCTTTTATAAATATTAGTACTAATGGATCAATAAATTGATTATTATGATTTCCAAACAATAATAATGGACCATCCTATCTATTATATTTTAACAATTACTTTTGGAATATTTTCCTATCCAATAACTTATATATCTCTAAAAAATGTCTATGTAACAACTCTAATCTTATTTCAAATCATTACGTTGAAAATAATCTTGCTGCTGTATAAGCCATCTTTTTTATAAATTATAATTGTTTAAATGAATTTTATTATAATATTCTGATTAATTTATTTGAGTATGTAGATTGCATAACATAATTCAATTTTATCTTTTATTTTTATCTTTTTCAGAGCTAATTAAAATATAACAAATCCTCCTATTTTGAGATTTCTTTAGTCATTAACTATAATACTTCATTTAAATATTAATTCCATTAAAAGAATTTATACAATCTATAATGATATTTATATTTTAAGCATTCAGCATGGATTACATTATCATTTAACAATATGAGGCAGTAAACATTAATTTATGTATACAATGTAATTGTTAAATTCATTAATAATAGATTTAAATTAATACTCATTATTAATTAATAATTCCTATAGTATTAATTTACCCACAATATAAGCTTAGAAAAGATTTGGAATTGAACATAAATTTTATAATAATTAAAATGAATCAAACTTCTAACAAAGAATTTATCAATCTTCAAAGTTCTAACACCTCAAGAAACTATTCTCACTGTTCATATAAACAGAATTCTAAGTTAATTTAATAAATGCCACATAATGAGTTTTTTATGCAGTATCCATTCCAACCAAAAGATTCAACTAATTATGACATGAATGGTTTTGAATTGGATAATAGAGATCCATAAAATATTGATTCTTATTCAAATCGAAGCAAATAATGCAACACATAAAACATGGTCAATTTATCTGTATTATATTATTTTATCTAGGAAAGAAGAAGAATTACATCACCTACAACTAAATAAAGGAGGAAAAAAACAAGAGCAGAGGAGATGATTAAAAAAATAATTGATAAATTAAAAATAAGTTCTAATGAATATACCTAAAGTTTTTGTGTAAATCAATTACTCCAAACAGGCACAACTTCAATTATTTGTGATAAATAAAAGGAGAAAAGATCAAAACTCAAATGGATTAAAGAGTCTATTAAATTTCCTATTGCTCGTTGTAGTAGGTTTAGAGAAATATAAAAAAAAATTATGTAAGTGTCATACATTACAATATTAATCTTTTCCCCATTAATATTGATATTCCCTTAGAACTAAGAAATTATATTACTAATGTTTGCTTTATTAATTCTTAGTGTTCTAAATAATATCTTTAATTTACATACTACATATTATTAAAATGACGTTGAAATTACCAATCTCAGATAAATTCAAATAAATTACATAAAGAGATATCTGATTAAAGATTTTTTAGTGTTTTTATCTTTCATCTTTATGTTTCAATTTTGTGAAACTGATTAATACATGACAATCATTGGAGTTATTGTTTTGAATATTATGACAATTCAAAAAGTTAAATTACATAATCCTTTATCATAATCACTTGCAGTTTTATTAGCTTATAGATTTAGCATTGGTATCTGTTATTGTCATCTTTTTACGCTTATTTATATTTCATTAAATCACTCATAGATTATATATGATTCCCTTAGTGTTTAATTTAAAATTTACTTAACTTACCTTCATAAGTATTTAGATGAATATTTAACTATCTATGGATCTTTAACTCATGAAACAAGTTTTGAACTATAATTTGCCATATTTGTATAAATCATCTAAACTTGTAATAAAGTAACAGCATTCTTAGACATTCTATTTTTTTTTAATTTGAATGTCGATCAATATTTATTTCAAAAACATTATTTTGATTTTAAAGCTTTTCTTAAACATCATAAAATAGATGGTTAATTAAAAAAAAAAGCTTTGAGTAATTATAAATATGAAATGAAAAATGATATATAATATTAGAGTTCAATAATTGATGCAAAATCGATTAAATATGTTAATTGTGAGGTTTAAAAGAGCATTGAAAAGACTATAAATGGAAAATATTTTTAGAAAATAACCATTTTTTAAAAATTCTCTTAAGATACATAGGAAAGGCTAGTTGAAAAGATGTAATTTTAAACATACTAACCAAATGAAATGATATTGAAATAAAATTAAAGTGATGATGATTCACTATATTTAATTAATAAAGGATATGCTAAGGTTTGTTACACAGGAATTAATAATGCTTAATCAGGCATAAAATAGCTTAGTAAATTTTAAACTTTTGGTGAAGTATCATTCTTTACTGGATTACCTAGAACTAGTAGTGTGATATGTATAGGTTAAGTTGAAGTTTATAAAATAACTAGAAATGATTTTTTAAATGTTATTAAAAATAATAGATTAGATTTAGTATTAATTATTTATTAAATTAGGAAATAGCATCATTACTAAGAGATTAAATACTTTTTGGAAATGATTATGGTTAAATAGGATTAAGATGCTTTTGTTGTAATGCAACGAATCATTTAATTTCCTCATGTGATAAATTGCATTATAATCCTAATAAAGAAAAGATCTTAAGCTAATGTTCTTATAACCATATTTAATCTAGAAAATTATGTATAATTTATTATTTTTTAAAGTAGTTAAAAGAAATGGTAAACGTACCTAAAATAGCAGAGATTATTTATTTTAAATTGGAATGGCTGGAGAAGAATTTCAAGAAAATAATTTTATAGCTGATTCATAAATATTAAAAGATTTAACATATAACTAGAATTATTGGTCATCTACTAATATTTAATAAAATTAATCTTAATAAATAAGTTATTAACCTATTATGCATCGAACAAAGCATGGTGAGAAAAATAGTATATTACTCAGTAGTGAATTAGATGATATTAAGGAATCTTGTCTTGATATTGATACAAATTTAATTAAAAAGGAAAAAACTGTTTATACTTAATAAAATCAATTGCAAATGAAAACTATAATTAAAGAGCTTGAATGTGAAGATGAAAGTTCCTTATCCGATTATACCTAAACTATTTCTTAATAATAAAATATTTAGTAAATTCAAACAAGTAAAGTAAATAATGTTCAAGTAAATATGGCTGAGAATAAAGATAAGTTACTCGATATACCTATTTTTGGATAAAATAATAATATTTAATAATTAAACCAACGAAACAGCCCTAGAAATTCTACTGTTTATGATTTAAAAAATAATAGACAGAATAGAAAATCATTTAGTTATACTCCATAGCCAGATATCTCCAAAAAGTTAGAAAATATTAAATGGCTTAGTAGATCTAATAGATATTTGGATGAAACAGATATTAACTAATAAGAATAAATTTAAATACAATAAAGAAAAAAAAGTCCTCCATCTTATAACCTTAAATAAGATGAAAACATATTTATTGCATTAACTAATCTAATACAATAAAATAATTTTTCTGGTTTTTCAGAAGATGATGAATTTGAAAAAGGACAAAATTTTTCTAAGTATTTTCCTTTCTTCAATCCAGATTATGTAATAAAAAAGTAATAATTTATGTTTATTTAATTCTAGGTACAATAATTTGAAATAATAATAATTTTGTTTTATCAACAAAAGCAAATACACTTTAAGTTATGTTCTTAGTGAAAAAATTAAACGAAAACTGGGATAAAAATGAAGTATATTGTAAAAAAAATTTGGGTAAAACGCATTCATAAGTAATTTATAAATATATCTTTTTCAGTTTATTTTTTTGGTTCTTGGATTCTCGTATAAACTTAATGATCTTCCTTGCAATTTTTATACGTTTATATTTTCCAAGTATGCATCAACTCTTAATTTGATTTTTTGTAAATTTTAATCAAAATAAAATTTCTACATATTTTATTATATCTATCTATGCTTCAAATATGAGTCTTAAAAATTTTCTTATTTTAAATTAGATTATCTAAATCATAATAATTATTTTATACATTCCATTTATCTTTTTTTAAAGTCTTTTATTTTCACTTTCTATTCGTAATTTTTGTTCTTTTAATGATCTTCTACCTCTTGGAGTACCACACTAACTGGGAGGCTTTCCAATTTAAATTTTGAAATACTGTAGGTGAACGATTACTTATTTTAGCTAGCCTTGCAAGTATTTGTGCATTTTATTCTTATATTGTCTACCATTTCATTAGTTCTCGTTTTCTGTTATTTAAATACTAAGTTTTTTTGACTTGTTCATAGATTCGGTAATCTTTTGGTGGACTCATCCTTTAATTTTATTACAACCTTTTTTTATGAGCATCATACTCTCTTAGTTTAATTTAAATTAATACTATCTACTAAGCCAAATTTGATTGAGTTCTAGATACCCTTTTTACAGACTTTTCATTGTTAAAATATTAAATATATATAATTATTAAAATTTCTGGTGATAGAGGATTATCGATTCATTTATACTCTTATTTTAAATTATTATTTGCATAAGATCAACTTTTTTTAATATTATGCAATTGTCTTAATATTGAACTAGTTATATAATGATTTAAATGTTAGTAATAAAATAAACTTAATCTCTTAAATTTAAAAAAGCATGCAAAAATTCATTAATTAAAAATATTTGAATGTTTACTTTTTTCTTTGTGAAATCATTTATATTTTGACATAATGGAATATAATTAAGATTAATTATTTTTAATTTAATCTTAAAAGAAATAGTTAATTTAATGAGCAAAGTCTAGTAGGTAAGAATTAATGTAATATTCACCTTTATTTTTGATATTTAAGGGTTGAATAATTTATAAATTCTATTATGTATGAATAATAAAAAAAAGACAATATTATTTTAAAATCAGTTTTTATTTTTTTTACAATGGAAGAATAGTTCAATGAAATAGAATAACCCGAGAAGAAAACAAAATCTTTAGTCACTAACTTATGTTTTAAAGTGTAAAAAGTACTTTTTCATCCATCTTAAACTTCTTCTTATATAATACTTACTTCTGTATTTGAAATGGAGATATATAAGAAGAAAGAGAAATCGATATCATTTTTTAAAGAAAAAATAATAAATTCCTAATGTTCTAGGTCCTAGATAATATAATGATTGGGTGGATTTTTATTCTAGATAGGAATGAAATTGTCTCTATGAAAGTGGAATGAAATTCTAGGGCAATAACATAAGTATTATTAGAATCAATAAATTATTTTATGGTATAACAAAATATATAAATTTTGAATATTTATAATAAAATCGAGAGTTTAAATAAGAAGTAAATAGAATGAGGAGATTAGTAATTATGAGTTGATATAATATTGAAAATAGTATAATAAATAATATGACGCATTATATAAGTTAAATAATTTTTGGGAAATGACAATTATTAAAAAAAATGTTTGTAACAATCCTAAGATCCCCTGTGTTATTATAACTAAAACCAAAACTTGGATATTAGAAATACTTAACAAGACTTAGAACAGTTTCCTTAGCAGGTGCAGTTACTATTGGTGCTGCTGCTTATTATTGTTATGAATGCTTCTGGAATACTTCTATGGAATTTATTCATCATCCAGAAGCAATAGAGAAGCATATTCTTAATATATTTGCTGATGTAAAGTTTAAGTATATAGAAGATCAAGTATAAGCCTACTTTATATATTCCTCACAGATTGATGTAACTAGCATATGCAACTCGTTGGGAATAAAAACTTGATATAGAATTTGAAAGATAACTATTTAAACTATCAGATGGAGGATAATTAGCTTTAGATTGGAAGAATAAACATGTTGTTACAAATAAACCACTTATTTTAATAACTCATGGGTTAACAGGTGGTTCTGAAACTAATTATATAAAACATGCTGCTGAAACTTTAGCTAATGCTGGCTATTAAGTAGTGTGTTTTAATTAAAGAGGAGTAGCTAATTGTGAATTATTGACAAGTAAATATCATTTTCATGGATGTACAAATGATCTAAGAGAAGTCATCAATTACTTATAAGAAAATAAATAAAAGGGATAATAAATATTTGGATTAGGATTTTCTATTGGAGGCAGTCTTCTATTGAAATATGCAGGAGAAGAAGGTTATAAATGTAAACTCAATAGGGTATTTTCTGTTGCAAATCCATATGATCTATTAGATTGTTCTCATAATATTATGAAATTTAGAAACAAAATTTATGATTGGTCAATTACTTGTAATTTCAAAATGCTACTTAAATAACATTAAAATTCATTAGCAGAAAATTAAAAGACTAAAGGAATTTAAATTGAGGAAGCATTATAAGCTAAAAATACTTATGAATTTGATGAACTTATTACAAGAAGATTATTTGATTTTGATTCTCCTGAATAGTTATATTCATCAATTGGATGTGGCAATTATATAAAAGATGTCAAAGTTCCTGTTTTTATTATGCATTCAAAAGATGATCNTAAAATCGAGAGTTTAAATAAGAAGTAAATAGAATGAGGAGATTAGTAATTATGAGTTGATATAATATTGAAAATAGTATAATAAATAATATGACGCATTATATAAGTTAAATAATTTTTGGGAAATGACAATTATTAAAAAAAATGTTTGTAACAATCCTAAGATCCCCTGTGTTATTATAACTAAAACCAAAACTTGGATATTAGAAATACTTAACAAGACTTAGAACAGTTTCCTTAGCAGGTGCAGTTACTATTGGTGCTGCTGCTTATTATTGTTATGAATGCTTCTGGAATACTTCTATGGAATTTATTCATCATCCAGAAGCAATAGAGAAGCATATTCTTAATATATTTGCTGATGTAAAGTTTAAGTATATAGAAGATCAAGTATAAGCCTACTTTATATATTCCTCACAGATTGATGTAACTAGCATATGCAACTCGTTGGGAATAAAAACTTGATATAGAATTTGAAAGATAACTATTTAAACTATCAGATGGAGGATAATTAGCTTTAGATTGGAAGAATAAACATGTTGTTACAAATAAACCACTTATTTTAATAACTCATGGGTTAACAGGTGGTTCTGAAACTAATTATATAAAACATGCTGCTGAAACTTTAGCTAATGCTGGCTATTAAGTAGTGTGTTTTAATTAAAGAGGAGTAGCTAATTGTGAATTATTGACAAGTAAATATCATTTTCATGGATGTACAAATGATCTAAGAGAAGTCATCAATTACTTATAAGAAAATAAATAAAAGGGATAATAAATATTTGGATTAGGATTTTCTATTGGAGGCAGTCTTCTATTGAAATATGCAGGAGAAGAAGGTTATAAATGTAAACTCAATAGGGTATTTTCTGTTGCAAATCCATATGATCTATTAGATTGTTCTCATAATATTATGAAATTTAGAAACAAAATTTATGATTGGTCAATTACTTGTAATTTCAAAATGCTACTTAAATAACATTAAAATTCATTAGCAGAAAATTAAAAGACTAAAGGAATTTAAATTGAGGAAGCATTATAAGCTAAAAATACTTATGAATTTGATGAACTTATTACAAGAAGATTATTTGATTTTGATTCTCCTGAATAGTTATATTCATCAATTGGATGTGGCAATTATATAAAAGATGTCAAAGTTCCTGTTTTTATTATGCATTCAAAAGATGATCCTATAGTTCCTCAATTTCTCGTTCCTTATGATTAAATTAAGTAAAATCCTAATATAATTGTTGGTTTGACTAATAGAGGAGCTCATGTTGAATGGTTTACAGGTTTTAAACCACGAAGAGTATCTATTTATTATTATATTTTAGTGGATTATGAATCCTATACTAAAGTATTTCGAAGAGATACAATCACTATGATTATTATATAATTATTATATTTTATGAGCAGAATTAATTTAGGCAGTCCTTCTTATTACTTCTCTTCTTCAGCTCCTAAGCTTGATAATCTGTAATAGAGTCCAAAAAAAGAATTCTTTGATGCCTCTCGTCAATTAGAAAAGGCAAAGAGAAGAGTCTAACTACTAAAACTAGAAAATGAAATAAGGTACACTTAAGATATGAATATTCATTTCTTAGAGAAAAGAAAGCTTAAATACAATAACAGAAGAATGAACAATTAACCAGAATTCGTGAAGATCATGAATAATTTAAAGAATTTGTATATAAATTACATCTATTTAGAAATAAATGCATAAGGATTAAGTAAATATGTAGATTTAGAGTTTGGTATCTCGAACTCGTAATCTGAAAAGATAATAATCATAAGAGAAAATTTATATTTAATAAAACTTCCTTTAGATGAAACAATAAGAAGTCAAAAATATAAAAGAGCAGTCTCAAAAAAATGAATACCTTATTAGATAGAATCTCGATAATATTAAATAATAAAAATATGAACAAAAATAATAGATTCTCACTTAAGAACAGTTAGCTTAATAAAGCATTAACAATTTTCATAAATAAAGATATTTAAAACATTAATAAGATCATTATCACTCGAAATCTTAACATATGATTGAAGCTGAAAATAAATTAAGTATGATAGAAGAATTAAGAAAATAAGAAGCTTTATTATTATAAAAATTAGAAACTACAGTAATTTATATTTTTATTTTAGTCTAAAATGAATACAAGTCTAGTTGCTCGACAAATGTCTACAACAACACCTAAAACAGACTTTAATAATTGAAAAATGTAAATTATCTATATTTATTTTATCAATCTAAAATTTATTCACTTGTATATATATAAAAGAAGATGCTAATATTAAATAAAAATTTGAATATTTTAATAAGAAAATCTGAAAAATTATTCTTAAACATTAATTCATTTTAGATTAGTTATAATGTAGATTAAATGCTTAAACATATAAACTTGAATTATTTTGAAATAATATAAAATTAATATATAGTTTAATATAACAATATTATATAAATAAAATGAATTTGCTTTCACCACAAAACAAAAGCGTAATACTTTTCTTTTTATTTGCTGGGGTAGCTATAATTGTTAGCTTAATTTTGCTAGTTTTAGCTATTACCTTCTTCCCTATTACAATTGGACTATTTTTCATAGTAAAGTATACACCTGTAAGTAAAATCAAAAATATTAGATCCGACACACTTTTGTAAAAATCTATCATCAAATATATGACTATTTGTTTTACTAGAGTGAGAAGCCTAGAAAAATTTTATGGGGATTTATTTATGATTTTATGTGTGCATATTTTCCATTAAATAAATGGAGAGCCATGAATTATGGATATGCAATATTAAATGAAAACGGGCGTATACTCAACAATTTAGATGAATAGTAAGAGGAAGAAAGATTCTGTCTCTAATTATATCATATGGTGGCTACAAATTGTTTAAAATTAAAAGATTTATAAGGGAAAAGAGTATTAGAAGTTGGAAGTGGAAGAGGAGGTGGATTACATTATATTCATTCATCTTTAAAACCAGAATATTGCGTTGGTGTTGATTATTCTTAGAATTAAGTTGACTTTTGTAAGACAACTTATGGATCTAGCCAAAAATTATAATATATGCAAGGTGATGCTGAAAATCTAACTAATTTAAATATCTAATCATTCGATTTAATTATCAATGTTGAATCATCACATTGTTATGGCAACTTTTAAAGATTTGTTTAAGAAGTTACTAAATTGTTAAATACAGGAGGCTTATTTGTTATTACAGATTTTAGAGCTGCTTAAGAAATTAAATAATTTGAATAAGACTTATAATCAACTGGACTGGTAAGATATTTCATTTTTATCATAGAAATTGGAAAACAAGGTAGATATTACAATTAATGTCTTATAAGCATTAAAATTAGATGAAAAGAGAAAATAATAATGGATGACTAGACACTGTGGCATAAGTATATCATTTATCCTATTAATTAGTATTTAGAAAATTCTTTAGTAAATTTAGTGGTGTTTAAAGTTCTCGTATTTTTTAAGAGTTCAGTGAAAGAAAAACACTATATCTAATTTATGCCTTAAGGAAGGTTTGAATAAATAAATCATTTTAATAAATTAAATATATCCTCATAATTCTTTTTATTTACTATAAACACTTTTCTCAAAATTCTATAAAGAAAATATATTCCTTTAAATTTCTTAAAACAATATTTTTCTCATTCTAATTCTCATACATTATTTTCAGATAGAAAACTATAATTAATAAATTTGATGATAGTTATCAAATATCAAAAATTGAACTTACATGATATATTATTAGTAATTTTGAATAAATGATATTTTGGAACGAGAATAATTTGAAAGAATAAAAAAAATGAATCTTTTATTAATTCTAAATTTATTAATATTAGAGTAAGCAACTTTAAATTGAATATAGTAATTGCTAAATCATTTGATATAAACTTTTACTATTTCAAATGAAATTTACTCAAATTTGCACAATTAAATAATATTAGATATTAATTAGGAGATTAAATTTGATTTTAATATTACAATTCACATTTACATTTTTTGATATGAATAGAGAGATATTCATCCAAAAAATAATAGACAGATTTGATCTATTATATTTAAAAATCAACTTAATAAAAATAATATTTAAATGACAAATTCATTTTAGTATAAAATAATATACTTAATTAATTGATAATATATATATATCACTATTGAGTGAATTGATACGCAAAGTTTTCTTATACGCTAATTTCAAATGGATCTTCAGAAGTGGAGAGTCTTTTTAGATAACCAAGTGTAGTATTAGAAAAATATTATTACTAGCAGTTATTTTAGGGTGTAAAAGTTGAATGTTTTCTTCTTGCTTGCTATTATAATTTATGTCTAGTAGTAGAAATTTTAACAATTTAATTGTATTTATGAATTTAATCTAATTTTTTTTCATTTATTTCTTTCCAATAATGTTCCTTAATTTATTTATCAACTTTATGGTAATAATGTAATAGATAGAATTCTTTTATAGAATGTTAAACCTTTTATATATCTGGAAGCAATTAGTAGATTTAAAAGAAAATTGTAGTTTAAAGTGATTAATATTCCAACTCAAACTCTTTAATTAACCTAATATACTTAATATATAAATTACTTTTCTAGAAATAGATATAATGCAATAACATCATTCCATAAAAGTAATAATAGTTCATACATAATGTCTTCTTTGTTCAGTAATAAAATCTCTTTAAATAGAGAAGTTTAACAAAATATAAAATTTAATAGGTTTATCGCTTTATAATACATATTTTAAATTCCTTCAAACTCTAACTTTATTGAATATTAATACACTTGATTGAATAGGTTTTCTAACTTTTGACCATCTTTATTAGAGAAATGCTATTAGCAAATCTTTATAAAACCTGAAAATAGAAATCTACAAATTTGTCTTCATTTTAATTAGAGTCATCTAAAAACCCATCCCAATCATTAAGATGTTCTGCAAATATTGGACCATGCATTAAATCATCTAATAAAACATGACATGCAGCCAAAATTTTTAATTTGACTCTGTAAGAAGTTTTTTATGGAAGTGCATTAAAAAACTTCTTAAATATAGTTCGTATTGAAATTGGAGTTAGCTATTCTTAGAATCCTTTCATTAGGTATTTCAAATCGGTCACATTTAATTAAGCAGCATTATTCAGTATTGAACTCTATAATAGATGTCTTTCAAAGTCAGATTTAAATATATTAATCATTTCACTATTCTTTTCATAAAATTTAATCAATTTTATTTGCTAGTTCAATCCCATAAAAAGAATATGTATAATATAATTCAAGTATGAATCACAAACAAATACAAAATCAATAAATAATTATTGATGAAAACAAAAAAAATAGATTGATTTTATGAATAAAATTTTTAAATTAATTAATATTTATTATTTCCTTAATTATTAATGAGTTAAGGTTAACAAGTAAAATTAAAGATAAAAGATTTCTAATTCTAAACTAAGAATATTTATTTTTTTTCCTTTATGTATCAGAGGTTGCTAAGTTATTGTTAAATGTTAATATTTATCTTAAATATTTTGGAAGCTTAACTTTGGTTCTCTAATTATTTTTAATAAACGTTCAAAATTCCTTCTTCAATTTTTATCTAATAGGGATTTTTTCATCATTTTATCCACACATCAAAGGTATGAATGAATCTTTCATTTTATTTATTACTCTAATAATTGTTTCAAAAATCTAATTTATATTGTTATTAAGGCAAAAATTTATGCTCTTTAAAGTTTATCTTGTATTTTATGAAACATTAAAACTTATTGTTAAATATATATAATATTTAATATCAAAAACTATTACTTTTTCAAGTCAAATTTAATTCTTAACCTTTATTAAGTGTTTAAAAGCCTATCTTACATTATCAACAGTGTTTCTAACTCTGGTTGTATATCTAATTAATGATGTTATTTTCCATAAATTTTTTTTATAATCTTTTCATAGAAGCTATTTAATTTCGTTTAGAAAATTTATCAAAATTATCTGAATCCAAAAAAAAAGAAAAAAAATTGAGATGGAAGAACAAGTATTTGTAAATTGAATACTTAAATTAATAAGGATAAACAAATAAGTAAGATTTTTTAATTTTATAAGTAATTTGAATCATTTTCATTTTATACTTGTTATACTCGAAATAATTGGTATGCTAGCTAAACTCTTTTAACTATAAGGTGGTTATTTTAATTCCTTTACTTAAATAATTGGAAATCGTTTAGCACTATATTAATCAAAATTTAATACTGTGTAATTTGGAAGGACTTTTCTTCTGTATTTTATAATTGTTATATTAAGTTATCATATATTTTCTTAGTTATAATTTTTGGGCTTATTATACTTGAATTAAGATTATTTTATTATTAATTGAAATTTTCCAGTTTATTTTTTAGATCACTACTCAACTCTGTCAATTTTTATGTCTATTCTTCAAGAGATCGAACTTATTTATTTTATATCTCTTTATTAATCCTTTCTAATCTTTTATTTTCTTTAATTAGAAATTGTAACTTCTGCTCATATTAAGATTTCTGATTATCAAGTTAATTTTATAGCGATTCCTTTTTCATCTATTATTCGTTTTACAAAAATGCTTGCTCTTATAATTATTAATTATCCTTCTTTAATTGAATAAGTTCAACTTGTTGCAATTCTAATTATTCTTCAAGTTGCTGTACATAATTAATTTGAACTGCTGCATTTTATAATTATCGTTATAAACCATAAACAAGTAGAGATAATCTTTAATTTTCTTATGTTAACTTTTTATTAATATAGTGTAGATTGTCTTTATTTATGTGATCCATAAATTATTAATGATAAAATAAGTAATTAATAGTATTTACATAATACTTAATTTATTACATGATTAAGTTCTGTTATTAATAATAAATGTTATTTCAAACTAGGGAAAAAACATCTCGTTCTGTTTCACCTGCAAATCGTTCAGATTTAGTAACCATAATTCCGAGGTCTCAAAGTCCAACCATAACAAAAGAACAACTATAAGTATTAATTCGTCTAATTTAGAACATTAAATTTTACAATCGTTTCTATAGATAGGAACAACGTTATCAACTTTTATAAGAATAGGTTATACAGATATTTATAAAGCATAGATTAATGCAGAGATCAAGGCATTATCAAATAAGAAGAAGATTACATAAAATTCTTATACAATTATTGCTAATTAATTACAATAACGAATTTAGGAAGCTATATTTAAATTTTAATGTGAAAGGCTTGATTTTGCATAAATAGGAGCTGCATTCACAGAATTAAAAATATTTTAAGAAATTGTTTTTAATAGCGATTGTGAATGTATAATTTTTAATTTTATTATAGTGATAAATAGTGATTAACCTTTAAATTTGAGAGGAAAACAAGAAGTAATTATAAATTTTATAAAAGATGTTAATGCATGAAATGTTATGGAATCTAGTATCATAAGATGGAGAATGTGAATAAGTTGAAACTCAAATGGTTTTATGTGTTTTTAGAATATTGATGGATCCTGTTAAATTAACAGTTGAAGAGACAGCTTAATTAATTTTAGATTTTTTAAATTTTGAAATAACAAATTATGCTTAAAAATTTGATCAAGCTAAAAGATTAGTTGTACAATTTAGAGCACTTACATAAAATTAGATGTTCTCTAATTATCAAGATAAAAAAAGAGAAATTGAAGATGTTAAAGAAAAATATTCACCTTCGATTAATTAAAAATCATAAATTTTAGCATATTAAAATAGACAAAAATACATAGATAAATAGTTAAGTACTTAAAGTTAAAGTTGCATTGATATTCTTTTAAAAAAGAAAGAAGAATTCAACAGAGAAATTCAAAAATAATAATTACAAAAATAAGAAGAGAAAATGAAAGAATGTACATTTTAACCAAAAATAAATTAAAATTATTCATAAAATTCTACAATTGATGTTGTTAGCAGATTATATACTTAAGAATCTATTCATTAAAAAAGGTTATATTAAGAAGAAAATATAAGAAAAACATAAGAATAAAGAGAAATGATTGAATTAAACTAGTGCACTTTTACTCCCTTAATAAATGATGGTATTCCTCTATCCATAACAAGTGCAAATACTCCAAAAGATTATGAAAAAATGGTAGATAGAATGAGAAAAGCTAATAATAAAGCAAGAGAACAAAAAGAAAAACTAAATCAGTATTTATTAAACATATAATTAGTATATCTACTGGAGAATAACTAGATAAACTTAGGAATTCTCCCTTTAATCCTCCTTAAATGATAAATAGACCAAAACTTAAAAAAAAGCCTATTGTAATTATGGATGTAAATATATGCCCAGGAAAATAAGGGAGATTAGCTTTATATGAAGATTAAGACCCTTAAGATGTTGTTAAGAACTTTTCAAAGCTATTTAATTTGAATACAGAAATGTCAGATATTTTACTTAATGTTTTAGAATAGGAAAGATAAAAAATGATTAAAAAATAATGCACTTGAAAAAATGATGTTGCTCAAAATCTTTGGTTTTTAAATTATTTTAAAATAAATATCAAACTAATTCTTTTTTCAAAATTGTAATTAGAAATAATAATTTTCATTCTGTTCAAAAGGTTTTAATTTCCTTCATAATTACAAACAAAGTATAAACTATATTTCTTACACACTTTATCTTAAATTTTTGTAGACTAAAAAATTTATCTCTTAACCCAAGTCTTAAATTTAATTAATAATTATACATAAATATCTAGATTACTTTCTATAAGAACTTTTTTATTATTTTTAAACAGCATATATAATTGAATAACCTTTTTCAAAAAATAAATTAATTTTTTTTTCAAATTATTAAATATCTAATAATAAAAGTTCTTAAAATTACAATTTTACAAAGAGTTCTTCTTCACATACTTAAATTATTTTTCATCATAACAATAAGGCTTGAGCTCTAATAATTCAATGATTAAATTTAATTTATGTATGTATTTTTATTTCTCAAATGAACCTATATTCTCCTATAAATAAATATACATAGTCAATAAATTTTAATTCTTTAATTTCTAAGATTTGTAAATAAAAATACTATGCTAAAAATTAATAATTCTAAATTATACAAAATAATTAAAAGGATCATTCTACCTGAAAATCTTTATTTAAATATTCAATTAAAGTATTTGATCATCAATAGAGGGTTTAAGAGAGGATTTTAGATTATATATTACTTAAAAATAAAATTTTAAGTTTCATAATTCTAAATTAATGTAAATGATAAATTTAAATTCGAAAATTTAACAATTTTTTAGAAAATAAAATTATTGAAAACTGCTCATTCTAAATTTTTTGTTATAAAAAATATTTTAGTATATCTTTCATTCTCACTTATTAGTATTAAGTCTTGTTAATGACTTTTAAAAATCTATTTGATTAGTTTTATTATTTTACATAACTTTTTTAAAAAAGATGATTTAAAAATAAAACAACAATTTTCAAGTTTTTAGTAAAACAAACTGTAATTTTTTCATTAATAATAATTAAATAAAAACTTTTTCAGAAATTTAATTTTTGATAATGTTATTAACCTCACTTATTTCATTTAAAAATAAATTAAATTTAATCATATAAAATAATAAGTATTGTGATAATGATAAATTAACTATCAATTTTGAGTCTTTTTAGTTATAATTACTAATAATTATCAATAATTTAATAAAAATTTAAGAATTTATTTGAAAAAGTTGATTAAATGATTTTTTTATAATAAAGAACAAATTTGCCTTCAATTATACTAATTTAAAGCTTGAATATATTTATAATTCCAGTTTTTAATTTAGGTATGTATTTAATTTAATCAATATTAATATTTAAAAATGTTTTTATTAACTTTACTTGCTTTCCTTTTGCCTTTGTAATCCATTTAATCAAATTTAATTACTTGTTATTATGAGAAAGATGATTCTCAACTTGAAATTAATTCTGAAAGACCATAAGAAAAAATAATTAATCTAAAATCGAACTCAGGTGAGGCTCATGAAAAAGGATTTGGATTTTGGTCAAAATATATTGCAACTATAGATTTTGATTCATTTAGTAAATATTCTAGACCATTTGATGTTCAATATTGTTTCTGGGCATAATGCATTTTTAATGGATTTTTTTTTTTAAGAATTAGAGACTAAAATTAAGATAATATTATTGCTTTGATACTAAATATGAAAGATGATCCCATAAGCTTGACTCATGATATTCATTTATTTGCAATAGGTGAAAATGAATATTAAAAGGCATAATTTAATTATATGGCTAACTAATATCAAAATATATGGTATTATACATCAATAGTTTATTCAAAAATTGATCAAAAATTAAGAATATTTACTAATTTCGATAATTAGATTCACTCTTTTGATTACTAAATAATGACCGATGAGATAATAGTGTAATTAGGAGGATACAATTAAAATTAACAATTGTATCAAAATTATGTTTTTGTTGGTTAAACATTACTGTTTTTTAAAGGATATTTTTCATCTATATAAGAATATGAATCCTTTACATATTCTGATGATTTTTTTATAAATTTATTAATTTAATGTTAGATATAAGATTAGAAAACTAAAACCTTAATTTATGATTAAATTCAATTAATAGATCCAAGTTTATCGTCTTCAGAAGATATGTCAATTCATACACCTGAATACAAAATTGTGAATAGTCGATATTTGATAAAATGTTGGGTTAAATAAGATTATGAAGAGGTATAACTTAAGTTGTAATTTTAAGGCATTTAGATATTATTAAAATGAATATGGCTATACATTTTATCAGCTTCGTTAAACTGTATTTTTAATTGATTCTTTAAAATATATATTTTAAAATTTATAGGGAGTTAAAGTTATGAGCATATATTATGAAGTATTATGTTTTAATATTTAGGTGGACTTTGAAAATAATAATGAAACAATTATTTAATTCTCAACAGAATTCATAAAAATTCCTCTTCTAGTATAAAAATATGAGGATGAGAATTTGAGGTAATTTGATAGGGTAATTATAAAAAAGGATAATTTATATGAATTAACATAATAATGGCATTATTTAATAATAGAATATGGAAGGACATCTATAGATGGAGCTAATTTATAGATTAGATTAATTTTTTTAACTTAAGAATAGTTGGTGTATAATTTAGGAACTCATGGTTATAATTCTTAATTTATAGGATAACCTATAATTTAATAAATACAAAAATAGGATAACTTTTTTGGAAAAAGTAGAACAAAAATTCGAAGATTGAAATTTATAACAGGTTATCTTTAAGAGAATAATGATTTTAATTATGGTAGTATTTTAATTAATAATTTAAGAATGTCATCCAAGTTGTAAAGATTGTTAAGGACCTATGAATTTTGATTGCAAATCTTGTTATACAGAATATTATTTTTCTTTAACATAATTTAATATATGCGATTGTATGTATCTTACTTAATATATTACTACTTCATAAAAGTGTTAGCCTATAGAAAATGTATAATATTTAAATATTGTTTAAAAATAAATAGAAAAACTTTGTAATTTTAGTTATTTTTAGGTTAAATTTAGAAATTAGTTTTATTGTGTTTAATGGTATTATTTAAAAATAAAAAAAATAGTCCAGAATATCATGAAGAGAGATTATAATGTGGTGATTGTTTTCAAAATTGGTCTACTTGGTAATTTAAACCTCTTTGTACATTTGATTATATATAATAAAGAGTTGGATATCCTTTCATTAAAAAAGATAGAAAAAATATATATATTGATGTTTATTATTTAGATGATCAACTGTAACTAAATTTACTTTAAGGAGCTTCAGATTTTTGTGATGATGCATAACTTGATTGTTAAGAAAGTCAACATTATCATTTAGATAAAAAAATTAAGATGAAATGCAAAATCAATCATTTTTACTAAGATAATAAATGTTGGATTTGTGATTAATCATGTATTGATTGTAAATCAAAAGATATATGCCTTAATTGTATGGACACTTATTATTTTAATTTCTCCAGTTAAAAATGTAAGTTTTGTCCAAATGAGTGTTTAACTTGTAAAAATGATACAAACTCTAAAACAGGATTAATATGTTTAACATGTGCTAAGTAAAATATATTACTTATTCAAAAGAACTTATGCTTTGACAAAGTAAGGGACATGTAATAAATGTGGAAACGATTGTGAATATTGTTAGGAAGATTATAATCTAAAAACATAATAATATTTTATGAGATGTAACAAATGTCTAGATGAAAGGAAAATGTCAATAAGATTTGATGGAATTAATTGTAGAATTATTACCATTTAAAATTGTCAATATGTTATGATTATCTCAAAAGCTCAACCATGGGGTTATTCTAATTTCCCTTATAATTTTGAACCATCTAATGATGTTTAAGATGAACTACCTATTTGTGGATTATGTGATGATTATTATGGGTATAATCTTTATTAAGAAATTTGTGAACCAAGAGATTATGACAATACTTGCCTTTAATCCTTTTTTGGTGATTATTTATATAATGGTGTCTAATATCCTCCTTAATACTTTTGTCTAATAGCAAATATCTATATTCATCAAGCAACTTAAGGGGAAGATTGCGAATTTTAAATTCAAAATTGTAGATTTTGCTTCAATCCATAATAATTTACACCTTCATTTTGTCTCGAATGTAAAACTGGATATTATGCAAATCGTATTTCAGGATAATGTTTTAGATGTCCTGAATCTTTAAATTGTAAGACTTGTTTTCATTCATCTATTAAATTTAATGATTCATATAGAATTAAACTTTCAGTCCCACATTAATTTTTAAAATCATAAACAGATACTAAATATTTTGTACTCTATTATTTTTATTTACTAGTTTACTTAAGCTTAAAATAATAATCCTTAAGATTATCAATTGGTCTGCAGTTCATGTAACTATGGATTTATGTTAATAGATGGATAATGTATTAAATATTGTGACATTAATTGTCCTAATTGTTTATATTCTGAAGGATAATTTTATTGTTAATACTGTGAAAATAATAACTATCACAGTTAATTGAGTTTAATTTAACATAAATGTTCTGAATGTCCAAGTTATTGTGAATTTTGTAGAGAAAGAACACAAGAAGAAATAACTATATTAAATTCTAATTTTATTCCTAATTTAAACAATTAAATATATTCTTATTAATGTCTCAAGGCCTATACCAATAATGAAAACCTTTATTACGATTAAATTTTTGGATAATTTCATCCTTGTTATAATTAAGATGCTTGTTAAAATGTCATTCTATTTGAAATTAATTTATTTTGTTCAAATTAAGAGTATTAAACAAAATTATCAGCACTTACTGATTTAGATTAATAAATATAATTTAAAATGAATAATGTATTATTTGATACACTTTTGCAATCTAATTCTTAAAACCCTAGTTTTTAAGATGTACTATAATATTACTAAATTTTAGCTTGAATTAGATTCAAAATATTAAATAATGAATAAAAAATTCATCAAAACAATTATTATTTAATTAACATCCAATACAGAATAAATATGTTCAGTTAATGAAATAAACTATATTTCCTAAAAATTTTCCCAATATGTATTTCAATTAATGTAATTATTATTTTATAAAAAGTGATGTATAATTAATTATCAAATCTAAAAAAGATTAGCCTTTAAAAATTAAAATATACAAAGAATTACATTTTTTGGATTTTTCATTTATAAGTTTTGAAAATATTGAATTTGAAATCCAATCATCTACAAAAGAGAAAAGTATAAGTATTTAAGGATTTAAACCAATTTAATTATAATTAGAAAACATTTTGTTTACTTCTAATTCTTAAGAGTAAATAAGTCTTTTTGCTTTAAAAGGGGACTAAATTTCTTCAACCTAAATGAATGGAATTAACTTTTAAAACATTAACTTTTTGAGTGAAAACTTAAAAAGTATTTTTTAATTTTCTTTCTTACCACAAGCTTTGGCTTAGTTTAAAAACTTTTAAATATCGAATTGTAATTTTTAAAATATTAATATTATTGAATTTAAATCATCTCAAACTATATCAGTAGAATTAGACAAGATGAAAATTTCTGCTAATTTAAATAAATGCTCATTATTGTCATCAAAAACTAATTAAGAAATAAAAGAATTAACTATTTAAAATATTTACATTACAGGCCAATTAGAATATTCAGAATCTTTTATAACATTGAACAATATAGAAAATGCATAAATTTACAATTTTACATTAAATGAAATAAAACTAGTCAATTCAGTAATTATTTAATTGGAGAAATATGCTTTTATTTAACATCTTACTATTCAAAAATGTTAAATTTTAGGAATTGTTTAAATTATTTCTAACTTTATTCCAAAAGAAATGAACAATTAAACAATACTCAGCTATGTTATCAATAAAATTGAATTAAATGATATAATTTTAAATTCACTTTCGAAAATAGTATACATGCAACCATTTTAATCTGCCTCATCTTCTGTAGTAATAGAAGATATATTATTTTCGAATATTCATAGAGATAGTTAACTTAATGCTCAATAGGATATTCCTCTAATAAATATTTTATTGTAAACTGTTAAAATATAATTTTGTATAATTTAGAGGGGGAGTGGATTCATAGAATTTTTATTTTAAAATGTCTTCAAATTAGAAATGAAGAATTTAAAAGCTTCATAACCAAGAAAATATTAATTGCATTAATTTTATGAATGTACTAATTTAGAAGCAAGTTTCTTTCCAAGTTTTATCAAATTATTGGATGTAAAAAATATTTATTTTGAACAATTTGTTATAAAGGGTTTTAATATAATAAATACAGCATTAATTTTATATTAAAGTTATTTTGAATCATAATATGAAACAATATTTTAATTTAAAAACTTTTTAATAGAAGAAAATCTTGTTATGGTTTTGCAACCAGATTCAAGCACCTCACTTATTCATATTCAAAGTAGATAATAGATTGAAGTAATTATTGAGAATGCAGAAATTACAAGAAATTAATTACATAATTATGGATAAAATCTATTCATATAGTCTTCTTTAGGGCTTTTGATTGATTGTCCATCTGGAGTTATAAAATTATAGTAAAATTTATTTAACAATAATTTTGCTACAAATACTACAGATACTATAACATATATCTTTGCTAAGAGTATATTGATGGATTCAGTTCAATTTATTAATAATTCAGTTTACAATATACAATTACTTTTGAATAACATTGTTCTTAATTTTCCAAATGATTAAATTGTAAGATTGAGTAATTTAATAAATATATTTCCACTAATTAGTGAAGTTGGTAATGCATATCTTTAAGCATAAAATATTATAATTTTGGATTGTTAAGTTTAAAATTCATCAGGGAAAAATGGAATTGGATTTTACATAAAAGCTTAATCCATAAAGATTATAGGTGTTATATTTAAAGATTTGAAAACATAATTCAAAAATAATGATGAGCATGGGTCTTGTATTTTTATTGAAATTGCATCAAAAAAATCAGAAATTTCAATTTAAAACGTTATTGCTAAAAATATTATTACAAAGGATTATGGTAGCTTTCTTTATATAAAATCTGATCATGATTATTTGAGTATGACTCTAAAAAATATAACTTTGTAAGGATGTATATCATCAAAAGGAAGTGTTCTTTATGCATCATTTTAGAAAACATCTTTATCTAATCAATTGAGCATTTAGGATGTTATAATAACAGATTAAGAAACTGTTTTTTTTGATTACCTAAAATAAATAGTTTACAATCCAAATGCATAAGTTAATCTTAACAATAGAGTTTCATTTTACTTTGAAAATTCTGTGATCAACTTATCTAATATTCAGGTATTAGATTTGTTTTATGAATCATTACTTTATTGTAATGATTAAAGCGATATAAATATTAATTAAATTATAATAAGAAGTGGTACAATTCCAAAATAAAGTCTATTATATATCTAACCCAGAAATAGTATATTATTAATATTAATATTTAGATTTGGAAACTAAAATTAGTATTAAAGGATTGCAAATTTAGTATTTGGCTTAATCATAAAATCAAGTTGAACAATGCCACATCACTTAACCAATAAAATCTTTAAAAATTTAGAATATGCAATGTTAAGTGGAAAATTAAAATAAAAATGTTCAAATTGATTTTGAAAATGCTAATAATTAAGATATAGATTGTTTACAAAGTTAATTTTTATTTACTAATACAAATTCTTAACAAGCAATCATGACTATATATTAGATCAAAGAATCAGATAAAATATATTTATTGGATAACTATTTTTAAAATAATAATATCTCTAATTCTATCAATGGAATAATATTTTTCCAGTTAAACAAGTAATTGTATAAAATTTTTTCTATTGATCTCAATAATTTGAATATAAAAAATAATTAATGTGGATTTTTAGGATGCTTATGTATAAATAATGAGATTTACAATAACAATTATAAATATTTTAATCACTCCTTAAGAATCTTAAAATAAGATAGGGAGTAGATATTGATGTAACTTAAATATGATGTTACTATAAAAAATTATATATGTTTAGGAAATTAAGCAGATTATGGAACATGTTTATTTGCTAATTCAACTCGAGTGCTTATATAAAACTCAATATTAACAAATAATAATGCAAAATTTGTTGGGGGAGTTATTTATTTTGTTGGAATAGAATCTTTTTTATTGATAACTAACTCTAAAATTAAGAGAAATGAGGCATTAACAGCTGGTGCAATTTATTTCGATAATTGTATTTCTTAAAATATGGAAAATTTTGACACAATCATTACAGAAAATTCAGCTACTAATTATGGAAATGATTTAGTTGAAGCTCCTTCACATTTATCAATAACTAAAAATAATTATAAAAGTATATTTAGTACTTATCCAATTAATGAAACTAGAGAACTATTGTATGAAATGTTAAATAATTCAAATAATTAAAATTAAGTAATCTATTTACCAAGTGGAACTTAAATAAAAGAATATTAATCATTTAATTTTATTACTAAAGAATTAGAGCCTTAGTACTTAACATTTAGAATAGTAGCTTTAGACAACAAATATTCTAAATAATACAATTTGACAGATTCAAAATGTAATATTGAAACCAATATCTTTGATTTATAAAGAAAAGAATATATTGGAACTTAGAATTAAACATATATCTCTAAAAACATAGTTTATTTTAATCCAATAACAAATGATTATAATTTAGATGATTTGATTATCTTTTTTGATAGCTCTAATACAAAAATCAGATATTTATAATTAGCTATAACATGTGATAGCTTAAAAATAAAACAATATGATGAAAACAAATTAATAGTGAAATCATATCATACAAATTATAAATTATTGATCAACATTAATACTTTTAGATGTAGAGTTGGCGAAATAAAATCTCAATTAGATATGTCATGCCATGAATGTGATTCTAAATTAGATTAATATTCATTAAAACTTAATTCTAATAAATGTAATATAAGGGATGAATAAACTACACTAAATGTAACTTCCTATAAACTGAATCTTAGAGAAGTATATAATTATTATTCTAAATAAGGGATTTTGGAGACCATATTTTGATAATGATTAGATAGAGGAATGTTATAACTTGAAAGATAATTGTCTTGGATTATGGGATTATGGTGATACTTCATGTTATTTAGGTCACATTGGTGCATTATGTGAACAATGTGACATATAAGACACAAGAGGATAAGGAAAATACTCAAATGCTTAATAGTATTCTTGTGGCTCTTGTGAAGATATCAATTATAATTTGATTTAAATAATTGGATTTAGTATCTGGTAATAAATTATTATTTATTTAAAGGACTTTAATTACTATAATTCTAAGTGTAAAAGGAGCTATTACTATTGAATTTTAAATCTTAGAATCTCCTTATTTAATTAAAATATTTACCAATTATTTATAGATTATAAGTTCACTAACAACATTTAAATTGAGCTTACCAGTTAACTATTTTTATTTTTTAGATGGAGTTGGAAATCCAATATAAAGGATTTCTTATTCATTGGATTGTTATCTAGGTATTTAATATCTAAAATACTTTTTAGTTCTAATTTCATATCTTGATATTCATTATACTAGATTGATTTGGTAACTAATACTTCCTTGCATTTATTTCCTAATACTTTCAATTTTCTATTCTGTCCTTATTTATCTAAACTATATCAAATACAAAGGATCAATTGTTATGACAGCTATAATCTATATGTATATTTACTTTTAGCCCAGTTTAATTGGATCTGTCATAGCTTTAGTTTCAACTAGAACTATCTCAGGTGTTTCTTGGATCTAAGCTAATGTCGCTTTTCAATTTGATACTTTTGTTCATCATAGATGGGTTATAGGATTTTGCATACCAATCTTATTTTTGTTTGGTATTTTAATACCTGCAGGATTACTTTATGGATTATATTAACAAAGACATAAACTTATTTATAAAAGAGGTAAAAGCTTATTTGGATATCTTTATTATGAATATAAACCCAAGGCTTACTTTTGGGAAATCATCAAGATTGTAACAAAAGAATTAGTTATTTTGTTTTTGATCTTTTATGAAGATTCAATAATAATAAAAGGTTCTTTAATTTATTTAATTCTTTTATTTTATTAGTTATTAAATCTTAAATATTAACCTTTTAAATCTTTCAGGTTGAATCAATTAGATTATGAATCAACATTAATTTGTGGAACATCTATTATTATAGGAATAGGACTTAATATAGGATAATAATCTTAATTTAAAAGCATTTATAACTTTTACTTTTTAGCATTAATGATTATGAATATATTCATGCTAGTTAAATTTGTGATCTACTTAATCAATTCATATTTCAATGAAATGGAATAACTGACAGACCAAATAAAAAAGAAAGTTTAATCTATTTTACCAAAACAAATTAAGATGAGTCAACAATGTCAAAGAATATTAGAACTCTCATCAGTAAGACGACAAAGAGTTAAAAATAATTTTAAAAGATTGAAATCTGCTTATAAATAATCTAAATAAAAACAATCCACTTAGATTTATATTTTTAATAATTTTTCAAACTAATAAATTACCTAAAGAATAAAGTAAAATTTTTGTATATTATTTAGTAGCCAATTCACTGAAAGAGAAAATAGATTAAGCTAAAAAATACTTTTATCTGAAGTATAATTCAGATGAAGAACATTGAAATCATAATTTTTTTTAAATATTAACCAAAATGTTTCTAAACAAAAAAAATTAAATTAGAATCTGAACATGAGTAGAATTTTTTTAGTTTTCTAAACTTTATTAAAAAAAATATATCTAAATTATCTTTTTCAAATTAACAAATGTGTTTTATTATGGTATTAAGTTTAATATTATGAATACTGTATTAACATGAATTTTGAGTATTGAATTTAGTAATATTAATATTCGGATTTATTTAAATACATAAATTATTTAAATTACCATCTTCAAATATATCTATTATTTAAAATAAAAAGGTTATATAATTACACTTGAGCATTTTCTTTTATAAATTCTAATTTAATTCTAAAGATTTTCTCAAATCACAAAAATTGACTTTGCAAATAGCTTATATTGATTACAAAATTTTGTTTTTCTTACATATTTTTGAATGATAATTAAACATTATTAGTAATAGAGCAGAATGATAATATTAACTCTTTAAAGAATGAACTATTACTTACTAAAATTTACATTTATTTATATTTAAAAAGACATAATTTTTATATTCATTTTCCATGCTATAATTTTCTATTAATCCAATATTGAATTAATTCAATATTATTAAAGCATTTTGCATTTATTAAGTACATTAATTTATGTAAAGAAAAATAATAGCAATTTTATTTATCTTTTTAATTCTTGGGAGTAATTAAGCAAAAGAAAATACTTCAAAAAATAAATGCTTAAAATACAATAAGGGAAAAATATTTGATTGCATTAAGAAACAACTAGCTATGGCCTTTTAATATCAATCAATTTCATCTTTCGCTGCATTTATAGCTATTAAAATAGGTATATGGTTAGCTGGTTTTTCTTCACTTGGTCCAGTAGCTGGTTCAATAGCAGCTTGGTTTTAGTCACTATTAGGAAATGTTGTAGCAAATTCCTTATTTTCATTTTTTTAAGCTGTGGCTATGGGGAAAACAGCATTATTAATAATTCCAAGTTTGGCTATAGGAACTATTATAGGAATAATCTATTTAGTTCTTAATTGTTTTTCTTCAGATTCTTGTGATTTAGAAGAAAAACAGAGATAGAAGAGATCTAATTAAAAAGATAATCAAGAAAAAAAAAATCAAAAAAAATAAAAAGAATCATTTTGGAGTTCTTCTTGGGATATTATCAAATAAATTGCATAAGACTAAGTAGAAATAGTGTCAGAATTGATACCCTCCATGCCAAAATAAATTACAGATCTTAAGAAAAATATATAAAGCTAATTGACAAAAATATTTCCTAATTTTTCTAATTAATTTGCTGAATTTGCTGGGGATGCTTTAAAATTTTCAGACTATTTGACGAATATCATTTCAGATCAACTTTAAATTGCTTAAGAGAATATGAAAATTGTATATGAATCGATAGCATAAAAAATCGATGAATCTATAGTTGGATTATCTGATTTAGTTGAATTTATTTGGGAAAATAGATTAATTCTACAGGAATCATTTGAATATACTTTTTAAGTGTTGAAAGAATAATATTATTATTTTTAGACTTTGTCAAAGAAAATAGATGGAATGAAATAGTCAATAAAAAAAGATGCTTGTATGAATAGTTTTTTAGAATACCTTGATGGAATAGAAAATTCATGATTATCAATCATAATATTAGTATTTTCATTAATTATACACAGAATTTTTTTTAATTTTTACTAGCAACAAAGCAGATATAAAAATAGTAAATGATGAAGGAATTAGATAGAAGGCAAAAAATCAAAAAAAAAATTTTAAGAATTTGTTTTTTAATAATAGCTAAATATATTTTATATTTATTAATTAAAAAAAACATAACAAAACCCTAAAGCAATTATTATAATGAGATATTAAAAAAAGTTAAATGGATTTTTGTTCTAATCGTTTGTTTAGGTTTAGATCAATTCCTTGAAAATTTTAAATATCCTTAAATATACCTTTATATAGCTAAAAATACTAGGTGTTAATAGTCTTTTGAATTTTCATCCTATATTTTGAAAAATGAATAAACCAAAATCCCAAAAATTTGGGATTTCAATATTTTTATATAGCCTATCTTCTTTTATAAATAATTAGCTTGACCACTATAATCTACTTTTATCTCATTTGCTACTGACCAAATCTTATAATTTATTTTTACAAAAGATATTAATTAATTTTAAAGACTATTTCAAATTATGCTTTTTACAAAATTTTAAAGTGCTTTGATCCTTAATGACATTTTCAATCAATTTCTTGAACCTAAAATCTTAATATTTCATCTCAACTTCCGAATATAGTAAGATCTTTTTTGTTATTATTCGTTTATGGGACATAAAACTTATTCTTGATGTCTTATCAATTTTTAAGAATTATAAATTTATATTAAATCTATAAAATTTAGCTAAATTTCTTCCTTTTTCTTATTTAATGAATTCAATTTTTCATTTACTTCTTTTGAAAATTCTTATAAATAAGTTTCTTTTTCATATATGCAAGTGATTTAACACTTATCAGTTTAAATAATTGAAATTAAAATTATTTTATATTATGAATGCTTTATAAAATGTTTTAATTAATAAGCTAGATGATTAGTAAGAAGAAGCAAGAGAATAGGAATATAGGGATTTAATAGGACCATTTTTTTTTAAAAGAAAATTCAAAATTGTTTTTACAAAAAATAAAGAAGTTAAAATGATATCTTCAGATGGAGAGATAATAAGAAGGTAAAGAAAATAATCTTCAACATTAAGTTATATTATGACAAATTGTTGCTATAAAAATCTAGAAATACCCTTTAATTTTGAATAAGTTAAACATTTACAATGGATAGGAAAGTATCAGGATATGAAAAAAGTTGGAAAGTGGACAGCAACATGGAACAATAAAATATTAGTTGATGTTGGTGGTTAGTATTGTTAAAAAGGAATGAAATAAGGTCAATGGAAAGAACTATTTAAGAATTTTTATGAGTATTATTTATTTTTATAGTTTAAGCAAAGCATAAGTTTTTGAAGAAGGAGATTACATAAATAATTTGAGAACAGGGAAATGGAGTATTATTTATGAAAATAAGTTAATGTAATTATTAATCAATATTTAAAGTGGGGGAGGAATTTATAATGAAAAAGGTTAAAAATATGGTTAATGGATTGAGTTGAATGATTATTTCTAAAAGTATAAAGTTTTAATGTAGATTTATCATTAGTGATAATTAAATAATATATTAAGGAGAATATTATAATTGCAAGAAGGCTTGCATATGGAATATATATAGAAAAAGGTTAGCCATCTTCCTTAATATAAATTCATGTAAAAAGACAGGAAATTAGTCCTTAGAAATAATGTAAATAATAAATAGATTTTAGTGGTATGGAAAAATACGATCAATAGGGTCGAAAGAATGGAAAATGGGTTGAGTTAAGTGAACATTTTTAAAAGTATTATATTAAAATAATGTAATATTTAGAGAAACTTAGATTATTTATTGTGGTGAATATAATAATGGTAAGAAATGTGGAATTTGGGATATTTATCATTAGACATATAGTAATAGACCATTTTATTTGATGTAGATTAAATTATTATTAAATAATTATAGTGGATGTGGTATATATAATGATTAAGGTTTGAAAATTGGAATGTGGTTTGAATAGAGTGAAAATTTTTAGAAGTTTTTAATAATTATAGTTATAATAGTAATGGTTAAATAATTTATGAAGGTCAATATAAAAATGGAATAAAAATTGGGAAATGGTATATAAAATCAAAGAGTGGTTAAATATTAGAAAGAATGTATAAATTTAAAAAAAATGTAATTCTTAGTGGTTATGGATCTTATGATGAACAAGGACTTAAAAATGATATTTGGTTAGAATTAAGTGAAAATTATTAGAAGTTTTAATAATTTCTTATGATATAGTTGCAATAGTGAGATCACTTATTATGGAAAATATAAAAACAATAAAAAAATTGGAAAATGGGAAATTTAAAACAAAAAATTTAATAAGAATCCATATGAATTGATGTAAGTAATATTATATATAAAATTAATATATTAGAGGTGGTGGATTATATAACGATTAAGGTTTAAAATATGGTAATTGGATAGATTTGATTGAAGATTTTTCGAGGTGTTATTTTAATTAAATATGTAAATTAGTTGGAAAGAGATCATTTGTAAGGGTGTTTTTCATAATGGAGGTAAGATTGGTAGATGGGATTTATAATTTAGATCTCCGTAGAGTAATTACTTTCGTAATATGTATTTATTAAGTGAATTAATTTTTAGTGGTGGTGGATCTTATGATAATAACAATTTTAAGAATGGAAGTTGGATTGATATATGTGCTGATTTCTCAAAGTTTTATTTTTTTATTCTTATTATTAGAAATTAAAGAGTAGTTCATAAAGGAGTATATGACCATGGTAAAAAGATTGGATTATGGGAGGAAATAAGATTATGTGAAGATAATGGAAGTTTGAAAATGTATGAAATAAAAATTTATATTTAGAGGACAAAAAAAGTATGATTGATTGTTTTATTTTAAACAAAAAATAAACCATTATTTTAGCTATCTAGCTTAAGGATAATATCTATATTAAGCTACTATGTTATTATTATAGTGTTAATATGATTATTATTTTTTTATCTAGTACTGATGAATCAGTTATTTTAAATAAGATAATCATGAAGTTTAAGATGATGAGCTATAAGTAAATAGATGCAATATTTTTAATTTTGTAAAAAGCCAATTTTATTATTTGAATTACAAGGTAGAGAATATTCCAGTAAATATGATGTGAAAACACGTAATCAATTTATATTTATCAAATTTGTTGTCATGTTCTTCATAATTTTTCCTTTCTTTCATAATCCATTGATTGAAGAGGGTGAATCATAATTTTTAGATTACATACAAGGTCAAAAATCATTTCATTTATAATATTATTCTTTATTCTAAAATATAATCAAACTCAATCGCATTGCCCTGATTATTGTATCCTAAAGTAGTTAACTCTAATTATAGTTCTTTAGCATGCCTAATATGTGTCGCTGTGCATAATGAAAGTTTAAAAATATCTCTTCTATTAATATTTATAATATATTGAGCATTAAACTTTTGAATAATTTAGAATAGCCAATTCCTACCTTTCTGGTTCAAATATTAACTTCTTTTGAACCAATATGAACTTTTACTCATTGTAATCTATAACATTTTATTTATGGTTTATTACCTCTCATTTCCTTTCATCATATTAACTTAATGTACTTTTTCTGAAAGATCTTACAAACACTTCTCACTCTCCTCCAAATAATAAGTAGAGAATCAACTTTTTGAATATTCTAAATGTAATCAATAATGATTAATACAACTTTATATATAATATAAATATCATTTTATTAAAATAAGAAATCACTTCAACATATTACTATAATCTATTTTCTAATGATTGCCATAATAATCTAACAATATTCTTTTAATTTCAGCCTCCTATTTTGCCAAATAAAGTAACCTTAATATAATAAAATCGTTTTATAATTAAATTAATTTCATATATGAAGAATTTCTATAAATTTTTCATATAAGATAATTATGGATGTCCTAGTTTCCCTTCTAATTCTTATTATTATTCAAATTCTTTATTAACTATTACTTAGATAATTTTTAATAATATCTTCATCTTAAGATCCAAAATTAGATTCTGATACTTTGATTTAAAATTCTTAATCAAATTAAAATGTTATGTAATATCTGTTTATAGAATATTTGAAATAAATATTCTGTATAAAATTTGGTTGCTTTTGATGGTCAAATGATCAATAATTTTTATAAAAAATTCAGTTAGGCATTGTGTCTAAAAAATTCTAAATTAAAAAAAATATGAATATTTTAAATCTGAAAGCATTTTTTTAAACTAATTTTTATTTTATGAAATCATTTTTTCTTTAAAATATAACTATTTAGAGAGAAATTCATAAATCATCTACTCTTCATTGGAAAATTTAATCTTTTCATTATGCTCAAAAATCATTTATCTCTTCCTATTTATTTTTTTTCTTCTTCTTTTAGCTTTCTTATAATTAAACATAATTCTCATATAATAGATTAAATTATCGCATCTATGATATTTTATTTTTAATGATACTTTGAAAGAATATTAATATACAAGAAGAAATAGATGTACTTGTGTATCTTATTGACTACTACTCTAAATCTTCATTTAAATGATCAATTTATTTATAATAGGTTTTCCTTTGTATGACAGGTTATTATTAAACCGAAACTCTTGTCTGGTACATATATTATATTGCTTTATCAAAATAAATTATAATAAAATAAATATACTATGATATAAAATTTTCAAGAAAACTTATCATAGTTAACAAAAAATAATAAAGATCAGTAATAAAGACTTTAAACTTTATATCTCAGATTTGACAGCCTTTTTAATGATTATTTAGATGTCATAAAAAGTTCATAAGTTTCACAAAATCTGCTTCACAAAGTAAGACCTGAAGTTTTTAACTAAGTGTTTGTATTTTTAGACATAAAATCTTATTTAAGTTTTAGATTGATAAGTAAGAGAGCAAATCAAACAGTTATTTAAATGATTCCTTTAAGGATATCTCGTATACATCAAATTATACTTAATCTAAATCATTAGTTATAAATTTATACTATATAAAACTTTGAATAAACAAATTGCTAAAACATAATAAAGGATTATCAAAATGCACTTGACTAATTGTATTAATTGAATAAAGAAGATTTATTGGAATTAAAAAGAACTCGTAATCCTCCAAAAATATTAGTAACTGTGATATTGATGATATGTGTACTTTTAGATTAGTCTTTTAAAATAGAATAGAACTGGGAAGAATGTTTAAAAATAATAGGAAATTTTAATTACGTTAATTCACTCCATAATTTAGATTTTGAGAAAATAAATGAAAGCTAGTTAACTTACATATAAAAAATTAGGTAAATTTCAGAAGCTTAAACATAAAAAATATCAATTGCTTGTAGCACTTTTTATTAATTTATTTTAGCTGTTTTGTAAATTAAGGAATCAAAATAGTATATATTAAAAAGAAAAATAGAATTTATTGAATAATCAATTAAACAAGGTTAAAAGCACTTAATATTTTTACAAAAAATGATTGAATAAATTCCGTGATTTTATTTGTCATATTAATATTAAATTTAAAATTCAATTGAATAGAAAATATTATTTAATTGTTTTTTTATAAAATATTTTCTAAAAAATGGATAATTATTGAATGCAACTTTTTGCATCACATATTTATGACCTAAGATATAAAATAGATTAAAGAGTAAAACTAGAGTTATTGAAACTTTTATTTGAGTGTGCTTATTAATTTTATCTTAGTAGCATCTAGTGTATTTTTTTATTGAATAAAAAAAAGACCAAAGGAGATTACTAAAAATAAAAATATAAAAGAATCTGAGCGAAAGATCTATAAGAATATTTAATTACAATAGAAAGCTAATATAGTAATTTTTGTTTATAGAAATAAATAATGTTTAGAAGCCATTTAATTTAAATATCAACTCAAAAATAAATCTTTTAACAAATTTTTATGAAAAATTTCTTAAAAATTTAATTTAATTTATTAAATTAATATATTTATTTTCATGAGATGTTTTTCAGCATTTCAAAGTTACTGATTACAAATATTTTCAGTATTTAATTTAAAAAGAATTCTATTTTATTACATGCCTTGTAGTATAGTAGAAAATTTAAGGAAAGTAATATTTGAGATTAGCAAATAAAAATAATAATTAAGTAGTTTAATCAATAAATTAATTTTTATATATTTATAAAATGTTCAAAAAAAATAATTGGTGAAATAGACTCCATATTCGTTTATCATTCCTGTTAAGTATTTCAGTATATGCTTAACATTATCATGGCAATATCAAAATATGGCTCTCTAACAAAAGTTTTAGCTATGATATACTGTTAGGGATTTTTAAATTTCATATATGATTGTTCAACATTATTGAAAAATTTAAAGTCTAGATTAATTATTAAAACAGTTTTTTGTTTATGATTTATATTTATTTCTTCCTCTCGTATTTAAATATTATTATAATTAGAGTGAATAATTATTAATTTACTCTAGATCAAACTAAACAAATAGTCTTATAGAAATGATGTCAATTTAAGAAAGAAAGGTGCATTCTTTTTTCTAAATACCAACTACGAAAAATTTCTTTTGTATAAAGAGAATTAAACTATAAGAATTTATAACTGATTAAATATAAAAGATTGTGATAGAGGTTACAAAAAAAGTTAGAAAGTATATAATACAAAATTTATTCATACTGAAGAAAAACCTTTGTAATAAAACGATATTAAATGATTTATTCTTCTCAAAACATTGTATGCAATATCAACAATTCTAGCTGATAATTGTATCATAAGAGCATATAGCAATAAAGATCCATATTTATAAATTGCCACTAGTTTAAAATTATAATTCCTTAAAATTTCTAAAATTTTTATAAAAGAAAATTTAAATAAATATTTATGAAAATTGTGTCAAAATTTTGATTAAATAAAAATAGAAATTGTAATCACTTTATATTTTAATTTATAATAAAATTAAATATTCTTTTTTTTAATTCTAAAGACTTTTCTGAAGCTATATATTGATAAATGATTTGAAGGAGAATAAATCTAGGGAGCAATTTTAAAATGATAAGAGCATGTAACAAAGGAAATATCTCTTTCTAATAAAAAAAATTTAAGATAATTTTAAATTAGAAAGAGAACAAAAGGAAACAGCATTTCTATAAGACTTTAAACTTTGGAGAAAGATATCATTAATAATTATTTCCTTTTTATCTATTAGAATCTCATCTTGATTAGGCAAGTTGAATATAAAAATTTTAAGAGGTTAATCTAGTAATATTCAATTATAATAAAAAAGTTTAAATAATTGAAGAAAAAATATTTAAATTACTATACCAAAAAATCCTAATGATAAGTTAATAGAGAATTTTTTTAGAAGTATGAATTATTTTTAATTTATCAAAAAATGTAAAATATTTAAAACACTTAAAATATATCGTGAAATAGTCTATAGCATGTTAATTCAATCTTTAAATTAATTTAAAATGAATATATTGAAATTATCATCACTATTCCTAAAAATCATCAACAAAAAAATAAATTGATTAAATATTTGAATTAATATTATGAAGTTAGGATTTACAATAATTATAATTACAATAAATGAAATAGCAATAAAGTAAAAGAGAAAGTTATTCATGTAACTATAGATTGGCATTTAAGATTATAATATAATTTCGTTTTAGATTTTTAAATGTTAAAAATCCCTCCCTCTACCTTTAATTGTTTTTTAAATCATCCATTTCAAAAATTTAATTTTCTTAACTTTTAATAAATTCCAATAAAAATAAACTCTTTAAATATTTCAATATATCATAAAATTCTATTTTTATTCAAATTTTTATTATATTTTTTGGTTTCATCTATAAAAACAATTCAATTAACCTCTTAAGAAACTTACTCAATAACAATTATCAAAAAAACTATTTTTGAAAATCTATATTACTTATTATTAATATAATCTCCATTCTTAAGTGTTCTAGCTGATCGATTTTTAGAAGTAATTCTATTTATTTTTCTAAATTCATCTACACTAATACCAACTGATTGTTATTTAATGATGATGATATCATATTAAATGTTAAGTTTTAAAAAAAAATAAATTTTTAAGTTTCATAATTAAAATGGACTAAATAATAATCAAGTCTTAACAAATTTCCAGACTCCATTTCCTTAATGTTCAACTCCCACAAGACTAGCAGTTTAATAGAGAGATATCCATAATTTTTTGGTATCTTGGTAGTATAAATCACCTAGAACTTATTTAAGATGAATGTTAGCTTCCTATAAATAATATAATTATAATATACTCTAGCATTATAATGAGGTAATTCAGAAAAGAGATGATGAAGTGCATGTGTAGTACCAGTGTCGAAATGTAAAGCATTAATCCAAAGAGGATAATTTCTATCTATAGTACATAAATTCCCTAAAATAATTTTTTAATATACCTTTTAACCATGTCCAAGCAGTTTCATCATAATGAGGAATATTTATATCATTATGTTATAAGGAAGTGATAATTGTCAACCAAATATTAACTACCAAATAGGGACCAATATATAAAGCCATTACTTCAGCAAATGAAGTGAATTAGTACCATTTGTATAATTAATAAATTATTAAACATAGTCCAAGATTTGAAACAGCTACTTTTACTAACATTTTCTTAGGTAACAACTTATTTGGTACTATAAGATGACTAGTGAATCCTCTTGCAGATCCTCCTGATACACCAAATAAAAAATAAAGAGGCCATCCTAAAACTGCTATATTAAAAATCTAAATGCTAGTAAAACATTCCTCTCCTAAAACATCTTTCATTTTTTAGTATATTCTTCCCATCTTTGAACCAATAATTACAGGAGTATGTGTTTCACCTTCAGTTAAATGATTTGTCTTAGCATGATGAACAGCATGAGAATGTTACAATGAAAAATAGGGTACCAACAATGCTTAATGCAATATGTAACCTAAAGCATCATTCAACCATTTAGTATCTGAAAATGCAAAATGACTACATTCATGACCCAAAACCCCTATATTTAAATAATCTTAATACATATTCCTGTAGCCACTGTTCCTGTTATAAAGGCATATATAACCCAAATAGGTAGAGTCCACCAATTCAAAGGGATATAATTATAAGCAATATAAGTCAATAATAATGTGGAACTAAATGCTTATCCTACAGAAATTAAAAATCGAAATTCATTCTTCTTAAATAAATGTTAAGGAATTGCCTTCCTGATTTCTATACATATATTTGTATAATCTTACATCCAAGTGTTATATCAATGTTCTTATTACTCATTATTTTTTATGTAATTTCATTTTATTTAAGGCTAAAAATATCTATTTTAAGAATTTTAGAATTCTGAACTAAATTTAATTCTATAAAATTTTATTGAAATTATAAACATCAATAAATTTTATATTTTAGCTAAAATTATTAGAGAGAAAGAAAAGAACTTATCTACAAATTTTCCTTTAAAGAAATTATGTAAAAAAATTTAGTAAGTCAATCTAGATTTATTCAAATAAGATTTACTTTAAAAATATCAAAGTTATTTTTCAAATATTTCTAAACATCCTAAAATCATTTCAATATATATTTTATAAGAATAATATTTCTTAAGGAGTTTAAATTTATAAAAAAAGGTTTTAAGTTCGGAATTCAGCAGTTATCTATATTTTTGGTAAAAGTATGTCTGCAGATATTATTTTATATATCCTATATACGTTAATGGCAATTTCTAGTGCTAATCTAGTACTACTACCTTGCAGAATGATTTCAAAATCCTTTTGTTAGTCTCATTCTGCCCTTTATTATTAAATTTTCTTTAATTTTTTTGAACGTTCTACAGGTCAAAATTTAGAAATAAAAAAAATAAAAATATAGATAAACACAAAAAGTTGAAAGAGGGAGAAAGCAAAAGAGAGGGCATCGAAGAAAATGATAGTTTTTAAAGTTTAATAATTACGATTCTAAAGTTTGGGTAATAACGTAGTCTTAAAATTATATTTTTAAACAATAATATTAATATAAATATATAAACTTCAAGGTTGTTTTTATAACATTTCCAAAGGTTCCAATAACGCATAATCACTTTCTATATCTAAAGAATTAGCTGGTTTTATGGTTAATCTATTTGACTCTTTACTATTTTAGTGATCTAGAAATTAATTGGACAATTTTCCTCCCATTTAATGACTCTGTTATAGAACTTAATCCCCAAATTATTGTTAAATAATAAATTGTATTCTTGATATTTCATATAAGATGTTATCTAATCTACATTTTTCTTTTGCTCTTTTAATAAATATTTTATATTTATATTTAACTTTCTCAAATGAACTATTCTTGCTATCTTCTTGCTATTCTTAACTTTCAAATTGATTGAAATAATTCAATTTGACTTTTTTCATTTCTGGATAATACATAGTTACTATTTCATGAAGCAATTCATTCTCCAATAATATTTTATTGTAATATACAGCAATATATTTAAGTAAAAATATTATCTAAACAATTGATCCAACTTAAGCTAGAATTTAACCTAACTTTGGAAGTGTTATAGTTTCTGAAACAGAAATGTTATCAATTCTAAATAAATAACAACCAAAACTTTTAAATTAATAAAGCTATTTAGACATTACACTGACCACTTAAGAAGCAAAAAGATTATCAACTTGTTAATGGATTAGCTCATAGTTGTTTAAGAAATAAAAATTTTCATAATTATTAAATAATATTCCATTATCAATAATAGATTCTTACTACTTAAGCATTACCTATGAATATAAAGGTTTTTATGTTTCAAAGGCTGTATAATATTATTTTTCAATTTCTTCTAATTATCCAGTAGAATATTTGAGTTAATTTAATTTAATAGTTAAGAATAAAAACCCATGTAATTTAGATATATATTCTGTTATTACATTTTCATCAGCACAATAACTTCCTGGTGCATTAGTTAAATTTGAACAACTTTCTAAAACAAGCAATAATTATGTCATTTATAAGCGGTCATCATTTCCTGTATAATCATGATTTAAAACAATAGTACCATTACTTAGAGATATTTTAAATGGGTTTTCTTCACTACTAAATAATGGAATAGGTTTATCAATTATAGTTGTATTTAAAATTCTATATAAATTAGGAGTAATTATATTATTTTCTTTTCTAAATGGATCCACATCACCCAAAAAGTCTTATAATTCTAATTCAATAATGGAGTTTGACAACTAAAACTCTGCATATGATATAGTTTATTATTTAGCACTCACAATAGGAGGAATTTAATGATTAATCCACTATATGATTACATATAAAAAATAACTCAAACTAATGCTTCCAATTATAAGAGTAACTATTCCACCAAGCTTACTTTAATATAAGGAACTCTTAGCATTTGTCAAAAGACTTATTGGAACCCCAAAAATATCGTATTTCTCAATAGTATTTAGTAATTTGTTCATCTTAATTAATTAATTAATTAATTACTGATTTAATAATTACAAAGTATTTATATTATAATTATTTTTATATAAATTTTATAAATATTAATCAACTTTTGCTTCATTATTTTAGATTCAACTAACATAAGCTCTTAGCTAATTTTCTGTTTTCCAAATAAGGTAAAGAATAAAAATTTGACAGAATTAATTAAGGTTTCGAAAGCCATTTTTAAATAATTCTGTTTGTTATATATTTCCAATCCAATGGTTTTTATCATATTTATAAATTTGATTCACCCAATTATAACCGCCCAAAAAACCATTAACATACTAAAATTTATATTAAAGATCACGTAAATACTCTTTAATGTAAATCTTTAGTCCATACTTATAACTAAAATAAGCATTTGAGAAATTCTGTAAAATTTAAAACAGACACTTTAATATTATCATATAATTACTCTCTAATATTAATTCTAATAAAGCATAAAATATACTTCATTATTTTATTATTCTTATGATAATAATTATTTTCGATAAAGAATATTGTTTTTAATATGAAAATTCATAAAATATGTCTATTCCATTGAATTCTTAATTTTTTTGCTATTTCTCATCAAACAGAACTGAACTAAATTTATTATCTCAATTTTAGTGTTTAAATATTATAATTATTTTATGAAATTAATTTTTTTTTTTTCATTTTGATTTCTAACAGGTTTAGATTTTTATGAAGAACCTTAATACAGTCTATCAAATATAACACATGGACCTTATAATTTCTATATCAATCCTATACTTTTAATGAGATTTTAAATTAAATAATCTGCTTAAAGAATCAAATTAAATTTTTTATAATATAATGATGCTCTTTTTGCCCATAATATGTTATTTCTCACAATATTAATTAGTAGTGTTTTTTTTTTTAGTAAATATATATCTTTATAATAAATATTATGATTAAAAAAAATTCAAAAGAAATTAGTAATTATTCTTTGCTATAAGCAAATAAATGATGATCCAAATCATTTAAGGGCTACTTAACTTTTGTGATTTATATAATTGTTTGTTTTGAACATTTGCATTTTAGATTGGATTATTCGATAATGAAAGAATTTCATAGTTTTCCTTAAAGCCTGAAGATTTATGTTCGAAATTTTCAAATTTCTTAATACTCCAATCAATATTTTTAATTAAATTTACTTTAACTTCTTTGACAATGAAAATTATTTAATAATTTTCAGTTAATTATTTATAAGATGTTAAAGAACTATATAATTTTTATAAAATGATTTTATTTTCATTTTCACAAAACAACTTTCTGTTCAGATATTATTTCAAATTTATAATGTATTTAATTCTGGTGATTAAACCTAAATTAAAGATAAATAATAATAATTACTAAATTAATATAAAGCACTCTAGTTTTTTTTTTCATTTGGTTAGAAAAAATCTCTCTTTATTTGCGAATATCCTGTTTAAATTTAACATTAATCAATTCGCATATTATTATTATTATTTTATAGATGTTCTTAGTTTTTTGGTATTTGAATTAAATCATCTCATCTTAATAATATAAATCACTTTTGATTTATAAATATAAGATTCAATTTATATTTTACATCCTCTTTAAAATCTTTATCCTTGAGAATTAAGAAGAAACCAATATAATAAAATATTCAAGTATTCTGTCTAGTAATCAAATATAATTGATTAAGTAAGGGAACATCCTATACCTGTTGATGAAAAATTAATAAATAACTTGGAAAATGATTCTTCAAAAACACTAGGGTTTGTTTTGTAAAAATATTTAAAATATTAAGATTTTCTAGCTAAATCTGAGAATGATGATTTGAGATTTTGTGTAATTCTATTATTTCAACTAAACTTATTCCTAAGAGTATTAAATTTCATTTACATAAGCTGAAGTTGATTTATATTATTTGCATTAGCCTCCAACAATTCTATATAACATTATTTCTAGACTTTGCTTTAACTAAACAGCATAATATATTCTATTAAATTTTTATATCCTCTAGCCTTTATAATAATCTCCCTATTTAAATAACTCTTAATTTATCTTGTTCAATCACAAAATCAATTAATTTTTATCTTTTTGAAATTTATTAATAATTTTCAATTTTTTGAATTAGTTTACTTTTTTATTCACATTTTGATGCTTTCTATCTCTAAAGACTTATCATTAAAATTATAGACATGTTTTCTATAAACTGTAAAAGTGATATCAATTTTAGATTTTTTTTTTTATTCTACATTTTATTTTTAGATGAGAACTTTTGCGAACTATGATTTTAAGAAAAAAAATTTTGCTATATCACCTTGAGATAAATGTGAAACAAACAAAAACCGGTAATAATATTTACTATCCAAACTAAATGAAAATTTCTCAATTTATTATACTAATTATTTACAATCAAAAGTATTGAATTGTTTTGAAGATTAATCATTTAAAATTAATAGAGAAGTAGTTGAGACAATTGAAGCAGGCAATATGAATATAATAATGGATCAGCGAAACTGAACCTTTCTCAATGGTCTTATCATCAGCCATAAAATAATGATCTTTTATTTCCTAATATTTTACTTCAAAAATTTGTTTAAAAACAAGATTATCAGAGATTATAAGATTCATATAAATTACTCAAATAATAAATCTATAATTAAGCACAAGATTATGATAAGAGAAGTATATTGTATGAACCAGAAAAATCATTAAAAATGACTGAATTAATTTTTAGAAAATACCTATTTTAACAATTTCTAGTGGGAAACACACTCCCATTTATGATACAGAATATACCATATACCTAAATTCATACAATTCTTACCATATTCATCATTATATGTGACTTCTTAACTACGATAAAACCTTTCCTCTTACTCAATTCATTTTCTTTACTTTACTTTGCGTTTCCATTCCAATTCTAAAATTATCAAAACAGTTTCATAAATTTGTTCTAACTTTTCATAATTTTAAATAACTATATAATTACCTTCCAATAGTTTAATAGTTTATGAATAGATCTTTTCCTATTCCTTTATTTTACCCTTCTTAAAGTATCCATCAAAATGTCTTAGAAGTTCTTGATATGATTTAAAATTTCTGATACTTGAGATTATCATCAACTTATTCCCTTATTGGAACTAATCAATAATACGAATATTCTCAATATTCTTTCATTTTTTAATAGATTATTTAGTTATCTAAGGTGAATTTGAGTTTTAATAATAAATTCTTATTCTATTGTTTATTCCTTCCAATCAGGTTTTTTTCTCCACTTAAAAGATTTTCATTTTAGAAATCATTATTGTATATTTATAGCCTCTTTACAATTTATTACAAATTTAATTAAGTAGAAGGGATTTATTTTTAATTACCTTGANTGATTTTAAGAAAAAAAATTTTGCTATATCACCTTGAGATAAATGTGAAACAAACAAAAACCGGTAATAATATTTACTATCCAAACTAAATGAAAATTTCTCAATTTATTATACTAATTATTTACAATCAAAAGTATTGAATTGTTTTGAAGATTAATCATTTAAAATTAATAGAGAAGTAGTTGAGACAATTGAAGCAGGCAATATGAATATAATAATGGATCAGCGAAACTGAACCTTTCTCAATGGTCTTATCATCAGCCATAAAATAATGATCTTTTATTTCCTAATATTTTACTTCAAAAATTTGTTTAAAAACAAGATTATCAGAGATTATAAGATTCATATAAATTACTCAAATAATAAATCTATAATTAAGCACAAGATTATGATAAGAGAAGTATATTGTATGAACCAGAAAAATCATTAAAAATGACTGAATTAATTTTTAGAAAATACCTATTTTAACAATTTCTAGTGGGAAACACACTCCCATTTATGATACAGAATATACCATATACCTAAATTCATACAATTCTTACCATATTCATCATTATATGTGACTTCTTAACTACGATAAAACCTTTCCTCTTACTCAATTCATTTTCTTTACTTTACTTTGCGTTTCCATTCCAATTCTAAAATTATCAAAACAGTTTCATAAATTTGTTCTAACTTTTCATAATTTTAAATAACTATATAATTACCTTCCAATAGTTTAATAGTTTATGAATAGATCTTTTCCTATTCCTTTATTTTACCCTTCTTAAAGTATCCATCAAAATGTCTTAGAAGTTCTTGATATGATTTAAAATTTCTGATACTTGAGATTATCATCAACTTATTCCCTTATTGGAACTAATCAATAATACGAATATTCTCAATATTCTTTCATTTTTTAATAGATTATTTAGTTATCTAAGGTGAATTTGAGTTTTAATAATAAATTCTTATTCTATTGTTTATTCCTTCCAATCAGGTTTTTTTCTCCACTTAAAAGATTTTCATTTTAGAAATCATTATTGTATATTTATAGCCTCTTTACAATTTATTACAAATTTAATTAAGTAGAAGGGATTTATTTTTAATTACCTTGATTGAATACAATATTATTTAATTACTATGAATTGATATAGTTCTAACCAGCAATTAACACCAAAATATCCCTTTTTTAAATAGAATAGTATTAGAATAGTCAATATTTGAAATTTTATTAACCACCTCTACTTTTCGATTAATATTTCAATTTAAATAAATTAAAAAAATTATAACAAAATTTCCATACTCCTATTCTTTAATTATTTATAAGGTAAAATTTCATCGATTTTATAAAACAATTATTGATAATAAAAGTTTTGTTTATCGATTAAATCAGTGAGAATGAATCTGAAAACTTGAGAAAAACTAAAAATAATTTATATATTTTGATGTAATAATTTTCATTTCATATTTTATCATTATTTTTTTTCTATTCTTCATCAATAGCTCCTTTTTTTTTGAATAACTATATTAGAGACTTACCTTAATTATCTATAATAGAGGAGGCTAGATTTATAATACAATTCTTGGCTTAAATTAGAGGTTATTTAGAAAAAGTTTTATAAGATATTGCTCCA